AATAATTGGATGCTTCGCCTATTGGGTAAGAACAAAAAAAATCTATATATCTAAATAGTTCTTTTATAAACAGTTTTGGACTTTAAAGTAACAATATAACTAACAAAAACTAACATTACTAAAAATAAAATGATATTCAAAATGACAATCATTTTCTCTAATGCGAAACTCGCACATCCTTGGAATTTTTTGAATTACATTTAAAAAACAGATTTCGAAAGGCTAAATAAAATTGCTTCTCGAAGTTCTACTATGCCGTCATATAGTATATCATATAGTAGTCATATAGTATATCATAGAGGCCATCTAACAGGTCCGTTCGGACCTATCCATGTTTGAGGAGAATTCTGGAAATGCCCTTGAGAACCTAGTTATGACTTCTTCTCTTGATGCATATCCATTAATGGATGTTCGCAATCACAATTGTCCACTATTCTTTATTCCTTGTTGTATGTATTAGTTCTTCCATTGTCCTCAGTCCCGTCCACTGTCTAATGTTGCATAGCCAAGACAGCCTCTTCCTGCCGATGCCTCTCTTTTCTTCAATCTTCCCTTCAACAACTGTACTAATTGGTATCTTCCGTAACGTATCACGTGGCCTATATAAGCTGTTTTTCGGCGTTTAATTGTGTTCAGCAATTCGCGGTCTGTATGATGATGATTCTCAAGATCTCATCGTTTGTTTTTCTTGCCGTCCATGGTATCTTATATACGTCTGTAGATCCACATCTCGAATGCTTCATCCCTTCATACCATACAGTAACGTAGCATTTTATAAATCTAATCCTTAAAGCTGAGATCGAGATGAGCACTTTTTTGAATTTCATGAACGCACTGCGGGGATTTTCAATTCTACATCTGATTTCTGTGACGGCTTCCCAGTTTTCACGCAGCCACGTTCCTAAATATTTAAATTTATTTACTCGTTCTATTGATTGATTGTCATATGTTAGGCTTGCGTTTTGAAATTCTTCTGGTTTACGATTATGAATTTAGTTTTCTTGGTGTTCATATCAGGACTCATGTTCTTACTGCAATCACCGATAATCCTGAGCATACTCTGCAAATCTTCCATTTTATCTGCAATTAGAACTGAATCGTCCGCGTAACGTATATTGTTAACCCACACACATTAACGCCCATGTTGCGTTCTTCTAGGGCATCCTGAAAGATGTTTTCAGAATACGAATTGAAGAGAAGCGGGGAAAGAACACATCCTTGCCTGACTCTTCTACAGATTGGTTTTGCGTCCGTGAAATCGTTACCAATTTTGACTTCACCCTTTTGATTGCAGTATAAGTTTTGAATGCAACGGATGTCTTTTTAGCCTATGTCGAGTCTATTTAAAATTTGGATGAGTTTATGATGTTGGACTCTGTCAAACGCTTATGCATTATGTCCTTTCTCTGATCGTTGCAGTTCTGGACTAGCACCTGAGCATGGTGCATAGCGGCGGACTGAGGTCGGGAAAGTTGTGCGTGTTCCCAGCCGCGCTGCGTATCTCTACGCAGGCGACCAGTCGGGACGCAGCACCCGTTCCGAAAGAAGGAAGCGGGGTCTCCCGGAGTCCTTCGCCGCGCTACCTTCTCCCCCTAACCAGCGTCGTGCGGTTGAACCTCGTCCAGTTCGTATGGCTGCCCTGCAGGACACGAGTAGTCACGCCTGAGAGCAGACCCGAACTAAGGCCTAGTTCTTTTAAGGCTGATATGGAATCACGACACCACACTCCCTTCCACGAAATGGTCGCAGAGGTGGTGGAGATTTTTCCTTCCGGGACGTGTAGATGTTCGGACACGCCCGTGATGAGTGCCATGTTGCCAGCGTACTTCGCAACCTTTGCTTAATCCGAATTGTGTATCGGATCCATTTCGCACTTTACTGATATTCTATTGTGGATAATCTTAAGTATCTTCAGTGTGTGACTTATGAGGCTGATTAGTCTATGGTCCTCAGATTTTATTGCATTGTTCTTCTTTTGCAAAGGGACAAAATTTCATGTTAGCCATATAGCAAGGAACTCTAATACTGTAATACTTTTGTCGTCCAATAGCTTGAGCAACTCAACAGATATACGGTCTGGTCCAATCAATCGCCTTCCTATTTTTCAATGTGTTGATTGCTCTTATAATTTCCTCTTTTGTGATGGGAGGTCCAGAGAGATTTTTGTCGTCCACATATTCAATAGTAGGCATTTCATCGGCAAAAGGGCTGCTAATGTAGTTTCCCCATATGATTTTACGCTGTTGGTCCCTGGTCCTTTTCTACATCATAGAATTGCCCGATTCCATATATTCCAGCAGTCTCTTTTATATTTCTATGTAGATTAAAGCTATCGTGTGTTTACAGTAAGTGCTCTAGTTCTTCACACTGTCGTTTCAGCTACTCATTCTTAGCTATCCTTATCTTTGTTCTAACAACTTTCTGCATTCTTTTATAGTTGTCTCCATTCCTTTGGTTTTTGTACTTTCTGAGTTGTTCAAACAGCGCCAGTATTTCAGCTGTCATCCAATTGTGTCTTTGTTTATATCCCAATTGTGCCTCTGCAGCATTGATCAGGGCATCTTCTATTCCTTCCCATACATCATCCATAACTTCCTTCATCATCTGTGGATCCATAGTCGTCATTATTTTTTCATTAATATCTTTCGCAATTTTGTTTTTTGTTTCTTCATCTTTAAGTTTTTCGTAATCTACATTACGCTGTAGTATAGAGATTTTGATGGTCATGATTTTAATCTATGTTGTCTGGGCGATCTCCTAGAGCTTTCCATGTATACAAGCGTTTAGGTGGTAACTTGAACCGTGTGTTTGTTATTTTCATGTTTTCTTCTTTACAGGCCATAAGGCCATAAGGGCCCACCAATCCCTTAAATCTTCCTTCTCCTATTTTAGAGTTGAAATCACCCGTTATCAGGTTCATGTCCTGATTTTTAAGTTGTTTTAGTACTTGTTTCAATTCCTCGTAAAACGTCTCGATCTCATCTTCTGGCGAATCTGTTGTCGGCGCGTACACCTGGATGATATTGATGTTATTGGTTTGGCGTATAATTGCAGTAATATGATCCTCTCAGATAGGGGAAGGAAATTTATTACGGATCTGACAGCTTTTCAGTCAGAAATATTCCCACTCCTTTTCTAAGGTTTCTGTTTTTATCCCTAGAGTAGTACATGACTACCCCAGAAATGCAACATATTCCAGGCCACCATGTCTCCGCGACTCCCATAATGTCCACATTTAATCTCTTCATTTCCTGCAGCTGGTTGGCTAGTTTTCCAGCCTCATACAAGCTACACACATTCCAAGTGCCAATCCTTATTTCGCTTCGCAAATTTAGTTTTTCATTCCTGACTTCATTTAACGCAGTTTCCTGCTGAGATCCGATTGGGCAACCATTTATGCCTCCGAACAATTTTGAGTTAAATGTATTCGTCATAGTATTTCATGTGTTAAATGTGATTCTGTTGGGATGAGTAGTGAAAGTGGTCTCCTGTTGCCTTCCTCCGCTATATACAGGGATTTAATACTATATATTTGTGCGTATGGTTATACCGCCAATATTCGGTCGCCAGAGCCACGTTCGTTTTCCAGCAGGGTGCACCGGGTGACTGGAGTCACCACTCGAGCAGGTGAGGTTGGCATTTATGTAGCTTTGATCTTCTGATGTTGAGTGCTAACCCTTGCAGGTAAACAGTATAATGAAATGGTCTAATAGAATGTTTTCGAGCAGTTCTGAAATAATTTCGTCAAGGATTTCTATTGTGAACCTTTAAACAATCAATGCTGATTTTCTGTAAGCAGGTTCTTTGTATTGTGACTGCAAAAAATGTCCCAGCTGGTCAAACAAGTCTTTTCAATAAATAGTTAGTATCGACTTACTGCAAATAGCACTGCTGTGCATCACCATGAGGCAAACGTCATTTAAAAAAAATGTTTTTCCATAAAAATATAAAAACATTGGCAACTTGCAGTTGTTTATTACTGTTATTCGTGGCTTTTGTAATTTATTTGCACGTTCTATTATATGTTTTTAAAAAGGTACAAAGAGACAAATTTTATAGTCTATTAATATACTCGAGTTCCATTTAAAAAAAGTTTGCTTTATGACTGAAAACTAGCAAATATATAAGAAAAAAATTCTACACTACTTTTAACCAAAATATATCTAAAATCTATAGGAATGTTATTTTCCCTGTTCGATATGTATAAGTAAGATAAGCATAACGGAGATCTTAGGGGGTCCCAAAACGCAACATTTTCAAAAATGTATGTTTAGTTCTTCGAAAAAAAAGCAAACTGTCACAAAAGGCGCAACTTTTTATCTATAAAAATAACGGAGATACCCCGCAAAAGTCCCAAAATTGGACGCTGTGTATACTCATGAAACCTTGTTGCAACTACTATTAATGGTGATGTAGTTTCCAAAATATAGGGACTGGTTATTTTTTATATGCTGTACAAAATTTTCAACCAATAGCGTTAGTAAACCGCTGCCTGCTTACGCATTTTTACAATATCTTATAACCACATGGCTCAGGCACAGTCAAACCATTCTATTCCTCTTTGAAGAAACAGAAGGGCGGATATAGTATATTATGCAACAATTGCCGTAAATGGCATTTGACTCACGAGTTTATTTGGCACGAGCGGAGCGAGTTAAAAAGTTTACCGAATGTGTTGCATACTATACTTTTGCTACGACCGTTAGTTTTTGGGTACATTTTCGCAAAACAACACGAATACATTCACTGACATGACTGTCAGAATTGACAAACGTCAAAATTCAAAGCGTGGGAAATATCTCCGAAAACATTCGATTGCTCCCAAACCCGTGCGGTAAAATCCCGGAAATGTCTGAAGTGGCTCGGATTTGTGGGAAACGAAACTGACCTGGTAAAGTGACGCTTCTCGCACGCTAGATCGGTGCGTAATTAGGTATTTTACAGACAGGAGTAGAGTCATGAATAATGTCTTTACATAAAAAACTATTTGTCAACTGCTTTCATCTCTTCTTATCCAGTGCAATTTGCATTGCTCCATTACAGATTTTTCCCTTTTTTATCAAAATCTTGTCTATTGTTTCGTTCCAAATTTTTCTAGGTTTTCCTCTCTTTCTACGTCCCGTCGGTCTACTTTCCCACATTTTTTGGATAGGCACTGTCGAGTTCAATCTCTGCAAATGTCCCCACCATCCTAGCTGCCTCTGCTCTGTGTACTCCTTTACTCGCTTGACCTTTAATTCGGCTCTAATATCGTCATTTATAATTTTATCCTTTCTTGTTACTCCCTTGACTCTCCTCAGGTATTTAATTTCAGCGGCATTCACTTTACTCTCTTGTCTTTCGGACAATACCCATGTTTCACATCCATATATCAGGATCGGTCTGTTCACATCCTTGTAGACTTTTACTTTTGTATTTCGTGACACTTCTTTGTCGTTGATTAGTCCTTTACTCAGTGCGTGGTAAACCTGATTAGATTTGTCCAATCTTGTATTGAGTTCAGCTTCGTGATTACCTTTCTCTTATTAACTACTAACCTGTTCAATTTCTATTCGTTCGTGTTTCTATTTTCTTCTGTCACTACCATGACCTTAGTTTTAGCTGTATTTATTTTCATTTCATTTTTTTTAGTGTGTTATTCCAAATATTCAATTTACTTTGCAAATCTGCTTCAGTTCCCGATATGAGCTATGTCGTCTACAAATAGGCATTCTGAAAGGATGACACGTTCCAGATTTCTATAGCCCGCATAAAATGGTCTTAATCCCTATGTTGAATAACCGAAAGTTCAACCTTCCGCCTTGTCTAACCTTGTTCTTGTTCTCTTATACAAAGTTTATGCTACTTTAATTAACTTATTGTTGACCTTTCTTTCAATTAGGCATTTTCATATTTTTCCAAAATTTGTTGTCTCTCTGTCTGTCAGGCGCCTAGTAATTTCCTTGATGGTCCTGACTGCATCATCCTTTTCTGAAGCCGCTTTGTACTTCTGAAAGTTCCTTAGCGTATTGTTGTCTACTTTTTTGAATATACTCAATATTAACCCCATTTCCCAATGAATTGCTTTTTTCCTTTGGACATAATTGTGTTTCGCTTTCACCCATGTATTTAATCATTTCAGTTGTAATTCTGTCGCAGCCTGGCTTATATACAGAAGTTTGTGTTTTGTTTAACGCAAAATATCCGTAAAGAAGTGGGTAAAATTTTAAATTATCTAAATTTTGTGGTATTTCCTTATACACTCTTGATTTTTAATATCCTCAAAGGAAAAAATTAAATGGAATAATCTGGAGATCTTGTATCTTGATCTATTTGACTATTCGCACATGTATAATATAAAAAGAAATAAGATCCAATATTTTTATATTTCAGCCCAAACATTTATTTTTTGTGGATTTTGTTTATTTTCGGTGCAATTTGTGTACAAAATGTGGCTTCATCACTAAATAGTATCTGAAGATGAAAACATCAACTTAAGTTGCACATTTCTAATCGTTTTGGACGACCTGGCAGTAGACGATCTTTTAGATGCCCTGTTTCTAAAAATTTTTGCTCAATTTTACTCAATGTGAATCTTGTACTGGCTCATTCTGGGTATGTTGCGTTAAATAAATTACAAAACTTCTTCTTAAAGCCTCTTTTTTATCTCGATATCCAATAAAAATTAAAATTTCCTGAGTTTCATTTATCATATTCACTTTACTGACAGAAATTAATTGTAGCAACAATCAAAGAACTTTTAAATTAAAAATTAAATTTCTGTTTTTAATTCTTTTGTTCGTAAAAAGTAAGAGATAAGTAAAGGATATTCTATGTAAATTATTAAAAAAAGGAACTTGGTTTCGACAACTACTTTGTGGGCCATCCTGTATATTTTCTGTTTACTGAATATGCATATTATGTACACAGCGGTATCAAGAAATTAAGGAAAAGCAGCTTTCTATGATATTTATCCACTTCGACGAACAAATCTTGGCCGCGAACTCAACATTTCAATCGCTGTGAGGGATTAAATAAAAGCCGAATGCAGACCATTAACAAAAGAAATCTCGTCGAATTATAGAAAACGTATCGAGCATAAATTATCGCAAGGATTTATTCTTTAATGCGGTGTTTGTTATTCGTGTTAGATGCGGTCCCGTGAAATCCCGTGGAGAATAACAGCCCTAAGCAGCAGAAGAATAGTCGTTCGGCATGCAGAAAGACGAGGAATCCCCGGGAGGTGCACGCATCGTCGGTTTAGTTCAAATCAAGGCCACCCCGAAAGTAGAATAAAACTCTTCTGGAAGTTCTTTCCGAGGTATTTGCTTATTACTTAACTCACGCTCGGATGTGCGGCTAACATAAAAAAATTGACAGTGTAAGACAGGTGATAATTTTTATTAAGCAAAATAGCTATTTACATGTCGAGGGATAGAAAAGGGGCTCGTCCTCTTAAGGTACCGGGTGCCTTATCATAAATGAATATTGATCCTAAGAAGGGATTTCAATTAGCAAAGTCTCTGCTATCACAAATATAGACTACACAGGACGATCCGTTAGTTAGAAAAACACATAACACATATAGAGTTAGACATAATCTGCCTTATCTGATAAGAAATATAAACCAACTTTCTTATTTTCCTACTTGATTGCAGAACTTTCCTTGACTATATCATTTAGTCCCATCAATTTTTACATAGTCAAATTCTGATCTATTTGCTCTGATCAAAGAAAAGGCCTTGTAATGATTATGAGTATTCACAATAATTAGCAAACTGCCCTACGCAAGTGATCTTACCTCAGGTCAACTATCTCCATGAACTAGGAGAACATTATGATCAGCAAGAGACATAGTAATTAATAGAAATTAATGACAACATTGCATTGATAGAAAGCAGTACCAGATATCAAGCACAGTTCCCTGTGAAAATTTATGTCCATTGAAATTTTCGGTTTATTTTGTGAAGTAAATAAAGTCTAAAAAATAAATAAATAAAAGACCTATGAAACTTGGTTCGATATACACAATACAGTATTCTTAGGATTGGTCAGGTGTTTTATCGCAGTCGGCAAGTTATTTCAATAATTACCTTGAAAAGCCAAGACAATATACTTTGAGCCCACTGGATAACTAAACAAAAAAATATTCAACAGAATAAAAAGTGTAAGGTGTTATCGAAATTAAAGCCTTTTTAAATAAATGAATCAAATAAATAAATTTTCTAAGAAAGGTTGCCCCAAATGTTTTGCAAATGGACAAAATCCAATTCCAAATTTATTATACCGGTCTTTTCGTTACTTGGTAACAATTTTTGTGGAATTTTCAGGTAACTACTTCACTGTTTCGATAGTACTTTTTCGAGAAACAAGAGATGCCGTAACCAGAATTACCATAACCCTTTTGATTTTTGAGATACAGTCTGTCTGTGAAAGCTTTGCATTTTGGGACACCCCTTGCGTCTCGGTTGTTTTTTACCCAAAATTCAATGGCATACTCAACTTTTTTCTATCCTCAATTATTTTCGAGTAATATTTTAGTGTAATACGATTGAGTTTGTCAAAAACATTTGAAAAATATATAAAACACTATGGTTGTTTTCAATATTAAGCCAAAAAAATCTTTTTTGTTATTTCGCTGGGCAGGTTATTTTAAACAAAGAAAATAATACAGTCCTGTCCATATAGTTATTAGACGGCCCTACTACGGTAAAAACGGATGCGCCGCAGGTGGTGTTGATATTTTCGTAGAAAAGGTAATGATTTTCCACTCATGCCCCCAGATTTCACCCACTAACCTGCACTTTGCCCATTTTTATTGTTGTTTTTTTTGTTTTCCCATATCATTTAACAAGATGTAGCCATATTTGCTTAAAAACGAGATTTTAAATCTTCCGCATGCACATGTTGAATGGACCTCCTCAAAGAAATTTTTATGGTTGCTTCATAAATTTTTCTATTACAGGCATTAACCAGGTCCCATATCTGTAGATGCTATATCGTCTTGTCATATTCAAAAATTCTTGAGTTTCTGTTTCTGCGATTTGTGTTGTTTTTAATTTGCGTTAAAAATTTAAATTAAAAGTTCAAAATCAGCTATGGCAGTCAACATGAAATTTTAAAACTTTGAAAAATGGGACATGCCAGAATGTTTATTCAGTGTAACGAAAATGCAAATGAAGCTTGAGAAGTATATTTTAACAGGTTTGTCTTTTCTTCTAGTCAAAAATTATTCGCTTCAATCAAAAAAAATTATTAAATTACGCGTTCAAACCATCTTTAAAAAAACGAATTCAAGCCACATAAATTTCATCAAAATTAGTATTTAGAAATTATTGAAAACAGTAGACATAATAATTTATATTTGCAACAAGAGGGAGCTCCCGGTCACAATGAGCAAGTTTTAGATGCATATCATAACAGTACTTTCCCTGGCCACTGGAATGGAACAAATGGACCTATAAGATGGCCACCTAGGTCATCCGATTTATCGATTTTGGATTTCTTATAATGGGGATAATTACAATGTAAAATATATACTGTTCAGTACGAAGCAATGATATATTTGAGAAATGCCACCGAAATAGCTTTTAGACAAGCGTGACCAGTTATAAAATCTATATGTGCAACATGTTTAAGACATAATGGCGAAAGCATCACTTGTGATCCAGTTCCATAAGCCATTAATTTAAGATTTTTCTTTTGCATAATTAAACTGAAGTTCATTGTTTTTTTTTTAATTTTTTATCAATAATGACTAGACTATTGTATTTTAGGTCTAAAAATATTTATTTTTTTAGAGGATTTTATGATAACCTTATATTGTTTCAAAACTTAAATATTAGCCATAATATTAAAAAATAGCGTTTTATATATTTTTCAGGTCCTCTTGACAAACTCAATCATAGTATCCAAAAATATACAGTGCGACAAATACAAAATTTCTTTGGTTTATTTCTCGAATATAATTGAAGATAGAAAAAAATCCAACAGAATTCAGCGTAAAAAAACGGCAACAAACCCACTTTGAAATATCCAAGATAAAAGGAGTATCCTCAAAATGCAAAGCTGCCAAAAACATCCCGAATTTAAAAAATAAGAAGTATCATAAAAATATGTTTGCGGCATCTTTGTTTCTCGAAAAAGTAGCAAAGTGTCGCAAAAGCCGCATATACCCGGTATATATGTTGTTACATTTTATTAGCTGCAAGAAATAGACGTTCTACAGTTCTTCATAATATAAAATATGTCCTATATTTGGGAAGTATTTAAGAGAAATATGAATAAAATTATGAAATTTTCTCATTAAATCTCGAAAAAAAAAACAATATATATTGGTGTGAATTTTCTTTCTATTTAAGTATTAGTTCGCTATATTTTGATATATTTAATTTTTTGAAGAATTTTGCAATTTTCCATTATACCAAAAAGCGCGCTCGAGCGGTATCACTGCAATTAGAAATATTACAAATAAGTTTGGATTAATGAAGCAATAAATTATTTTTCTCAAGAGATCAGATTTATAAAAATCCGTTCAGTCGTTGTGAAGCCCACCTAGAAAAATCACTGTAATTTTGGAAGTCTGAAAACATTTTGCGCATTCTTTGGCTACGTTAGTAATACAATTTTTTAACTGAAAATGTCTACAGCGAATAGTTTCCAAATTATACACCACTTTGATTTCTTATCCTCTACAAATTAATATATATTTTTTGTTTTTTTTTTCTTCTTTATTTTGTGTGTCACAAATATATAACATACGGGGTATCACAGAATTCCAGCATATTCTTTGTATCAATATATTTCGAATTGTCACCTATGCCCTAAAGTCAAAACTTATGATATAAATAATTTTATTTTTATTTTTACTGTTCCGGTGAGAAGCATTACGTTTCTTGGAAATTCTTAATTAATTGCCACATATTTTAATTTGAAACAGGAGTTATAACACTAGTTTTCTCTATTACAAAATTAAAGCACACTTTGATTGGTTTTTGTTCAGTTAACAATTGACATCATAGTAGGCAAAGCATAAATTTTGATATTTTACATTCATAATTTGTGTTTATTTTTCATTCCATAATTTCTGCTTATAATAAGCCTAATAAAATTATAAAAATACGTATAGGGTGTTCCATTAAAAAAACATACTACTTTGGTTTGTATATCAAAATTTGTAACTTTTATCCATGCCAGTTTTCACATTTTCGATAAGCAAAGAGTGCCTAAAAATGCGACAGTTTCCGAATTACCCTATATCTAAAAAAAACAGAGATATGATATTTCTGTTTAGGAGATCCTCCGCAAAACCATCAAAAATGGGACAGACTGTACTTAAACAATGGTTTTATAGTCAAAACCGACATTCTCCGCTTGAAGACGACCGAAAATCGAATATTCGACCTCGCTTTGATTGTCAAAACGGGAAATAAGCGCGAGAGTGCCGATGTCAGCTCATATTCTTAGCACAACAATGGGCAGCAATCGGTACGTAGTCAAGTGCCATTCAAACCATTGTGATAAGGAGTGATAAGACAACAGTCCATTATATTGGGGGTGTCCGGTAACACCTACAGGGGAACGACGGGGAATGGCAACGAGGGTGCTAAGTGGTAAGGCAGCTGACGCGAGCCAAATTATTTTCCACTCGGGCCCTTTTATTACGGAATAATGAGATTGGAAGTTTGTTTTTATTATTTGTTAATTTTATGCCGCGGATTCATTGTGAAGGAAATTGAGTAATCTCGGGTTTTGTTTTTTAACGAGTCACGAATTGGATGCTGATGCACAATGCGTTTTCGGTTTCCTCAAAGGTTGAGATTGTAATACGAACGCAAAGTCCGTACCGCTCCTCTTTTAAGGCATTTTTCTTAAGAAAATATCTATCGCATAATAAGGTAATAATAAACTTTTACCTAGGTCACTATTTTTAAATTTTACGGAATAGAAATATGTGGGCAAATGGCCAAAAGTGAGCGTGTCTCCCTAAAATGTTGAAATCCAGGATTCTTTTATTTAGGAAACAGGGGACTCCCCACGAAAATACCTATTCTGTTGGAAAAACGAGAAAATTATACCTTGCAAATTTATTTACTACTAAATTAATATTTCCAAAAATCGCAATAATCATAGAGGAGCTATTTAGACTGAAGGAACCTCTTGTCCAACAACTTATAGACTTGGCCACTAATATTTGAGGCGTTTCTGTTATGCAGAAAAATCATCAGAGAATCTTATTCAGCGCTAAATATTTTGGGGTTCATTTTATTAGATCCGGGAGTAAATACAAGGTATTTTTTATTAGGTACGATAATAAAATCCAATAGTGGCATTAGTTACTGGGCCATTCTTCTTCGTTGCAAAGGTATTAAAAAAGATAAGTTTAAAACTTTGCAAAAAGCGCAATAGAGTTGGAAAGAGACTAAAATTAAATGGAAATGAAGAAACTTGAAAGTAGACCTTTTGAAATCTTTTTTACCAGTACAGCAACAAAGAATCTGATTTTATTATCATTGTTTTATATCGTCAAACTTTTTCATTTGATTTTAAGAAGGTTTTTTAGGTTTCGCTAATCTCGAGGTGTTATTGTTTATTTTGTAATTTTTAGAACTGCAAAGAAGGGAATTAAATCATGTTTCAAAGTTTTAATACCCGTAGTTTAAACTGAAGTAAGCGTAAGATTAATAAATTATTGTTTTAATATCTGTTGTTAGTCCCGTGACGTTTTAATTTTGATGATAAAGGCCGACTCACTCCAATTATTAAGTAGTAGAAAGAAAAAACGAAGAATATTCGACGCGCAGACTACTCAGTATTTTCTGTGGTCTATTACTATTTTTCTGTACGCTGTGGTGATTCTTTGGGAAGTATTGCACATGGCACGTTTTAGCTAGTCCGTTCCCTTTAGAATCCTCTGCAATTTTTTCTAAACGTTTTTTGTCGATCTGCATTAAGTTTTAATAGTTAGTAGTGACCCTAGTGCTTGTTTGAGTGTATTTGTGTCGCACGTTTCCCCCGTTATTGTTATTCACGCCGGTTGGAAACTGGCTGGCGGAGGCAAGGAGTAACCGTTTTTTGGAATCGTTCCAAGTCAAGTGGAAACTAGAGTTTATTTGTTTGCAAAATCAAGTTGTGGTAATGGGCGAGTGTCACCCTAATATTTTGTCAATTGCGATTTATATTTTAAAGAAGAAGAAATAATCTGTGGTCGATGACGTAAATTATATCCATTAAACTATAAAAGGTAAAATTTGTCATTACGGATTTTCTCAGTCTGTAGTACTTATTGACGTATTTTATCCAGGCACAAATAAATTTATCCAAAATGGGCAAGGGATTTAATAACTACATGTGCAAGAAGTTCTTTCATCCCGCATCAAGAGATAATTTGAAACGGGTAAAATATTTTTTTTTAATCCTAGCTGTAATGAAGTTATTTATTGCTAAATATATTTTTTAGGTATGGATGGCAGAACAAAAAGCGGAAGCATACAAAAAGAAACAAGAAGAACTGAGGCAGCAATATGAAAAGGAGCAAGATCTTCACGAGAACAAAGCAATGCTTAGTAAAGAGAGTAAAGACAAGTTGGCTGTAAACTTCATGTATGAACCACCACCCGGGGCCCGGAAAGAGAGAGAGAAAGAAGATGATGAGCCTGAATATAAATTTGAGTGGCAAAGAAAATATAATGCCCCTAGAGAAAGTTATTGCAAAGGAGATCAAGAAATTCGAGATCAACCTTTTGGAATACAAGTCCGAAATGTTAGGTGCATTAAGTGTCACAAATGGGGTCACATAAACACAGACAAAGAGTGTCCAATGTATAGTCTATCAATGAGTGCGGCAAGGTCACTTGAAAGCAACACTATTATGGATCAGAAATCACTTGTTGCACAGATGCTTGAAGATGGGTTAGCATTGAAGAAGAAACATGTCAATTCAGTTGAAGCAAACAAACATTTATTAGTTGGTGAAAATGAAGAGGAAAATTCTGAAGCTGTATTCCTAAAATCTTTAACGAAGAAACAGAAGAAGGCGCTTTTGAAGTAAGTGTGATAATTAAAAACATTCTATACCTATACAGAAGCAGTAGTGAATGTCATGTGTGAATGAGTTCCCCACGGCTCTATTTTTGGACTTTTCTTATTTTGTGCTATAACATAAAATGAAGGTGTAATCATGAATACTGAGTTAAATTGTGAGCAACATATAAAAAGTTATATACAAAAAGCTTGTATTTCAAGTGCACTTGTAGTTGACACATCCTAAATTTTGATTAAAAAAAACTTGTTAATCATTAGTTTTGTTAAATTTTAATTATGCAGATTTTCTTTATAAATTCAAAATATGCATTGTTGTTTCACCTAAAACCTTATTGAAATTCAGTGGTTGAACATGTCGAATAGAAGGCTGCTTCACTCAGGTACTTTATTTCATGCATATGATAAACTTTTTCTGTTAATAATTTAGAGAAGTGTGATGTACAGGTTAATTTAGAGTTATAGAGCTATTGACTAAACTTTGCCTGTTAGTTGGGACGATAGCTTGTTGATCAATGGTTTAATGTTTTGAAAAACTGAAAAATAAAACATTTATAAATGTGTATGCTGGCTCACACAAAATAAAGAACCTAATCTCTCACAACACAATATGACACTTCAGTACAATCTGTTCCCAATATCTATATCTCACATATTGTCCACCTTCAGCTATTATTATTTATGTTTTAGGAAACTTGAAAAAATTGAAAAGGAAGAGATCAAAGCCAAAAAGGAAAAAGATAAAAAGAAGGAAGAAGATAGCAGTGATGATAGTGACAATGATTTCAAAAAGTCAAATAGATACAAGAAAAGTCACAATCAGCCAAAAAGGAGCAACGAAGACAGTATGAGGGGATATAGACCACCTAATGAAAGCAGTGATGGGAAAAATTACAATAAGAGATCCCTTAGTGATGAAAGATCAAGAACACCAAGAGAAAGTGAGCATAGATATAGACGGCCTGATGACAAAAGATACAAAAGGGAAAGATCCAGAAGTCCAATGGGTAAAAGAGAAGAAAAATTGAAATCTTCAGATAACTATTATAAAAAACGTCGGAACACATAAAGATTATCTTAAATGTACTCGTATAAAAACTATATAATATTATAATATAAAATGTTAGTTGTAAATTGGACAAAATTAAATTACTTCTTAAAGATTTAAAAATTGGTAAACTTCTTCAGTACGAATGTAATTAATTACCAAAAAAAGCAGGCCTGTTTTCATTAATACTTAGTTATAGAAAAATTGTGTCCTTATATTATGTTAAATCTTGTAAGAGTACCCTACCTTCCTATCTAAAACTGGTCTTCCTAGTTATTGTATTTCTAAATATGTATGTATTCTAAAAATTGTAAGTGGTATTCACCTTGAAAGTGAGACAAATTTTCATTGAAAAAAAAAAGGCAAATTATTTCATGTTTTTAGAAATAATAAATGCTTTGTTTTCCAAGGCAATATTGATGATTACTAAATTGTATTTTTATATAAACGAAAATTAATTTTACATTTCATGCAGATTAAAGATAAAAACATGAAGGAAGGTTCATTGGTAATATAAAATATTTTACACTCTTAAATTTGATGTTTAAAATTAAAAGTGCATCTGAAAATAGGGGAATAATTTCAAATAAAATCAATTTAGCATTAACATGTATATTTGGTGAAAACGAATCCATGAAAATAAGCTAGGACAACATACTAATATACCACAAGCCCAAGCATTCTCGTGGAAAAGATATGACCTAATTAGGCAATCCTTGGTGGAGTTGCTTGCTCTTGTTATATAACATAAACCAACTTTTGTTTTAAGAAAATGAAATATAACACCAAGACGATTCAAAATCAATAAAAAGAATCACCATCAAATTTTAATTGTCGTTACTACTGTGCACACCTCTACTGATCTAATTGTATATACAAATTGTAATTGGCATAAATCGATAGAATTTTGTGACTACAACATGAGAGAGTTATACCAAATGTCTTAAATCATACAAAATCTACACTTACAAAATATAATCTAATTCATATCTAATATACTGATTTTTAGGATCGTTGGCGATTCTCGGGTAACCGGCCACTAAAGAATCTTGTCCGCCGATATAAAGAGAATTGTAAATTTTCCAATAAACGTCCCGCACTTTCCTCGCCGGATGGAACAGACCCTACATTTAAAAAAAATTAAATATAAGCTTTTGAAATTATAATTTATGCCACTTACCTGAAGAGTGTATTGCAAAATCTTGATTGGGCCAAGAGCCACTCTCATTCCTTCTATCGCGTCCATAAAAGCTTGCACCAGATGGGGCGATGTTTCGAATATATTTGGCCAGACGTAGTTTAACAGATGAATGAGGGCATCTTCACATCCGAAACCATATACCCCCAGTGCCATATGCTTAATTGCCGCACAAGCAGTTTGTCTGTGCACCAAGTCTCGATCCATTAAAGCATCTTCCAGCAGTGGAGCCACCGCGTATATATAATCCTTACCTGAAACGAGAACCGCATAGTAAGAAATAACTCTTAAACTATTTTGAAAATTAAATTTTTTACAGCGTCATCAAAAAAAAAAAAGTATGTCTAGAGGAATTGGAGAATTCCGACATGGGATTTAATGTCGATTCGACCAAAAGGCCCTTAATATTTACCGACCGACACACCGATCATATTCTAAATGCACAAAAATTTTGACCTGGCAGAGGAAGAGGAGAGAAGTACCTTTTGTGATTTAAGAAGTGTTTTTTTTCTGATTGCCTAGAAAGAACTTACCCATTTCGCCAATGTACTCGAACAAAAATGACAATGATTTCAACACGCCATTTTGGACGTTTAACTCTGGAACTCTGTATTCGTTCATCAACGCGGGCAACACGGTAAACGGCGAGCAAGTTTCCGCGACGATGGCGATAGCCACAGTGGTGCAAACTCGGTTTTGACGTTCTTGCACCTTTAAGTTGTTTAGCAGCGTCGCCAGTACATCGTGAGGGCCGATCGCCTTTGCTATATAACCGAACGTGTTCACCGTCGCTCTGCGGATCGCCTTTTTATGGGCCTTCAGCAGCTCCAACAACTCGAAGCAAATTCTCATCCACTCTCTCGCGGATACATACTCAGGCCCCCTGTCGGCGATACGCCCGACCAAATCGATGCAGTTTTCTTGCACCTTTTCGTGTCTGTTCTTTAAAATCGGCGTCAGGCGAGGCAGCAAGTCTTTTATGGGAGGAGTCATCTTAGTCATACCTGAAAGTTACAAGTTCGGATCAGCTGACAATTTTCGCACTACCAATTACCACCGAACAAAACAGGGCAAAAAAAGGCAGGCACGCCCTCCAATTCCGCTCGTCTCTCTCACGTTTTCTTACTAAGAAAAACGTGCCGGACGGCACTGTTGTTATGTATCATATGGAGGGACGTACAAGGTGGTTAATTACAGTAAGTATTGAATTGATCTTTTAATGGTGTGTTATGCAACAAGTTTTAAGTCAGTTTGATGCTAACTGAATAAATTTTTAATAAAAAACATTCAATATAGGGCGGATATTTTTTGGATTAGAAAGTGATCAGTTGAAATTTGAAAACAATTTTCTTAATGATATTGATAATTAATAGATTCGAAACACTCATAAATTTCATACTCCAAAAACAAGGTAACAGGAACCCTTAATTACTAAAAATAAGTCAATGCGATTTGAACAAATATTTTATTTTATTTTATTAAGCTTCGAGCATATTTTATGCGTAGCATATGCATGACACGTAGTAGTTACCTTAATGATCTTCAAAGAAAACTACTGCATGTACCAGCATTTTTGTATTTTACTATTCTTACATTTTTATATCTCTGAGGGTTTTAAAGTAAAAAACATTTTCATTGTTCATGTTGCTTTAATAATTTTGATTTTGAAATTATTAAGAAAATCTCAGAATCTTTGCTGTGAACTAATTTTTTCGTCTTGTGCTGTTTGGCAAAAATGTACCCAATAAAACTAACGGGCGTAGAAAAAGTATATTATGCCACACGTTTGTTAAACTTTTTAAATCACTCGTTTACTAAACACTCGCTCCGCTGCCCACCGCTAGACTCAAATGCCTAGACTCAAAAAATATAAAATCTTTAATGCGTCAACATTGTAATGGCTTCTGGCACCATCTTTTGTATGTGATCGACAGAAGATAATTTAGAATCTAATAAAACACCCAAGTCATGAACAATGTCCACTAACGATGATACAACACATTCGAGACACTATTTTTATTAATTTTGTGCGGGGTACTTTTCCAGATGATTTAAAATCATTAGGGATTTAATTATTGATAGTATTGTGCTGAGCAGGACGAACGTGCCTTGGTTAATAATCTATTGGATTTTTCTAGCTGATATGGTAAATAAAATCAAAGTACTCCAACATTAAACTGGAGATGTTCTGAAACTGTAACTTGCCGAATAGAACTTTTTAATGTAGCTTTTTTTGAAATGGCGACCTCTCGAGTAGTTAGTGATTTTGTTAGAAGCAAGAACCTTTAGCGGTACTGAAAGAAAATGTAGTTGCAGTGATGAGTCACTTACTTTTGTAATTTTTATTGATTAAGCTTGTAGCGAACTAGAGACGTTTAAATAAGAAGAACGCCTAATCATATTTGGACGTAATAAACTATTGGCGGGCAAATGTTAATAACACTAATAAAGAAAAAACAATTTTTTTTGAGGTTTCGCTAACAATTAATTGGAATTGTTTCTAGTGTTAGTTAATGTTGAGGCTGTTCAATTGACCACTTCTTAATTAACTAGTCATATTCGATTAAAATGTTTTACATAACATATTGCAATTGTAAAGTGTTATCTATCATTATTTAATAATAATATAAATAAATAAAAATTAATTTCATTGTATTTTTAAAATTATTTCAGTCAATTGACACAAACAAAAATTGACCGGTCAATTCCACAACGCTAGTGTTCGTCAAGATCGTTTAATCAGTATTTTTTTCATCTATGAATTATAAGATACGTAACTTTCGTGTTAAAAAATAATTGGGAAGTCTTTGTGGTATACAAAACAATAAGTTCGCTAAAACAGTGTTTTTCATATTTGAGCTTATTAAACGGAGGTTTGCGCGACTTAGCAACCGCAATCGCTGTCATTTTCTAATCCCGCCCAACGATCCAGTGGCACAACAAGGATTTTATACGAAATTTTTGGAGCAATTTTTCAGGAACACCAACCAGCAATTTTTATAACGACTAAATTATATGATGTCATAACAAGTAATACTATGGGTTAGAACACGAGATATGAGTTAATAACGTAAACATTGTCGAATTTAAGCTTAAATCAGCTAAAAAAAATTGTTTTTAACAATTTTTAGAAAATCCATTCAATAGGCGCATGCACGAGATTTTAATTCTCGTTTTAAATTCTGGCTTTAAACGAATAAGGCCCAAGGGCATTCAATAACCAACATGGCCGCTGACATGTAGTCAATACATTTGGATGCGGAATTTTTAAATTTTTAAACCTTCCGGAAAAAAACGGTAAGTGGATATCGTGTTTTAGAAAGAAAATTACGCAATGTGCTGGTTAGTGGGTGAAATATAAAGGCATGGGCGTATCAATTTTTAAGTAATGTGATCACTTTATTACCTAATAACTATGCGCCCCCACGACAAGAAACCACCAACCAAAAGTCACTCTTCTTGCCCTATTTATGTTTCTTGAAATTACTTACCAATGACATTAACGATCGCCTTAAGGGCGCCGAGTATGGATCCCAGCACCTCGGGATATTCCTCTCCCAAGTACTCGTACAATACCACACCCAAGTGACCCATCAACTTTTCTTCCTGGCAAGTTTTCATGACCACAGCTATTCTCGATATTAAATCCGCGGCTTGTTGTCGCACTTTTGCTGATTTATTGTTCAAGCGCCAGAGAATAGTACCGCAAATCTGCGGCAGGTAGGGCTTCACCCTTTTGCCCAGCTGATTGACGATGGTACCGAAACCGTTGAGCATCACTACGTCCTCAGTCGTCTGTTCTTGAAATGCGTACAGGATGCCGTCGATCAGTTGTTCTTCAAGTCGGGAGTCGATGTCGGCGGCGCCCAAATTGCCCATTATTTTTTCAATACTTTCCATAACCATTTTCCTATACTGCTCGTTTTCGTCTTTTAAGTCATCCACGATTCTGTTGATTATTTCGGATGCTCCTACTTTGTTTGCGATTTCGACCGTGGTGTCGACTAATTGCCTGAAAATAAAGCAATTCAAAGTAAACTTATAGAAAGTTCCATTAGTATTCGAGATTTTAGCAGTTTAGTAAGCCATAGCGACCACGAAATTAATTTGTCATGAAATTTTGTCATTGCCGATAACGCAAGACTCAATACTTCAGGTGTATGATTAAAATTAATATAGATATATTGAGAATATTTCCCAGGCTTAAGAGCAATGGTTTTCAGTTAAGGAGTTTATCAGATTGTGTGTCACAGGGTCGCCTTTTTTGGCACTGTTTCCCTATATTATGCCCTATGTTATGTTTGTTCTTCAGAGGAGAGTCATCTGAATTTTTGCTGGTTTGAGTTTTAGGGATGATTACAGATATGTAGTTGAGTACATTATTATTTATTTATTCTTGATAAATAAAGCAGAAATAAAGCAGCAATCAGTAGGGAGCATAGAAAGTGTTTAAACATCAAAGTTTTAATGCACTGGATAAGAAAGATTAGAAAATATGTTAGATTTGAATGGTGGAGTGTGGAAATATAGTTTGTATAATAATGAAATCAGTGAACTAGTGGGACTATGTTTTGCAACTAGATACTCATAAATGAAATCTTTGCCTTCGTGGCTTTACAAATGCAAATAATTTAAATTAAAAATATAAAAAGAAATAAAAATATAACAAAAAATAATTATAGAAACGAAAAAACTTTCTTTTTTTTTTTTCATTTTAATTGAAACTGCTTTAGATGCTTTGCTGATTGTTTGGTAAAGGCTCATAATGGGTAGAAACAATATTCACCTTGTTTAATTCAAGTTTTTATATTCAACAGTACATTAAGTTACAATAGTTACATTATGTGCATTTTAATTTTTTCGCTTCGACGGACAAACCAAAATTCCAAGTTTAAAAATGTAATTTAACTTTTTCAAACAGTGGCGTACCATATATAAGAAAAATAAAGCGATTGCGGACTTACATATTCTTTAATCATCCAATGAATTACCCTTAAAGATACGGTCTATTCAAATTTTAATACAAGTTAAATACAAGGTAAATCAATGAAATATCTTTTTTTTAAAGTTCGGAATTATACAAATATTGAAGAAAAATAATAATCAATATCTACCAATGAGAGCGTGTTTAACGAATTTGAACCGATGTTTTATTTTTAAAACAATTTTTGATTTTAATTTTATAATACGATTTTTTTGTGGACATCTCTATTGTAACAAAAAAAATATGAGATCGCGCTTACCTATAGTTACGTCTATCTAGCGCCATTCTATGATTCCAAAAATGCTTGAAGAATTGGGGAAGGATTTCCTCTTTAATATACTGAGGCTCCACACCGTCGGTCGAACAACACTGCTTCACCACCTTCAACACAATTTTCTTCATTTCCTCATCAGGAGATTGAAATTCTCTGATCAAAATCAACATTACTTCCCTTGTGTAATAATTGGCATATTCGGCATCCATAAGGGGAATCAAATAACCAATAGCCTTTAAAAAGGCTGCCAAACCTTTACCGCGATGAGTTCTTATACCTAAAATATATTAAAATAAGCGAGGTTTCTGAGGTTGAAAAGATTTGCTGATGGAACATACCTTTCCATAAAGGTTTCAGCACCGAATCGAAACTCTCGATACCATATGGAGTAGCAGCTTCCGCCAAAGCGGCGATACCGAGGGCGGTAATGGTCCTTACCTTCTGTTGTTCGTCTACCAAGCCATGTTCGATAATCTCCACCAGAGACTTCAAATGGGGCAATATCGCACAACCCATTAGGATTGCAATTTGTTGGACGATTTTTATGCCAGTGTGTCTAGCCTGCCACGATTTTTTTGAACGACAAACCGCTTTTAAAAACGGAAGCAATGACGGAATTCCTAAAAATAAGACACATGCTCTGATATACCCGTTCTGTAGTACTAGCACTCTGAGAAACGTAGCATTTAAGTGTTTAGGCATCTGCCAATATTGCTACATTTTCTTATAATTGCTTAGTTTAAACTATACTTGAACACAAAAAAAAATGTGTGAAAATTCTTACGTCACCAACCCAATATCTGCAATGAGACTGATGTGGCCATTTTCACAATTTTCTCTAGCATTATTTCTTGTTAACTAAGTTTTCTGTGAGCAGAATTCGAAAAGTAAATGTTTACAAATATAAGTTTAGTAAATTTTCATGATTTCTATTTTTTGCTTGACAACGAAGCAAGATACGAAAAGAACAAAAAACCAAAGAAGTTGTACTTTTAGTGACTTATTGAAAGTAAATAACAAAAATTGCACAAAAAATGTCAGTGGCATACATTTATTTGGCTATAATATTCATTAAGGTACCTACTGGGATAGCAATGGACTAATGCAGTTGCCAAATTTCAACAAAATCGTGAAAAACAATTTTTTTTTAACAAATTTAACACCTTGGAAACTAAACATTTCCGGAACTTCGTTTATATAAACTTTTTTTATTTGGTTTTTGGAAAGCGAATCTCCACCGGACCGGCGTTGTCACACGATTTTAACTCTCTAAATCTTACAAATTATTTAATATTACCAGGCAAAAATTATGCCAGGAAAATATTCAAATATCCGAAAATTTATAAAGGTTGTTGAAAGAATAATTAAAAAAAAAACAAAATTGATAATCGTTATGATTACAGTTCGACAGGGTATATGAGTTTATTGAAGGCGAGTATAAAAATAAACACTTTTTTAATAGGGAAAACATTTTTCAAATAATTGCCATTTTGTCCAGGATTAAATCACTGTAAATGCTCAAGGATAGTAAAGTAGTAATTATTTTTTTGCTAAATTGGTTTAATAATTAAATAAATTCTAAAAAATGGAAGTAACAATTCAATTAAATTTAGAAAAACCCTAAGGTCTACCTAAGGTTCGATACAGCAATGGTTAAGGTAAAAATGAGTTTTTTTGTAATGTACTAAACTAAGGATGACCAAATAAATTTTGTTAACTATACAACCATGATATTTTTTTTAAAAGGTCCATTCAATATGCGCAAGATTTAAAATGTCGTGACCATTCGACAACCAAACATGGCCGCTGACAGATCATGAATAAGTTTGAATGTTCTGGGAAAACAATTAAGTATGTGGGAATGGCAAGTTAGAAGGTTTTTTCCTATTTGGACGTATTAAACTAGTGGTGCCGAAATCTTGTTAACACTAATACTGAAACAAATTATTTTAAGTGTTTGATTTTATGAGATTAGCAATGTCCATGTTAAAAATATCTGAGTTTATTAAATGCTGGGTTGCTCGATTTGGCAACCCAGCACCACAGACAACATTATGGCCTGGCTGATCGCTGTATTTTTTTAAATTAAATCATATGATATCATTCCAATAATGGGATGACACATCTTATATTCTCCACCAATATCCAAATAATGGAACATTCATATATCACGAAAGTCTACCAGAAATTTTTATCTACAGAGATGCCGCCGCCTTACTACTAGTTATTTGCTATAAAAAACACAAAACCGAAATGATATTTCTGGTTGCATCCCAGCGATGCGAGTCTATGCTAACGATTTATTTGGTAGATTGGTCAAACGAAAAGTGTGCAGATTTTTAATCTCACAATTCCAAGGGAACCGACATGCAGAAAATCTATACAGCACGTAGGAACGTACAAATCCTTGATGCAATTATTTTATAACTGCTCGCCTTACCATCATACAAGAAAAAACTATACAGGTTAAAAAAAAACGTTTTTTGGTAGGTATTATTGTATAATATTTATAATTAATTATAATTTCTCGAAATATCGTGCAAAGAAAAGCGATTTGAATTAGCGCGAATCATTTTAATTTAAATTGCAAATATTAGGTTTCAAGTTACTTTTAAATACGAAAAAACGATTTTTTCCAAAATAGGAAAGATTTTTTTTATCAATTTTTCTACACTTCTCCAAAACGAAGCGTTTTTGGACAAGTTTATGTGAACCGTTTTACCTATTTTTATCTGCTGAATACGCGGTTAAAGTTTCTTTATTATAATTCGAACCAGTCTGTATATTTCAGCGAAAAAACGGAGGAAACCCGTTTTCATTTAAAATTGATCAGGGTATCTAAATTTATTAACAAAAAAATGGCACTGGGTAAACAAAAACAAGTTTATCTCTGCTATAAATTTGTTTTTAAGTTCGAAAGGGAAAGCTAGAAAAGTTTTTTTTTGATAAAAAAAAGATTTTCTCGCAATTTTTGGACATTAAGTTTACTTATTTTAATCTGCTGAATTCCCTGTTAAAGTATCTTCATTATAATTGAAATTAAAAAAAAAATTGGTTGAAAGGTAAAAAAAATCTATACCACTCTATATAAATATTGTTTCACCTTTTCAATAGCTAATTTTCAAAAATACCCTACTATACCCTATACCCATTGTTGCGGAAATCACTACTATCAATATATAAAAATATCGGATATACCTATATACAAAAGTACCCAAAATGGAAGACCTTGTACTTAGTAAACTTACCCAACGCGGAAGCTACTACTGCGAAAGCACGAGCCGTAGTGTTTCTCACATATTCATCGATATTATCAATGTCGGGTCTCATGGTGGAAATCATGGTGGCCAAGCCGGCAGCCTTCGCCAAATTCGAAATGATCTCACGACCCTCCACGCGGGCGTAGTAATCTTCGTCGATGAGCAACGGTTCAATAACGACAAGGATCTTATGGACGTAAGGACGCACCAAGTCGTCTAGCTTGTACAGAATTCGATCGATCACTTTAACCAACAAGTGACGCTCCTGATCTTCCAGGGTTGGACTCATAAGCAAAGGAAGGATCTGGTTGAAGAGTGGACCGGCGCCGAATTCCCGCGCCTTGTCGGTGATTTGCCTCAAAGCGGCTTTACGCATCGGTGGGGTTCCGTTCTTGATTTTCAAAAGCAGTTTCATAATTTTGCGTTCTTTCTGTTCCTCCGGGCTCAAGGCGTCTTCATCCACGTCCACCAGGAGCTTGTCGAAATACTGCGCGTCCTCTGGCTTCATGAAGGGCAAGTTTTGACCTTTCGGTTGGTTATCCAGAAACTTCGCGGTCTTGTCTTCTGTTTGGATAAAGAAGCCTACAGGTGTGGATCCAACTAGAGGCGTCGGTGTTGCTGTCAGTTTCCTAGCTGGTGTTCTTATGGGAATGTAGCCAGCCGGTGGGGGTAACACCTTGTAGCCGGGAGGGAACATGGCGTCCAGTTCTTCGTCTGAATAAGGCCGATTTCTTTCATCGATCTCACGCTCCCATCTATAAGCTTGCAACTGTTCCGGAGTCATTGAAGCTAAATGCCCTACCAATTTATAAATCATATTAGTAAATTTTGTAAGAATTTAAGAGCCTGTGTTTCGATATTCAGGAATTTATGAAAAATAATTTCTTATACATCAACGCATCTGCAGTTTCATTGTCCTGTTCAAGACACTAAAAGAAATCACATGTAATCAATGTGTTCTTAAATGATTCAATGTACAACAAAATCTTAAAAAGAAAAACTGTAAATGTACCACCTATATGAAACAATACAAATTGCTATTGCTATTTGTTTGCGATCCTGGTTAATTATACAGGAAGATTCTCGACACCAAAATATTATCATTCAGCTCAACATGCCTCATACAAATGTTCCAGGGTGTTCAAAGTTTACATTTTATTCTGAACTTTTTGAAATTTTTATAGTATAATTGATATCGTAGGAAGAAGCACCATAAAAGTGAAAGAACAATTCATTCATCCAAAATAGAAAGAAGATTTTTAAAGCAAGATTCAGTTACAAAAATATAAGGTTCTCCTGTAAACACTTAAAAATAACAATTTTGGTAAAAAAATTTTTAAATCAAATGTTCAATATATTCGAATTTCCAATATTGCTATTTTCTTCTAAGTATTTTTCAAGTTTACATGTCATTAACATGTAAACCAACTTAACTGGTTGGTTAAGTTGGTTACTACTTGTGCAAACATATTAGCTGATAATCACAAAATGCCGGGACATAATAATTTTTCTCGTAGTGAGATGCAAATTTTAATGGACTTGCGGAGTTCCGAGAAATGTACTACACTACACTAAATCGAAAAGAATTTAATCTTACACTTTGTAAACTTGCTTGCAAGTGTTTAGATGAAACACTATCACTTCGCCAGAAAAGGAATAACAGTGCTCCAAAAACTTTAACCGTTTATGAAGAAGACAAACGAAATTTTAATTTGTGTTCATCAGTTATTGCCTCAAGATTTATCAGCTCGCCTACAATTTGGTCAATATTTGCAAAATATTATAACCTAAAAATTTAAACTTTGAACACCCTGTGCCTAAAAAAAACAGCAATATTTATATGAGACGTGTTGAGCTCAATCATAACATTTTGGTGTCTAGTATCTCCAGTTTAGATTGCCCATCCTTTATGAAGCACTCTGAATAATTAACAAAGATCGCAAGCTAAATTGGTACATATAAATTAACATTGACATTAACATTTTTATCTTGCGCTGTTGTACATTAGTTCATTTAAGAAAACGATTTTAAGTTAGCTCCGCCCAATCTATGATGACCAATATTGAATTCAAACTCGAAGCAGTAAGTGGGCTAACTTAAAGAAGTAGATCTTCGCTTTCTCTGTACTTGATTAAAACCAAACAAAACCAAAACAAGAGAGGTTTTTATTTAATTATTATTTTGTTATTTATTATCCTGCAGACTTAACTTATTCAGAAACCCAGTCCGAAACTATCCAATTCCTTGATAGCAAATTTTGCATTTCAATTTAGATATTTTAAGTCGCTGCATACCCGGTGTGGGTGTAGCCATGGCCATAGCTTTAGTTCCGACCGGCGTAGAACCTCCTGGAGTCAACATTGGCGTCGAGTGTCCTGGGGTTCCGTGAGGTGTTTGAGGTGTCATCGCACCGGGAGTCATAGTGGCTTGCGATGGAGTCACTGCAGACGGAGTTTCGTCCCACCTTGATCTGCGCTTGGATGCTCCTGTTAAAATAATTATCAAAAGGAGAAGGTTAAATCTCAAAATACAACTAGAAAATTTTAAGCAAAACCTAATAAGTTTATCAAACACAAAAATTATTGTAGTGCTATGTGTTACCAAAACACAAGTTCCTTAAAGTTGAACTTAAAAAAAAAAACATTCTCTAACAAATAATTTCTTGGTGACATGAAAGGAATTTCAGATGTTTTTAGAAAAATTGGTATAAAACATTTTTTAATAATATCCAGTATTTTAGCAATAAGCGACATAAGTGATGTATGTAATAATATTATTAAAAGCCGAAAATTATAAGGAGGTTTCTAACGTTATTATTCTCTGTGGAATGAAACAATAAATAAGAGAGATAAGAGATACTATGTGGCATTGAGTGCGCAGATAAGTTTTATAAGATATTAAAAAATATATGGACAAAATAAAGTAAAAATTTAATGACGAGCAATACCAGAATATACAGGGTGAACATGTGAAATATCAATACACATACGCATTAAGGCCATTTTACCATTAGTGTTTTTATTGCTTAAGCACACAGTATTCGAGAGATAATTTTATTATTTTTATAGGGAAAACCAAAGATTACGTCAACAATCTCATAGCCCTTCCAGTTTTTAAGATATAGTAAATTCTCGGCTCTGCATTTAATTTTGGAAAATGTTCATTTATTTGCGTGCTTCTTAGAAAAATGGTATACTATTTTATATTTCGCTACTGCATTCTGAGAAAAAAAATCTACAAGAATGTTATTTAACGTCTTCGACAATGTTAAACATAAGGAAAATAAGAAGGGGTCCCAAAATATTTACTTTTATGATAACCTAGCACGCTGTTGTAAAAATAAGGGAGATAAACAAATATTTCAAAATAGAAAGAGATGAGTGTTGGAAAAGACACTTTATTTTAGAATAACTAAATATCGAGAACTTGCTAAATATAAACTGAAAACCTAAACTAAAAAATAAATCAAAAAAATTGTAACTTCTTAACACATAACCTCTCTTTCTAAAAATTGTGAAATGCTGAACATATATGAGTATTTATACCAAAATGAACTAGTTTCGATTAGATAGAATAATAATTGGTTTGATAGCGACCTTTGGATTTTGTTGTTCAATTTTGCATTTTTTAAGGGTATTATTATTATTATTTTGTGAAGTCAGAACCCTGAATCAGGACACAAATGTAGCGAATAAATACCTGGTGTAGGAGTTTCTTGAATCAGATCAGCTCCGGTGCGATCTGTTCTAGGTGTTTCAGCCCATCCACTCGAGTGGCCAGGAGTGTCCCTCTCAGTTTTCGGAGTCTCGTCCCAACGATTTCTTCTAGATGAAATTTTATCATGTGCGGGAGTTTCACGCCCAGGCGTAGCAGCCCCCGGGGTAGCATCCCAAATTCGAGTGGACTGTCCGGGTGTAGCACCGGGAGTTTCACTTCCTTTGTGACCGGGAGTTTCGTCCCAACGAATGTCGGCCGGAGTTTTCTGTAAAAAAGTTTTTGTAGTTGCTTTTTAATATTTGAAAATATTAAGGTTCATACATCGCCCTCCCATACTGGGGTTGGAGCAGTGCTGCTGGTCGACACTGCCAGAGTCTTTTTCTTTGCAGGCACAAAGGACTCTTCAACTGTTTGATCCCATCGGCCACGCTTCTTCGGGGTGGCCTTTGCATCTCCATTTTGAAGTTTAAGTGATCCGTCCTTGGATTTATCCAAGATCTTCTTCCTTAACTAAAAACGGCATAGAAACTGTAGTATATGCAAGATATGCAATCTCGGATACGGTAAGAGGGACGAAGTCGTTTAATTTTTTTTTAATTACACATTTTTATATCTAACTAAAAGCCAGTACCTCCAAATCGGTATTAACTCGATTTATGTGAAAACAAGTACATAACGCAATTTTTACTTTTTTTTCATTTCATCAGTAGAACATAAAAAATGCTGATGATTAGAAGTGGTCAGAGACAAATGATGAACTACCAAAATTTTTATAGCCATTGCAGACTGGAAAAAGTTACAATTGCTATTTGTTCTCTATACAGTACAACCTCTATTATGGAGAATTTTGGGAACCATTACACATGGCGGACGTTGCTCCTGCCCCGTTCCATAAAATGTACAAATCGGTTGAAATAAGTGTCGTTTGATGTAAAATAGTGTTTTGTATATTTGTTATCTGATAGAAGCGCAGCGCCTATAAATTTGAGAAATAGTGTTCACCTTAAGCGGATTTGTTATATGTTATTCCATTATGTATATATTAATACGGTTTCCGGATGTCTTGTATTCACGCTGGTAACCAGACCAGATGGATCGCATATCCCGTATGAGACAATTGCAGGAGCCGTTAGAAGAATCGGTCGTCATTTTATGAATATTTAGAAGCTGTTCCACTGTATGAATATGTGAACGAACCTGGAGGATGCTGGAAGTTGCCTGAGTTGCAAGGCCAAATAAACCAATAAAATAAAAAAACCTCTATTTTCTGGACACACTTAAATGCGCACATCAGTACTCTTAATACTAATTTTCAAGTTTAATTTTTTTTACTCTGATAAGCCTATCAGAGAGTTTTTGGCAATCAAATTTTATATAATCTTCAATAATTTACATTTGAGTCAAATACAGTGGTTGGTGTTTACCGTTAACAAGAAAACATAGGAGGCGTGTTCAAAAAGTAACGTGATTTTTAAGTTTTATCTCTTGTGCCAACGTTTTTTCCAATCCTCAAACCACTTCTGGTAAGCACTTTTTGCTATAGCCGTGAGTTCTTCCTGCGATTTTTTCTGTATCTGCTCAATCGTTGCAAACCTCATGGGTTTCTTGAGTTTTTGTCGTGCTGAGGCATTCAGAGCGAAGGGTCGTCATCGCCGTTTCCTCGGCTATCTTGAAACAGCTTGTTCAACTTTAAACATTTTTTTCGCTCAAAGTAGATATTCACCATATACCGTTGTCAACATTTCAAGTGTTTAGCAGCACTATATTCCATTTTTTTCACAAAATTTTACGCAAATTCTTTGTTCCGTTTTGTTTACAGCACAAAATCACCGAGCACACAAAACACGTCTAACGCTTCTGTCTCCCAAAAAAAAGTAAACGTGCGAACTGTCTGAAACTGTAAATATATGTTAGAGACATGTGTACCAAAATAACAAAAAAATATCGAACATGGAATGTACGTAGCCCTCCCAATTACAAAGTCACACCTTGCTTTGTGAACACACCTCGTACAACGCTAAATTTGAAACAAAAGCGTGAAATAATTAAATTGGTGACTTTACGGAAATGTTTAGGATCAGTTATAAAAGTCGAACCAAAATGTAGTATTAGGAAAACCTACCGCCTCAAATATATTCAAGAATTAAAACTATTAAGACTAAGTGAATGGGAACCGATAGCATTAATATCACTTTAGTGCCACTTTGTTGCCCCACAATTGTACAGTACAATAACATCATTTTCCTGTACCATAGTAAAAAGTGTAAGACACCCCTGCCTAAAATAAAAGAACCTACACTCCCTAAGATTCTAGAAAAAATAATGGACAAGCAAATAAAAACAGTTCTAGATATTTATGGTATTTTCCGCCCGAAACAATATGGTTTTAGATCTGGTTATAGTTGTGAAAGCGCTCTTGCAGAAGTAATGACATTTTTAATGCCTAGGATAATAACAAATTTCCTGCCTTCCTTTTTAAATAATTCGATGTTAACAAGGGTGGTATTTTAGGTCCACTTCTGTTTGTGATTATTTTGTTTTGTCATTATCATCTTTATTCCGATGACACTCAACTGTACTTTTATTTAAACCATACCTTACCAAAGTGTAAATATCATTAATCAATATATCTCCTTAATAGACATTTCTCTAGCGCTATTCACCCTAAAAAACAAGTTGCCTTTTGGGTAAGCAAAATACATGCTAGCAGGATTTCGTTTTCGTTTCTATGTAACTAAAACTTTACTTAGATACTTCCGTCTCCTTAATTCCCTCCCACTTCCACTCCAAGCTTTGTCTGCTTCTATGTGTCTGTTAATTTTAAGCTAAATTCTGGGCTGTGCCAGATGTATGCCTTTGCTAGTCCTTTGCTGCCAAATTTAATTAGGAATATAATTTTGTAACTTCATTGTTATTAATGGTTAGGGCATTTATTATTACTATTAGATTAAGTCAACGTAAAAACAAAAGGAAGATCCTTTAACTGCATATTCAGCAATAGAAAAATCGCATTCTCACCATTATCTCGTCAATTTGAGATAAATGAGAAGGCCAAGTTTTTTTAGCTGCAAAATTTGGCAAACAGTCAACATTTAAAGGGAGATATGGCATAAGGCAGTTGAGTATAATTCTTTCAAGCAAAATCAGATAAATACATCTTCAAAATGATCCACAAGAGCTTTTTAGATTTCATTTATACCTGGACATTATAAATGGCTACGGAAGAATTTCACCCAGGCCACTTTATAGATCTTGAAAATGATAACCATCAAATTTGTGTTATGTATCACCCTTCAAACTTAATACCATTAATATAACTCAAGGATCAGCACTCAATGAGTAAAACGGCTTTACAGAAAGAACCTGGTTCTAAAAAAAAGCAAAACCTGAGACTAACATTCCAACAACCTTAACTCCAATATCCTTAAAGTTTTTTGATGATGAAGAAATGATTATTTTGGCAACTTTAGCAAAGAAAATTATGCACTTGCAAGAACTTCAAATTGAATTAAATATGGTAAAAGTTTTTGGTGGGTCACAGGTCTGAGACTGAGATGTTACGAACATACAAAGATATTTTTAATTTTTTAATTATGGATGTTTAAAGTTGTTGATGTATTTTTTTGTTATAGTGGTTATACTGTATATCAAACATGCCAAATTAATTAATTAAACTTGTCATACATATGAAAAACCGGTAAAGACAACCATAAGTTTTTACGCTTAATAGACTTTAGGGATGTTGGTCAAATAGAAAAAAATTGTTTTAAAACTTAGTTGAAATCTGCAAAAAAATGCAACGATGGTGGAAAAAATGAGCATTCACAGACCACATTTTTTGTATATCAGTTTTGAGTGTCAAACAGTTTATATAAACTGCATAATGTTTTCTCTAATTTAACAACCAGTTAAAAGTTAAAATGCATATTTACCCTGTATTACAAAAGAATGAAACATACCTCATTTTCTTCTCCCTTCAAAAGGGTTTCTTTCATAATCTGAGTGTAACCCCTAGCATTTACTTCAGGTGTTTTCCCACCTGCAATCACAAGAGGCGGAACATCCATATTAGTAACAAGAAGCACGTGAATGGAATCAGAGATAGCCAGAAGGGCAGTTAGTCTGAATATTTTTAAACATTGAACTAAAAATACCGTTTTCAATATAATTTGAAGTTTAATTGCAATTAGAACTCATATAAACAAAACGAGAGTTTTAATTATATATGATTTTTATACATTTTTTCAGTTATTTAGAGCCTATATTTTATCAAGAGAAGCAAGTGAATTCTTTATTAGAGAAAAAAATATTCTTTTAAATTTTACATATAGACAAATGCCATGGAAATTTTAAAATCATTTCAGTTCAATGCATCTGAATAATTCGTTCATTTGAAGCACCACATTCCCAAAAATTTTTCTAAAATGAGTGAAAAAATGTCATTAGTTCCTACAGAATATTTCTTCCCATATAATCCATTTGAATTAATTTGCTAGAAGAGAATGTGGTGACCAAATTTATATACGTACGTGAAGCAAGGATCCAATTCAAAAACAGGATGTTCCACGAAAACAGACGGTCAAATTGTACCTAGAAATAGGCTGGGGTAAATTAATAATTTTCTATACAATGCACACAGTCTTTCACACTTTATCCATTAAGCATTTTTTTACCACTTCTATATGATTAACGTTTGTCTGATGTTCCTTGAACTAACAAACTTCTTTTATCTTGTCAACCTAAATCTGGGTGTCCATTAAGAACAAAATGAGTCATTAGTTTTTGTATATTCTCAATTAATATCAAACCTCTCCATCCATACAATAATTCCATTCACAAATCATTCAAATACCCCAATATTTAAAACTATCTGCTTGTGATTCGTGACTTTATTCCATAAAATAAATAAAATAACAATAACTCACAAGCAAATACTTTTCTTTACAAGTGTTGTGAATAATAACAATAAAAAGGGAAAAGATTGAAGCAATTTACTTACCGTCGGCAAAAGGATCCACCCGTTCTGGTGAAATTATCATCCGAATCCTTTTTTGACGGTATTCATCCTCTCGGTCCATAATCGTAGCTCTTCTTCTATCCGCAAATGGATCATAATCTTTTTCACTCTAAAATGAATGACGAATCATTAAAAACTTACAAAACGGAGTTTATCAGTTGCAAATTCACTTAATTATAATGGTCATTTTCTCTAAAATTTATTTACAATGGAAATATCTGTTAAGCTCTATTATAGTCCCAATTTGGCTCAAATTTTATTGTGGTCTTCAAATAAGGAGGGTTCTTTCATTACTACAATAGAATTCATGGTGGTCCATTTAACATTCACGCATAACTTGTATTTTTGCACTTTGCCAAATGATATAATTTATGTATGCAAACATTTTTACCTAAAATGGCTAAAAGATATTTAATTATTTTTTGATATCTGGTTCAGTAGATCTGGAAAGGGTGTAACAAATATTTAAAAAACATTGTTAATTGCTTTCCATTGTTCATATAATTGGAACATTGAGTTTGAAAAACCCTGCATAAATTACCTTCTCTGGTAAGGTATACCTTTTTGAGCCCCAGGTCTGAAAAGACACACAAATTTAATAACTGAACCAATATGTGGTTAAAAAGGTTTCAATTTGATCTGAAAAGTCAGTGTTGTGTTGCACCTTTTTTTATATGTGAACTTCACCTAGCTGTAGTGTACAAAGTAACTAAATTCCCATCCTAAAATTTACTCCTCAAATTCCCACAGATGCAGAAGACTCAATTTCAGTCAGCTAAACAAAATAATCTAGATCTAGCTCATCTGAGAATTGCTAAAGCTTACCATGTTTTATGTGGTTTATTACCTTAAACCTTTATTTTGTTTTTTAATTTAGATTATGATCCACTATTACACCTAATATTTACACTGGTTGGATTAGGACACATAACTCCACATACTGTATTTATATATTTTTATACACAGATAGATAAAAAATGTTACCTGAGCAATATCATTAAGAAGAGCAACCGGCGCGCCGAGTCCAGTACGTTTATTAGAATATCCTTCATCTTCATCATCCTCATCAGGCTCATCATTAGCAGCAATTGAAGTTACATATCCCTCATATTTCTTGTTACTACCATCATAGATTTCACTATCAAAGTAACCACTTTCGCCCAGACCAACCCCCTTTTCATTCTTTTCCGCTGGGATTTCCTTCTTCTTAGACTGAATATCCCGAATCTGCGCCTCAATATCTAGAGCAATGGATGACAGTTAATCACTAAATATTGTTGATATTTGGCACATGTATACACACCTTCATGAGTCTTGGGAATATTTTCCATGGTGGTATACTTGTCAGCCAACTAATTAAGCATTAGTAAACAAATATATCAAACCTCTAAATCACTACGTACACCAAATGCTTTTGCACAAAATGAAGTTTATGTACTTTTTGACAAGTAACCATAGATAAAGAGAAAATAACGGAAGAAAGAGAAATACAAAGAGAGAGAGAGAGAGAGAGAGTGAGTAATTGATTTATATTTAGTGGGGTGGGGCTTATTACTTTAACCCTAATATACTATGGTAATGTGTAGAGTAAACTTCCCTGCTAAAAGCGAAGAAGATATTCGTTCAACTTCCCTAACCTTAGTGTTCATGGTTTGCAGCTTAAGATTACGTAATGAAATATTTATTGCATGTAACTCCGTTAGGCACTAAGGGAGATGCCAACTTGGTATGGATATCATAGGTGTAGTATTTTATTGTCGATTGTATTTGTAATGCGACAGTAATATGCTACCTATACTTCCCTTGTCGGCTTTATATAACAGTAATGTTGTTTCAGGCAGGATAGGTGACGTCACTGCATACCACAATTTTTTAGCCCCTTAACAATTAATAAAAGAAAATTTTAATTATAAAAATGCATTTAAAATATAATATGTAGACAACAAAATACTTTTATTTAATTAATTGTCGTCAGTGGCCGTGGCAATATTTGTTCCCATCAAAACCTAATGCTGAAGTTTGTGTAATCGGGCTTGGCTAACATTTGCCAGTTGGCCAAGTCGCATCTTTCAATCTTAGCTCCAGGTGATCCAGTATTTGACAACCAGTATATCCTAAAACAAAATAAATAAAATCTTTTTATGCAGTATCACTACTGGTCCTCATCATATGGACACATTTTTATTACTGAGAAAATATTGATCCTGGGCCAGCTTATGCATAAAGATTTACGAAAATTTTGAAACCTTTATTTTTACCTCTCAAAATACTTTTTATACAAAATATTAAAAAGTTAAATTATTTTTCAAAATATTGAAACATTTTCTTAGAAAAAACTGTTAACTTTTCAGTTTTCTACAAATCTTGCGATTTCAACAACTCGGATTAACTTGGTTCAAAATTTTTAAAATAATCTAGATATCTAAGAAGCGAAACGATATTACTTTTTGCCTAGAGATTCGATGGGATCAAAGACATCCTAAAGCAAGCTGCATTCTTGTCAGATCCAATCTGAGAACAGATAAACAAGCATATGATGCAGAAAGTTTTAGTAAGTACTATAAAAAATTAACTGTGTCAAATTGAGATATTTTGAGAAAATATTGCCGTAAAAATGCCGCATCCAAACTTATTGGCGATCTATTAACAAAACCGCTATGTTGATTATTGAATGGCTCAAGGTCATTGGTTAAAAATGATATTTCAAATCTTGCACATGCGCATGTTGAATTGACTTTCTCTATTTTTTGCTTAATCAGTTATTGTATTATCAGCATTAGGCAGGGCCTCTATCTTTGTAGTAGCTATATTGAACTTTGAACTTTATTGAAGTTTACATAAACAGCAACAAGAACAATTAACTTATACAGTTATCTAAGCTATTAGCTAGCTTGCTGATAGTTGTAATTTAAAAATATAATACAAGTAAATCAAGCTAATTTGAAGTAAAAACACGACTCTTGAAGTAATATACAAGTAAAATAATTACGCAATGTAAAGATTAAAACGATTTGGGCGATTTTTCTATAAGGAACAAATTTTATATGTAATATGATTAAAGTTATTTATTATCCATTCATAAACGTTCTGCATATAAAAATTATTTTTAGTTTTAAACACATATCTCAGAAGTAATAGTACGAGTTGTAATATTATGGTTAATACTCTCCTTGGATTGTTTCATGTGCCTAATAACACTATGTACATAAATTTGCCCAACAGTTAGAAATTTCGATTCTATAAATAACAATGTCGACTTGAATAGTAAACATATTAATAAAACTACGGGCTGTTTGATAATATGATAGAAATTCTTATTAATGTGCACGCAACTAGTTCACTGAAAAACATACACATTTTCAACCGTTGATTTCTTGCCCTGCAGTTTCCCGGCGATTGTTCCTTTCTTGGTGTTTTTTACCCAGCCTGATATTCCCAATCCTTCGCACATTTCTTTGCAGTATTTAGTAAATGCACAACCTAAAAGAATCACGTCCAATCTTTTTTAGAACCAGTTAAGTATTGGTTTTTTTTTAATTCCAGAAGCTTGAATGTATCTTATTATCTAGAATAGTAAGTTTTAAAGTCCATGCGAAAATAAACACACCACCAAAACACAATGTAATGCCATTTTAATTGTATTAGTTTGTATCCTGTATTAGCAATTATAGTTAGAGGCTCCTGTCAATTTCAAAAAATTGTTGAATATTTATAAAGAAATAAAGAAATATCAAACATTTCTTTTTTCGAATTGGTTCATAGCTATAGTTAACGTCAACATAAAAAATTATAATCTATATTGGCTTTGGCTTATTGGGTCTCTCAGTTTAGGTTTCAAAGCCACAATAAATTTTGACGCAAGCAATGAGCATCCGCACAAAACTACAATTCGATTTAAAGGGTGATAAAAAAATAATTCTTATTATTGTTGACAACAACTTTAGCTTCACTTTATTTCAATTTTAAATTCCTCCCAATTTTACTAAATTCTGTGTTTTTTATTCCTTATTTTTATTTCTTTTTAATGTGATGATTTCATGTTTATACATTCAAAATAACGTCAATGCGTTAAACATATATGATAAATATAATACAATAAAATACTGGGGCTCTTTTTATGACATATCAAAGTTAATACTCTAAAATGCATATTTGGAGCTATCTTTTCAAAATTTGGTTCGTTTTTATCTCTTATCCAAACAATTTTCTTCTTCGCAAAAAACTTGGATGGGAGGGGCTGTTATCCTTAGACTTCCCTTTTTTAAATTTCTTTTGAAGCTGCTTTTACTTATCTGACTGTGCTGACTATAACTTTTACAATTTTTGTGTGATCCAATATACTACACATGCTTGACAAATCTTAGATTAAATAAAATAATAACCTCCACAACTAAAATTCAATTTACAAGGCGTTAAAAAAGTACTCGCTGTCACAGTTTGTGGGCCGATTACTTGCGTCATTTTAAGACAAAAAGTTCATATACCTGATAAATTACCATCTCACCTTGCACTTTCCCAAACACTTCAAAATCGACAGAAACGTCTGGATCTAAAACTCTGTTATTTTCCATGGATTTTTATTATTCCGAATCGAATTATGAAAATACGAGCACAATGAACAATAAACTTCATCTAATCGATAGGTACCGATCAAGATCACTGACAGACTTTCATCTATATTTAAACCATCAAAAACAGAACAAAGCAAAATGACGCTTTGGATTGTTTTGACTGAGCCAAATTATTTGTAATGGATAAACAAACTCGGCAGGATAAAAATCATTCTCTTTTAATGAGGATCTTAAAATCGCTGAAATTTTCTTACAGGCAATAAGCAAATGTTTAATACTATTTTTACAGAGTGATTCATTGAATGTTATCATGTACAATGAAAAAAATATGTTCCGACTGGTTCAGTGATATCATTAACCACGCATGGAGGAAACTCCAACTTCTGGGAGAAAACCCGAAATTATCGATTATGGTTGATGATGATTGATAAAGTAGGAACTATCTGCCGTAGCAGCAGAAAAACGTAGTGAACCTGTGTCACACCGCCATATCATTGCGAACTAGATCATGTAGAACAAAGAAGTAAGTGAAAAGAATTGTCGCAAGACGTCTATTTAGAATAGACTAATTGTAACTAGTTCTAAGCTTAACAATAATTCTTGTAAAAAAGCATATTCCGACCATACCTTCTTTGATAGATTTATGAATTTAACTGACATAATTTTCTCAAAAAAGGAGGTTTCTCTATTGCAAAAAGGTTTCAACTATACCATTAAAGAAACCAAGAATAATAATAGGAATTTTGAACACCTACGAGTAGATATGGAACTAGCTTTAGATAGTATTGATAATCCTAACTATCAGAAACATTGTTTTGCAAATACGATTAAAAATCTATAACAAACTAAACATAATAATTTTCCAAACACCGAAATAACAAGAATTGCCTCAATTAAAATCAATCATCTAATCAAATCATCTAAAAATAATTTAGTTTATACTCGAGCAGATAAGGGCAATACGGTGATTGCTATGTGTAAGAATAATTATATAGAGAAAACAACAATATTTTTAGAGCCAAATAAGTTCCAAATCCTCCCATCGGACCCAACAAATCTGTATCAGAAACAAATAAATGATTGTATTAAGAACAATAGCTTATTTATGGATTCTAACAAATTTAACCTAATCAATATGAACCCAACAGTTCCAAAATTATATTCGTTAGTGAAACTTCATAAAGAAGATATGCCAATAAGACCAGTAGTATCCTTTATGTCAGCACCGTCATACAAAGTATCTAAAAGACTAATTAACATAATTAATTACCACTGTAGATTTTCGGCCAAGTATAGTATCAAAAATTCTTATCAATTAATAGAGAATATCAAATCCGTAGAATTACCAGAAAAGCCGAAACTAATTTCATTTGATGTCCACAATTTGTTTCCAAGTATACCACCAATAGAGACAATAGATCTAATAGAAGAAATGTTAACCCGCAATAAAATAAATCCTATCATAAAGCAAGAAATATAAGACACCCTTATAATATGTCTAGACCAAAACTACTTTGAATTCCATAACAGAATATTTAGTTCAAAAGAAGATCTAATTATGGGAAATCCCCAAGCCCTATGCTAGTCGAAATTTTTATGGACCATTTACAATCCATTATACATCAATACCCTCTTGCCAAACAGTTTTTATTTTGGTATAGATACGTGGATGATGTTATCGCTTCTTTTGTAGGAACAGAATTATACAAATTATTTACCTAGCTCCTTAAAATTTATAATGGAATTAGAAAATAATAATTCAATTAACTTACTTCCATACCAAAATAAAATTGCCCCTTTTAATAGCTATTTACATAAATTACTTCAGGTCCTTCTCAATCAAGAAGATTACGACAAGGAATTAACTATAATTAAACAAATTGCATTGAACAACGGTTACGAGCCCAACTTAATTGACTCACTATTAAAAAAGAAACTATATATCAAGGCCATGAATCTAGTCTTTCCTAAACAATACTCTAACAAAAATTTTAACACATTAACTTATTTTGGACAACCAATTGAAATAATAGCTAAAAAACTTAGAAGGCTAAATCGGAATATTGCTTTTAAATGTAATAGGACATTAGGATCTGTAATTAAAAATAATAAATCGAAAATACATAAGTTATGTAAGTCGGGAGTATACAAATTAACATGTGGATCTTGTCCAAAAATATACATAGGTCGGACATTCAGAAGTTTGAAGAAACGGATTCAAGAACACAAAAGTTCATTCTTGAATTCTATTCTCCCCTCTTAAACCCTTAAATAAAGATTCTAGATACTGTATGGATAGTTTGTAGTCAACCCTGTGATAGTTAGTTTAGAGATTCTTTCTGAAGAAGATACAGTATACCGAAAAAATTGTCAAAGCAATAAACATGTGTGTGGTAATCTTAAAGCAAGTGTTTGTTTTTATTAAATTTCATACAAAAAAGTTTTTTGAAATGCCTGCTGGGGACTAATCACACTCACGTCGTGAAAAGAGTTTCTTATGCTCTTTTTCAGTCTTCCCTTACTCTAGGATTTTTACTTGATTTGGAGTAATTTATTATTCTTTCTTTTTAGCAAATAAAAATAGAAATAACCAATTCAAACCAATTATTTTAGTTTAAAATGTAAATTGTGTATGTAATAGAAACGAATGTTATGGAAAATTTTCATTGATGTGTGTTGGAAAAGTTTAACAGAAGCGATGGAGGAAGAATAACTAAACACAATGAAGTAGTTAGATACATGGATTTCAATTATTTTGAAGTTCGTCAAATTGACAAGATATTAGGAAACCTGTAATGTGTGATGATTAGCCTATAATAATATTAGCTATTGTTTTTTATATATAGCTATTAGAGATATAGAGGCCCTGTCTATACCGATAGTACAGGAATTTATGGCTCCACTACGAAAAAAAAATGCGGAGGTTCATTCAACATGCGCATGAGCGAGATTTAAAATCTAGTTTTTAGCCAATGACCTGGCAGCATTCAACAACAAACATGCCCGTGGATAGATCGTCAATCAGTTTGGATGCAGCATTTTTATGGGAGGATTTTCTCAAACTATGCCTAGGTCTCGTTAAATGTTCTGGGAAAATGAGTTAAGTGTGTGGAAATTACTGTTTAGAAAGAAAATGCCTTAAAGTGGTGGATGAAATGTACAGGCATTTGCGCAAAGTCAATCCCTTCTCTACGAAAATAACAATACCGTTTGCAATATATCAATTTTTACCATAATGATGTCACAACATTACCTAATAGCTATATGGGTCTTTATTGTAAATAGTAATTAACAGATATATTTTATTAGAGGAAAATCTCTTCGAAAACAAAATTTTTTGGGTAATATTTTCTCATTTTGTCAATTTGTTTGCAAGATCTAATAAAAATTATCTCATTCGCTGAAAAGTAGGTATATAGGTATATAGGTAGCTAGGTATGGGTACTGTAACTTAGAGATAAAACTCTCCCCATGGATATTCCAATTGGGTATTTCTGATATTATTATTTTTTATATTATTTCGTTTTTTATTTGTATGATCAAAATTAAGGTAAGTTTAATTAAAAGTTAATACACCTAGATCCAATAGTTTTTGAAATACCTTCAAGTTTGCAAAAATATAGCATTTATTTTAATTCTTATTTTCTCCCTTGATGTTTTTTTCTAGCCCAAATTAATAACAAAATAATAAACTAATTAAATTAATAGTAAAACTGTTGCACTTTTAAAATTTTTACCAAAGTTATTATTTATCAAGTCAAATATGGTTGTAATTTATGCAAAAGAATTTAGGCTATAACATTTCTTAATGCAATCGATTCAAAGAAGTATTTGATTGTAATTTAGACATACTGGAACTGGTCGGTATGAAAACCTATTAAAATCTATGACAGAAATCGAAGAGACTGCATTTGCGACGGTCGGTACTGTTAATCAAAATTTTGGCGTTCATTTCGAAGAAATAAATCAATAGCTAAAGCTCCTCCGTCGCGCAGTCTCGCGAGTCTGACATCAGCTGGATATGAAAGAAAGACCGATAAAAATTATTTGGGATGGAAATTAAAATAAAATTCTCGAATTTAGATTTCAGATAAATGCGACTATAGTAGGTAAGTAGGTACCTTTTTTTTAAGTATATAATTATATAATTAATAACAATAATTCGCGCTAAGTGGCAAGAATTTTTGACCATTTGGCGCCAAATTTTGTACTTTGTTTTTGGGTTTTTTAACTCCCGCCTTAAGGAAGAGTGAAACAGTGGTTTTTATCAATGATTTATTTAGATCCATATGTTTTTAATGTCTAGAATTTTACAGAGTTATTTACATTAAGTTTTCTATTTAAAATGTAACGTTTTTCCAAATTTGGGTTCGTATCCTACACAAAGTGTAAGTAACTTTTTCAAGTTTCTCAATATTTTGACAATATTTACGTAAAGAATTCAGTTTAGGTAATTTTTTCTAGTTTTTAATTGCAAAGTTTTTCTATTTAAAACTTAATGTGTTTCTAAATTTGGATTTGTATTCTACGCAAAGTCCAAGTAACTCTAAAGAAAGTTTATCTCCGCAAGCAACCCTGAAACACAGCGGTGTCCTAGAAATAGGTAATGGGTGGCCCATCGAAGTTTTCTTCCATGGCGTACTCATAAAAGAAACTAAAATTAGAGTTATATGCGTTGTGTTTAAAATATGTAACTTTCAGAAGAAAACTGACTACGCCACTGGATTTTACGTACGAAACTATCCAGTTTTCACTTTTTCGATAAGTTCACACACAACCGAGTACAAAGGGTGGTTAAAATGCATTATTTTTCAAATTAGTTTTAACTAAAAATAAAAGATAGCTACGATATTTCTGTTTATGCCTCTTTTTATTTCAGAAAAAATTAGTCTTGGGTTAGGAAGCCCGGAACACGCTAGCTTTATTTATAAGGAATAGAGGCCGTAAAATTAGCATGTGTAAAAGCAACATGGGACACACTGTAGTTTTTGAAAATCGATATACTCGTTTCGAAAATTCATGATAATTTAATTCTGTTATTAAAAAACGAACAGTCGGCTTGACAAAAAAGTAAAAAGTTATTAACACATTGAAAACGCACTTTCATAACTTTTGGTTTGGTTTAGTTTTGGTATTTTTGAAAACAATGGGACGGATTAGTTGCTAAATTTGAAATTTCATTCCGTCAGCATGCATTGGAAAAATTAACTAAGATTTCTTGAAAATCCAAATTGTTTATACGGTCTCTATTATGTTTGCGATATAATTTTTAATCTTTAATATTATATCTGATCTGAAGGAGGGATATACCAAACTTTTGATTTGGTTTAAAATGACATGTGTAACTTTCAAGTGTTTGTTGTATATATAATATATATACTGGGTGACTCGGAAAAATTGGTTAACCCGTTGAAGATGGATTCGTTGTATGAAAATATTAAGCCTTCTGTTTTCATTTTCGCAATAAGATTTTTATTTATAAATCTCGCAGTTTTTCAAATATTTTGTTGAAACTTGGTACGTTTAATTATTAATTAATTAATTAATTGGATTACACTTTTCATATAAATTTTGTAATTGAAAACAGCATAGTAGTAGGAGAATTGAGTTTACTAGCTGTACCAAATCTCAATTGCTTATTTCAATTCAAACATAGAACCCAAAGCTTTCACACCGTGTATCTCGATCCAGGTTAATATGAAGTCTTTTCTTAGTTGGAGCCCGTATTAATAAATCACTCTGTATTTTCTGAGATAAGGTTGCGTTCTAAGATAAACCGGCCACAGATAATGCTCAGGTTGAAATTTCATTGAAATTTTTATGAATTTGTTGTTGTTAGTATTTTTATTACTTGCTTCATTTTTCTTTTATTTTGTTCCATTTACTTTTATACAATATATCTCAAAATAACTCATGCCTATACCAAAATGGCGTATTCATTTTTATTATTACTGCCCATCAATCTCATCTAGATGATCTGCAGTCGAGACATTTCGCGTAAAGTATTTGAATTGCTATTTACTGATTGCGCGTCTTCTGTCTGACTCTCCGCACAAAAAGTCACACCGTTGTGGCATATTATTTTTGACTCGTCGGCTAGACTAACATAAATAGAAACGTAAGCTCTCTTTAAGGTCTGCAGTAGTTAGGTTATAATTACTTTTAATTACAGGCACTAACAGAGATAGCGAAAATTTGTTTAACTAATACGTAACATATTCAACGTTGTTTCAGATATTTTGTGGAATTTCCTGCCGCAGTCATAATGTCCGAAGACCCGAATAATAGGAGATCTAAATCTTTGACCCTTTTATTGTTTCTTATTGTTGCCGGCGTTGTTTTGGGCATTATTTTAGGTAAGTTTATAAATCGGTCGAAACCTCCAATTTTATTTTAGTGCGCTAAATTATTGATGTTATAAATATCGGATGTAGTGAATAACGCTACAATATAAACATCGAGCAGAGATTCAAATATTCAAGAAAATGAGTAAGTGCTGAGTTAGGGCAGAATTTATATAGTTCTTTAATAAAAATTGATTTTGTCATCACGGACAACGAATTTATATACATACATACGAAGCAATTTAGAAGATCGGTAGTTAAATTGCAAAGGAAGTCTGTTCTCAAAAATTTAACAGAATCTACTCAGAAAGTTGACTTTACTTATTTTTTTACTTTTTTGCAATGGTGTTTTAAGGATATATTCATAAAATCGAAAATAAGTAAAACAACTTCATTAACGAAAGTTATTTATTCAGAAAATACAATATTAATTTTAATCGATCGATGGCAAATAAATTGTACGCGATATTTGAATAGTCTTAAAGAAATGTCCCGGCCAACCATGACAAAATCAATTTGTTCGAAAAATGTAACTTTTTATAATTTTTCAACAGACATCAATGGATAGAGAAGAGTGCATTATTTAATTAGTTCATATCCAAGTAAGTATGAATTGCATATAACAAAACAAAACTGTTTTTCCTTCTCTAATTCTTTAAGCAGCATTATCAGTTAAATATTTGCAGGGGAACATTTTAAATATTTTTAGCATATTTAAGCCTTAGTGCCACTTTATCAGATCATAAAATTTTACTTTAGTCGTATTGGTTGACTTATATTTTTGAAAAACCAGTCAGAATTTCTAACATTAGTTGGAATTTCTAAGAAACATGTCACGATTTCTTTCTTAAGTCGACATTTTCGAGAAAGAAGAAGAATATCTGAAAAACAAGAATTTTTGGCATGTCTCTCGTAAGGGACATTGTGAATCGAGACATACAGGATAATGCCACCAAAATATTATGATTAAGCTCAATATACCTCATACTGCTTTCAGAGATACGGCGCATTCAATATTTCAACTTGTTTCTGAAATTTGGTTAATGTAGAAAGGGGTTTTAGTATAATAATAAAAACTGCAGTTTTAGATTTTCTAACTTAACAATTACGAATTTGAAACTTTTTGTACGCTTCTCTTAGCTTCAATTTTTCGTTTATGTTTTTAGGTATATTTTCTGATTTGTAATAATAGTAATAGTAATGAAAAGAACTTCAAATCTGATGTTGGGATTTTGCTTTGGTGTCTTAATTCAAAAATTTTCACTTGTTTCTCAGAAAATCTGCCTTATTCTTCAAAAATTTCTCCAACTGAATTCAAACCTATATTTTCTTTTTGCTGAAATTGAAAATGAATTAATGACAATAACCAAACTAACCTAACCTCAGGTTACAGGCAAGTAGCTACTAGATACATATAGGCCTTGATAGCAGGTACAAAAAAAAGAGAATTTTTAAAATCTCGTTTTCAACCGACAAATCTCACTTTGAAAGAATAATTCGATAGGTCCATAAAACTTTACCGTCTTTACCTCCACTCCACTCCATATACAGGGTGTCCGGTAATAATGTTCGAATAATTTAAGAGGTGATTCATGAAAAATGCATGTCCCTAATTTTCAACAAATTCTAATCAGTTTTTTGTTAATATCTTTAGTAATCGCTATCCAGATTTCTTGGAATGTGGAAGTTTTATTTGAGGTTAACTCATCCGAAGTTTCACACCCGGTATCCCGAAAACTATGCATTTAAATTAATAAAATTTCGGGACACCTTGTATATTTATTCGGATACCGAATGACCAAAGAAAGCTTATTATTCTATTCGACTATTCGTATGAAAATAATCTAGAGTTTAATAAATTGAGGTCACTTGAAACACCCAGAAATTGCTCGGGCGTAATTTCTCCCTAATAAAATTGTTAACAATGTTACTGAGTCACTTTTATGTAATGCCAACAAAAAGATTCAGATCAAACTCTCCGCTTATAAGAAATTTGTTTTTCTAATTATCTGTTTAAAGGAAAACTATGCAAAATGCTGTACATTTTTTTTTAGTACTGTCTATTAGCTTTCTAAATATCTCTTTTTGTATTGCCGATAATCTAATATTATATCCACTATCCTGTAATTGGACCACCTCCTCTCCCTGTTGGGTACCCTTTTGGTTTTTAAATACATAGTTACAATGTTATACGCGAAGTGTAGTAAAAGTCTATGTGCACTGAACTTGTGAATAATTGAAAGTTCTAAAGATAATAAATATAAGAAAAAAGAATCCATCGAAATTTTTCATTTAATTAATACAACAAAAACCATACGCATACATTTTTCAGAGAGGAGAAACAGTCTATAATTTTTGTGAATGATGTGTAGATGACTTTTCCCAAGTATGTGTGTGTTGTGTGTCACTGCTCTCAATTATTTTAATGAAGAATTTCGATGCGTTTTTATTAATATTGCTCCCCACAAACTGAGTGGAATTTCAATACGATAAAAGTTAGTAAAATTGGTGTTCAAATATAAATTCCGCACTTTTCTGTGTTCACTTGCTATTGGTTATTACCATTATTTTGAATCTTCTTTTCAGGAATTTCACTTCGCTACTTGGCGGTATCGCACGAAGTGATACTGCTGATTTCGTATCCAGGCGAACTATTTTTTCGAGTATTAAAGTTACTAATCCTACCTCTGATAATATCTAGCGTAATAACTGGAACATCCAAACTCAATGTTCGTGGACGAATAGCATTGAAAACATTAAGTGAGTAGGTTTAAATCATTAGCCTTATACTAATGTACTTGTGATTAATCTACAATATATATATTGAAATAAAACAATTAACAATATGTTTATAATTTTTCCTCAAAAATAGGAAATCCAGTTTCATTTTCCGTTAAAAAGAACCATGTTATTATCTAAACATCAAAAAAATCAATTAAAATCTATTTTAGAAAGGGGTAGAGTAATAAAACCGCATTTGGTATGTAAAGGTACTACAGAGTGACTCAACGAATACTTTCATTGTTCATATGTCATAGTAAAATTCATTCTTTTTATCGATTGCAAGTAGTACCACCGGGCATTGAATCAATTTATGGGTTTTGCCTCTCTTCAGAGCTATATTTCGGTTCCTACTGCTCTATTACAATTAGGGTGGGTATTATTTTTTATAATGAACCTTTTCCGAATTACACTTTTGTTGGGTCTGCTAAAAACCTACGCCTATGGCCGGTACCGAAATTGAGCGGAGCTGGGCAGAATATACGATTTTCTTACTCTACACTATTCCGAAATAGCCTATGGTAAGTTTTGATTAGTTTACATCGAATGTACACATTGCATAACATAAAAGAGAAGTAAGAAAAATCGAAATTTAAAATTTGTTAAAGTAATTACAAAGTAGATGTAGAAAATCGTTAAAAAAACTATTTATCTGATTAAATTAATTTAAACTATGACTTCTGAACCAAATGCATTGTAAAATTGATTGTTCAAATTAAAACCTTTAACGCAAATAAGAACTCTGTCAATGCTGAAATTCTCAAAACTTTTTCGAAAAGCTAGAATGAAATTAACTGTGTTTCAAACCCATTCATATGGGTTCAATAGTACTCGACATTTTTTAGATATTTTGATTTAATATTTTGAAAAAGGAAACACATTTTTCGTCAACAAAAATTTCATGCGCTCTTCTACAGTTTCACTATATAATAGTTAGTGTGTTTCACACTGTATACCCGATATTGGTATTTTAAAGTTTAATTACCTGCAGTAGATAAGCTAACGAATTAAGATTGCTGTAATTTCAGCAAGGAGTTATCATTATGCTTCGTGTTAATAACTAATATAATATTGTATATAATGGTTTTGCATGAAACCTACGCAACCCAACGTTATCCATAGATTGACAACAAGTTACAGAATGGCATAAGTTCACTATCGAAACCTCAATAATTGTAAGAGATATCGGTTAAATGAAGCCAAAGTTATGTATGTCGGTGCCCCGTCTAAAGTCGTTCGAAATCGCGAGAAGGCGCGTTCTAAAAAAGCGAAGCGCCGCTCTCGGGCCAGTTAGTCAAAATGTAACACCGTACAGCGCCTAAATATATAATAATAATATTAATAGTAATAATAATTTATTTTTGTTCATTTGATTTTAGATATTAAGAATCAACAATTACATTATATTACTATTAACAATATATTAAATAATAAACTGCTATAATAATAATTAAAATTTGAATTTAGTGTTGCTCTAACTAGTAGTAGTATAACATTTGGAATTATAGAAAAAATAGATTACTGTCTCATGTTTACGTAAAAGAGTAAAAAAAGTATACTTGGACTTGAAACAATTTTTCGGTTCTTTTTTGTAATTCTAACAATTCTAATAATTGCAGTTATCTATTTTAAGAATTCTTTAATACCAATTTGATTTAATGCGTGATCAGTCCAGCTACAGTAATCATCTTACAAAGCAGACGTTGAAAAATTATTCTAATTCAACAAATAAAACAATTTATGTCATTTTTGGAAAATGTTTAAAATAAGCAATTGTATTTGTTCAATTTGACAGAATTATAAAAAAAAGAAAGTGCAATCTAAAATCTCTTTCAAGTCCAATCCAACAAGACCTCGTAGCGACTTTATAAATGAAGTTATACCATATTTTAGCGGATGTTTGTATATTAACACAGCATTAGTTTATTTAGTAAAAATAATTACAAGCTCTCTTGGATATATTAATATTTTATATTTATTTTTACATTATATTTTTCAACAATTTCAACAACTTTTTTTTATAATTGCGATGGTATTCAAAATCACAAGATATTTACATTGTCAGAGCCATCCAAAAGTAGTTCTCAATGTCAAGTTGGTCGTTTTTGAAATATACGCCAAGACATTATTTATTCAAAATAAGGAGTTTACAAAAAGATTTAGGATTCCTGAAGCTCCTTGTTTATATTAACCGTGTTATATTTCGCTTTCCGCCTTAAAGCTTCAGGGGGATGTTGACTCTTCTAGAAGAGAAAAAAAAATTGACTCACTCATTCCTCATTTTCAATTATTTTCACACTATACAGGCTGTCCGAAAAGTGTTACAAAAATGAAAGTTGAATTTTCTAAAATTAACTCCCATTTATATTATAGCGTTTTGGGATTCTACGATCAAAATTAGTGTATGTTCAGTAACGTTTATGATACGTACAATTTAAGGTTTTTTGTACAGGATGTTCGTATAGAGTAAATAACCCTGTATATTATATTTTGTTATAATTTGGCCAGATTTTGATATACGTACATACTTAAGACTATTGATTTCATTTTTTCAGATAGTCTAAAATTTCCGTGGCATCTCCAATTTAAATATTTTACAGTAACTTTAGAACACTCTGCCTATTTATATATTCATATTCAACTCTCAAAAACTGATATGAGGTCGGTAACCAGAAAGGCTTAAAATCCCCTAATTTTTGAATTTCAGCATGCTTTTTCCTATTTTCGGCCTGCAGTGCCCTTTTGGGGGTCTTATTCGCCATAGTTATTCGCCCAGGCGTCAAGTACAGTACAGAAATTACTAGCAACCAAACCAGTTTCGACACCAAACAATCTGTTATGGATGGTTTCCTAGATTTAGGAAGGTGAAAAACCAACATTCCTTATATAGTTAGGTAGGAATTTGTTGAACACATTGTTTGTTTTAGGAATATTTTCGCCGACAATATAGTACAAGCCACATTTCAACAGGCAAGTTTTTCTTAGTGGTGATCCTACTAATAAATGCCTCATCGCGTTGAAATCGAGAATTAACAAAAAAACAGCACAGTGCAATTTTGATTGTAAATGCAAGGGTTTGCCGTTCTTACCAACGGCAGAGCAATGCGGATTTCACAATATCGTAAAGTTACCATGTCGTAGACAAAATTTTTCTACATTTTTTCTTCAATGGAACACCGGGTGGTAGTAATTGCATGTCATAACAGCAGGGCCTAATCAAAATGCAGACATCTGAAGGCAAATCCACTGTTCAAGTTTCAATTTAAATGTAATATTAACTAAAGAAAATCATTTAAAAAAGTTATACCGATTTTTTAAAGTTTTGACCGATTTTATATCAAAACAACTTGCCATCTATGAGATTTTGTTGAACCGAAGAAATAGAATCTAGGACAGCGTAACTTGAAACCATTGTACATATTAAGCCAACCATCAACATCCAAGTATGGAGAAATGTGATTGTGTCGACAAACTTAATTTTATACATTGTAAATTAATCTGAAGTACTAGTACTCTTTCAAAAACCAACACAGACGATTTAGTTGGATTCATTTGCAGTAGATGATTGGATGCAGTTTTGTAAAATTAATTTAAATCTATGTTAGTTTTAACCATAGACTACGCCAAATCCTGCTCATAAAATATTTAGTTTGAATATAATCGACATAAAGGCGATAATTACAATATTTTAAACTTGGCCGTATAAATCATATACAACAAGCGGTCTAAAATACTACGCTGCAACACACCTAATTCAACAGGGAATGGTTCGGAATGCACATTGTTTTTCAATCGGATAAAAAATAATTTATATACATGCATACGTATCTTCGAAACCGAATGTAAAAATGAAATAATCAATTTATGACTGACCCTATCGAATGCTTTGCTGAAATTCAGTAAAGTCTGGGTACTAAATTTACTTTCATCCGATACCTTCAGTGGATCGTCAGTAATGGCTATCAAACAACTGTAATTTCTTCTAAAAGCATATTGCTTTGTAGGTAAAATATCATAATTAGTTAAAAATCCTCTTATTTACCGGTCCATTATTTTGTCCAAGACTTTAGAGAGATTAGGAAGGAGGTTAATCAATCTTAATTGTTTAAAGTTTGTGAGATGTTTTACTTTAGAAGTAGGTAGTGCTTTCAGTTACGACCACCAGTTGTCTTTCATAGTTAAATGTTGAAGTTTGAAACTTGGGTATGCCTTTATTTTATGGCGTATTCCTGATCTGTAATTTCTTTATAAAATTGATAATGAGTCGGACGTTTGTAACTTTGAACGTTTTATTTTTTTGTGTTTGTGTTTGTGTTCAGTTTTTTCAAAATATGTAGTTGTATATAAATATTTCGAAAAATAATTCTACAATTTAAATGTTTTGGAATATATGACATGTCAAGGGCTGTCAGTCCTCTGCAGTTTGCTTTGCTAATTTTAATTTTAATAATGTTTCAATAATGTCTAATATTATGTAGCCTTAACTTCATTTTTCACAAAAAATTTCGATGATGGCTGCAATTTATTATTTCCATTTTAGGTTCGCACGGAATACGTTAATTCCACAATAATTACTGTCAATTTAACTGGAGGAAATGTGGAAATTCATCCAATTCAGACGCGCATTCTTACTCACAGGTAACGATCATTGTAGCAAACTAATTGGCGTTTTCCACATTAATTACGAATTAAAAAGTAAAACATGATGATAAGTAATGTTAGCAAACGACCAATAAATAATGAAAGTTTGATAATTATCAAAAATATAGAAGATATACATACATACATACATAAATACATACATACATACATACATACCATACATACATACATACATACATACATACATACATACATAAATACATGCAGATATACATACATACATTACATAATTCCAATATAATAGATTAGTCTATTCCCTTTGCTTCAAAGCACCTGTTGACATGAAAGCTTGGCGAGCACGGGTGGTATTTTTGTTTTGTCACATTTTTTGTACTACATAATTGTTATTAATCCTCGTCTCGTCAAGATAAAAGTCTTTTTGTTCTTCTAATCAAAAATAATTTGTTGCCTATGGCCGACACAGATTGCACTTTTAGGTAAATAAAATTATAAATAAAACAAGAGATAATTTTCAGTTTAATAACAGTACCTGTTTCAAAATTATTGTAATTTACGTTTTGCACTATAGCGAATAAGATATCGACACCCTGTATAGAAGATAAAGCGAAAAGTAAAAGCAAAACTTTTATAGGACCGCATATTTTTCAAATGTTTTTTGTTATCAAGGATTTCATGAGTTTTCTTTTGAATTTAAATATATTATTAATATTATTAGATATTTCGATTCTATGTATTTTAATTTTCTTTATATTTTTTAACAAGCGCAATTTGTCCTTTAAGAAACCTTTTATTATATTTACTTAATTTGAACTGGACCTGCTTAAATAGGTAAAACCGAATCTTAGTAAGTTCATATGGTCAGGGTAGAGTAACTAAATTTCTAGGCGGTTATTTTAATTGTCACCTAACCTGAACCAATAAAATAGGTCATATTTTATGAAAACTTTTTAGCTATGTGATGTGGAGATTAAGAAAATTGGTTTCCAGACACCTTTTACGTTTATTTTGTATATACTCATTCATGAAGTATAGTATTGTATATTATGTTTTCCCATCACCCTCTGGCGAAGTATGTAAATTGCAAAAGCGAAACTTTTTAACTGCATAAAACATACGAGTCACAAAATTCCAACCTATGCTAATAATTTTTTGTCATAAATTGTCCATTCCGTAAAATAACCCACTTTTCATGACAATGAAACTTTGTAATGCATGAGAGGACTGCACTATATCTGATAAAAATTGGTCTGCTCATTTGCATTGCACTGGCTGCATTTTTGTTTTATCCCATGTAACCCCTGTGATTGATTATTTTCTTTTTAATTTTGACAATATCTGATACTTGTCGACGTCGAACGTAGAAACGCGAGGAACAAATTAATTAATTTGACAGATTTGGTTACATTGCAATAATATTTTACGCCTGTTTTTGCCGCGTTTGAACCACAAACCTTCAGGATACTAAAAATTTAGGCGCTAACTATATTTTTATTATTGTTATTTCGAAGATAGTATAAACCATATTTAGAGATGTTTAAAAGTGCCTATATCTTTGTGCCTCAAGTACAGCAACACTACGAAACAAGGGTATGGTGTCAATAGTCGTATGACTTTCAAAACCTCATAACGTGATGACTGAAGCGAACTGAAACTTTGTTGTATATTGTAGATATGGGACAAACACATTAGGCGTCGTATTTTTCTGCCTCATGATCGGTTCAAATATCAGTGGTCTTGGGAAAAGAGCCACAGTCTTTGTAGAATTATTCTCTGTGATATTTGAATTATCAATTGCTTTATTAACTAAAGTTATGTGGGTGACGCCTATTGGAATTACTAGTATTATTGCCGGTAAAAGATATTTTAATTGCCTAATTAATCTGAAAAATTTTATGGTATCATAGTACGTTCTTTTAATCCTTGTCAACATAGGAAATATTTGTCCACTATTTTATTTTATTTAATTTTATCACTCACATAACCACCGAACATTAATTAAAGCCAAGAAAAGTTTACATTCCGTTTGTAAATTTATTCATTTCTCCCGCTTATCGGGGACAGTGTGTATAGCGCTACCCGATTATATTAAGGTGAAAGAGCACTATACGTGTTGTACAAAATATCTTTAGAACCAAAGGCAGAATCCAAATATAAAGCAACCTTGCTGTCTTACTCATTTATGGGACATTACGTATGCGCGAAAATAATTTTAGGTTACGCAAATTTTGTACTACTCTCAACGACGCCGCACTATGGGGACATTCTGTATTTTTACCGGAAGACGTAAATAATATACATTATTCTTTTAATTGTAATAATATATTATACCAAAGAAAAAAATTAAGGCAAAATAAAATTAATAATATCAAAAAAAATTAAACTACTATTTTAACATCCCTGGGGAAAACGGAGACTGTCTCTTCTTGTCTTTGTTAATGGTGGACTGCACAGAGTAATGAAAAAAAATCCATACCATAACATTTTTTTAATATTTAAGTTTAGATAAGACATTGCTTACCTCCTTACCTCTTATTTATATTTCAGGTAAAATATTAACCGTGGACGATGTATCTCTAATTATAAGTCAAGTAGGTTGGTTTATTTTGACTGTAGCCGCAGGAATTCTTACTTATCAATTAGTAGTTCTGCAGTTGGTTTATTACACTATAGTAAAAAAAAACCCGTTCAAATTTTATTTTGGACTTTGGGAAGGTAAGTTTGACGCATATGAATTCGAAATAGAAACAAACAGCTAGACACTCGAAACGGATAATCAAAATAATGTGGAGTGTTTTCAAAAGTATAGTCCGACACACAATAAATGGTCATGATTGTAAAAATGTTACTTACGTTTTAATCTGCTTGGAGGCGTGGGGCCAATAAATCAAACCGGTCCAGGGTAGTAGGAAATTGAAACACATAAGTGTAATTATATAAATAATAAATATTTATTAAATAATCGTATCGTCAGAATAGTTTAAATCTGTGCTATCACTATCATGCAAGGATATAGTTAATGGTTTTACGTTGTCTCAATTTTTTTTATAATCATTTTTCACTTCAAGTTCATGAATAACACATGCTCTCTAATATCAATTAACACTGAATATCATTTCTGCAGGATTCAAATCGCAATGATGATCATGACCTAGTCTACGAAATAAGTTTTTTCACACGTTTTGGTTTTTAAAACTTTTTTGTATCAGGTTCCGGACTGATGAAGGATTTTTTCCTCTTAGTAAATGAGAAACCTGCACTGTGTGCCCCGTTTATTATGGAATGACACCTTATCTCAGAACAATATCAAACAAAGTTAGACAAAAGTTGTTTGGAATCACACAGAATGTTTGTATTTTCGTGGACAAGCAACAACTTACTTATTTTATTAGCTTTTTTTATTTTATTGTATATTAATGCGATTTTAAATCCCTCTTATATTTCATATGCAACGACTGAACGCTTCTGTTATATTATATATATATATATATATATATATATATATATATATATATATATATATATATATATATATATATATATATATATATATATATATATATATATATATATATATATATATATATATATATATATATATATATATATATATATATATATATATATATATATATATATATATATATATATATATATATATATATATATATATGTGAATATAGTGTCATCACATTTTTCCATCCGTGAATCAATACGTGAGAATATCATACACCTTTACGGGAAGGAGACCTTTACAGCCACCAAGTGTTATGAAAAACTAAGACAAAGGAGGGTTATTTCGCTGTGCAACTTGAATTTTCTTAAAAGCTGCCGCAACCAGAACTTGCTGCCAACATTTACAAGGTTGTCTTATCACACACGCACCAGAAAGACACAAGCTATCCTGGACAAAGCTAGCAAGGCCCTACTCCAAGACCAGATCAGGCGGACCCGGTAAAATTAGTGAGACTGAGCTACAACTTTTCAGACTCCACCTGAAACTGAGCAACAAGATCCATCAGTTGCTGTGGGACCGCATAGAATTATTAACATCATGGCGCACTGAGAAAGACAAGGACATCACGTCAAAAAAACTGTGGAAGAAATTAGAAATCCTTCAGTCAAATTCCAAAAAATCAGGACAAGTGCCAAATACAAACCGAAGCAGTACAGTTCATAATATTTCAGCATACCATCTTTCCGATACAGAAGTCAGCGTACTGAATAAAGGATTTAACTACGCAATAGCTCCAAAAAGAGTACCCGTCGAAGAGATCGTTTCCAACGTCGAAGCAAGTCTTTCCACCATAGACGAACAAGATGCGGAGTTAATTAGGCAAGATGTCGCCAGAGTCTTAAGACAGTCAAAACCACCGCAACCAAACTTAAGCAGAGAAGAAATGCAAGCCTTAAGGAATCTAAACAAAAACGAAAACATTCTAATAATGCCAGCAGACAAAGGAAATGCCACTGTCGTCATGAATACGTCGGATTATAATGCAAAATTGGAGGATATTTTGAACGACCCAATATACAAACTAGTCACCAGAGATCCCACGACATATTTGGAGAAAACAACTAAGTCCAAAATTCTCGATTCATCAATAAACGAGGATACAAAGAAGAAACTTATTCCGAGGGAAAAATCGAGTCGTTGCCCAAAATTCTACGGGCTCCCAAAGATCCATAAGGACGGGGTTCCCCTGCGTCCAATCGTAAGCGCCTTTAACTCACCATTATGCAAGCTGGAAAAACATCTGGCCAGTGCACTTCAGCCTATAGTGGAAAAGGCAGATTCCTATGTTAAAAACTCAGAACATTTCACTCAGATTTTAGGTTCTCTCAGGATGGACAAGGACGACATTATGGCAAGTTTCGATGTCAAATCCCTCTACCCGAGTATTCCAGTAGAAGAGGCACTCTTGCTTATAGAAGAAAACGAAGATCTTCCGCCATACATAATGGATCTGTCAAGACATTGCCTGAAAAACGCTTACTTTATGCACAACGGGAAAATTTACCGACAAATAGATGGAGCAGCAATGGGATCATCTCTCTCACCTGTGATTGCCAACCTCTTCATGATTTACTTCGAAAAGAAAGCAATAGAGAAGGCAAATCTGAAGCCAAAACTATGGACAAGATACGTTGATGACGTATTTGTTGTATGGCCTTTTGGCAAGGAGGAGCTTTTGAAATTCCTAGATCATCTGAATTCCATTCACCCAAGGATTCAATTTACAATAGAACTTGAAGAGGATAACAGTCTGCCCTTTTTAGATGTGCACATCACAAGGACCGAAGATGGACACTTGGAACACACTGTCTATAGAAAACCAACACACACTAATAGATATCTGAACGCTAAATCTCATCACCACCCATCACAGATACAGGCAGTGGCAAATACATTAATTGCTCGGTCCTTCAGGCTCACAAACGAGAGGAACAGAGATAAAGAACTGAAGAAAATTAGTACCTGTCTTCAACAAAACGGATACCAAAGGCGCACCATCAACAAGGCAATCAATAAACAACAACAGCCGCAGCAGAGAGTGCAGGACGAGACCCAACGAAGATCGATCGCTGTCCTGCCATACATCAAGGGGGTTACTGACAAAATCGGCCGAATATTACGGAAACACGACATATCAACGGCATACAAACCTGACCATACCATCGGAGCAATACTAAGAAACCCAAAACAAAAAATTACTCTGGAAAACCAAGGAGTATACAGTGTAGCATGCGGATCGTGCAGCCTGACGTATGTGGGACAGACCAACAGAAGGATTTCAGCCAGGCTCGAGGAACATCGTTTAGCCATAAGAAACAAACAAACAACATCTGCTTTGTTTCAGCACCAACATCAGACAGGCCATAAAATTGATTTCGGCACTTGCAAACAAATAGCTAATATTCCTGATTTTAGGACTAGGATTATACGAGAGGCCATCGAAATAGAAAAGTCCGGACACCTCAATACGAGAGACGACGCTCTGCATTTATCCAACACGTGGAGAACGATAATCAAACAGCAGAGCGATGCGCAGCAGCCAACGGGGACATCGCAACTACGATCGGGCGAAATTAACAACGCGACAATTCAGGGGGCGGATATATATATATATATATATATATATATATATATATATATATATATATATATATATATATATATATATATATATATATATATATATATATATATATATATATATATATATATATATATATATATATATATATATATATATATATATATATATATATATATATATATATATATATATATATAACTAACCAAATTTCCTTTACGAAAAAAAATCTTTTATTAGTTTTTCACTGTTTCTAAACTAAACAAAACTTTTTTTTTCATTTATATTTTAAATGTTTGTTTTCGGATTATTTTTTAAAATATCAGTATAGGGTACATCCTCTTCCTTACAAGGAATATATATATATATATATATATATATATATATATATATATATATATATATATATATATATATATATATATATATATATATGTACCCTATACTGATATTTTAAAAAATAATCCGAAAACAAACATTTAAAATATAAATGAAAAAAAAAGTTTTGTTTAGAAACAGTGAAAAACTAATAAAAGATTTTTTTTCGTAAAGGAAATTTGGTAACGTAACTTCTTAGCGCCAATACTAGGCTTTTAGTTTTTGACAAATAAAATTATCGGTTTTTTCTTCTGGGATATATACACCCCAGAAGGAAAAGCTAGTAACTTTATTATTTTAACAAAAATATATCGAAATGATAAAATAACAATATCAATAGAGTAACAATAACAGTAATATTAAAAAATATACTAAAAAAATACGCGATTAAAGTAAATAGAATATTATTATGCACAGTGCTTAAAACATTTATTGGTTTGCGCCTTATACGCTAACGCGGTCAGTGCCGTGGCGTATAATATTTTTATTGTCTGTTTCGGAATACTCCGATTCCTCGTCTTATAGCTCTTTCAAACACACACAACAAACAATTCCCAATCAGTTGTATAAGCATCGTCAAAATAAAGGAACTCTTGCAATACATCTTTTTTGCTGCTGAGCGTTGGCACTTTTTTAGCTAAATTGCTGTGATACCATTATCATAAAGTATTACGCTGCCTGGTGGAACATCCGTCATGGTAGTCTAATGACCAGTCTATAATGTTTTTGGCTGAAAGTGGCAAAGCGTTTGTCGCCCAACCTTTCCTCGAGCTTCGAGCCAGTTTAAATTGAAGATTCTTTTTCCTCTACATGCAGATACATTTAAAATGAAGTTCGATGAAGAATTTTACCACCCTTTCTTTGTAGTGTCACGAACCAAGTCTCGTCTAAATCATCGTTTTTCTACTGGAAATTTATGAATTCCAGTTAAATATTTTTATTTCCATTTCACCAATGCAACTACGCTTTTCAATATTTTCAAATCTAGGCAAATCCAAATTTGTACAGAAATCAACGCAATGTTTCAAGACGGCCACTAAATTGACCGTTTTCTTTTAATTTCTGTTGCAATGATTCAAGTGACGGAATCTGATTACTCTCATACATCGCATACGCTTCCCTGTGAATTCACTCTGCAGCACCAGTCCTAAAGACACTCATTATCAAAGAATCGACGCAAGATGGGCCTTGGAATAACAATTGACTCCACTGTCCTATCAATGGCAGATTCCATGCCCTCTGACATTTTTAAAATAACTCCTGACATATTTTGCTATGTTAAAGTAAAAGTCTACTGGTTGGTGTCTTTTCAAAAAGTTTTTTAAAATTTAAATACGTAGAAACCGTATGTGCAATTGTCCAGTAATATATATAAAAATGTAAGCATTAGATAAATTTTACCTTCATATACGATACATATTGAAATGACACTTTCTTATTGGTTCGATACTCTCGTTCATTCCGTCGTCGAAATTTTCTTCAACCCACAAATACTAAAATAAAAATACCACACTGTATTGATAAACACTTATAAGTCGGCTTTTTATTGGTTTATTGATCGGCTTATTGAGGGTAAAGGACCTTCCGTTTGTGATAGGCCAGGCTAGTGATGACCATTAATCGTGTGCTGGACTATACATATCTGTAAAACTAATTTGGGCGCAAATTTCAAGCAGGTCCTTGCCTGTTAGTGAGATAATAAATTTCTACGATCTTGCATAAATTTGATATTTTTCGAACTGTTTACCTTATCAAAAGTTTAACTTTTTACGCTTTTTGCAAAAATCTGGCACTAGAAACTGAACTCAAATTGAAATTTGACTCCCTAGATTTATTCCTTAGCGGCAAAGCTATGTGATTTTTTTTATATAGATTTCAATTTGAGCATATGCGACAATGACAATTTTTTTTAGTTTTATTAGAAGCTTAATTATAAAACTGAAAAGAACATACAGATTTAAATATGAAAAAAATTTAACACTAAGGCCCATATCTCTCTGACTTCCTCAATAAGGTTTGTAACCAGTTCTCGTTGAATGGCATCAAATTCTGCGCAAAGTCCCAGGGACACTGTAGGGAACATTCTATAAACCTTATTGATGAAGTCAGTTTGGCACGACGAGGACACACAGTATATTAGTCTTAGCAATAAAACGTTTTTATTTATTAAATTTCTGTTCCAAATTTTAAGCGACCTGGTCACTTTCAAATGGGGATCAGTTTTTAGTGACCTTTTCTTTGCTAGTTAATTTCCTGTTTTTATTGTCTAGCAACCGTCTGTTGATTAGACGTTTTGGGAAATCTTAGCAATGTGCTGAAAATTTCACCACCATAGAGATTTCTGACTCTCCTCTATCGATTTAAAATATTTTGAGCCATAGTGTATTCCTGCCTAGGTCGAAAAGCATTGCACAACATTTATTTTTAAAATTCAAGTGATCTTTGGAGAACAAAATAGCAAACATTATAATGGCGGTGTTTAAATGTCAATCAAATTAAGATGCAGATATTTAGAGCGTATGTTGATTGTCTCATTTTTTTTGTTTTTTCCACTATGTTTACATATCACACATAATACATATCAATATATTTGAGTTTTAACAGTAAATTTATGTACCAGCGCTTTCCAAACTTTTTTTCTTATAGACCACTTTCAAAATCTCCAGTGGACCCCCTGCTGCTATTTTTCTTCCATGTCCAATGAAAAAATTGTAGTTTTTAACACGTCAATGTAGATTCCCGTCAAATGTCCCGTGGACCCCTGACTAAATGCGTTTAGTCGTTCGAAAGTTATTGACATTTATTTCCGAAAATGATCTGCGACTCCCCATTACTTTCACTTAAGAATGTTATCTAACAAAATTTAATTATTTTGAAAGTAAAAGAAAAAAGAGAATTTAAATGGAGGAAGATTATTCACATAAAATTCCGAAGAGACTTTTTATTATAATAAATATATAGCAACAAGAAAAAAAAAGAAAATACTTACGTTGCTCAACGCTGGAGATCAGCTTACCAGCCTATGCAACAGAATAGACTCTGAATAAAATGCCAAGCAGAGACAAAAATACGTCACAAGTAACGCACACAAGCACTTGTGTAGGGTTTTAGGTTTTTAATAACCCATTAATTGTCGCATTTGATTAGTAATTTCATAGCCAGCATTTATATCAATTTTAGGTTTTAAAAAGTCTCTAAATAGAAGAAAATTTTATAGATAAATTTTTCTCAAGTAATTTAGATTTAAATTCTAAGACAATATAACTCTCGCATATCTAACGCTACATTCTGCAAAAAGAGTTCTGGCATTAATTATTTGAATAAACCACTAATTATGTATTAATATTATAAAACGTTCGCTTTTTAGAAAATCTTTAAGATATGAAAATTTTGACAGAAGCCCTCTTAATTTTCCTGGTAAAAAGTTTATATGCACATTCCATCTCATTGTAAAGGATTTTCAATTCAAGCGGTAACACTGCAACCCTGAAAATATTTTAGACCTATAGAGAGGAGTCCAAAAACCAATCTGGCTAAATACTGAAAAAATTTTCGAAACACGTTCCACCAACAGTGAAACACCCTGTATTATACGAGGATAACACTGATAAAATTTTTTCAGCAATTCTGACTGCATTTACAACCGCTTCCGAATCAGCGGCGCTTCCGGTCACGCTTAAGCTTATGGATGAAAAAGTACATATGGACCCGAGGGTATCCAGATTTGTCATCCCCCTCGGGTGTAACTTGAACATGAATGGGACGGCGCTCTTCCTAGCGGTTTCGGGGGTGTTTATATCTCAAATGACCGGAAAGGTTCTTCACTTTGGAGATATGGTGACAATATTGTTAGTTCCTTCATTTTTACTGCGTTAGGTCACGAACTAAAACGTGACTCGTAACTGATAAGGACTCTATTCCGCTCTTGATTCGAGTGAGCCTGTTCCTGACACAAAGTCAAAGTCAAAATTGATGATTAAAGCCGCAGGCAACATTGATATTTTACATGACATTTTACATTACATTTCACCCACTAACCTTGCACTTTGCGCCATTTTCTTTCTAAACAGCGATTTCGAGGATGGTATGGCTGTAGCCTGTACCATCTAAGCATAAGCTAAATACTAAAAACGTAGTAAAATTAAAAAGGAAAAACGCTATCAATAAGACGTTCTATAATGTCTTGTTGAAATTAATATGTGCATGCATTTGAATTTGAATTGAAAAGAAAACAATAACAAAATGACAATTTAAATATACTACGAAGAAGCCATCATTATAAATTGTAAAAAAAAAATCCTTTTTTCTACTCCCGCCTGTACAATACCTAATTACACACCGATCTAGCGTGCGGGACGCGTCACTTTACCACGTCAGTTTCGTTTCCTCAAATGGCCGTGTTTGTCCAAATTTTCCTTTGTCCAAATCGTATCGGAGCGTTCGGTGCTCGTTCGGGACAGCGCGGGAGGGAGGCCGACAAAGCGTTTACGTGGAGAAAGAATTTTCCTCGATAGAGAATAATTAAAATTTATTTACATTACAATGTTTTTAAAATACATCTATTTGATAATATTTACAGTGACTCAGCTTAAAAGATTCAGTTGCATTTTAATTAATCAAAGAGCCAAACCTATCATAAATGTGTTTGTTTAAAGGTTCTCAATTATTTTAAATAAATCAGTGCGGTCATAGTAAAATTGTATTTAGGTACCTTTTACTCAGAAGTTGCATACGGCGATTATCATGAATCATGAAAGGTTAATAAAAACATATGCCCAATTCTCACAGCTAAAATTATTGATGATTTTTAAATTTATTCAATAAGCAATATAATTTATCAATATCTTTATCCAATACTTCAGCTGCGACTATTTTGAGGATATGGTTGTCAATTTAAATATTTTGGATCATGCAAAAAATTAACCAGCTACCTAGCATACCCAAGAGTCAAAAAATAAAAGTTAGTTATCAGGATAAAAAGTATGAAAAAATTGAAATTGAATTGAAGCGCTTGTATGTCTTCGTCTAAACCTCTCTCTTTATTTGGATAAATGTTTCGGGCGTCTTCCCGTGTCCGTCTCCGGAGCCTTGGGTGATTTGGACAAATGCACATTATAGCATTTGTGGTTTTCCCCGTTTCCCACGGATCCAAACTACTTCGGACATTTCCAGGATTTTACCGTACGGGTTTGGGAACAATCGGATGTTTTCGGAGGTATTTCCCACGCCTTGAATTTTCACGTTAGTCAATTCTGACAAACGTGTCAGTGAACGTATTCGTGTTGTTTTGTGAAAATGTACCCAAAAAGTAACGGTCGTAGAAAAAGTATAGTATGCAACACGTTCGGTAAACTTTTTATGTCACTCGTTTAGTAAACACTCCGCTACGCTCCTCTCGTGTCAAACATTTGTTCCATAATATACTATTTCATTGGAATTAAATTTACTCCCACTTTAAATTAATAATATCAGTATGTGTTTAAGGTTTGGTGAAAGATTCTTTGAATATGAAAATAATGTTTAGTTTTGGTTATTTTAGTTTATTTGGCACGATCGGAGCGAATATTTAATAAACGAGTGACTTAAAACGTTTACGAAACGTGTTGCATACTTTTTCTACGACTTTTGAATACATTTTTGCAAAACAACGCGAATACATCCATTGACATGACTATCAGAATTGACAAACGTCAAACTTGCCGTGCGGTGATATCTCCGAAAACATCCGATTGCTCCCAAACCCGGAAATGTCTAAAGGGGCTCGGATCCGTGGGATAAGACACTCAGGTAGTAAAGTGACGTTTTTCGCACGCTAGATTGATGTATAATTAGGTATTTTACAGAAGGGAGTAGAATATACTATATTATGCAACAAGTGCAGTAAACGGCATTTGAGTCACGAGTTTATTTGACACGAGTAGAGCGAGTGTTTAATAAACGAGTGACTTAAAAAGTTTACGAAGCGTGTTGCATACTATACTTTTTCTACAACCGTTAGTTTATTTGTACATTTTCGCAAAACAACACGAATACATTCACTGACATGACCGTCAGAACTGACAAACGTCAAATTGCTCCCAAATCAGTGCGGTAAAATCCCGAAACGAAACTGACGTGTAACGTGACGTTTCCCGCTAGATCGGTGTGTAATTAATTATTTTACAGACGGGAGTAGAAAAATTAATTTTCGATTAAAGTTTCGAAATGATGATTCTTGTATTTCCGTTCATAATTAATTAAATTAAAAATGGTGCTTCTTTGGAAAAAAAAAATAATTAAATATTTTAAGAAACCACAAAATTTTATCAAAAAACCGAAAATGAAATAATATAGAGGGTGTTCCATTTAAAATAAGGTTAGGTATTATGAAATAGTTATGAGAAACCCTGTACAATAGCAACTATTTTCCTCGACTGTAGGATAAACACTTTTCAATGAAATAAAGTCATATGGAGATAAGTGAATCCAAACACATTTTGTTTCTAAGGTTTGTTAAATATTTTGTAGAGGGTCTAAGATAAGGAGGCGTCATCGCATAATAAACGGTCCAGTCCGGTACGAAACACTCTGCGAAAGACCGCATCACTTGTAGCATTCCGAGCAATCCTGTTTTCAAATTACCACAAGGACATCTTAGCTTCTTGTAGGCCTGCTATCCTACCTAGTTCGAATCCACTTAATTGAAGATACGCAAGTCTATTCTTCAAAAAAAAAAAAGTAAAAATTTTACTCCCCAGGAAGATTTCAAGATTTGCTCTGGCAACGAAAAACTCCCAAAACAGGGAGAAGCGATTCTAGGTTGCCAAATTTTTCGACAGCATTTCCACTATGTCCATAATATATTGCCAACTCCGTACGGTTGGCTACATATATTCAAACAGGGTTTATAATAATATTTGGTATATTATAATTCAAACGAACGAATCCTAATCAACTCTAATGGAATGGACACAAGAAACGTTATCACAGAACAAAAATATTGTATGATTCCGTAAATAACTGAAAAACCCCAAATATTAGTGGCCACACCCAAAAGTCGTCGAAGAAGCGGTTTCGTTAGTCTAAATGGGGAATGAAGTTTCTGTTAGAAACCGGAAAATGATAATTAGAATAAGCATATTTGAGATTTTTGGCTAGATATTAATAAATAGTAGATAAATATATCGTGAATAAGCACAAAAGACAAAAAAAACAAATTTGTAGGATATAATCTATCATTCATGCAAATAGAATCAATTTCTTCCTAGAAAATAAAAATCGCACTGTTTTTTTAATGAAAAATCAATCAATCAAAAATACTAATAGCATTTCTAATGGTTAGAATTCAAGAATAGTGACTTACTAACAGCAGAAATTGCTAAATGATATATTATAAGCACCTCTATTCTTTTACAGCATAGCAGCAACCCTGACTTCGTTTTCGTCAGTTGGTGTTCCAAGTGCTGGAGTGGCCTTAGTAGGCACTATACTTTCGACCGTCCATATACCATTCGAAGAAGCGTCGTTGCTGTTGGCTATAGACTGGCTTGTGTAAGCGATTTGGCATCAAAATTAATTCATTTGCAATTCTCTGCAACAATCATAGCTGGGTTTGTTTTTTGAGATAGAGAGTAAAATGCTAAATTTAGCTATTTTAATTACCAGTTAAGATGTATGAAACGGAATCCATAGAAGTTTTTGATTAGCGTATGCATTGTGTTCTAAAATAGATAAACGTAACCCTCCATATCCGGCAGGTTGTCAATTTTGGTGGAACAAAAAATGCCGTAATGTTTTTTTTACTGGAAGACCCCGTGATTTTTAAAGAAATAATTTTTATAAGCTTTTCAAAAATGTATAACTGCGTATAATATAATGTATAATATTTTTTTTAATAAACATATAATTTTAAAATTTTAGAATAACAACGAATTGTTAATTTTTCAAAGAAACTTCCACAGGCTACTGTAATGCTTTTTACAAAACTTCTGGATTCCTCCTACGTCGGTTTTTGCTGAGTTAAAATTGCTGACGTTTCGTCAATCATCCTGTTGGCTTCTTCAGTTTCAGTCAAGCTCTGAAGAAGCCAACAGGATGGATTGGCGAAACGTCAGAATTTCGACTAAGCAAAAACCGACGCAGGAGGAAAGAAATTTTGTAAAAAGCAACAACGAATTGTAGTAGCATTAAATATTTTTGACAACAATTAATCAATCAATTTTGTTTCCATGTTTCCTTTATTAATAAGGACTAGGTTATGAAAATGTTGGGTCTCCTTATGATCAAGAAGCAAAGTGGGGGCATGAATTATAACAACAATATAATCTGGAATACTTTTTTTTAATGTACTGTAGAATTTTAGGGGATCAGACCATTAAATATTAGTGTAAATACTTATACTTATTTTTTAATTTCACTCATATGAAATTAAGATCAAAACTAGAATATTTTTGAAATTTTCAAAATCTGGTATGTTTATTTTAAAAAATATATTTAAACAGCTACAAATTTTTGCACAGCGTATAAAAAAATAGTAAATATGAATCAATCTGAATACAAGATCTACCAGATTCTATTTGAGATTGCGTTTCTGTGTGTGGTCCGTAGAGACAAAAGACGGAGTTGTTGAAAACAAAAACTAGAGAACTCCGCGATGTTATAAACGTAACAATTAACAATGAATAAAATAATTAGCCGGACATAGTGTTACGTTTATGTCTTTTAAAACACACTGCATATGCTAATCAAAAACTTCCATATATTCCGTTTCAAGCATCTCATTACGATGCAGGGTGTTTAAAAGACAAATTTAAGGGTAACTGAAATAGTCAAATGTTTCATTTTGCTCTGAATCTCAAAAACAAAACCAGCTAGGATTGTTTTGAAAGCGTAATCTTTTGTTTCACGAAAATCGAGCCAGTATTACTAAAATCACATCGATCATTCTCTAATAATAAATGAGCTACCCCGTAATAACACTGCCCAGGATACCCAATTTTGGTTGTAAATACAAGGAATATTCATTATTAGCAACGCTAGAAGGATCATCATGCCGTATACAAAATTTTGCCACCTTGAGATACTAACAATAATACATTGTAACACGCACCCTCGTATCTTAGTTATCTTCCAACTAATGGAAAAGTACGTAGGTAAATATTTTTATTCAATTTCATTCAGCTTGTTTTTAGCTTTTAAAGAATATGCAGTTGTGTATAAATATTTCGAAAAATAAGGCTAAAATTTAATTTTTTAGAAATGTTTTGCAAATGTTTTAGAGACAGAGTGCGCACTCCTAACAACCTATTGGGCGATTGTTATACGGCGGCAGTGATAGAGAAATGGTGTTACAACGAACTGGAAATATGCGATCAAAATTCGGATTATTTGTTGAATGCTGGTCGCGATAAAGCTTCATTGGCATATCAGCCTACAGAAATATTAGTCCAGTAATCTAATCTACCAATATACCAATTACCATTTGATCTTGTACATTTTAATAATTGTTTGTAAAAGCCATTTGGGTAAATGAATATACCATACCTATTATTGTATTGTTTTTTTTTTCGCAAAAAATATCAAAACTCATTAATACTTTTTATAAGTACGAGAAAATTATTAGCAAATTTTTGAAAATTGGGAATATACCGGTGGAAACAGATCGGGAATGGATGACAACTTATTTATTTTTTGTGCAACAACTGTGATGTGTTATCGCATTTTTCAATTCTTCGGAAAATTGTAGACGTCATGTACAATTCGTACGATGTGTACCATGGCAACCATCGATCCTATCAAGTCAAGGAAAAAGTGCACATATATTATTATATATATGGGTTACAAGCTTAAGTTTTTAGTGAATAAAAACATAATATTTCTTTTTCAAAATTAATAACATTTTTAAAATGACACAAATCCATATAAATATAAAACTAGAAAGTTGCAAATCTCTAACCAACATCACCGTAACTAACGCGTAACGTACTTTCCGACAATAATGATTGGCGGACAAACGGAACAGTAACTTCAGATTACATAACCTATTTTTTTTCCCGCCTTCCTCTAAATGTGCTTTTATGGCAGATGGCGGTAAATCGGTATACCGCACAGAATAGCAAAACAACCAGAAAGCCATTTCACATTCAGTCAACAGGACAATTAGCAAAACTATTGTCGTAGAAAAAGTATAATACGCAACGCGTTGATAAATTTATTTAGTCACTCGTTTTTTAAGCACTTGCGCACACGATGGTCAAATAAAATTCGTGACTAAAACAGCCTTTATGAAACTTGTTGCACAATATACTATTAGCACCCAATGGCGCTCGTGAAATTGGTGGATAATGTTGATAATTTGATATTTTAAACTGTAGTTAAGTCGTCATTCTAAACCCAGATTTCGACTCTACCTTTATCAAAATGTTGTTATCAAAGTGCTAAAAGTTGATGCTGCGCATTTTTTTTTAAATCGAAACTTCTTTGAACTCGAATTTTTTATTCGGGCTAACTTTGCCCGAATGTAAAATAAAAAAGTAATATGTAATACGCATTGTTATTGAACGGGTCACCATAGATACACGTTTTGGTGTGGCTGGAAATACATTTTTGACATTTTGAAAGTCACGTCAAAAAAATTAAAGTTTCATTTCCTCGGTGATGACAGTGCTTTTCCAGATATTAAATATGGCAGGTGCAATGTTGTTTGAACGAGCGCAATCTGTTCCTTCTCAACACGATAAATTGATGAAATTGAAACGTAGCGATGATAATGAAGATAACGATGATGAAAATATTCAAAACAAAGAACAAGATATTCTTAATTTGGGGGAAAAATACAAGAAAGAAGGTAAAGCTAAAGAACTTGCAGACTTGATCAAGCAAACGAGACCGTTTTTAAGTGAAATTAGCAAAGCTAAAGCAGCCAAGCTTGTAAGATCTCTTGTTGACTTTTTTTTGGACTTGGAGGCTGGAATAGGAATTGAAGTTCAACTGTGTAAAGAATGTATCGAGTGGGCTAAAGAAGAAAGGCGGACATTTTTGAGACAGTCACTAGAAGCGAGATTAGTGGCTTTATATTTCGATACTGGCATGTTTGCAGAAGCGCTTCTACTAGGGTCTACATTACTTAAGGAACTAAAAAAACTGGATGACAAAAATTTATTGGTAGAAGTACAATTATTGGAAAGTAAAACCTACCATGCACTGAGTAACTTGCCCAAAGCAAGAGCAGCATTGACCTCTGCCCGCACAACAGCAAATGCTATTTATTGCCCACCTAAAGCTCAGGCTGCATTAGACCTTCAGTCTGGCATTTTACATGCTGCTGACGAAAAAGATTTCAAAACAGCATATTCATATTTTTATGAAGCATTTGAAGGTTTTGATAGTGCTGAATCTCCAAAAGCTTTGACAGCCTTAAAATATATGTTGCTGTCAAAAATAATGCTTAACAATCCAGAAGATGTCCAACAAATTGTGAGTGGTAAACTAGCGATTAAGTATGCTGGCCGAGATGTAGATGCAATGAAAGCAGTAGCACAAGCGTCGCACAAGAGATCCCTAGCAGACTTCCAACAAGCAGTAAAACAATTCAAGCATGAATTAGAGGATGATGTTATCGTAAGGGCCCATTTGGGAACTTTGTATGATAATATGTTGGAACAAAACCTATGTAGGATTATAGAACCATACAGCAGAGTTCAAGTTGATTATATTGCAAAAACTATCAAGCTTCCAATGCCACAAGTAGAGAAAAAATTATCACAAATGATTCTTGATGCTAAGTTTCATGGAATTTTGGATCAAGGAGAAGGTATGGTTTAATAATAATATAATGTTAATAAAAATCTATGGTGTCGTTCTACTAATCTGTGACATTATGAGAGCAATATTCCACATTGTACCCCTAAATTTGTTATCCAAATTATTGAAACTTTAACAAATATTTTAAAGTTTATGAATTTGGAATCTCAAAATATATATGTTTGATCCTAATCATTGTTTTTTTTAGGTGTATTGATCGTATTTGAAGAAACTCCAGTAGACAAAACTTATGAAATGGCATTAGAAACAATACAAAGCATGAGCAAAGTTGTAGACACACTTTATCAAAAAGCAAAGAAGCTCTCATAGGTTAAGTGTTGACATATTAAAACAGACTGTATTTTTCCTACCAATTTTAAATTTTCCCTAATTTGAATTGCATTTTTGTTTTTCCCTCTTTAACAACTTACATAGTGTGTACATAATTAACAAAATGCTTTCTGATTTTCAAATTAAATTCTATATAATAAAGTTTGTGGGTTTGATTTGTATATGTTGAAGTCTTGCAGCACTTTTCAGTCTGGGTCGGGATAGAAGAAGAATAAATCATGAAAAGTGCTGTCTTTATTGTACAAGTGTTTTTAATATAATACTTTGCAAACTGTTACTTTTGCTTAATCATAATAAATAATTTATAATTATTGTTTGCTCTTTTTCGCTTTACCCTTGGTGGATTTGAGTTTTTTCCCTTTTTTCTTTTTCTTAACTTTATTAAATTTTTTCCTTGGTGAAAACATTCCAGGCATTCTTCTTGCTATATCAAACGATGGCAATACAAAATTGACGTCGATTGGAAGCCAGTCTTTGGGAAGAGAGTCTGTAACAATTTTCTCTTGTTCGCTATGCAGATCAAATCTATCTCCCCCACTAAAACAAAAAAAATCTTGCCTGGTCCCCCTCAATGACTTTAGTAATAAAATGTGTGTTCAAGAAAATACAAGAACATTTGGCATACACACCTTTCTTGGCACTCCTTTAATACAGCAACAAATGCTTCATGCTTAGGGAGATGTTGCAGTAAATAGTTTCCGGGTTCCAACATCTGCAATTTTTCAAAAACCTTTTGCAAAATACCTAAACCTAGGTGTGGTTTGTAATTATAATGAGTCTGAGCTTCTGTGACAACTTTTTGAATTGTACACCTTTCCACGCATATAACTTCATTTGTGAGAGGCGATATTCTAACTAAAAGCTTTTTCTATTTTTTTAAGTTGTATCAATTTACATTTTTCATTACCTCTATATAAATTTGAATATGGAGTGAAAAACAAGGATGTCCACTCTCGTGCCAATTCCGATTTTGATGGTATATTTGCACCAAAATTTAACTGCATTTCCAATTTAGGATATAAGATGACAGGTTGGAGAGTATTATTTTCGTTGCACTGAAAAGAGCATGTTTTTAAAATAATTTCCCTATATAATGTAATTAAGACTTATTGTTTCAAAATATTTTTATTATATATATATATATATATATATATATATATATATATATATATATATATATATATATATATATATAGTATATATGCAATAACGAGCCAGTGAACAAGTTTATCAATATGTTGCATACTATTATACGACTATTAGTTTTTGGGTACATTTTTGCAAAACAGCATGAATACATTCAAACGTCAAAACATCATCACTCACAGCAACTAGCATCTGGCCTGCTGGTGAACTCCCGAAGTTTTACAAACGTTACCTTCAATTTTTTTTTGTTGGTGTTAGTTAATTTTGGTTTCATGAAAAATAAAGACTCAAACTATTACCTCACAGGCATCAAGTTTACTTCGTACGAGTACATTAATTTCCAGGGATTTGGATTTGTTTTTCATTAGATTATTTTGGCAATCAGTTTTCTTTATGTTCCAAATCCTGTAAGTTGCATTATGATGAATTTTGTTGCAATTTTTTTCTCTAAAAGCTTCGTCTAAAAGAAAACTGGATATGATAAGGGCAGTTAAGTTTACTGCATAAGCCGCATCAAAGATTTCCATTTTTTTTTTTTTACATATTGACAATGGTACTAACCAGCATTTTCATTAACTGTTGAAGATTTATTTCTAGTTTCTTCTGAAGTTGATACTGAAGTCTCTTGTTTATCATACCTAAAATGAAATTAATAAAGAACTGAAGTTTCGCACAGCAGCTTTTGAAATAAATAGCTTCATATAAAATGCTTATATGTATTATACATGATATGCATAATCCACACATAATAGTAGTAATTAGGTAAGTACGTTTGAAAAGAAACTGATTCAGAGGTCTTATTTCTTCAAAAGGCTGATATTTGTAAGAGTCTTTATAGCGTAAGTATACGGTTTGGAATACGCGTGTAGTATTTTGAGCATACAGTGAACGGCTGAAATATGGAACTTGATCTCAATTTTACTGACTCGATCTTGTAATGCGCCTTTCTGGATATTTTACTTTAAACAAATTACAATCCTCTTTTTGAGTTCTCGTTTTGCCTGCATATCCAATAAAAATAAAAATTTCAATTTTCAGAGTTTCGTTTATATGCGTCATATTCATTTCCTGACAGAAATGTAATTGTGACAATTTGTACCGCTTCATTTCAAAATAAAATGTCTCTTTTTTTTTCCTCACAAAAAGTGAGAGAGTGACGCAAAATTCGAAAATGGATATTTAACAAAATGGTGTTCGATATAAAGAAAAGAACTTGGTATCGACATCTGTATATTTTCTATTTACTGCAAAAAAAAATGAATTACGAATATTTTCCTTGAAATCCCAAACCTGATTTTTAAAAGAATTTGTTCCATATTTCAGCCGCTCACAACATATCAAACTCAACTTAAGTGATGTAAGCAGTAGAATTTATTCTCCGATGGTAGCGATATTGATAATTGATTGATTGATAATAAATTGATAATGAAATGTGGCGGTAAGAATTTTTGTTTACCATAATTGAAATCATCAAAAATATTCGATGAAAGTAATAGATCATATGGACACATAAGATGATTGGTTTTGGTTATTTTAGTGAAGTTGTCAGACTAAGAACGTTCTGTTGAGCTCGATAAGTTTACCCAAAAATGGCCCTTTTTTTAATTCACATTCGATCTAACAAAATAATAAAAATTTCCGGAAATTTCGAAAACAATTTCCTATGGGGATTTCCAAAAATAAAATAATTGACGAATACGCTTGTTAAAATCTAAAATTTAAAACAATTATTATTTCTAAAATTATTAAAAATGCCTGGATCTTATTGCGAAAATGGAAAATGTGATAAAATGGCAACATGTTTGCTTTTAACAATGTACTATATAATTTTAAAAATTCGAAATAACAAAATTTCGATAAAGTTCGATTTTGGTGTAGACCTTGATGACACTGGTTGAAATAAAGTGCCAAATGTGCCTATAGACATCGTATGTGTTAAAACTATTATAAATTAAAATTAGAGACCATAAAATTATCCACATCTGGACTCTTCAGTAGGCCTAGTCCACAATGTGTTATAATGGAGCCTTAAGGTAGAATACTTAATAATAATTATTGATATTGATATGGATTATTATTTTAAACCATAGTTAATACTTGATCCGTGCTCTTCAAAGTTAGCATTAGCATTAGTTTGACTTCAATACTTACTTGAAAGCTTCAAACTGACAAAAATTTGTTCTAATCAATCTTTTGAAACTAAGATGTGCAAAATCAACGTTTGATGTTTCCGTATAGGAACACCGTTTATCCAGAAACACTATTTTTTTCGATCTCTCTGGCTCATTTTCTGAAAAAACAAAAAATGTAATGTAAATGCTTAGTTTTTACATCCGGGATGTTAAACTACCACAAAAAATATAGATTACTACAAAAATTATGATATGCAGAGCGATCCATGGCATACAGGCTGCCATTACTGGGAGATTCTGAGAGTTTGTTTTAGCGAAAAAATTGTTTTTTTTTCTATGAAAGTGCAGCCTGCACTCAAAATAGTTACACTCTGTATAATGGTGACTTTCGTGAGGATTATAAATGGAAAAAATAAATCTACAGAGCCACTTACTTTATCAAAGGTGATATTTTTTTTAGAAGAAGAAGCAATGTCGCATTAGTGAAAATATTTTGGAATACTACCTATATATTTTTACTGCTTTGAGCATGCTAACTCGTGAATAAGTCATAATCGATAGACTGTCCGCTCCCTGAAGAGAGAATGCGTTTCTAATTCCATGCTATAATTTAAGCGTGCTGAATTTTTCAAGAATTTTAGTCGTAGTACCAATGTGATGGTCAGATCAGCAATATATCTAATGTGACTAGCTTTAACCAAATTGCTAACTTGTGTGATATTAACTTTCACTCACTTGACACGTTTGTAAATGTAAAGAGAATCTGAAAAATAATTCAGTTTCCGCTTTGTTTTCTTCGCATCTCCTTTTGGTTGTTTTTTATTATTTATATGAACACTTGGTTTTTGGGCAGGCGTAAGATGTAATTATTGCGCCGCGTTTATTGTTTATTTTATTTTAAGTATTTTCTGTAATTGAATTTTTGAGAATAAAGCACTATTATTATCAAATTACCCCCAAAAACTGCTGAAAATAAACACCCCCACCCCAGGCATGAATTGTACAAAAGCTAGAAAATAATAGCGGAGCAGAAAATGCCATAATTACGAATGGACTACTTTCTTGAAGTTAGCTAATGCAGCAATGGCCAAATGCCTCATTTTGCATACACGTCTAAGATAGTGTACTCACTTTTCTTGTTATTTTCAAAAATGCGTCTTACATTAGAGGTGTTACAAACACAAAGCATCATTTATTTTTTTTTATGAGTACACTATGGAAAAAAAAACGTCTTGTTTTTCTAATATACTTAAATTGTTAAACGGTCTCAGTATTTCGTAATTATTACTTTAACTTCGGCCTCCTGTTCCGCCTACTATAACTTGTATTAACCCAACATATGAGAATTATGAGAAATAATTGGATATAGCAGTGGTGTATTATCAATTCTCATTTAATATTGCACTCACCAATTTATTTTTACAGACAACTAACTTTTTTGGAAAGCTAATAACAAGCCTAATAAACTATTAAAAGACATACAGGGTATTACTTTTGCCCCTCTATATCTCTAAAAATCTAAATATAAAGCATTTTTTCTGCATTTTTTACAGACAGGTGCAATGATTTTTGTGGATACTGTACACCAGACCCAAAATAAGTAGACCAGGATATATGTGCATATAAAACACACATAGACACTACACAATTAAGTAATTCACTTACCTCGTTGGATTTTAATTTTCTTAACTACAATTGGAATCAACCATTTGTTCTTCAAATCGGAACTATCTGTTATACATTTTAACGCGCTGAAAGAGATAACAATGTCCACCTCAAATTGTTGCAGCAAGTTCATTATATTTTCATCACGACTAACTGAAAGTGTAGGAAATTTGTAGAAAATCTAGATACAGTTTCAAAAAATTTAAATGGGAAGCACATCTATAAAATGGGCACTTCCTTGTTGTTACATTAAGCATTAAAAAAAAAATTGAGTCAAATTTTTGAAATTTAATCTTTCCCACACATTTTTGACCAACTTATTACCATATGTAGAGTGTGACCCAGAGAAGGAGGATTAAACTATATTTAAATTGCAAAAAATCTAATTTTGGAGGCCAATAACATGCTATGGAGAAGCAAGAGATCATCCAGGATTTTTATTAATTGATTTTCATTTTTACCTGGGAGTTTTGAATTAAAATGGTGATTGTCTTCTAAATTTGGTAAATTAGCCTTTTGGAGGCGACAAGGACTTCTTAAATCGGGATGACTAAACCTTGCCAGTGTTCCCTGAAATACAAACTTTTTTGACTGAACAGAACACAATAACCAGACATTTACCATTTCCAAAACATTGTGAGTACATGTAAAATCTATAATATTTTCATTTTCGTTGAACTTCATATTAAATGAACATTTTTCATTATAAAATCTTGGATATAGCCCTAAGTTTTTCCACCTCATTTCCCAACATTGTTTGCCAAATAATATTATAGCAGGTTTTATCCTTAATAATTTCGCTTTATCCTTCTGGTTCCATTCATTCAAAACATGTGTTTCATACTTTGCATTTTCCTGGATAATTTTTGGTTTCAGCTTCTACTAAAAAAAAGCTACCTAATAGACATTTTCTTTCAAGCATACTAAAAATAAAACAAAAATGTATACTGGATTTAGTTTCCCAGTAAGTTTTATATGAATATATGATATATGATTATATGAAGTTCCCTTTCTTTAGTTTACCTCTATTAATAAATAAAGTAAAACTCGATATTGGTTTTACAAAAATTTACAATACAATCAAAATAAAATAAGAGTATTACATTAAAAACGTTTATAAAAAACTGTTCGCTTGTAGTAAAACTGGAAGGATCCTTTCCATTGTGTAAAAGCTTTAGAGCTTTTAAACACTGTTCCTGGCTCCATTCGTCTAATAAAGATTTGATGGTTGTATTTATTCCAAAATTTCCACCAGGAAAATAAATGCTATCATCAAATATTTGCTTTCTTTTATTAATTTTAAATAACCTTTTATCGTGAAACGATTTGTAAATTAAGGATTTGGATATAACTTCTTCAGTAATGAACACTCGTTGCGGTTCAAGGTCAGAAATTTGTTTCGTGCGCCTAAAAAACGGAAGTACCTACATTAAATTTAAATAAATTTTACTTCGGATTTACCAAGACAACTTCAAAAATTCATCCATTTGTAAATATACCACTATATTATTATTTATAACAAATTAACCTTTCAATTTCTTCTTCTTTTGTCCATCTCCTATCTTATTCTTTGAACGACCATAGATAAAAAGATAAAAGTTACATGCATAGAAGGTCAAGTTCAAGTTCAAGTATGCGTTTCACAAAAAAATGTTGGGCTCGACTGCTAGGATCAATTCGCCCATTGCCGACTTCCGTCGAGGATCTTCGCTTTTGGTCATTAACCAACACGTACAAAGAAGACATATAATCAATATTTGCTCAACTAGCAAAAAAACAAATTTGACCGATACCAAAAAAAACCGACACCCCCCGCTTCCACCGCGGACCATCCGGGCCCATCCGGCCTCCATACCGGCGTGAACGGGGAAATACGACGGGGCCGACGACGATTATAACTTTAAAACATGCACTGAACACTAACAACACTAAGTCCACACAGTGGAAACCGATATCAAACTTTTGAGGACGAATACAAGGGATTCTGTCGGGAGCGAACGGAGGTTAAACCGCCGCGTACAATGCTCCACCACAGAATCCTGCATAGAAGGTAAGTGATGAGTATCCGTTGTATAAGTAGATATATCTTATTAACCAATTGCCATGCGGCCTTGAACAAGCAACATGGCAGCTGATTGTCAATAAGTATGATTGCAGGATTTTTACTTTGGTATTTTGTCATAATGTGTCTAGATCTCTGTAAATGTTGTGGGAAAACATCATGTGTATGAATATCGCTGTTTTGGGGCAAATTAGTGAATTAAATGCAGAGGCATGCTCGAAAAATCAAATTCTACCCTAGTAGGGCCACTATATTATCTAGTACTCCTATCCATTTAGTTTGGAATTTTAGTTGGCCTAATGGTTTATCACCCTCCTTTTTTTAGGTATCCTTTTGTATGTGTTGCGAGGCTGTAAGATGCGAGGTGGTGTAAGCTGACGTAGCTACTTTTTCTTCTAAAACAATCTAACCTGAAGAAAAGTTTTTGCATTATGTTTTTTATTTGATGTGGACAAAGTTTTAAGACTCATTAGCATGTAACCAGGAGAGGAAAGCTATACGACACGCGCGAATACGGGATTTACAGCAGCGCTAGCACTAAATGCTGTTATTCTATCATTTAATGCAGTAAATGTCACTTAAAAACCGGGAAAGGGAGTAACAAATACTAACCCGAACTAACTAAAAACTAATTTTTGTTGAGCGGAACGAATTTGTCTTAGGAGAAAGTTAAAGATTATGGGAGCTTTGGTTAGCTTTTAGTCCTTCCCGAATAAACCATTTGACTTGAAATCGGGCTTATCCGGCAAAATATTGTGTATTGCTTCAAGATTAAAATTTAGATGACAACCCACGAAACACTAAACAAAACAAATCTAAATCTCGGACTAAGCTCAAAAGAAAATCGCCGAGAAATCGTTTCTAAACATTTAATTTAAATTCAAAATTTATCCCTAAAACAAATATGTAACTTGTCAATATAGCAACGTTGCCGGCAGTGACTTCGGATTCTGCAGACTTATAAGTTGTTCAATATTATTATTATTATTATTATCGTATGGCAATAACACAGTCTAGTTTTAAAGGTTAATGTTTACAAAGGTTAAATCTTAATATCTAGGTTTTCAATCCAAACAAGAGCCGATGGAGTGGCCCTCAAGAAGTCTGTTGTCATACACTGGCTCTGTCTTTTTTCGCACTCGTATGCTAGGTGGCGGATGGTTTGTCGCCTTCCACAGTCGCAGCAGTTGGTTTCTGATTTGCCCCATTTGTGCAGAGAGTCCGCACAAACACCGCATTCTGTACGGATCCGATTTAGGGAGCACCAGGTTCCTCTCGGTAGTGTAGAACCTGGAACAGTTTGGTTAACGTGGAAAACGCTGCAGATATCTGGAGGAACGCTATTTTGCCACATCTGAGCCCATTCGTCTTGTAGGTGGAAGTTATTGGATATAAGCGCTGCCGCTGTTTGAATTGGAGGTTTTCTGGAGCGGAGCCTGTGCCCTAGTTGAGCGATATCTTCATGGATTTGGAGTTGGGGATTGTTTTGTATTTTTCTAAATTCTCTGCAGAGAGCTTCCGATCGCCGGAGATGGGCTGGTGGAATGTTGCAGAGCGCGGGGAGCCAATACGTGGGTGTGGAGTTGATGGTTCCACTGATCATTCTAAGTGAGTTGTGGATTTGGACATCCACTAGTTTTGAGTGGAGGCTATTCGTCCAGACAGGAGCGCAGTATTCGGCCGAGGAGTAAACAAGGCCAAGAACGGAACATCGGTTTGGATATTATGTTGTTTGTTGTCTTAAGTTTGGCGGCTACGTTGCTTAAATGTTTTTTAAAGGAGAGTGTACGGTCTAAGGTGACGCCCAGGTATTTCGGGTGCTTGTTATGTTTTAGTCGGGTTCCGTTAAATTCGACGTTCAGTTCTGTGTTCGCCAACTTGTTGTTAAGGTGGAAGCAAGAAGTCTCAGTTTTGGTCACACTCGGTTTCAATCTCCATTTCGCAAAGAAATCATTCATGGCCATCAGATCTTCGCACAGTACATCTTCTGCAACGTGGAGGTTTTTATGTCTGAAGCCAAGAGCCATGTCGTCGGCATGGTTAAATTTTTTAGAGCGAGTTTCAGGTAGGTCTGACACATAAAGGTTAAATAGCAGAGGGGCAAGGACGGACCCCTGCGGTAAACCATTATTTAGTACTCTCTTTTTACTTGATTGATCATTCAAATGCACTTGGAATGAGTGATTGCTAAGCATGTTGTCGATAAGGCTTGTAGTTGCTTTGCATCTGGTGATGTTCAGAAGTTTGTATATAAGACCCTGGCGCCAGACCGTATCATAAGCCGCGGTTAAATCTATGAAAACGAATGCCGATTTCCCCTGATTTTGGAAACCAGCTTCTATGAAGGTTGTAAGGCTGAGGACTTGATCACAGCAGCTTCGGTTTTTTCTGAATCCCGCCTGTTCTATTGGGATATGCAGCATGATTATGTCGGATATGCGGTTGTATATAAGTTTTTCCAGTAGTTTATAGCAGGAGCTGAGTAATGCGATGGGTCTATAGCTCTCGGGTCTGTCTTTATCTTTACCAGGCTTGAGCAATGAGATTATTTTTGAGTTTTTTAGTTTTGGTGGTATATAGCCATTGTGGAGAATCTCAGAGTAGAACTTAGCCAGCCAAGCCTTTGTTACAGATCCACTATAGGACAAGAACTCTACATGCAACCCATCATAGCCGGGCGCTTTACCTGTTTTCATTTCCTTTATAGCGTTTTCAATCTCCTCTGTTGAGAAGGGTTTAGCGAAATCGGATTCTCTTGTCATGTTCTTTTTTAGCTGGGATAGCTCTTTTCTAATTTTGGTTGTGTGACTTTTGTCGTTGGGCGCGGATACCGCGGGGTCGTTTCTCACAGGTGGAGAACCTGATCCGAGTTTTCTTATGAGGCTCCAGGCTTTTCGGCTCGAGTGTTTGAAGTCCACATTGGCGACGGTTTGGGACCATTTATTACGTCTAGCGTTGTCAAGGCTCTGCAGTATTTCGTCAGCGAGATCAGGGTCTCGGCTGTTGAGATATTCCTCATATAAGGATTGACTGTCCTCATGCCAGCCGGGAATGTACTCTTTTCTATATCCTCGAGGGATGGACTTTTTTGCGGCGGCGATCACCGCTCCACAGAATCTGTCATAATTTTTGGGCTTAGCCGGGATCCAGTGCAGAGTTCTATCCAGGATGTGTTGGAATTTTTCCCCAGTCCGCTTTATTGAAATTCCATCTTGGCTTTGGTGTTGAATTTATAAGTGGGATTTGGACTCCTACTGTCACCAGAACAGGCCTATGTTGGCTATGGGGAAAGCACTTTCCTTTCTGTTGCTAGGGGGGTGTTGTTTAGTTTTCTGGTGACAAAGCAAAGATCGGGGTTAGAGTCTCTGTTCCAGGCGGCGGATCTAAATGTCCCTGGCTGCTTGGCATCGTGAACTAGGTAGAGATTACTGATCTCCGCCCAGCTGGTTAATTCGGTACCAGCAACGTCTTCATTAAGGTAGCCCCAGGCAGTGCTGTGGCTGTTGAAGTCACCAATATAGACCGCGGGGCGAGTTTCCATTGGTAAAGCTGCTTCCGGCCAGGTCATACCAGGCGGCTTGTACACATTGATTATCGAGAGAAGGCCGATCTTGACGGTTATTATGTAGACACTGTTCGTGCACTTGGATGATACTAAGGATGCATTTTTTATAGTGCTCCTGACGTATGTGGCTGAGCCATGGGCATGATGGAAAAGAGATGCAAGTGCGGTATAACCAGGGATACGACCTCTTTTTTGAAATTCTTCTTCGCTGTTTGTGTGGGTTTCCTGTAAGGTCACAATATCGATGTCATTTTCGGTCAGCAGTTTAGATAGGTATTCACATTTGGCTCTGCTTATACCCTCTATATTTAGCTGGCAAATACGGACTGACGGTCCGATAATTCTAGTCTTGGGGCTCTGAGAAGAGCTGTTTCGAATCTGATTTGGAATAGCTTGCGAGGTCATCCTCACTAGTAGAACAGTAGAAACATGTGTTTAAGGGACAGGATATAGATACAAATTGTCTGACCGCCAGCTGTGTTAGCTCTTTAGCGTTACCCAGGGTGCACCACGAGGAGGCGAGCTAACGTTGCACCCCTTCAATATATAATATAGTTTAAACATTTTATGTTTTAGCTGATTTCGTCGTTGTTTTACTATGCTGATAGTGTTCTGACATGTTTTCTTTATTTCGGTAGTGGGTCTTCCAAAAAATAAAATGCAAGTAGAAAAATATTGGTTTACTAAGTTAATAACTCTCCAAATTACAAATTACGATTACATTTCAATTTCCCCTAAAGTCTATCAAATAGCGCGACAGCCACCAAGACAGCAAAGGCTGTATGCCTGCCACAAACAACAGGAAATATTTCTTCCGTTTGTCGTCTGTGGCGTGTCCTGGGTTATACTGGTAGTCCTGGTGGCTTCTGTATCTAGACAACACGGGCACTTTTAGATTTCTAATGAGGAAAAATGCCAGTGCCAGACTTGTATAGCTCAACGCAATATAATAAACAGTTTTTCCCGCTAGCGCGCCAGCCAAAACGCTGACGGTGGTGCCCGTGAACTTGTAGCCGGAGTAAGCCAGAAGATCGAATGTTTCAAGTCTTGTGTTGATTTGCATTATGTATAGGATACACAGGTGAATCGCTAATTCCAACACCCAACATCTCAATGCGAAAGAAGCGGTTATTTCGAGTTGCTCTGGTGTGAATCGACCTTGGATACCCAGCACCATACCGGCCACCCAGACGTAAGTTAAATAAGCCATTGTGGGTATGTATAAGTCGGCAGCGTTTATTTCGAACCGGGGCTGTATAGGTCCATCCGGTTCATATTTAACCGACCAATCCTGAAAACGGTCGTTTTATACAGAAAATACTTATCGAATTTACCTATTGAAACAAATTGGAGCATTAGAATTTATCAAAAAATTGGTCAAAATGTGATTCCTGTCGTAACATAATCATAAATTTGTGACTGTAAAATCAGTATTAGATATCCTATTTGTATAAGGTAAAGCTCCCGCAAGTCGACAATAATCGACAGCCTCACCAAGAAGGTGCTAAGGCAAGTGTCGCCATCTATTACCCAGTGTCTGATTTTAACCTTGATAGCACATTTCCCGATAATGTAAAGGTTAATTATGGCAACAGGTACATATTTTTGTTAAACATGTTGAACTGCCTTTAATTCTTTTTAATATGAAATGCAAGCTCTACCGACCTCCTAGCCAATGGTGAGTTAAAGTGAATCCTTATAAAATATTAGTTTAAATAACTACTTATTAAGCAGGCTTTTCCAACTATTTGCAATTGCAAATATCTAAATTTTCAGAAGTTTTGGGAACCCTTAGTTTAAAATAATTAATAATATAGTCAAGACTATTTTGAGTTAACTTTATATATTTTGTACTTGTCCAAAAAAATGGGAATATTTTACTAAATCTAATTAAAGACATTTGAACAATTACACTGTACCTTATACCTGTACCGATCAACCTCTTTCAGAGTGGCTAAAATTTACAGATTAATATTTGATCAAGGGAGCATACTACTATAAAAACAGTTTATATCTTAGTTACAATATACTCATATACAATTGAAATCGAAAACTTGACAATTAGACAATAGACCATTCAATTTCCTTTCCGGTATTTATCATAAACCTTTGTAACAGGAAAAAACTTACCGAATGAGTAAAAGGAAAAAACAACAGCATCAGTTTCGCTACCACATAGTTTGTATCCACTGCAAAATAGCACTTTAATTTTATAAAAGGCACATAGTTTCTTATTTGCTGTCTAATAATTGTTTTACCATTTGTTGCCAACTAAAAATTATAATTCAAATCCTCGTTAGAAAGCAAAACTGGAAACTCACCTGTTGCACACACTGCATAGTCACATCTTGCATGACAGGCTGCCCTACAATGCCCAAATTACCGGCGATGCTCTGAAACGGGAACTGAGACACCGACGAAGTTTGGGCCCCATTAGTGGAGGACGCGGTTCTTTCAGACGCTTTGAGGTGTGGGTTGAGATTCGCACTTGTATCGGCAGTGACATTGGGATACATATTTTGTTGAACGTTCGGGTTGGGTGAGGCGTAATCCATGACGTCGGCATTGCTCACTTGTTGCTCCACTCCGCCTGCAACATCGTTACGATATAAAATGTAATAGGTTATGCCCAGCAATCTCCTGAATAAAAAAAAACTCATTTTGGACATTTAAATTACGAAATAAATGTTCAAGCCTCAGACGGAGCAGGAGAATGTAATGGAACGCGTTTCAACGCCCCAAAAATCACAGCGATCTATTTTCATCGTCATCTTTCCCTACGATCCGTGACCAACCATATCCTCTTACCATTCTGACGGATGGAAATATTTGAATTTATTTATAATTGGGCCAGTAGTGAAATAGTCTTTTAATTATTTAGGAAAAAATGTTTGTGTGTGCGGTTTTCAACAAACGCCAAAGAATACGTACAAAAATTGTCAAATATTTTTCAATTTCCGCCACAGTTTACAGCCCACAGAAACTTAGAGATGATCCTTTAAAAGTCTCTATAGGCCATCAATACACTGTTGTTCGAATTAGGGCAAGACGCTGTCTTACAAGTAAAATAAAAGTTAAAGAATGTAGCTTGAAGATTTTACAGAATCACCTATAAGGTTACATGATATACCAGCCAAATCAAAAATCTAGACCGGCAAAATCACCAAAACTTGTTGAAGTTTCAAAGTAATTGCATTTGTGTCATCAGGTAGTGCTGAGACATGAAATATGCAAAACACAGTGTGTGGCCTCCATATTAGAGATAAAGAGGCCTTGGAAAATATTTCAGGGAAATTCCATTCTTTATCATTATGCGCGAGATTTAAAATCTCTCGCCACTATATAGCTATTAGACAATATAGTCGTCCTACTACACTAAAAATTAATGCGCCTCACTTGTGCTATTCTTGTAGAAATGGCAATGATATTCAGCGGATGGCCCTACATTTACATCCAAAATTATTGACGATCTGTCACCGACGATATTGGTTTATAAATGCCGCAAGGTGATTGATTAAAAACAAGATTGCGAATCTCGCGCATGCGCATGTTGAATGGATCTACTCAACAAAGCTAGTGAAGATGTGCCGGCATAATGGATGGGAAAGTCTGAAGGTCTGCCATTAACACAGGGGCCCACCGCAAATGGATTAGGAGTTAAATCATTATCAACCGGTATAACACAGCCCATGAGAAAATCAAAAGCAATAAAAATTACTACAGGGAAAAGAAAAGACATGTTTTCTATACTATATGGGTATTTTAACAACAGTTTAATATAAATATGTGTTTATTTATAAAACTGATCAAAGATAAGGGTGCTTGCCAAAGTTCATAAGGGAAGTCAGGTCAACATTTTCTCATATTAATGCTTCCAAAGGCCCCCTTGAGCACCATTTTATTTTCGTTTTTTTTTTTACTTTATCTTTAATTTTGAAAATATTTAAAACATTATTCATCATTTTGGAGGTGAGGTATAAGCTGAGAAATTTTCACTTATAACCAAATGCATTTATAGAGGTTACAACCGCCTAAATGGAATTTTTAAAATTAGAACAAATTAAAAATAGAAGGAAATGTATAGAACAATTTACTCAATCAGAAATAAATGTGCAGTGACATTTACATTGCAAAAGTATAGGGTGAAAAAATTTAAATTTAGCCTTCTCAATTTCAAATCAATGCATTGAACTAAATAGTAGAGTATTTTCACTTTTTTTATTATATTATTCCTAAAATTAGTTTAAGTGCTACTGAGCCCATCACTTCAACATATCATTGCTTATAATATAAAGCAATAATAAAGCAAAAAAATCACCGTCCAAGGGGACCACCAACTTCAATACAATTATTAATTTTCTTATAAACTAAATTAATTGTTTGACGTCGAAAGCTCAGTGCAGAAAATAAAATGATTACAAGCCAAGTTTAGTTTTTTTGCAAAAAAAAAGGTATTAGAATCAAGATGGCAATGTTCAAAAATTTTGGACAAATTAGAGGGATTGCCTTATTAGTCCCCGAGTTTTCAGCCTTCTCTCCCTTCTTGTAAATCGTTAAAGAAGTCTGATTGGTACAATTTGATACATTTTATATTCTCATATTTTCGATTGCGGGTAGGATAAACATACACAATTTGACAAAACATTAATAAACAACGCAAAACTTGATGCACCTCCAACCCTTGATTAATAATTACCTAGTGTTTTCATTTCTTAGATTTTTTAACTTTTACGTAAAGTATTTCGCGTTGACAAAAATATAAGACGGTTACCAGGCATGTCAACTTCCCAAAAAAATACTTATTACTAGGAAGGGCATTAAATAAATACTAAACAAGAACAAAAATAAAATTACAAACATCTTCGGAAAAAATCAGTAAAAACACATTTACCATTTTGAAACATTTTCCACAAGCACAGAACAAAACAGAAACACTATCTTACGTCTTCGTTTGTTACGAGTGCATCTTCTTTCCAATGAAATAACAAAATTACCAAAACCACTGGAGTCAACCCGGCGACGTGCTGAAAAATAATGCAAATTTACGCATATAATTCTTAATGAAATCATTTAAATATTATTATTTGATTACCAACCATTTTTTTTATTAGTATGACATAAACTTTATAGTATAATATGTAAAAATAATTCTTACTTAAATCATGTACATATTATTAGTTGATCAAACAATATTTTCTTTAAATATCTGTGAAAAATGAAATTTTTAGACTTGCATTTCCTAAGAAATCTCCGAAAAAAACGCATGCAAATTGGAAATTAAAAATACTTGACTTTTTTCTGTTTGCACATATTATATTTATATTATATTTTCATTTTCGGTTGTGGGTACATTTTTGCAAAACACCACTGGTATTCACTAAGTGACGTGTAAGGTGACCATCAACTGACAAACGTCAAAATACCATCAAGCAAATGTAAATAAAAACAAAATGAACCAACAAAGTGGTTCTCGACCTATGAACTTCTATAAACGTTTCCTCAATACGAAATCGAATGATCAAACACGTCCACAAAATGGCTAACGTTCTACAAGATTTTAAACCAGGTCCTTTAGATTTTTATAGAACAAAAGCTTCTTTCGATTGGAAACAATTAAAAGTGTTTTTAGAAACTGAAGATATTATATGTTATCAAGTAAGGGTGAAAAAGTAATATTGTTTCAACATGCTCTCAACCATATATATTTTGCTTCAGAATGAAGTTTTCAAAGAGTTGCAGACACAATCAGAATATCAAGCCCAAGACTCTCTATTTTCATCAAGTTTTGATCAGCAAAGGAGGATAGCATGCAGGCAAACTTTCATCTATAAATCAATTGAGTTACTATCCTTAGGTAATTTGCTTCAAAATTTAAAAAAACCTGCAGTAGCCACTCGAATAATGATTCAATATGCCCCATCATCTACCATAAAATTTAGCGTCACAGATTCACTTTTTATCAGTGTTGTGAGGAGTATGGGCACAGAGAGACATCATCATTTTATAGAAGATTCTGACAATGGAAAAGTAAGATATGTAACATTTTATATAGTATTTAATAGAACTTCATTGATGAAACATGTTTAATAGAAAGCTGCTGCTTGCTTTACTTATGTAGTTTTTTCTATGAAATAATGAACACAGAAAACATATTTCAGATTCTTTGAAAGTAAAACTAAGACCAAATGTTAACTCACATTAAAATCACAGCTTGTAAGCAGACAGATAGGATTATAATTTAACCCATGTCCCTCTATCATCGGTTCGTCCAATAAAATTGGAGTGCATTAATTCTTTTTCAGAATGTCACCTAGTAGTTTCATGATGAAAATAAAATCATAATAGGCTTCTTTTCTTAAAACTTGAAAATGTTTGTATTGTTTTTCAAAGGTTTAATTTTCTTCCCTTCTTATGGAATTCAATGAATTCAAAATTACTATTATTGCGTTAATAATTTTGGAAAAAAAAGTATTTTATTTATTATTTATTGCAACTATTACCAAAATAATGAAACTACTCTGTTCTCAAAAACAAGTTTCTGTGTGGCACTTAAATCTTACAAAACTATTAACTGCTCTTACTAGCAATAAGTATACGAATTCAAGCATCTTATTCAGTGACATTTGTGTAGGTTAGCTTACAACCTTTGCATTAAACTGAAGTTAGAATAAGCAGTATAATAATTTATAAAAACAAAGCTAACCAGAAACTAAATGAAACTGAAATAGAAAAAAGAAAAATCTAAACTAATGAAGTTCAAACCTCCCACCGATATAATGCATGTAGTTTTCCTATGAGAGCCAAAGACCATTTTTTTTTAGATCATTGGTTGCTATTGCCTTACAGAAATAGGTCACGGTAGTAATGCGAGAGGCATGCGCACTACTGCCACTTATAACTTAGATAGTCACAGTTTCATTTTAAACACCAAGGATTTCGAAGCTGCAAAGTGCTGGGCCGGCGGTTTGGGTCAAATGGCTACCCATGCAATTGTTTACGCAAACTTGATTTTGGATGGCACCAATCATGGTTTGCATTCATTTGTAGTACCAGTCAGAGATCCCAAGACTTTGCTTCCCTATCCGGGACTCATTGTCGGCGACATGGGCGAGAAAATTGGTTTGAACGGGGTCGACAATGGGTATGATTATTAAACTTTATTTACATTGTTAGAATTAGAATATTTATAGATTCGTGATATTTAACAACTACAAGATCCCTCAAGAAAATCTACTTAACAAGTTGGGAGATGTTACAAAGGATGGTAAATATGTTACTCTTTTCAAAGATCCAAATAAAAGACACGGCGCCTCCCTTGGGGCGTTATCCGCTGGTAGGGTTAATATCACTGCTATTTGCGAAGCTTTGGGCGTGAAGGCGCTTACCATAGCGATAAGGTACTCTGCTGTCAGAAAGCAGTTTGGTCCGGAACATGAATCGGAGGTTCCAATATTGGAATATCAAACTCATGTATGTGTATATTAAAAATATATTAGCAATCCTGCCGCTTTACCTATATGGAAATGGAAATAGTTTATTTGTGATCGCCAAACAGCGTTGTCAAAGTGTTACATTTTTTCTATTTAACCAGGAAATTACATAAAACTTTAAAATTGAGGTGGTTTAATGCTGTCTGTTTCATACTGCAAATGGCCAGTCAATAGAGATTCAAATCTTTTTTGTGTAATAGTGTTTGCTGTAATTTTGCCGGCGGTGGGTCTGTTAATATTTTCTGAAATAAAGGTGATCTTCCCAGGCCATTAATCATGTTATGATTTTGACAAGTATCAAATAACACAAAAGATGCCTAACTTTGGTCCAATAAAAACAAAATCTGTTTTCATTTCAATCTTGATGGTTAAAAATTAAAAAAGATGTTTTATTGATTTTTGAAATGATTTTTCATATTTTACTACTTAATTACGTCAGTAGTTAGTAAAATTAGTTAGGCTTCAACAATTGAAATTCGTGACCTAGTTAGTGATTAAACTTAATTTTTAATGAAACAATAAGTGATAATACTAAATACTTGAATTAGTATTAATTATTGAGTGAAATATCATTTGCCATTCTAAATAATAGATTCGCGTTTTACTTGGTAAATTCAGGATAATTATCCCAGAAAGTAGAAATGTTTCTCTTAATCTAACCTTTTCTTTGAGCGCAAATTCTTTTAATCACATATTAGGTTAGGATAAAGATATTGAGAGCGGTTTTCAGGTTGTTTGGCCTTTATTATTATAGATTTTGGGCGCATGGGATTTATTTAGGAAAATGTTCAAATACCCCGTCCCCCCTAACTCGCCACTTTCCTTGCAGAGTAACAGTAATACTCACTTTAATTATGGTTAACATTAGAAATGTTTGGTGACCATTTCAAAAACTCGAAAATAATTTCCAGCATTTGTTTTTAGCCGATTTATTTTAAAATAAAAGTGATTTGTAGGAATGTAAGTTATTGGGACCCCGTTATATTTTATAACAAATTTATATAAAGTATAACATTAATATAAAACTTCTTGAAACTAAACTGCAAAATAAAATTGACATTAAATGGAAAATGGAATTTCTAAATTCTCTATATAAGAAACTGAACACGCGTTTGAACAGTACCATACAGCATATATTTTGTTTGCAGCTTTATGTCTAGTTCTCCACATTAATTGATGGTTGAGTACAACTAACCCTGCCTCGTCCACTACTATGTTTTGGAAATATTCCATTCTAAGAGCATATTATGCTAGAATAGAATCTCCTCATACAGAGTCAGTATTTTGACGTCCATCGCTCGCCAAAGCTGGTTCTCTTTGCCAAAAAACATATCGTCATAGCAGTGTCTACTATTTTTTAGTCTCCCTAGCTATGGAATATGTTCAAGGGAGTTTTCACCAAAACCCATAAAAGATTATATCTTCAAAATACTATTTAAAAATAATTTCCTTAAAAGCCTTAAAAAGTTCAATTCCTTTTCATCGAAAATCGTGTCAAAGAGACAATATTATTTGTGCCCAGTTCGCGGACCGTTGTCAATATTCAGGCAAACAATGGCAGAATAGGTGCAAGGAGGTAATTGAAAAATGATCATTCTGGTGTCTAGGACGGCATTTACCACATAGGTTAACTGCAGGATTACCAATATATTTTGCACTTCAATATACAGTTCTAATGTAATTTTTTTTCCAGCAATATCGGCTTTTGCCTTACCTCGCTGCTGCATACGCTTTGCGAATTTTGACGACAATGTTTGTTGAAGTATTTTACCAATTTTCAATAGATTCGCTGTTGGGCAATAACGTTGACAAATTACCAGATTTAGGTGTCGAAATACACGCGCTATCGTCGGCAACAAAACCTATTGCTGGGTGGATTATGAAGGACGCTATACAAGAAAGTAGAGAGACTTGTGGAGGCCATGGTTATTTAAAAGGTAATTTTTTAGTCAAATTGAAATTGTCATAATATAACGAATAATACATTTACCACCTCAATCTAATTTTTATCTAATTATAAAATTCTTTACTTTGCAGTTTTATTTTTTCTTATATGAATCATATTGGATTTTGGATACTTTTATTAGTTATTAGTTACGAGTTACAAAGAATATAATAATTACCTGCACCTACCAATAGAAACAAATGAGCCCCAATGTAAAAAAAAAATCAACAACTTCAGTTTTTTCCTATTGAAACATCCTTATATTTTAGCATTTTAGGACCGATTTCAAAAACATATAGTTTATTGTGAATTTGATTTGAAATAACTTGAGTTTAATTATTCAAAAATAGAATTTGATAGTCACCATCATTATTGAATTGGAAAAAAAAATCGTTTTGATGGCACCTTAAGAGATATTAATAACCATGACTATTTAAAATACGTAAAAACATTATTTGTTTATAATATGCGTTGTTAGACACACGATAAAGAACAATGTTCGTCGATTTGATGAGATAGAAAGTATTCAAATAAAAACAAGAACTAAGATCTGTGCATGGAAATCAGGAGGACTAATTAAACATGCTGCTTTATTATAAAAGTAAATAAAAAAGACAAAAAAATGTTGGCCCTAATTTTAAAATAATATATACATTCACCACGTGTTACATCACCGTCAGAATAGAGAAAGGATTGGGAGTAGAAAAATATACTTATCTCTTTTTTTTTCTCACGGCAATATTGATAGTGAGCTATTTTAAAAACGCCTGAATCAAATACCAACTTACTATATAATTTTTAAATCGAGAAAACAAAATATTTTTATTCTGAGTGAAAGTTTGCCATTTAAGAAAGTGAAGTGTTCAAAAGATAATAGAGAAAAAATAATACAACTTATATATAAAAAGTTTTTACGCAGTCTTTTTAATAAACTCTGTACATGCTCTATGCGAGTTGTAAATCAATTTTAATTTAATTCAATTACGGCCTAAAAGTCCTGAATATTTTGCAAGCGCAAAGCAGATATTACTACAGCTAGAGAATTAAGAAAAAAAATTGCAATGGTGTTGGTTATTTATATTCTACTTTTGAAAAACAGCTGCAGGGATTGGTGACATAAGGAACGATCACGACGCGAACTTGACATATGAAGGAGAAAATCATGTGCTAATTCAGCAGACCAGCAATTGGTTACTAAAATTCTGGCCTGCTGTAAGAGCTAAAGAAAAAATTTCTTCACCGCTGCAATCGGTAGATTTCCTTTCCAGTGGATTGGACATTTTGAACACAGCCAAATTTGAAGCAACTAATATTGATGAAATGTGTAATCCAAAATGTAAGTCAATATTTGCATTCTTTAATTAAGGTTGCCATTTAATAAAACAACGGATATCAATTTAAAAAAGCAGAAAATCATAAAAACATTTTTAGAAAATCTTACAGTCTCAGGATACTTCAGCAAGTGTCTCCTATTTAATGAATTATAATTTGACAATCCACCTTTGACAGAGAATCCAATAAAAGTATGTTTATTAGCGAAAAAAGAACTTTTAGGCTAATCTAAGGGTTAAAATTTCTTGAAAGTTGTAGGGATAGATTTAAAGTATCTTGACTGTTTTTGATTTAACTCTTTTTTTTTGAAGTGCTTATTTAGCTAAAAAAGTCTGCTAATTGAAATTAAAAAATATCTAAAACATCTTTTAAATAAGTTTTCGGCATTTTTTAGTTTTCCAAGAAATCTTGCAATATATTTATTTCTCCAAATTCAAAAGAGGCAAAATTATCGAAAAAAAAAACGTAAAAAAAGAATATCTAAATTATAAATTCTGAAGTGTTCCACAAAACTCAGTTGGCATTTTATAATTGTTACTTTTCATTTAATCGTGTATTGTTATTATGTAGATATTATTATAGTCATTATTTTGCGTTTGCCTGAGATAAGTTATTGTCCGAAAGAACTTATAACTAACTAAAGCGGCAAAGAGAAAATGCTGGAAATTATTGTTAAGTTTCTATAATGGCCGCTAGGGGGTGTAATCGCATTCCCGGTTTGTTGGAAATATTATTATATTGTATGACTTGACATGACATGAATGGTATGACTTTATTGCAACAAAAGATAGTCAAATTAACCGCTAGGTTTACATGGTTCTTTGCAACTGCCAGGGGCCTTAAATGTTCTAGAGATACCTCTGTGCTAGCTTTGTATCGTTCCGCGTCTGACAAGGTTGAAGAATGAAGAATAAAAATAAATAAATTAACTTTCTGTTTTTGGTGTATTAATTTTTGTTATAATTTATTGCAATTTTTTGTAGATATCTTATCGGTTTATCAGTGGTTAGTTTGTTATTTACTGAAAAGGACTTGGGAAAAGTTGAACACTGACATAGATAACGGCAAGAATCTGTTTTGGGCTAAAAACGATAGTCAGGTGTTTTATGCCAAAGATCTATCAATATGTTTCGTTCAGGTAGTTGCACATTATTTGTTATGCAGAAACAGGTTTTGTCGACTATTGGTTGAAGGAACTTTATCAACGCCAATTCCTGTTTCATAAACTCAACAACTTACCCAAACTAGAAATGTTTACCTGTTTTTAGCATTACTTGCTTCAAGTTATGTACAATAAGATATTAGAGGCCAGAGATGACAATATCAAAAATGTTCTGTCAAAATTGTTTGCCTTGTACGGTGTGTGGTCACTTCAGAAGCATTTACCAACTTTGTATCAAGGGGGATATGCCAAAGGAGAAATGGCAACAACACTTGTCCAGAACTCGATACTTAAATTATGCGGCGATCTAAAAAATGATGCTGTGTCCCTAATAGATGTTATCGCACCTCCAGATTTTATCTTAAACTCTGTGTTGGGGTCTTCCGATGGAGAGGTAAGTATTGTATTGGATATGATAAATTTTCTTTCCTTGAAATTTAGGTTAGCTTTTATGACACGCGAATTTCAAGAAAAATTATATATTACTGGAAAGATAGTAAATAACTATGAAAAAAGCGAAGCATCGATAAATTTTCGAGAAAAAAAAAATTTTTGATTAATAACACTTTTTCTTTTAATGAACTGTAGTTTATAACCAGAAAACACTTTAAACATATAATATGTGCTTAAAATATCAAATCTTGACAAAATAACCACAAGATTTTAAATGGTTTTTGGAAATAAATATATTATAAGATGCAGAACGCCATAGATCTAATTAAAATGTCTGTGCACTATATTGGACACTACTATAGAATATTTAAAAGTTAGTTTTTGTTGACAGCAATAACAGAAAAGAAATTTAGTCTAAAGTGCCAGCTTTACAAATAAATTTACTTATGTAAATGTATTTGAAAATGAAAATAGACACATTATATAAAACTAATTCATTTCTTTTGTAGGTAAACTAATTAAAAAAAATTATTATTTGTAAATAGTATTTTATTTGACAGTTTCGTATATATTTCAATGTTTTGATAACTTTTGATTAGTTCGGCTCACAGACGTAAAACGAAAATAGTTGCTTCACAAGTCATTCATACAATTTCTGTTGTTTTAACGTCAGCATAGACATTTTAGCAAGGGACGAGTGGTGTAGGGAGTGTTGCTTAAATATATAGGTATTAAATAGTAAATTGCCACACATACGACTTTATGCCTAGAAATCGCCCCAGGACTCACCTGAGAATATTGTTAGAAACCAGATTGATTTGATCTTAATCAACTACAGATTCAAAAATAGTAAGTCAGCAAAAACATTTCCAGGAGCTGATATCTTCTCTGATTACAGCCTTTTGGTTTCTAAAATAATGGTTAAATTAAAGACGTTAATGAGAACAATCGTACCCAGGTTTGACCTAACAAGACTTAAAGACCTAGTTATAAGAACAATGGTTTGAGAACAACTTAGACAAGAACTAAAAGAAATTAAGACTTCAGGAGACATAAATGATGCATGGCTGCATCTTAAGGAGACTGTCACACATATTACGAATCAATACCTTTACAAAGCCAACACAGACAAAAGAAGCAGAAATGGATGACGGACGATATTCTAAACCTAATCGTTTGACACAGAGGATATAAAATTCATAATCGCGACCGATACAAAGCCATCCACTATGAAATTCAAAATAAGTGCAGAATTGTAAAGGAAGAATGGTTGAATAGTAAATTTCAAGAGGTGGAGGCATTACAAAGTAAGCATGACTTTTTCAATTTACACAAAAAATAAAAGAAACACTGGGAATGAACAGAAAACGTCCAAACGGAAATTTAATCGGAGGCAATAATAATAATAATAATAATACTTCTTTATTTCAGTTTGCTTTACAAGAAAAGGACAAATGAAATGACGTCAAAAACAGACAACGATTAATTAATATAATTAACCAAAATATTCGTCAAGTGTATATGGTTCTAGGGTTATTAACATTTCCCTAATACTTTTCTTAAAATTTCTAATAGTGCTTATACATTTCACAGAGTTCGGTAGATGGTTAAATAACTTGATGCACATATAATAAGGTCCTTTGTTGCTGTTATTGACAGTCTGTGACTAGGTACCATAATATTCTGCGTTCGAGTGTTATAATTGTGGATTATGTTTGCGTTAAATTCATTTCTATTTTGAAATATAAATATTGAGACATTCGTAAATATAGATTCCACACACGGTCATTGTCAATGTTTCCTACGCTTCCTTTTAGAAGCCGCGGGTGGAATAATAGTATACAAGTTCATCCAAATAAACAAAACTACGATAAACCCTCGAATTAAAAAAAAAAACGGCCTACCTTATGTGCGTTCTAGTGTAAGACAGACGAGACGTCTCGGGATTTTGTTCTCCACACCATGTCCATTGCAGCAATGTAGTGGGGGTACCAATCGCAGACACACGAAAACTACGCGCGGTAATTCGGCCAAACAAAACCCGAGGGCTCAGATTATCGCGGCGAAATGATACGATAAAATATATAAAAAATTAAATAAACAAAAATTGATAAATGTATTCGATTAACCCCGAATCATAAAGAAATCAATATATAGAAAACCCAGGTAATGAATTAATATTTAATGTCAATATACAAATAAATAACCAAAACTGAACAGTCTTTATCTGTAGTTGCTTAAAGCATCCTCTGCATTTTTCCCATCGATCTTATGGTTCTCTTTTGAATAATATGCATTTTTTTTAGTTCAGGGCTGCAACCTCAAAATATTATGCCATACCGTACAATTGATTCAAAATTGACACAATAAACAATTCTTAAGGCTTCCGGTCTCATATACCTTCCGATAACTCTAATTGCACCCTATTTAATTTTATACATACTGTCCGTATATGCGTTTCCGATTCTAAATGTTCGTTTATGTGAACACCTAAAAAAAAACCGTAAACTCTACATTTATTTTATTAATTTCTAGATACTCAGAAATCTAGGCTATTTGATTTTGTTTTGTTCTAAATAAAATCATCTTTGTTTTATTAGGATTGACTATTAGCTTGTTTTGTAATTTGTGTTTTTGTAATATTGTTTTGACTTTGGACTCTGACGTGCTGTTTTCTGTTTGAAAGGTATGATTGTATCCAATTGAGTGCTTTACCATGAATCCCATATCTCTCCATTTTGTCCAATAAAATTTTATGGTCTAAGCAATCGAATGCCTTACTGAGGTCTAAGAATAAACCTATGGCTAAGTTTTTGTCCTCAGACTGCTCCAAGATTGGTTTTGTGAAGTGAAAAATGTTGGAACTGGTTGATCTGTTTTTTAAGTAGGCATGTTGAGAGCTAGAGAACAATTGACATTTATTCATAAATTAGTTGTTACTTTTTCCTGTAATTTCGCCGCAGATTGATCACATGCTTTTCATTTTGCTATCCGAGTTTACTATTCTCTTTTCTTATAATTGCTTTCTTTCTTCAATTAAAAACTTATCATATTCCTTCTTTGTTACTTTGTATAAATACTTGTTTTTGATAAGGTTAGCAGTTGATAAAGTAGCACTCTGTTTAATCCCTTTTAGATTTAAGGATTTTTTAACTTTCTTTTTTTTTTGTTGCTGTGAGCCCTTTTGAGAGGAAAGCACTCATTGAAGATATTTATGAAATCATTTATAAACATAGTCCACTGCATATTTATATCTAAGAAGTCATTTTGACACTTTATCCTTTCAAGTAAACATGCTTTCTCATGGTAAAAATCTTTTTTGTACAAATTTATTTATTTTATTTATTGTTGTGTTAAATGATCTGAAATATGATCTTGAATTACTATAGAATGTTCATTACTATCTAAATTGGTAAAAATATTATCTAGACAACTACTACAGTTTAGTGTTACATGTTACAGTTGGATGTATTCCGAACAAACTAAACAGAAAAAAAAGAGAATTCTTCCGACTGTTTTCTAGCAACATTTCAATATTAAAGTCCCCTGCGATAAGTGCTATAGTATTGTCTATTTCTAACCCTGACAACATCAGTTTCTTAAAAATAGATCAAATTGTCCTTGAGGAGGTCTATAAACTGATACGATGATGATGAAAACGGTATATTCAGCATCTATTCTAGAATGACATACCTGAACAACATGGTTTTGAAGAGGCGAGGCCGGTCCAAATATCTTAAAAGCAGAAATCATACAAGTCAGTCAAAGAATGGTAAAGCTGCAGGCCGTGACTACATCTATGTTAATATTCTCAAACTAGCAGAAGACAAGGTCGCCAAGTGCTCACTGATTTGTTCAATACCATATACAATTCGGACAGAACTGGTTGAAGTCCATTTTTGGCATACTACTAAAAAAAGTTAATACCAAACGCCACTCTGAGTATTGCACTATAAGCGTTATGAGCCATATTTAGTAAAACTATTTCTATTCGTAAAGATTATTCACGACACGATATACAAAAAGTGCGAACAAGTTGCCTCAGGCAAACAGTTTCTCTCTATAAATGGTCTTGGAACAAAAGGTGCTCTCTTTACCATGCTAGTATGAATTCAAAAATGCTTAGATATGAATAGACCAGGATAGATTTGTTTTATAGACTATGAGACGGTTTTTGATCAGGTACAACATACAAAAATGATAAAAAAACCGCCAAAACATCGGGCGTGACCATAATGAGCGGAACTCGGCTTCGGTTCACGTGGAGAATCATATATCGGATGAGACAAAATTTCTGAGCCTATTTTGTGCGCTATGCGGATGATACAGTACTATTGAGCAGTTGCTCTGAAGATTGCAATGGTTGCTAACAAAAATTAACATGCTAGTAATGCCAATCATCTAACACTCAAAAGAGAGAGTGCATTTATCAAAATGAAGCAGCTTTTTACTTGTAGACAATTACATCTAAGTTTAAGATGACGCCTGGCCAACGCCTTTTCCATTCCCATCCATTTCCCATCTTGCTTTATAGATTAGAGGGATTGTTAGACCGGTATTGCCTGTGAAATGTGGATTTATCGTCGCATACTCAGGATTTCCTGGACTGATAGAGTACGCAATGTCTTATTACGTCTAAATACAACGATCCAGATCTTAAACACAGTAAAGCGACGAAAACTTTAACAAGTCGAAGATGTTATGAGGGGCGAGAAATACCACTTCCTTTAACCAATAATACACGGAAAAATTAAAGGCGACGAGCCTAGACAGCGATTCCCACACACTTAACTCTTTTACTTGCTGAATATATAATGGGATCTGGGCGTATTTTAAGAAAATACTGCCGTAAAAATGCCGCAAGTCCTTTCCCAAAAAAAAAACTTTATAGTTGCTTCATAAATTCCTAAATAAATTATCAGCATAGGCGCTCTATATATCTACCAACTTTGCGTGGCGTATGACATTATAATGAAACAATATTAAAAAACGAAATATGTTTAATTCTTCCAAGTGTTTATTTATAGGAAGATATTTACATAGTCCTTTATGTGTAGAAGATGAGATATATATATTTACACTAGAGACTGTGTATTTAATAATTATAAAGCCTTGTATTTCACTATCTTTTGTTGGTGTGATTGGTAAACATATGCTTTGTTCCAAAACTGGAAGGGGAATTATAAGAACAGACCAAAATTAGTAATTTTCCCATTGTTGCTTGCGCAAAAAATGGATCTAAGCAATAATACGAGAAGATTTGTTTGTCAAAAAACACTAAGGTGAGTCTTACTGAAATAGTATTCGAATTTTAGAAGTATTACCAGGTCGACTAGCAAGTTAAAAACTTTCTAATTTCTTATTCCCGTGAGTTTCATTTTCAACCGTTGAATCAATAGGTGAACTAAAGAAGAAGTAAATACTGTTATATTAAAATGTTGCGTTTTTGTGTCCTGGAATTTTTATTTGTCAGTCAATCAACTTGGCCCTAAAATTACCAAAATTGCATGTTTCGAAACATACAACAGTAGAAAAAGTATCAAATATTTAAATACAATTTTAGAACTGTCTGAAAAAAGAATCCCGTGTGTTTGATATTGTGAATAGCATCCAATCAGATACATGTGATGACTTACACTTTAACGTTGCGCGGCATTGTGATGTAGGTGTTTTGGGCATTTTTTTCCTGTTTTGTGTTATTTGTTATTTTAAAGGTACTCTCTTTCCAGTAGTGTAAACAGTTTCCCAAAATTCGTTTGTCCGATAAACAATATCGCAACGAAAATTTAATCATTTTATCAATTTCAGGTATACAAACATTTGCAGTCTGCAATATTTAGATCTCCATATGCAATGAGCAGACCGGTGTGGTGGCAAGATATAACTAACTGGAAAGAAAACGTTCTAAAAAACAAATTGTAGCACACTATTCCTTCTCTGCTCCAGAAATTTGAAAATAGACAATTGATAATGATACCCTGATTGAAACATTTTGTGAAATTATTAAAGTTGAATTTGTATCGTTAATTTTTATATAATTCCTGTTATTCAAATATATATATTTTTTATTTTTGAGATATTTTATTAGCATTTATATTGCTGTTATCTACAGCACACCAGGCAAGTCAATAACAAAAATGTAGAAATGTGTGTCATTGACCTTCCCACTCTCTTGGTGAATTATCAATGAAGATATAATCACCAAAATGAGAAATATTTATATGTATGATCACAAGTATGGTGTGTTCCAAAGTATATCGTCTTGATTTTTAACAGGCCCTTCCCAAAAAAATAATGACTACCTTCATACCTATTGTCAATGCAAATCAGGCTTTACTTAGATAATCTGTCTTATCTGATAAAAAATATAAACCAACTCTCTTATTTTTCTACTCGATAGCATTTTCCTTGATTATATCATTTAGTCCCATCAATTTTTATGTAATCAAATATTGATCTATTTGCTCTGGTCAAAGAAAAGATCTTGTAAAGGTAATGAGTATTCTCAGTATTTAATGTTCATTCAATCAGCGAATTGTCCTACCTAAGTGACTTTGCCTCAACCATAAACTAAGAGATCAGTTTCATCAGCAGCTCTGTGGTTTTTAAAAAATTGTTTGAGTTCAAAAGCTCGTAACATGTAATTTACCAATAGGAAACACATAACACGGTATCCAAAGGATGAGTGGATTCCAGGAAATAATGTCATTCAAAAAACGTACTTATTGATAATTTGTAGACTCATCGTATTTTCTATTAGTACTGTGATTTTATTACATGTAAATAAACATAATGTGCTTTCGCCTACATGACCGACTGATCAGGTGTTTTATTGCCACTTTGAGACAGTCTATACTCTGAAAATAGATAACTAAATAACGGTGCTATCGAAATTAAAGCCTTTTTGTTATTCAAAGCATTTATTTAATAAATATTATTATTACCACAAATTTAACTTTTATTAGTTTGTATAAAATAAAATAAATAAATATTCTAAGACAGGCTACTCAAAATTTTTTGCAAATGGACAAAATCCAATTCCAAATTTATTATGCCCGGCTTTTCGCTACTTGGCAACAATTTTTTTGGAATTTTCAAGTAACCAATATTTACTGCTTCAGTTTCGTTTAAAGCTTTGACCATTTCCCTGGTTGGAAACATGTTAAAGTCTGCTTGAATTTTACCCCCACTCCGCCTTTTGACAGTTTCTTGTGCCACTTTGGCTTGAAATTCTTGAGCTCTATGCCTAAGTTCATCGATTCGATTTTGTTCATCCAAAAAGTGCCTTTGCCAAGCAGCTTGACTCAAACCGGGTTTACATTTGTAAATCGCAGGAAACGTTGGTTTCGCCAAAGCCATGCATATCTCTTGCTTGATTGCGGCACCTTCTTTAAATAACTTCTCGATAACTTCGTCCCTATTGTTCTTAAATGTTGGAAGAGGATCCAAACTGTCAAGTATATTTTCGAGATTTTTATTCTGCAGCTTGATTCTTTCATTACGTTCGTGATTGAACATTTTCTTTAGATTATCAATTTCCTGCATTAACAATGGAGAGTCTTTAACCACAGCTGGTAAACTTGGTCCGATTGATTGCAGTGAATTTAGTTGGGAACCAGAAGTGCTTTTCATTATTGAAGCCTCCAATTGAGCCTTTTTAGTTAATAGTTTCATCTTTTCTTTCATTTCACCCTTTTCACTCTCCAAAGAATCTATGTCTGTTTGAAGATGATCCAGCGTTTCCTCAAATTCCTTTTCTTTTCTCTTAAACTGATTGTGCGCCTCTTCTAACTTACGTTGCAACTTTTCTATTGTTAGTTCATAATCTTTGTTCACATTGGCCAGTTTCTTCTCGGCCAACTCTTTTCTAATAGACATTTCAGACAATTGTTCTTGTTTTTCTTTCAGTAACTTTCTAAGTTCCTTAATGTCAGATTCCTTGTTTTCCAACTTGCTGGTTAGCGTTTTCGTTTGTTCCAATTCCTTTTTTACTGTTTCAGCTCTTAATTGAATAGGCGGAGTCGATTTTGCCAAATTCTTATTGATTGTACTATATTCTAACTCATTGTCCTGAACAAATTTAGAGATTTGTGCTACATGTGCAGCGATACTTTCCAAGGAGTTCTTCACACTTTGAACAGGTCCAAGATCATCCTGGGCATATACTTTGTCAGTTGCATTTGCCGCTATTTCCTTCAATCTTTCTTCCCCAAGGCCGTTTTCTGCATCGCCGCTGGTTGACAACGTCTGAATAGAATTTTTGGCTATGTCATTCAACGTTTTAAGGATTTTGTGTGTGTGAAGCCAACACTGATCGAGATTATCGACAAAGTCACCTCCAAATTTTAAATTTGTTATATGTGGATCCAAAGGCAAGCGACGTTTGGTTTGTTTCAGTTTTTGTTGCAAAAGTTCCGAACTCGAAACCACATGTTGCATTAGCAAAGAAATACTTGAATTGGAAGTATTAGCTAAAGACCTCACCATACTTGCATCTGTGCAAAACCCAGAAATGGCACTTAACATCAGTTTGATGTTGTCCGCAAGTAATTGATTCTGATTAGCCTGCACCTCATTTCCTAATAAAATAGGATAGAGGGTTTTAAAATAGCCCAAACATTTTTCTAAAGGTTCTAGTGGCATATTTTCATCTAACTGGCCCCGTTTAATAAGCTCAACAAAACTATCAATGATTTTCTCCTGCGCAGCCATTTCCATATAATTAGCACCTACTCTTATTAATGCTTCTGGTTTGCAATTGTTGAGTGCATAGTTATACTGATGCAACACAGTTTGTAATGAGTAAATATAATAGAACATCCTACACCTAAACGAATACTGTTCCACGCAATGTTCTTTTAAAATCAAATTTCTATCAATTTTTGCTGGAACTGGAAATTTATCCTTAAGTTGCCCAGAAATAATATCCAATTTGTGTATGAGTCTAGGTATTAACAACAAAATCAAAATGGCATCATAATCTCCTCCTCTACTAATAAATGACTCAGGCATAAATGATCCCAGGTATTTTATATGGTCTTGAAGCTGCTGGACATCCAACTTTCTTAATTCTAAATCAATAGCTTTTGTGTGTGCTTTACTCTCCACAAAAATTTTCTTAAAATCAACAATCTCTGGAAGGGAAGCAACCGGCTTGCTTGACGCTTTTTCCAGCTGCTCTTGCAAACTTATTGATTGTTCTTGTAATTGTTGTACCAAATTTCTAAATTTCACGATTGTTGCTTCTCTATCTGCTACAGTTTCCAAAGCAGCATCTCTGTCTCTCATGACTTCCCTTGTGAGTCCCCTCTCCATGTCCAATTCCTCTCTTAAATCAGCTTCCAACTCCGCGTTGCTTTCAAGTAACTGATCATTCATTTCCTGTAAAGCTTCAAATTCAGATACCTCTTCCTGCAATTGAACAACTTGTTCTTCAAGTGTTAATTTCTGCTCTCCTAGTATTACAACCATTTCTTCCGCTCCAAGAGCAGCATCAACTTGTTCCTGTAAGTCAGCAATCTGTTGCTCCATCGCTTCAACTCTTGCACTCAGTTTCTCTTTTGTTTTTCCTAATTCGGCAATTTCTGACTTCTTCTGGTCTATATCTTTCAACAATTTTTGATATTCATGCTTGTCATGTGCTGATAAATCTCTTAATCTTACCAAAGTTTCTTTAAGCCTAGCATTTTGTTGTTGTAATTGTTTGATTTCATACTTCGACATACCCTGAACATCCGTTCCAGAAACTCCTAAAGCTCTCTCCTGCATTTCAGTTTTTAAAATTTCAAAATCCAAATTTACTTCATCAAGTTTTTCTTTGCAAGCCTCTAATTCAGCCTGTAAAGTCTCTGCTTTTTCTTCTGCCATCTCTTTGTCTAATGTTGCCATTTCCACTGCTTCAGCGAGATCAGCAACTTCTTCAGCATGTGCTTCTCTGGCTTCAATAGCTTCCTTAGCATCTTGCTTTGCTTTCTGTAATTCTCTTTGTAAGCTACTTTGTGAATCCATAATTTTAGATTTGAATTCAATAAGTTGTTCCAATTGTATTTTTACCTTATCATATTCTTTCAATTTTTCCTTGTCTTCTTGCCTTTTAACTTTTAATGTTTCAATCTTTTCATTCAGATCTCTGATTTGCTGATTTCGATTTTCCAGTTCTTGCTGTAACTGTAGATTATTGATTTTATCCTCAACTGATATAACTGGTGTTGGAGTAGTTATAGCTGTTCCAGGGGTAAAATGGGGTTTAAGAGTCTCTACAAATCCTGTTTCAATAAAGGATGCTCGTTTCGGAATCTGGCTTGTTGCTTCATTACTTGTAGATTCAATAGATTTTTCAGAAGTAGACATTGCCAAATGTGTACGACTACCAGCAAGAGATTGTCTACTACCAGTCAAAGACTGCCGACTTCCTCCTAAAGATTGTCTACTTCCAGTAAGTGAAACTCTAGAAATGGTCTGACGAGATCTGGCAATTTTTGAAGTTAAAATATCAGATTTGCCTGCTATTGGTTTACCATTCTCATCAAGTGGCTGAACTTGTGGTTCTCTGACAAACATTCCAAAATTTTCTTCACATTTAAAATACTCCACGCCTTGAACGCTTCCGTCATTTTTCCCTTTCGCCTCATCAAGAATCAACCCGATCCACTTTCCGGGTGCAAAATTGGTTTTACCAATAAAAGCAATTGTGCCTTGAACCCCTTTACTTGGGACCTCCACTCGTTGACCAATTTTTATGATGTCTACCATTATTTTTCACTAAATGGAAAATAAGGAGACAAATTTACAGATAAACAACGCGATGTTCGGAACAAACGGAACAATTTTCCACCCAATTTAACATTAGATGGCTAGTTTCACTTGCACCTTTTTTTATTACCGGAATTTGATAGATATTCAGAACTCTTCTTCTCTTTTAATTTACTAACATTGGGCAAGTCTGCTATGGACACTTGCTGATTGTCGATATACGTCAAAGATTTTTCATTTCGGTCATATTCGGTCATGAGTTCATATCACAAAAAATTAAATTCATTTCCAACTTATACAGATTCCAAAAAAAACGTCTGTTCTTCACTTCCGCCGCGAACCATCCGGGCCCATCCAGCCTTCAACCGGCATGAACAACAAAACGGAGGGACCGCTCAACACAAACACACTCAAACAAGAACTAGGCTCACTACTATTTTAAATTAAAACAGGGCAATAAGGACTATTTTGAACTGATTACAATAACTTCTGTAGGGAGCGTACTTGGAACAACTCTTCCGTTGGTACCTTTAAATGGTAGCCAAACTTGGTGGTATTGTAAATAACCTTAATGAAACTTGATTACCCTTATTACCCCACAATATGTTAAAACAAGTTTAATTTAATTCAACTTTAACTTTTAATAACAACACTGCAGCAACGTTGGAAAAAGCGATGGCTAAATCTACAATCTGTCAAATAAGTTTCATAATTCGATCTGTCAGGAAATTTATGTTTCCTTTAAGTAGATTTTTATTTTTATAATACCCAAAAGAAAGCTGGTGGGTGAATCGAACTTTTGTACTTTGACTGAAGAAAGAAACGAAGAACGATTATGTCATGAATTTTTTGGTTACCCATAACAATTAATTAACCTAGAAAAAACTTTATTGTTGGTCCGTAAATTTTTGGATTTGATAATGCCACAACTTTCGTGTAAAATATAACACTATAAGTATTGTCGAATATAATGTCAAAATTAATAGAACTTCAAATACGGCTTTGTAAAAGAACTCTGTTTTACACAACGGTAAATAAAAATTTGTTATTTGTAATATATCAAACTATATTCGTTTTTTTAAGTACTATTTTGCAGAACGGTTATAAAGTTAGTGCGCCGATAATCCGCTTTGTTAATCAATCAAATCCGAAAGCTTCAACACTTGATATAGCATGTGAAACTGGTCATCTTCCACAGAAGCCTGCAGCTTCACCAGGATGGAGGCCCACACCTTCCACAGACAGTTCAAATATGATAAAACATTATCTAAAATTATCGAAAATAAGACTTACCAGTAAATTTTCTAATAAAAAAGTTGAATGCTTTATTTAAAATATTTTTTTAGGCTTAGTAGTGGTGACAACAATGGCAGGTTATGCTGTTGCTCCAGCACCATTCGATCTTTCTGTATTTGCTATGTGTGTGATAGGCACTGGTTTATTGTCTGGAGCAGCAAATGCTGTAAATCAGTACCATGAGGTTCCCTTCGATGCCCAGATGTCTAGAACTAAGCACCGAGTTATTGTGTGTGGAAGATTGACGTAATGTTTTAAATTCTACTTATTTGTGTGACATACTCAAAAAGAGAAGAGCAGTTTTACATGTTTTAATAAGAAAATGTGTCACCGTGCCTACACTTACCCTTTTATCAGTGGTTGGTCAAATACCACAGCAGGGTGCTTATTTATTTAATAAGACTGGTCAGATTGCTGACTAATTTATCAAATTTTCAATATAAATGCAGAATTTACATAATTGCTTTTATAAGGGAAGTGTAAACATGGTAAGGAAATTCAAAAATAAGTTATCCATTTTTTTAGGCCTTTAAATTCAATGGTATTTGCTGTAGCAGCTAGTGTCACTGGACTCCACATTTTGTACTATGGGGTAAACAGTCTTACAATGTGGTTAGGTCTGACGAATTTAATATTGTATACATCTGTTTACACACCTCTTAAGCGAGTCAGTATTCTGAATACATGGGTTGGTTCAGTAGGTAATATTTCAAATTAAATTCTATATACAATTGGTTTATTTTATAATTTTAAAATATTAATAATGTATATAAAAATAGCAGTTTGTTGCCAAAGTTGCAAAAACGGTATTATAGCTCTGGGAGGACATATAATTTCTGACCTTGCTACCTGCAGCATAACTTCTGACAATATGACTATTGAGGTTTTTGAATAATTATAATTCTTGTTTATTTTAGCACTTGGCTATTTATAAGTGATTATATTTACATAAGCAATCTATGAATTACACAAATACATTCTAAGGCTTTTTTTAAATATTTTTAGGCAAGGAGCATTTTTTAATAATATCACCCAGTTTATTAGAATAATGAACACTTGGTTGGTTATAAATTATACAAAATAATTACTCAAATATAAAGATCAAATTATGAAAGTGGTCACCACCACTACTAATACTCAAAAGCAGTTCAGTAACCAAAAATAATTAAAATTATTATTATTAAAATAATAAAATTATAAAAATTTTAGAAAATTTGATACATAATAAATATATATTCTTTGTTAAAAGATGATCGCTTAATAAAATTTTATTTAGAAAACAATTAAAGACAACAAGACATTACTGACTTTACAGCAGGCTGTAGCCTTTATCATGGGAACCTTAAAATGCTGATTGTAATGTATATTATATTGGTGAAAATTTGATATTTATTCCGAATATAATTTCAGCTAGCTTAGGTGATTATGCGTAATTCAAAAAACTAAAATTAAATTTATTCTTTCCGATATTTAGCAAATTTAGCTTTATGAGGGTATCCCTATCACAGTTCAATAAAATTTGCATAACTCTATTTTGTTATATTTGTAACCTATTTAAATCTTCATTAGTACAAGATATAAGCAATGAAGAGACATACGAAAAACGGGACAGTATTGTTAATCTCTTAGTCCCTTGTATATATCAGGATATATTTTGAGAAAATATTGTTGTAAAAATGTCGCATCTAAACTTATTAAAGATCTGTCCATGTTGGTTGCTGAATTACGCAAGGTCATTGTTTAAAAACGAAATTTTAAATCTCGCGTATGAGCCTTCTCAAAAAAAAAATTCATAGTTGCCTCGTAAATTCCTGTATTATCAGCATTAGGCTGGGCGTTGATATCTTTAGTAACTATGTGGTACAAATGAATTAGCTGATAAACACAAAATGCCGGTTAGTGAGTTGCGTGATTTGGGTTTTTGCTCGAGCAAATTTTAGTGGTCAAATCGAAGGCAATAAAATCTTAAACTTTTTAGAAATCTTTACAACCATTTAGGTGAGACAAGATCATATCGTCCGAAACTGAATAATGGTGTTCCAAGAACCAACACCGTCCATGAAGAAGACGAAATTTAATTCGTGTTTTTGAAAAATCAGGTTTGAATGTCGGTAAAGTGCCAGAATTTGAATAAAGGAAAAACTCCATCCATTGCTTCAAAATATTTACCAGCTCGCTTATAATTTGCTCAATCTTTACAAAATACGAAAACGAAAACCCAACACACCATTTACGAGACGAGGAATTTTTAATTGTAAGAATATTCATTTGTGAGATTCCCAGAATCCACATGCTGTAAATGCAAGACAATTTCAGCATGAATTTAAGGTGATGTGGTGTAATTTCTGATTTTTTATTTAATCCTTCTAAAGTAACGGCTGTTTACGCATGATGGAGTTGAAGGAGTGGTTGTAGAAGTGAATTTGATTTGACCACCAAGAAGTTCAGAAATAAACACTCTGCACTTCTCAATATGGAGGATGAAGGATGTGGTATACACTGAAGAAGTTTATTGTTTTTAGGAGGTGCGGGAAAAAATACAAGCAACCGCGAAGTTTTGTTTAACCTGTTAAGACATTTAAATGAGTTTGTTCTGTATCGAGTCAGGCAATTTCAACATTTGATATGATTTTTTTATTACTTTTACCAAAATTGTTATTGTTAAATGTTGTTTTTTTATTGCTCCTCGTTACGTTTCATTGTTTTATGTATTTATAAAAACATATATCAGAAAAAATATCTTAAAATTTTTAAATAAAAATAAGTCAAAAACCGACATAATTAGACGATCTAAACAAGAAATTTCAATGAAAAATTCAACATTCTTTCAGATCGTCATCATGTTTCGGCCATAAGTCGACAGATAAAATACATGAGAGTCAATTTAATGAAATAATTGGGTGAAACGGCGCTCTATAGGCGCAAATTCAAAATAAGTTTCAAATTCATAATTGGCGTCAAACAAGATAAAACTGCCGATTTTTATTATACTATAAAAAAATTCTCAATTAAAGAAGTACTGAAATATTATTAGAAAATCATTAACTGAAATTGCTTATTTCAGTTGGTGCTATTCCTCCCCTTATGGGCTGGGCTGCTTGTGCGAATTCGTTGGGTCCCGGTGCGTTTCTCATGGCTGCTTTATTGTACAGTTGGCAGTTTCCGCACTTCAATGCCTTGTCATGGAACCTTCGCCCAGATTATTCTAGGGCTGGTTATAGAATGATGGCTGTGACACATCCCGCTTTATGCAGGAGAGTCGCACTAAGGCACACGTTCGCCTTGCAGGCCTATTGTATAGCGGCACCATTATTAGACATAACGAATTGGTGGTTTCTACTTGAATGTACACCCATCAACTTATACTTTATTTACTTGGGTGAGTATTTTTAGCGTATTTGTTCAGTTTTCATAAGATTTTTATATGGACTAATAATTGTCTTGGGCTTTAATTTAATTAATATGGGCAGATAATCAAATGGTATTTAGATCTAAAATACCTTATTCATATATTACGTCACACATGACACGGAGGGGGACGCATAAAGTCATATTTGAAGTTTTAAAAAATTAAATCCTTATGGTCTGTTTCAGAAAGGTGTAGAGTAATAAAATCTCATTAGGCTATATATAGCAAATCCTTAAGCCGTGCGCATTGCACAATTCTTACAAACCCCTCGGGTTTGGTTCAAATTATCGGTTTTGACTACAGTACAACTTCTATAATGCGGAACAATTAAGTGTAAGTTAGCCTAGCCAGATAATTGATTTGTCCGGATTACTGAATATAGACCAAAACATAATTTTATGAAACACATAAAACCCAGAAAATTTTTTTTAAACGTTTATTGTTAATCACAAAAAAAAACAATTATGTATATACTTACTTTGGAACCTAACTTTTAAAAAATCAGCAGCAACATTTTTCAGTTTGAAAAAGTACCTCAAGTTGATGATCTTGCATATTGTTTTCTGGTGCCCAATGGATGCATTTTTTAAAGCAATTTATGGCATCATGTTGCTTAACTTTCACTACAATTTCGATAGAAGAATCGCTGTCTACGTTTATCTCGTCATTTGCTTCTTCTTTGTCTGGTAGTAACAGGTCAGTCTCAGACCATTCCCTGCGATTCATGCTTCTAGGTCATCAGTTGAAATATCTGTGCCTAATAATTTTTCACCAAGAACTTTTACCTCATTATAGTATATTATGCTACAAGTGCGGTAAACTTGTGAGTCAAGAGTTTATTTGATACAAGCGGAGCGAGTGTTTAATAAACGAGTGACTTAAAAAGTTTATCGAACGTGTTGCATACTATGTTTTTTCTAATACCGTTAGTTTTTGGGTACATTTTCGCAAAGCAATACGAATGCATTCACTGACATCACCGTCATTATTGACACGTCAGAATAAATAAGAACTAAAATTTCAGATTTTCACGAAACTATATATTTTGACATGCCAATTGTTTCGACAACACCGTGTCTTTATCAAATGTAATCTTTACAAACTACCTGCTACTATATATACCGAAAAATGACCAAAAAAACACATTTTTGATATTTTACATACAGCCACAAAAAGTAGAAAATTAAATTTAATGAAAGCCATGGAGATTAACAAAATGAGACATTCCAATTTATTGCTTAACGATCAATTAGATTTAAATACCTCTCCTTTATTTTATTCTCACAACATTAATTAACGTTTTATGATCATTTTTCGGTATATATAGTAGCAGGTAGTTTGTAAATATTACATTTGATAAAGACACGGTGTTGTTGAAACAATTGTCATGTCAAAATATATAATTTCGTGAAAATCTTAACTTTTAGTTCTTATTTATTTTGATAAATGGATTTTCATCAAGTAAAAGCTAAAGTAAAACCTCAGTTCAATTATTAACAAACGTCACAATTCAAAATCCTGAAAATGGCCGAAGTGGCTCAGATCCGTGGGAAACGAAACTGACGTGGTAAAGTGGCGCTTCCCGCACGCTAGATCGGTGTATAATTAGAAAAATTTATTGGTATCGAATCTTTTGTTATCCAATTTTTTGCTCCTTGCAAGGTACATGAGTAAATGAATTTCCGAAAGCTCGTGGTTTTCCAACATCAAGCAATCATAACTTATGGGACTCATTACTTATTTTTGGGCCTGGCGCTGATTTTTTGTTACCATGAGACCCATTTCTCCGATTATTGAGTTTACTTACAGTAAATGGTTTCACTGCCTCAACATTGCTTGAAAGAATTTCACCAGTAATAACTGTCTTATACCCTGTGTCGCTATAAATTTTTGCAGCTAAACGCTATCAAATTTCCTTTATTTTTAAAAATATCTGAGACGGTAGATTTTTTAAATTTATTGGCAATTAATCTGACACTAGACAACTTTTCTCTTTGGTATTTTTTAACAATAAACACCTACTACTAACACTTGATGCTAATGTAAATAATGTACGGACTACGTAACGCTCCGACAGGCGTGAAGGAGTAAAAAATTCGAGGCGCGTGTTGTTGAACGTCCGGAAATTAGTGTCCGGATGATTATGCTCTATATGTTATCCATTCACCAACACTAAACAGACCGTGTCAAAGCCGTCTCAAGCCTAGATACTCTCAAAAAGGAACTAATTTTATTTTGGCAGAATAAAAATTAGGTATTACGTGCATAGTACTAGATATTATTTGTTATTAAACATCATAAAATTAATACATTATACCGAAATGAAATTATAAAAAATCATAATATTCTTCGTCACGTGAGGAACTGTTATCTCCGCTTGACATTATAATTAACTGGTTGACAATCTGGTTGATTAAGTAGTTTCAGTTAAACGTTGAAGAAGCCAACAGGGTGATTGGCGAAACGTCAGTTCGATTCATCAACAACCGATGCAGGCGAAATCTAGAAGATTTCTAAATAGTAGTGAAGATCTATATTTTGTTTTTTTTTAATGACACGCTGAATAGTTTTCATGGGGTGTCACTTCCACAATGGCTTGATCAAACAGCAGCTTAGGGTCTTTCATTTTTAATGTTCTGTTGTTTTGCTACTAGTGGTTTCACACGCCGAATTGTCCTCAAATTCAATATTTTTAATGGTGAACCAGTTGATAATTTCTTGCTTTCTCTAAGACGAAGTTGGAATCTTCGGAAGATATTTGGTTGGCAAACAACAAAGCCTAATTATTAGTATCGGATTTATAATGGGGATAAAAAATAATTGTACTGTGCAAAGTTTACCAACGCCTATGGCTGATTCCGAAACTGTGAAGAACTGGACGCTTCTCTAAAATAGCCTATAAATTCTTAAGTCCTTAATTCCTTAGTCGATATTAAAATATTTCAGTTGCTATATGAATGATATGTACATACTAAATGTATTTTTTTTGTTTAGCTTACCAGTTCTATAGAGAATCATCAAGCGCATCATCCAGAAAATTATTCAGGTATTCTTTGCTTCACCTACCTTTGATCATGGTCCTGTTCTTAGTAAATAAGAAAAAATGGTTTGTATTTGAAACTAACGATGAAAATACAAAAAAAATGTAAAATAAGCCACTGTACATAAATGTAATTTATTAAAGACGCGCTATTTTGTATATTGGTTTATTTATTATTTCAATACAAACATTCTTAAAAAGTATTAAAACAACGCAATTTAAAAGCAATTGCTTTTTTTGTTTTGCGAAATTATGCCCAAAATTACAACAGACTTAAAAGCTAATATAAATGTTAATTATTCTAATGGTAATTGTGTATTTCAAAAATCATGTTACATCAGAATGACTCCGAGACTGTAAATATTAAATGTTCAGGTCAGATTTGAAAAACATTTTCTTTGAAAGGACAATTTCACAAAGCCTGTTGAGTCGACCAAACATTAATATTATAAATTGCTGGTTTACGAATTCTTTTTAGAAGAAGCATCAAATATTAGGCAATATCCTAACGTGCATAATTTCAAATTTCATAAGCATATCACTCAAAGTAAAAAATTTACAATGATGTTTTAAAATTTGGGATGGCAGTGTCTGATATATAATAGATTTAGTTAATTTTGAACTAGAATTTTGCCTAGTACATATGTTTTGAATATTACCTAATTTTTTAATAACGGTATACACCGCTGACGTGTTTCGTCTTATTCGTAAATATTATCGTTTATCGTATACAGTAAGGCAAAGTAATTGACTGTTTATAATGAGTAGGAATGAAGAACAAAAAAATATTTATTATATATGTTATTTGGCATAGGAAATAAAAACAAAATTATTTATATTTTGATAAATTGGTTAATGCTTTCGTGGCCCGTTGATAAGCTATTATCTTGATTCGGGTTTAAAGGCCGTCGTCGATTGGAATTACTTCCTAACGTTTCGCTAGCACGAGTGGCGAGCTTCTTCGATGTTCGATGTTGGACGTAGACAGTCTACGTCCAACATCGGAGATGGAAGGACCTCTGAAGAAGCTCACCACTCGTGCTAGCGAAACGTTAGGAAGTAATTCCAATCGACGACGGCCTTTAAACCCGAATCAAGATAATAGCTTATTTATATTTTTTTACTAAAAAAGGAGTACGCAGTTATTGCGCGTCGTTATGCAAAAAATAAAAATATCTCAAGTCAGTTTACCACCGATTTCCGTATAATAAAGAAAACATGGTATGTCAAAGAGAGCACATATCAATGCACGATTGCAATTGCGGAAATCGATTATTTTTCATTACAATAATGGAAAATCCCGTCGACTGCCCCGAAATTGGCAGCCACGGTTCAGAATTTTTTTATTCTATTTTGTATGGAAAATAAATCCTGAAACCGTTCGAATAGTTTTACAAAAAAATAATTATCATGGCCGAACTGCTAATAGAAAACTTTTTGTAAATAAAATAAACAGAAATAATAGTATGATTTCTGAAAAATGCAACTTTTATGTTTTGGAAAACAGTTAACGAGGAGCTTCTTGAGAAAAGCGACAGTGAAACTAGGCTGGGACTGATAGCATGGTTCGGTATGACTGCAGCAGGAGTGGGTAACTTGCATTTTATAAAGGGAATTGTGAACAAAGAAATGTACGCTTGTAAGTAATATTTCGAGAAATTTTGTCTTTTTACAAAATAACGACCCGAAGCATAAGGCACATGTAGTAAAGTTGTGGCTCCTGTACAACTGCTTTAAGGCAACGGAAACACCACCCCAATCGCCCAATATCAATGCTATTCAAAATCTTTTGGCAAAAGCCATTTAGAACGCGCAATATTTCAAACAACGGCGATCTAAAGAAAGTTCTCCTGGAAAGATGGGCTAACATAGTTGCTGCGAAAAACTAGTCAAATCAGTTCCACCAAGACTAGAATGCATCCTAAAAAGGAGAGGACTACGAAGCATTAAAAACACATGTAAATACTATAATCATAGAACTCGGTGTATGAGTTTCATTTTGAGGTCTCATTTTTAGAATGTTTTTTTTTTATTAATCTTCGTTATGCCAAATAAAATATTAAAATAAATTTTTGTCTTATTTATTTAATAAAAACTTAAATATAGCGGTTTTGGTTTTTTACCTACAAATGTATAAGTTTCACTCTGACTCACTGTTCAAAAGTAGTAATTTTGACGATGATTAATGATTGATCGACTAACCCGTGAAGACAAAACAAAAAACAACCAAAATGAACATATACGAAAGTCGAATTAGGAGCCTGAAATAAATAAATAAATATTTAAAGTTAAAATTCAAACTAACTAACCTTGCAACTTTCGGCAGAAAATGCAACAGCGACGACGGAAATGCAACGATAACTTTTTGCTCAAATTATTAATTATGTAATTATAGTCCGAAAAATTCACTCTATTTAAATCCGAGTTTTTCTAAAATTAAATATTTTTATGAACACTTTATTTCGCACCTTACAGCGGAATTTGTATGTACACTGACTATTTATAAGGGGGGCTGTTAAAAAACATCCATATACTAGACTTGCCGCAATGCGAAAAATGCTTCACTAAGAATATCTTCCTTAGAAATTAAGGCCGGGAGTAGCCAACAATGTATGGCTGTTGTATGACATCGGTTATACAATTCCTTAATTCGTGAACGTTTTATTTCTAAAAATATAACAAAAAATGGTGTTAAGCTGAACTCAAAAGTCAACGTGTTTTAAAATTGGGAATCCGTTTACTATCGAGAATTAATTCAAAATCCGAAGTTGGCAAATCTCGGCCTTAGAGTATAGTCCGATTTGTAAGAAATGAGTGACGTCACCGAAAACGGATGTTTCTCTCACTTAGACCTCGTTAATTCTTTTTGCTCTAGTTTCTCTATTTCAAGTACCTTACATTATCAACAAAAAATAATATAGAGGCGCATAAGAGAAGGAAACGATAATCGTGACGTTCCATTTCTAATAAATCGAAGTACGACAATTTCAAAACTAATCAGACTTTTTCTTATAAAAAAATCTTGAATAAGTGCAAGGTGAGTTACAAAAGAACAATCCAATAAATATAATATTAAAAGACCACATCTATCCCGATTGAAAAAATATTTAACTAAGTTTAAGTCGTATTTACGGTTTTCCCACCTTATTAAAAACAGCTTTAAAAAACTCACATTTGCCAAAAAAAAAATGTAGGCGACTATTATTTAGACACAAGCAAAACAATTTTTGCAAGCATCTAAAAAAATGGTTTCATCATTCACAAAGATCTGCAATATACTTAGGTAGTTCGCTGAAAGTAAAAAATGGACTCGCACGATCACAATTGACATCGAGTATATACCTACAATGCAATATTACTTGTGTATTTTTCGCTTAACTTTAAAAAACAGCATTTAGGCAAGAACTTGTATTAAATCACGATGGCAGTTTGGAATATATCTTAATCTGTGAGGAACTTCGTAAATATTTCGCAATTACCTTGCACAGTTCTGGGCTAACCAACGGTGTTAAAAAAATTTAACTTACGGGCTTCCTTTGTTGAAGTCTCCTCTACAGGAAGTCGTTAAGCGAACTGAATTGAAAATTAACAAGATGTTATTTAGGCAGAAATCTTTTAAGCTTTAAAATTACTAATAGCTTGGTGTTTGGTTTGTTCAAAATAGACTCTCTGTATACTTTCCATTTTTCATTTCTACAAAAAATTAGGTGTACAGAGGTGTAAATATACTAATTAACGCCACAGGATGTCCCAATTAACTAAAGATCCATATGCAAGTTGCGAATCTTTGACTTTTAAGACACTAAGTAATGCCGTAATCATGTCACACGTGTCGTTTTTGAATATTCAACTGTCAATTATGCCCAAAATTATTCTAGCGACATACGCCTTTAGATCACCTATGTTAGTTAAATGGTACGTCAGTTCCTGCCAAATCGGAAGTGACAGTAAAAAATGAAAGATAACATCCAACTAATTATGAACCCCAAGAATTAAGATTTGAAACTTTTAATGAACCTGTGTAAACTTCTTATGAAAATAGTGCCAGATTTGCAGAATGTAAAAAACGATTAGAATTAGACTTTAACTTCTAAAAGCGAAGCCGGTTATTTCGGTAAAATTGAGTTAAGATACTAACAGTCTTGTTGAGGATACTTTGAACACAATATTTGATCTTGAAATGGCATGAGCAAAACTTCGAACAAAATTTGTTACTAAAAATTGCAGGACAATATGGTGCAAATTTCATGCTAAGTTATGGTAATTTCTCGTTTGTCTCGTTTATCTTCTGAAGTCAATATAATATTAAATTTTAATTTTCTAATTTTTAAATTATAATATTGCCAAATTATGTTTGTATTGCAATTTAAAAAAAGGTAAATATCATAAATTTTCGATAATCAAAAAATTTTCTCCCTGGGAAATACATTATCTCCATGTACTGGATGATTCATTTACTACTACTATTTCTCAGGAACTAATGTCAATCATAAGAGTTTAAATGATGCTCCAAGAGAAATTGCTCTTTCATGAGGCACTTTTCTGGAAAAATTCTCAATATTAATTGTATTATTATTATTTTAATGGATAATGTCCGTAAACAAAAAAATATTGGAACAAGAAAATCGTTGGGTTTAAAAATTTAGTTTCGCACCTTTATTAAGAGATGTAAAATGAAGGCGGAAGAGAAGTTGAATTTCGCAACATTGAAATTCTTAAAGTTTTGCATTGATGGAATTTGTAAAAGCGGTTACGAGCAGAAGAATAAGAAAGGAAGAATAATTCGTATTTGTTTCTCCTATCCTCGCCCGGGCCAGTGATTAAAAAATTTAGCTTTTTTATCTTGTTTCGAAGTTTTGAATGGTTAGTTTGGGTCATATAATTTTTAAATTACGCTAAACTAAAACTTAGTTTACCAAATTTAATTAGGGAAACTTGTTCCTCTCGCGCTCTTATTTTACAGTTGATAAAAAGTATTAAACCAAAAAGGAATACTAAAGTGACATTTTTTTGGGCAGAAGAGATAGGAACTTAGTTGCAGTAATTTCTCTTTTACTGAAATACATATTGGGTGTTTCATTATGTTAAGGAATGATTCCTTGGATAATTCCAAAAATTCCATATAAACGTGAGTGCGCAAGATGGCAAAGTGGTTTCTGCTTTAAATGAACAACTGTTAGAATCTGAAGAATCATTCTTAGTCACTTGAGTTTCGTACTGTGGAAAACTCATTTTTTAGTCTTTCGACTGAACTTTATGTTATAGTGTCACTTCCAAATACCATCCGTTTCAAAAGAGTTGCTGTGGTTATTTCAACAGTGGAGAAAACTAACTAATTTTACAGGGGAGAAGCACATTTTAAAACCGTTAAATATTTTGAACCAGATATTTTCAAAACCTGATAAAAAATAAGCTCACAGGAAGGAAAAAAACAGAAGAGAATTTACATTTTTATAAAAATAAAATATATAGGTCTGCCTTCTGCGCATCGAGACGATTAAAAAGTACTTTTGTAATGTGTAATGTAATACAACACTGTGACAATTCTAATTCCTAGTTCGAATTGAAAATTCATCCTATAGGGTTCTCATAAATTAAAAAAAGATTTGCTGTTTTTCCCATTTGTAAATTGGTTGTTTTCCAAATAACACAACACATAGCCATGAACAAATGTACAGGAGGGTTGTTTATATTTTGCACCATACCTACGGCTAAATCTTGGAGTTTATTTGAAAAAAATTTTTTTCCTTGTTTTCAAGAATATAAAATTTGCTTATATTATCTTCAGCCGTTTTTCTAATATTCGCTTTTAAATTTTAGGTAAAATTCATTTACTTGCAAATTTAGATAGACATCCACAGATATCAGACTGAACGTGATGATTTTAAAAAGTGTATGTTCTCGCTATTTGGGGTTATCCTAAAACATATTAATTCATTACAGTAACTGTTATTTGCCATTAGACAAATAGAAAAAAGTTTCATTTAGAATTTTTCCCGGTAGGTATTTATTTTGGCCATAGCCTGATTCAATTACAAATAAAATGGGGTAAGTTTAAGTAAGTTGTCTCCTGGAAATACCTTAAACCTTTGAAAAGTGTCAAATTAGAGTCACTGAATGAATTTAACTAGTGTTGTATACAGACTTCATATCCAAATGTAGCTAACACAAGCATGAAGTTCAAAATAAATTGAGTTCATCACAAATTTGACAAAACTTTATTGTGCTTGTGAATTTTATTTGTCAAGCAAATTAAATGTGTTTATAGGAGCCAAAATCCATTCCACAGTACAACTGTTGCACATATTTCAGAAAAATCACTAACCACACCACACAACAGTTTACTGCATAACGCCTGTATTATAATTACAGACGTTTCAACGTTTACTGAATATAATGTATAGTTACATTTTAATCTGGAGGGTTCAAAATTCAGAAATCATTTAAGTAAAAACCAAATCACTACAGTGATGAACTGATTTTTTTATACACATTTATCTGCAAAATATTTTTGGTTCCTAACTTGTTCATTTAAAATGCACTGAAATAAATTTATAATGCTGAATAATGATAAAAGTTTTTATTTTTTTTTCAACTTCTTTTTAAAAATTTATAAATTCACAAGGAATAGAAAAAATGAATCTTTTTTCACCCCTCGCAGGAACGCCCTCTACACATTTGGGGCTTGTTTTTACTTGACAAGTTTGATTGGGAAATATATTTTCAGTAAGAAGGTGACTTTATTGAGTTTTAATTTTTGTTTTGCTTAACCAGCGACTCCCATTGTTTTATTTCAATAACTTTACTCGGTCTAAAGGATGGGTTTGATATTTTCACTAAATAAGCAAAATATATTCTATATATAACACATATATCCAAAATACCGCCAGCAATATCTGAATAAACCTCTTTTAGTTTCCACATCATAAGCAGAACATTGGATGTTGAATGTGAGACGATTATTCTAAATATGTACATGTAACATGGAAGACCTTGGTAAACAAGTTATCCGAATTAGCTTATTTTTACTATTGTTTGGTCAATTTATTTTATAGTTAAACTCTCTATCAATTGGCATTTCAAGTAACAAAAAAATGCAAGAAATACATTTGAAAATTCCAAACATTGCTTTATTCGAAACCTAATGTCAACGGTTGCATTTTTTTTTAAATTATGAATTACTAATATTTTAGTTGTTTAATATTTTTTCATTTGTTTTTCTTTTACCTTTGGAAACAAAAGATAAACTCTCCTTTTTTAATCCTGCATTGCAAACTTCCTGGTCACTTCTACAACAAAATCTGGATAAAAATGAACAATGGAACAAATACTAATATAAAATACATACATAAATACATAACATAAAATATCTCGGTTAGGGAAGAAATACCTGACCATAGTGATGAATAATATTACTATTAAACAAACGAAAAGTTTAGATAGGAAGATTGACTTTTTATCCACGCCAGCTTTGAGGTTATTTTACTGCTTGTATCCCCAGATGTTGAAATTCATAGAGTATTTAACCTTGAAGTCCTAGTAACATTTGCTAAAACACAATAAATACAGATTCTAATCATAAGGTGGTTTTGGTTACCTAAATTCATAGAGATTAGATTTTAAATTAAATAAAATCAACATTGAAGAAGTGAATAGACTGACCAAACAACAGCTTACACATCGACATATCAAAACAATTGCCTATACAACAATCGAATCAGGACTTGCTGACCAAACATTTCTACAAATGTTAAGTTTTTTCGCTGTTTATATCAAGAGAAAAGGATAATAAATATAACGGTAAGGGATAAATAGGCTGAATTAGATACAAAAATTTTGGCTTGTTTTATTTAATTAAAAATGCAAAGCTTTACTAAACTAAAATGAAAATTTTACATAAAATGCAAGGGAAATATGATTTAAATTATTGGCAATTGCTAATCATTTCCTAGTGCGTCCTGATTGTACACCAATTTTGGACAACAGTAATGAATATGGAGAAAGAAAACAGAATCAGGAAGATAGAAATTTTAATTCTGTTAGGGTTTTCACTAATTTCTTCAGTAAAATTAAGCTTCTGGAATTTAAAAAAATATATATTTTGAGGTAGTTTTGACTAGAACATTTTAAGTAAATTTTTAACAGAAGTTCGTTAGCGTTGGTGTTTTTATACGCAGTAGAAAACTTATTGCTTTATTGTTTCTAATATGTAGAATAGTATGCAATACAAAACGATACTTTCTATCAACAGCTGGCTGTAAATTATTATTATACATATACCTGGGAATGAAGATAGCTTCATCAAAATGCACTCTTCTTTCAGGGATAAAGTGTTTACTAAGAAACCAAATAAACGTGCCTATGTTCTCACCAAATATTCCCGCAAAAATATTATTTCGTTCAAATGAATTCCCACTCTATAAAAAAATGGTCCAATATTGAAAAACACAAAATGTAATTTGTTACGCAAGCCTTAATAAACTGATTGTCCACAAATGATCAGCTCAAGAAGTCCTACAATTATTAAAATATATTTTACAATGACGATATATTCTTAAATGGACTAGACGGTCGAAATTAAGCTACTGTCATTGTAAATGTTATATTGAAAAAAAGAGGCCATATAATTATTTATATTGAATTTTGAAATGTCCTGCAATATTATAGGAATTTTATTGGTCACAATCACGAAATTTCTCCATATCTCCAGCGATACAGAAAATAAAAAATGGGGGGATTTAAGGCAGGCACTGTATAATGCGGAAATGTATCGGGTGCCCAGTTTTTGATAGCTTTATTTTTGAGATATAAAGTGAAACACAGAATTTGGCAGTTTTACTTATCTTTTGTATATTAAACATCGTGTCTCGTAACGCGATGATGAAAAACATCGCTTTACGTATAATTTTTTGGATAAAAATTAAGGATATATTTTTTAAACAGACTACAGAATACAAAATGTATCATGTTTCATTTAAAATATTGTTGTTTCCCATAACTTACACAAAAAAATTGAGTACGGCACTGTATTTTGAATTCTCCTTTCTGGATTGTAGACCGGATATCCTCGTAAATGCCCAAATAATTCCTAAATTATACGAAAAATGTATGGCGGCCGGTGGTTTTTGTAATAAAGTAATTAATAATAACAATAACAATAAAGTTAATAAAATAAAAAATCCTTTACAACAAAATTGAGTATGCCACAGGTTAAAAAAATCTACAAGAATATTTATCATCTCATTAGGATACGCAATAAGAAAAGGACAATGGGCACACTGTACATAAATTTCATAAAGGCATTATTGTTTTTTTTTGATTCACTAAAAACTGCAGGTAACTCTAAATGTTGCACATAAATAACTATGTAAACAATACCTCAGGAATTATTTATGTTATCTAGGTTAATTAGTTAAAAAACACAATGATTAGTAATTTTTGTATTGATTTTTCTTGTAGTAAAATTAACTTTGATATAAAATTTGTAAAATTGTTACTCTCGAAAGTATACGCGTTTATTATTTATTAATTAATATATTTACTTTAATCTAAGATAATTTGTGCTGACCTTGTTCTCTATAAATCCAAGGACTTTTGGGATAAATTCTTTTGGTTACATTATTCCAATTCTGGATTAATCTGAATTTTAAAATAAATATCCAATCCAAACCGTAAAATACTGGAAGCCAAAATCAAAAAGCAAGGTCGAGTTTCTATAATTCCTCGATGACGGGGTTTGACAATTCCTTTTTCTCCGTGTACAAAATAACTCGTATAAAACCCAAAACTATATATATACCTAATTCAGCCTTACAATTTGTATAATGTACATATTAAAATTGAACTAAAGATGGTTGCATCATACTATACGTTTGGTATAACCCCTCCGCTACTCACTTCCATCCTTTCTGTCATGTAGTTATTGAAATTTCGCTGGATAGGGATACCGTTTTGTCTTAAGCTGTTGTCTCCGTCGACGGGAGGAGGAACAGAGTGTCCTGGATCGAAGCGACTGGAAGTCGTCGGTATGTTATGATGCAAATTCGATCTGGAAGGTATATTGAAGCCGAAGGTTTGCTGATGGAAGGAAGACCCGGATCTGCGAGGGGAACGAGAGTTGGAAGGCCTGTACAAATCCTCCAGAACTGACGGGGCCACATAGGTGAATCCCTAAATAAAAAAAAAGATTTAACAATTGGTTATATTATTTATTTATTTGATTATTCTAGAACCAACCGAGAAGTTATTAATTCTTAGCATATTAACGTTTTGCGTTAGAATTTGTACGTGCCCCGCCGCATGTAATGAAAAAAGGAATATGTGCCTATTTTAATTAATTGAGTAACCTGCATTTGCCTTATTTTTGCAAACACAGGCTTTTATAACCAGTATTGCAAATTCAATCAGTTTTTCGTAATAAAAATGTAATTTTGGCACATATCCCCTTTTTAGTTTAAACTCTTCAATTAATTATTCACACATAGAACTATACAGGGTGTTTACAACACAGGGTAGTTTGGGTCAAAACCCACGTATTAAGGAGATTTCGTGCTACAAATATGGCGAAAAAATACTGTTATTTTTTATCTTCAAAAAGAAAATAGACTGAATACCAAAATATTAAGGAATTATTATTATTATAAAAACACACATTTTGCATATTTTATAATTTCTTTTAAATGAGTGGAATTTAGGGAACAACCGACATAAAAAATGTATTTTTTTAATAGAAAATAGAAAAATGAAATCTAAAAAATAAAAAAATCGAGAGAGCTGGTGTCACTTGACATTGCTCAGTTAATTTGAATATAAAATAAATTCCTTGCAATCTTTTCGTGTTTATACATAAGCGTATTCTATTCGTAGCCCTCCTCATCACAGCTGTTTACCAGGCTTAATCAAACGCTTTATGACTCTGGAAATTCCGAAAAATGGAATTTTGATACTAACCGATATTGGGAAGTTCGAACACCCAAATTGGAAGATGCTGTGGTAAATATTATTCGAGGGCAACTGAAGACAAGTACCAGGAAAATTGCGGCAGAATTAAATACTGGTGCATCAACTGTATTGAGGATATTAAAAGAAGAACAATTACACCTATACCAAGCACTATAACGAAGAGATTTAGAATCGAGAGTGATTTTTTCCCAATGGTTTGACCCTTTTTTTTTGTCAAAAATTCTCTTTTTTGTACGATGTTAGTTTCTCAAGGGAATTCAAAACTTTCAAAATAGGCGTGGATGGGCTGAAGATAATCTGCATTCAATAACAGAATGAAGACTCAATATCGGTTTGCTGTTAATATCTAGTTAGGAATGATCGATGATCATTTAATTGGGTCACATTTTCTACCTTTAAGATTAAATGCTGAGTCCTATTTTCATTTTCTACAGAGAGAATTGCATCCTAGAAGAGACATGTATTACTAAATGCATGATGGTGCCCCAGAACATTACAAATTAAATATGCGCACGCGTTTAAAGCAAATGTATGAAAAGCGCTGCATAGAGAGAGGTAGGCTTTTATCATTGGCCGCCTAAGTCCCCAGATTTAAATCCTTTGGACTATTGTATCTGGGAATATCTAAAAGTAGTCTACACTACCCCAATACAGTATATCGAAGACCTAGGAAATCGCAGCGCATTCAAAATCTGAAACCACCTTTTTAAATGAGATAAAATAAACGTTTTTTGCAAGAGTAAATTAGAGTAAAAAAAAACTCTTATATGGTCACAACCTCAGGTCAAATAAACTACATCACTTACTTGAAAAATATTATTAACGCTCTCGCTTAAAAACGAATCTACGGGGGAATCGACTGGAGTCTGACGGGTGAATTTTGGATCAAACTGCGACACGTCATCTTCGCTTCGCTGGAATAATATCAGAAAATATTAAAATTCATTGGAGAAATGTAACCATAAACCTGAAATTTTAAATGAATATCATAAATGTGTTACAATTTTTATTTCTTCACTTAACTATTTAAATTTAATTTCATATAAGGTTTTTGGGATATTTAAATCTCAAGGATTCAGAAATGGAAGAATGAAGATGAAATTTTGTCAAGCAAGTACTATTAATATAATATATATAGGGTGTTTCAAAACAAACATGAAAAACTTAAGGGGGTGATTCCTTGATTAAAATAAAGGGTGAAGTTTGTGATATAAATAGCGGAAAAATAATGTTTTTATTTTTTATCTTAAAAATGAAAATGGAATAATAAAATATTATGTTAGCATATATATACAGTTCTGATTTTTCAGTAGCTTAAGGAGTAGCGCAATTCTTTAAAATTCTTTAAATGGTAGCACAAATCAAATACATTCTCGGAGGCCATTAGTTCTTGCCCCGTTTGACGCAACAAATTTGAACCAACCAAATAAATCGAAATTCAATTTACACTTCCAATAACAAAATGTTTCAAATACTAAAAATACTTATTTATTATTATTATTTCTAATGATATTACAAAAATTGATAATATTTTAACAAACGAAAAAAGATTGAGTCTTTGATGAACGCCTATGAAGTTGCATGTCAATTTACTGTCATAGCTTAAAAGTTTGCCTCTTGAAGCAAAAGTTCGTTTATTAAATAATTTCACATAGACTCTGTCTTATTGCTTTTTAATATATTTTTTTCCTTAACAGGCTCGACGTTCGGCTCGAACTGAATTAAATAATAAAAAAAGAAAACATACCAAGTAAGGTTTGTAAGGCGGTTCTATTCTTTTGTTATAAACATCGTCCCAATTGGTATTTTTAAAAAACGGATGCCTTTTGATTGCCTTTGCACCTTCCGGCGGTGCACCCAGCCTGTCTTGTGGTTTCTTCTTTAGTAATCTCCTCACCAAATCCCTACAATCCATAGTCATGAATTGAGGGAATATCAGCTTCGCTTTCAGGATGAGAGCAATTGTTAACTTCCTTGTTTCTCCGTGGAACGGCGGCTTAAAGGCAATTAATGCAAAATAAATTACTCCGAAGGCAGCAAAATACAATAGTCACGTTCATTGTTTAAAGACGCTTTATTTACCAAAAAATAATAGAAACATTATTGAACTTACAGCTCCCGTCAGCATATCAAACATTAAGGCACCAAGAGACCACCAATCTGCCTCTTTCGAATGGCCAAGTCTTGATAAAATCTCTGGCGCCCTATAAATCATGAATAACTAATTACCATCCCCAACAAATAGAAAGTGTGCCTAAACTTACATATATTCAATAGTACCACAAAAAGTGAGGGTTCTGGTGTTATCCTGAATGTGTTCTTTCGATAATCCAAAGTCTGTAAGTTTTATGTGCCCATCTCTGTCCAATAGAATGTTTTCAGGTTTAAGGTCTCTGTATATAATACCCAAGCTGTGCAAATGTTCCAATGCCAAAATAATTTCGGCTAGATAAAACCTTGAAAATAAAATAATCCTTAAATTGCAAAATACCAACAGGTTTAGGTCTTTAAAATACAGAGTGGTTCATAAAGAATGGATAATCTCGAAACTGGAGATAATAGGCAACAAAATATTATAATTAAGCTCAACATGCCTCATACTGGGCGTTCAAATTTTAATCTGCATTTTCTAATTAATTTTAGAAGTTTTTATAGTATATTAATAAAAATTGGAATCATATTTTTTTATCTGTCGAGTTCTTGTTGAAACATGATAAATATTATGTCTAGCTTGTATTACTATAAAAAACAGCCTAAAGAGAGCCCTTTTCAACAAGTCCAAATTTGACAAAATGACAATTAGCTATCAGTAATATAATTCTAAAAATTTATAAATTTCCAGCGTTGATGACTAGTTACAATTCTTTACGATTACAAATTACAACTTTTTACGACAATTACTTTTTGAAATAGGGCTAAGTGCAAGTATTCATCAGGTCACTGCATACCTGACGAAATTTTATTACTCTAAACAATTTTGAATAGAAAACTATAACATAGAAAATACTTAAAATCAAACTGCAACAAACTACATAGTTATTTTTAAAAATCCAAGAGCATTAAAAATAAAAAACATAACCCGAAATCAGATTATCAGAAGACTTAAACTTGATGAGTTTTAAGAAATAATGTGAAGAAACAATTACGCACTTTCTTTTAAGAACTTTTTAAAACATTTTTTATTATAGAATTTTCTTATGAAGTTAAATTCTACTATATACGCTCTACTTACGAAGCACATTCCTCCAAAAATAATCCTTCTTTTTCCAAATACGTAAACAATTCGCCACCGCTTAGATACTCCAAAACTAAATACAGCTTTCCACCGGTTTGGAATGCATAATTCAACTGTACGATAAACGGGTGCTAAAATTGAAAGATAAAATTTTGAAAAATGTTCAACACTTACTTTACCTTAACACTCTCTAGTATATTTCGTTCCGCTTTCGTGTGGGATACATCCTTTTGGTTTCTTACGATGGAAGCCTTTTTTAATACTTTCATGGCGAATATTTTTCCGGCATCCCTGCCGTTTCTTTTACGACATTGAAAAACTTTGCCGTAGCCTCCTTTTCCAAGTACTTTTAGCAGATCAAAATCTTTCGGAGTCATGCGCTCTTGCGTTGGATTGACATTTTCTTCTGTTAGTTCTAAAGTTTCAAAGTCACCCTCTGTCAAGCTGGAAAAACAAATCTATAGAATGCATTGAAACATACTACCGGGTGTCCCATTTTAGATGTTTCCTTATGAAAAACAATGCTAGTTGAAAACATGGCAAATTGTTATTAAAATTCAAAGATTTGCCATTCAAGACCTTCATCACGATTAAGTTTTTTAAATAATTGTTTGGATGTTTTAAACTTACGGTCCATAACATGATCCGCTTCAAAATATTGAAAAAAATGCAAATTCATTATTAGGCATGAAAAAAAAAATGTTCATTTAGAAAAAACAATAAAAATTGATGAATTAAAAAATTTTGGCATTAACGTGGCATAATTTCGTCGTTGACAATGCATTTATCATTTTTCTTTTTTTGAAGGTTCAGCATGCCTGGTATTGTATCTAAAAAAATTATCTCATTAAACTGTGAGTATCATTATTTACTACATAAGAATTGTAAATTATTTGTTTTAATCTGATGCACACCTTAAGTGATGTCTTATGAAGAAAGCTAATTTAATATGAAATTCTACTGGGCACTTGATAACGCCAACACCTCCTTTGGAAGTCAATCACAGTAAATTATTTTTATTAATGACAATTAACTCAAAAGCTATGCAAACAAAAGCAATTTATTTTTATTTCCTTTCAGATGAGATATTGTCACTATCAAGGATTTCATTAATTATACTTGGCTCTAATAAATTTGTTAAATCCTTTGTTTTGTCCCTTTTAAAAATCGTTTACTTTTAAGGCTTTTAGATCCCCAAACACTATATACCATATATATATTCGATACATTTCCGTAAATTCTGTTCTATAGGGTTTCTTCTGACGGGTGGCCTATTGGTGACGAGTCTGGATTTAAGGGGCAACCTTGTACAAATTAGACACTATTGAGAGAAAAATTCAAATATACAATAGTATATGGGGTGTCTCATTCTAAATAACTGTCAACGCCTGGTATACCTTAGAGTCCACATTTTTAAAAATAATTTTAAAGTATGTCGCTTTTATATCTGATAGTTTGTTGTTTGTGTATTTTTGGATCTTACGGAGTAATGAAGGAAATGTGCTGTCTGCATTTTGATGAGACACTTCTAAGGTTAAATTAATTTTTCTTGGTAATATAAAAGCGATATATTCATTATCTCATGAACTTTGGTAGCTAAAAAGGTTTTGTTTACTGACAAATAGGTTTCTTTATTATTACGGGTCTGCTTATGTAGATTACCTGAAAATTGGACATGTACCCCAGCACAGAGCGCATGGCCAAAAAAAATTGTAAAAAGAGGTAAAATGTGCATTAGCAAAAATTGAATAAAATCTTTATATTGAAAACGTTTGGTTAGTTAACTTATCTTGGAAAGGCACAAAAAAAAAACAGGTTCATCATTAAGATTCTGACCCTCATGGAGGTCGCTATTCTATTTCAGTTGAAAACTTGTAAGCACTCCTACCAGTCGCCAATTTTTCAATTAGCCCTCCTAAGGGAGAAACTACAGGTTTTGTTTTATAAGTAGTTTCCTATAAACGAACATAGAAAATGTCACATTCTGCGTGGGTGGTAACTAAATGGGATATAACAATTAGAAAATTTAATTAGTTTATTTAATATACTTAGGTGTAGAAAAATCCACCGGCTTTATTATTTTGATTTAACAAACTTTTTCATTTTCTTTAATTAGATTTCCTAAAAAAAAAGTGTGTATGACACACTGTGGTGAAAAACAACTTTTAGATTTTAATTAAAAGTATAGTGTACGTAAGTGTGTTTATTCTTTTTTTTATTTATTTTGATATCTCGATATATAACACAAACATGTCAGGGTAAAATAAAAAAACATTAGATCAATTTGTTAGTGGGCACTGTCTCCAAAGAAAGAAATAACCTTGAAATAAATGCAGATATAATAAATTAAAAAAAAAAACAATCAATATGGAATCAACAAAACTTTCATACAGTATAGTTTTGAATGAGAATGACGAAGGGTGGAAGATAGACAGGCAGAAATAAAATTGTTAAAGTGATATTGTTTTTCCTCTTAAGAGTATGTATAAACCCAGACTCTTTAGGAAATATAAATGATATGGTTTAGTCTAAATTTATTTTCCTTGAACTTGTGCAAAAAATCGTTAAAATCGGACTAAATATGAAAAAGATCTTTTTAGAAATATTTTCTGTATCTGAGATTTTAGTTGCAATTATCTAAAATTACCCTTTCCCAATTTTATTGTTTAATATGCAAACAAATATCTAGACCAAGCTGACACCAGGCATGTAGTTGTGGTACAAACTTTACTTTTTATGTTCGATATTTTTGTTTACGAGAATATTGAACTGTAATGTTCTTGCAGTAATTTATTATTAAAATCAAAAAGACAGCGATTTTTTATTGACTGTATAAAAGTATGTTTCAATTTTTGGTAACTTCTTTTATTTAATTAATATAGAGCATATATGTTACTGTTTTGTGAATTTACCACAGACAACTCAGAAGTCATCATACTCCTGCAGAGATATTTCAATCAAGATGTTTTTGTAAACCAAACATCTATAACCTATCCATCAAAACTTTGAAGCATATGTACACACATTATAAAAATTATATGTAGGTATCCACGTGTAAGGGCAACTATGCTTAATGAAAAAGTATTTTGTTATGGTAGGAGAATATAACATTACATATGAGGAACTAAAAAGATTAGGAGGCAATAATGGGCACTGAATTATTTCTTTGTATTGTTCTAACATTTAATAATTATTTATTGACCATAAAAGAAAACTATATATTGACACCTCCACTTACAATAAGACAGTATCAGTAAAAAATCAGTATGCAATATTTTGAATGATTAACAATAAAACTAATGTTAATATACATATATTATGTTGTCTAAAAAAGATCACTCAATTTCCAATTTTACTTTTAAATAGTAAAATTTTAATAAAAATATAGTTACAAAGTTCTTTATTTTTTCTTTTATTATTTGTGAATAAAAAAACACATCACTCAAATAAAAATCCAAAGAATGTAGGTATTATTAAAAAGTTTAATAAAACATTGAGATGGAATCTTCACTTTCAGCACAACCAAATTTGCTAATGGAGATTTAACAAACCCATAAATTGTCATACACATATTGTTGTAAATAACTACCAAAACACAACATTTTAAAATCAGATGAAATATTTAGTAAATCGCACGCTAATTTCGTTGTATAAAATTAACCAGAGCAAACACTTCAGGAAGTAAGATTGGTGCCCTTGCCAAGCATAAACTGGTCTATTATATAAAATAGTTACACCTAGGGAATAACTTACTCAATGACTTCATTAGGATTGGGGTTCTCATCTATGCAGGTACTCTAAAATGAAAGAAAGGAAGATTGTCATTAACAAGATTCCTAAAACTAATTTGGGGAAATTGGCACAAAGCTGTTAACATAAATTCAGCATTTTACAAGGCCACCATACAAAAAATTTGAAAACGTAGTTTATTAGGTAAAGATAAACCAGATTTTCTCATTATGCATTAGGCAAATTTCTTAATTACGCATTGGATGGAAAATACTTGGAGGAATCTGTGTTTACCTCATCAATTTCGATTTCATCCTCAGAATCTGATAATTCCACGGTTTCAACATCATCAATATCGAAAACGGTTTCCATGATGTTGCTATATTTTTACATTTAAAATTCACTATCACGCACCAAACACGATAATTTGCAAATAAAGGCGATATAATTCTTTCGCTGTCTTGGGAAATGATACAGTTAGCACACGATACAATGAGGTTATGTACAAATACCTCCCCTGCCCCCTGCACAATGAACTTTGACAATGTAATTGCCAACTTCATCATAACATTTTAAATATTTGCTGCATCCGTTCGAGGATCGACAACACAATGACTAATTTATACTTAAATTTGGTCCGCATGGAATCCAGAGATTAATGTTATCTTATTTAAATTAATAAAATAATATTGTGTAACTTTCAGAGAGTAGAGCTCTTAAATGGTATGTTATTTTTCTTTTTTTTATGGTGAATGAATTTTTGTAATATTGGCGAACATGTTCAACGTTTTAGTAGTCCCTCAAATTGGCAGCACTGCGCTCTAAGAGACGCCATATTATAATATTGTTGCGTCTAAATTGGCAAGTGATAGTGAATATTTTGCCGTTCTTCTGGAGGAATTTTAGGTTCAGCAAGTTTGAACAGCAAAAAGAATAGTTAAATTGTGTTTTGTATATCGGCTAATGAGTGAAAGAGAGGTAAAGGCCTTGCGATCCTAACTTCAGAATGTATTTAAAATGCCGGTTTAAAACCACGCTTATTTTAAAATCACCATTTTCAAGAATACTTTTTAATCATTTTGTTTTGACTTATTATATGCTTAGTTTTTGTTTTTGATGTGTTCTAATTATAAAGTTCTCGTTAATAGGGTAGTCATTCGCCGAACATAATGAACGATCACTCACCAAGGGTCAAACACGAAGATTCTCCAAGGAATCTTAAGGGCAATAGTTATTCCAGGTAAATACTTTAAATTATTAAACTTCAAAATTTGCTTTTAAAGTTTGAGCCATTGAATGCAAAAATAACTTAAGCAACATGAACAGTATATATTTTGATCTTTATTAAATAATATAGGTTTAAATTGCATAAAAATCTTAATTCAGAAGCCAGAAGAAAAATTGTTAACTTTGTTTCAAATTTTCTTCTATTTGAATTTGTAGCATGGCACCCAGTTGATTACTTTCTTTTAAATAACTATTAACATAATGCTACTGTTGCCAAAGCAGGTGCTGAAATTATCCATAACTCATTAATGATTTAATGAGGTGCATTTATTTTATCCAACACTCTGTTTGATAATACTGACAATTTGTTCATGTCTATATATGAACAACATACTTAAACATCAACAAGATACTTAAATTTTACTACATTTACTCTAATAGTATTTGCATCATTTAGTAAATGCATAAATGTTTTTTTGCTACTTTTCATTTTTAACATATATTTAGAACTACTTGAAATCGAAAACAGCTCCTAGTCATAACCCAAAGATCGTGCTTGGTGTTGCAATAAAAGTTAGTAACAAATCAAATTTTTATGGGTTTATGTCTTGGAACGGTCTGAGTAAATCTGTTTGGCAGGGATTTAAACTACAGAAAATATGCATAAAATGAAACTTATCTTCTTATTTAGAGGTTTGATATTTATTTGCTTGAATCTTTATTTTTATTCTCATATATCGACTATGAATTCCACTCTTAGTTATAAAGAGACATATCTTGGTCATGATCATATGCCCGGGCATTTAATGTGAAAAATGTAAATGTTAAATGTAACACTGTAATGTAAATACTATTTATATATATAAAAATATATTGCGCATTTGGAAGCAATGTTATACCTTTTGCAATTTATTTTTGTTTCCTTACAACAGTGGTCTTAGGTAGTGAATTTGAGAACCAGGTCAATGCAGTGACATATCCATAACCAAACTTTTGTAAAGCTCATTCTAACACTACAAGCAATTGTTTCTCATCAATAAATAGTTGTTTGACGGATTTATTTTAAATTAGGAGCCCGAGTAGAGACAGAAAATATCGGGATGATAGAAGTAGACGTCGAGATGATAGGGATTACAGCCGAAGAGATAGGTATGTGCTTATTATAAATTTTGTCAAAAATTTTTACGAAAAACGTTTATAGGATGTTATTGAAATGACATAATTTAATGAGTTAGTATGGATCCTGTCCTTATGCTCAATAGATGTTTGGCCAAAGTCTTCCAAAATTTGCACTTGGAGACAGCATTTTGGTCCAAAATGTTGGGAACCCTTGTGCACCACACATGTATTATTGCCTTTTATAATTCTGTGCTGGTACTAGGAAGTTTTCTTATATACAGTGGTATTTCAGTAATCATATACAAGTTACATGCAAAGGCGGTACACATCCACTATAAAAGACTTCACTAAGCAACTGAGCGTTAAATAATTATTGGTTGAATTGAATTCTGATATAATTTTTTGATTTAAGGAGACAGTGTTATGTCCCTCTATTTTAGATTGTAATTAAATTAAAAATACCAGGTTGTTTCTTTATTGGTTTACAATCGATTTTACATGCAATTTCATTTCTAACATCGAGCCCACTGCCTAATTGCAGTCAGAACAGAGGTAGTATCTCTGGTTAGTTTAGCAGGTTATCCCAACACTTTTTTACATCCTAAAAAATATGGAATTTAATTAAATTTTAGTTGATTACAAAGCGGGATTATTTGGGACAACATAATATCATTGATTCATACCGGTGTACTATAGCATATTGCTGTGTGTATGAAATCAATTAAAAATTTTTGCTTATTGAATAATGTGCTTTCTGGTGTAGAACTTTTCCAAGCTGACACGTAAAATTGTTAAATTCATTTATTACATATTTTGACTTATTAAAGCAAACTGCTGCAAGGGTTGGGCAACTTCCCCAGAAAGATCCAGTGACATGACAAGTATTTTAAAAATCTTTGTAGCCCAGAAATTCGCTCATTAAATTATGTCATTTCGATGAGCCCCTGTATAACATATATACCGGTTAGCGTGTTTTCTCATTATTGGACTAAGCGTCGTCTGGGTTGGATTGATATGTTAGTTTTGCATAAATTGTAAAATTGTGTAAAAAATATGCTTCGCAAAGGATGTTTACAGGTATACAGTGTATTCTACATATTGAGGTTTATTAGCAATTATTTTATACATGTTCATGTAAAAATTATTTGAGTACCTAAAATACACTTCCACTGTGCTAATTTAATGATGATAAATGAATGAATACACTCTATGCTTAAATCATTGGGCAGAAAGCGAAACTACCTCGCTCGCAGTTTCATTATTTTATTTTTATCTTCGACTTTCATTCACAATTTTAGTTGCCTGGCAAATTTTTCACACTTTACAAGACTCACAATACATCGCCATAAAAAAAAATCACAAAATCACACTAAATATCCGAGGCAATGTTAAATCGGTGTCTTTGTGATTTCGACCTTCCAGGTCACGCAGTCGATCACGCTCAGACAGACGTCACAAGTCCTCGAGATATTCGCGCAGCATGTCGCGTTCTCCTGGTTACGGAAGTCGGCGCTCTCACTCACACAGTCCTATGTCTAGTCGCAGACGTCATTTGAGCGCGCGGGACAATCCCAAGCCGGGCCGTTGTTTGGGAGTGTTCGGACTTAGCGTTTACACCACCGAAGACGAGCTTTACCACATTTTTAGCAAGTACGGTCCTGTGGAGAGGGTACAAGTAGTTATTGACGCAAAGGTGGGTATACTTGTATCCAAATCCAGTCTTACCATGCAGGTCCGAAGGTCACTAGCACACTTGGACTACCAAAATGTGCAATTATAAATATACCTCAAGAAAGGAAAAATGAAATGGTTTTATTTTATGCAGTGTTGGGATAGTCACCTAACATTATTTTTACAAAAATTATATTTCAGAAGTTAAAAAGTTACAAAAAACTAAATTACATTGATTATTATGGTAACTTAAGTAGTCATAAACTGAACTTTATCTGATTAATAACAATGTTAAACCGTCCAGTTTCTTATAGCAACTGTCTGAAATCGCTGGTATTTAATCTGGATAATTATATCAAGGAATAAAAAGGAAATGAAAATTGCCAACCAGTCTCCAGGAAGCAGTAGCGGAAACAGTGCGAGTCAGATAAAGGACTTTACAGAAAATTATGTATAAAAAAATCATACTATAATACTAACTACTCGGGCGTGATATAATCCAACACGTCAGGAACTTGCTTGCTTTTATTTAATACCATTGAATGATAGGCGGTATTTTCTAACACAATTAATCAGGAGCATGAATATTTGGGATCAGTCCTTCTTTTAGACATTTTTCCGATATTTCACAGATCATATTATCATGATAGTCAAAAATTTGTTTACGTGAAAGTAAAAAATTTAAAATAGCACCCAAAATAATCCTGTTGAACAATCCGTATGCAAAATAATGAACCGTTTTCCCATGTCACATCCTCTTTTCCTCTTTACAATTTTTACGGACGTTACGTTTTGTCAAAAAGAACTACTTTTCTAAATTTTAATATGCAATTCCCACTATATTTCTTATTAAGTTTGGTAATGATATAAGTTCAATATGCAAATCTCTACCTTTTTTTTGCAGTTGTTTTCAAAACTGGCCAGTTTTCTGCACAGTTTTTAAGCTGATTTCCAATGCTTTCGCTATTTTCTGGATATCCATTGGCGATTTTTTTTTCATTTCATTAAATAGTTTATCAAATTTAAATCCATTATTTTTACTTGGGGATGCAAAAAATTAGAAAATTATTTTTTATGATTTATATTGTTACTTAAAACTGACAGCTGCAAATCAATGCTTTAAAACCGCTTAAAATGATAAGCACAATTAAACAAGATTAAAGAAAAACAAACTTGAGAGTTTGTTGATAAATCGTAAAATCCCCACTATAAGATCGATTTTGACAATTTATTTGCGGCTCACGCGATCATATCAAATATTGCACACAGTCCTATGTCTAGTCGCAGACGTGGTGATTCCTCTTGACGTGGCTTTTTTTAAAGCAATAATTTAAATAGTTTGTCATTTTGCAACATCTTTCTACAGTTTATTGTAACATATCTTTCATGTACATTTTTTTCTTTCAGTGATAATGGAGAATTATTACAGTTTTTTTTTTCAGTGAATTGAATGTCGATGATGAACGCACCATTTTACTAATATCGTTATTACTATTGATGAGATAGATTTCACATAATATTCCTTAATTTATGTGCTTTTATAAGCCAATTTTCCATCTATGCCTATAGACGGAAAAATTTTTCGTAATGAATGGCATTTGATTCTATAAATTTGCACCATTTATAAACAGACTTTCGATGGCCATACCTGTATTTACCTGAATTCTGAAAAGTCGCACTCTTAAGGATCGGCTTCTTTTTCTAAAATATCTTACATTAAAAATAAAATTTCTCAAATAGGGTGATATTTATTGATTTAGTTATTAAATACATATACAAAAACCCATTGCAAATAGGTAACATTGTCTTGATGTAAGTTAATCAGTAATTAAAATAATAGAGTAAATAACTTACCTATTCTTACTTCTTGCAAAAAGAATGGTAATGCTATGCTTTACAATAATTTCCAAGTAGTTAAAATCAATAAACTAATTTACCTCAACCATATCGCATTAGGTCATAATTTAAGCTAAATCGCTAAGTCTAGATCCTAACAGCACTGATTGACAAGTCGGTTAATCTGAGTAGGAATGTGTTAAATGTTAAACAGTGATTTTTTTTCTCTTTCAGACCGGCAGATCAAGGGGTTTCTCTTTTGTATATTTTGAAAGCATGGAAGATGCTAAAGTGGCCAAAGAACAGTGTTCAGGGATGAAAATAAATGGGAAGAGCATTCGAGTTGATTATTCGATCACTGAGAGAGCCCACACCCCCACACCCGGAATTTATATGGGAAAACCAACATAGTAAGTAGTTATGGTAAATGTTTGGGCACTTCCAAAATTGTTATTAAGTTATTTCCCTTGTGGAATGGAAAGAACTTTTCAATTATGGAAAAAAAAGTTGAGCAAATTTAGGAGTTGTGTTATGAAGGTTTGAAACACAACTTAAAGGTTGCTTCAAACATATATATTGCATTCTATATTGGATTTACATTCCCTTCTAGTGTTTTTCATTCATACAATAATTTTTTTTTATTTTTCAGTTCCAGTAAATATAATGACCGATACAGCGACAGGAGAGAGTAAGTAGCCCCATATTTTGGTCGAATATTTTTTTTAATCTGTGAGTTTAGTAAAAGTGCTTTATGTCAAATATTCTAGGAATACAACTTTTCCTTTTCCTTGTCGAGGTCATTTTGTTTACAGTAAACATAAATGCAAGCTTGTTAATTGTTCAAAGAAACTCCCACAGGCTACTTTTTACAAAACTTCTGGATTCCTCCTGTGTCGGTTTTTGCTGAGTCGAACTGACCAACAGGATGGTTGGCAAAACGTTTGCAAATTTGACTCAACAAAAACCGACACAGGAGGAATCCAGAAGTTTTGTAAAACTAAAATAAATGTAAACTTTTAAAATGCTCACACAATTTTTACGTCTTTTGTGATGCATGTAGGTTAAAATTGATGAAAGGTGATGGAGTGGGACTGTCTGGTTTTGATCACACTTCTTTGCCGAAGTTGTTTTGTTAAGCCAATGGCCCCAAAATTTTTATTATTTCTAAAGTTGTAAAAAGCTGTTTATGATTTTGGCTGAATCAGTGGGTCATATTGCACAGACAGGTGAAATTAAATTACATTTTTAACACCTTTTACCTAGCCATCTTACAACGAGTAAATCAAAAATGATGTAAGCAATGAATTTACGAAAGTATTTTTTATTTAGGGTTTATTACAAGAGTTCTAGATACCGCCGCTCTCCTTCGCCATATTATCGAAGTAGCCGAAGGAGCAGATATGAGCGCTCAAGATCACGCAGCTACTCTCCACGTAAGTAGTTTTCATTTGTTGGGAATGTGTTTGTTCCTCAACTTTCGGGCATGTTTTGCTTTAAAGGGGAAAACCCGTGTCCACATTTCATTGCTTTGTTTGCGCTTAATTTTAATTTGTTTTATTTAATGTGATCTTTCAGGTCGGTATTAACGTGCGGACGTGTTCGAGATATTACGGATATTTAGAATTGACTCTTTTAAAGTAGTCGTTTTCATTTTTTCCCCTTAATAAATATACTTCCACCGACTATGTATCCGAGTTGCCACATTTTCATTTATTACATTTCAAAATTTGGACGTCGCTTATTGTATAGTTAATATTAAAGCACCGTTCGTGCTTTGTGTATATCAATCACTAAATAGGGAGGTAGGGGTTCAATATTTGAAACAAGCGAAAAATGATTTTATTTTTTGACACGATGATTAAAATTTGGCGGGCATTTTCAAATATCGAACCGCTTTATCATAAAATACGTTTAGATTTTGTCACATTATAAATTTATAGCTATCATGAATTTAATGTAGTAATTAAGTTACGTAATAAATAATTTTCACTAATATTTGTTTTCTGTGTGTTTAAAAAGGTTTGAGAACAAGAACTTTTGGATGAAATTGAAGTTTATTGAGAAAGTCTGAATATGTAAAATCCCGTGAAGCTTAATCAAAGCTGTGAAAAAAGAATGAAACTAAGAGTTCAATCAAGATTTTGATATTGAAGAAAGAAATGAAAATTGTTCTGTCTTTCGAGGGCAAAATTGCAGTTTAAGAAAATAACAAGAGTGTCCGCAAAAGAAAATTCTTCAGTGCATTTATCTGAATTATACCTCATAATTATGAACTTCCAAGTTTTCCTCTCTCTCATATATCCAAACGATTGTCCCATTATCCCACTTAAAAAAATGATGCCAGTTGCATTTGCATTATTTCCAGCAAATTGTAAATCTTGTGACTATTTTTGTAGTTTTTGGATTAAGCAAAATCATTTATTTAGTCTAAACAATGTTAATTTAAAGTACTGCATCATTTCTTTTAAGTCTGACCCTAATTTTATCCCCTCAACAAACAGATATAAACTTCTCTTTCAAAAATATTTGTTTTAATTGGTAAGTGATGTTAATTTCATTCCCTATTGTTTCGGTTGAAAATGTAATTCAACTTGGAAAATAAATTTGAAAATTGAAATGAAAATGTCTCTCATTTTTCCACACTTTATGTACTTCAACATATTTCACTATGGATCGAATGAGGCGTAATAAGTATTGCTTATATTAAAAACTAATCAAAATGCTAATGACACTGCAGGTAAGGAGTATCTGAGAATAAGTTTTAAGTGTTCTTACCTAAGATGCGTAAGTTTAAATAACATTCTTCACCTCAAATAGATATTTTACTTCAAATTTAAACTAGTGAATTTCCTTGATATTTTATCATAGTCCTTTAAAAAAAGCATATTAATCAAGGGAAACACCAATATTACATCCACTGCTTAATATCGTTAATACTTCCCAGTCAGTTGCTACAGCAAAAACCATCAGTCTCGAGAAAACAGCTGCTAGATAAATCGAAGTCCTGCCTTGTACTGGTAATAGGAACAGGAATTTTAAAGCGACGATGAAAGAAAATGTTGAAAAGCACCATTCAATATGATCATTCTCGGTCACACCTGTCATTTCAAGTCAACCAATAAGCAGCGGTCAACAACCAACATGGCCGCTGACAGTTCGTCAATTAACAGATTTCAGTTTGGATGTAGCATTTTTTGGGCATTGTTATGGGAAAACAAGTTAAGTGTGTGAACATCGCTATTTTAAAAAAATGTAATGTAGAGGTATACAACAAATCAAACTTATAACCCTTTATAACTACTTTAGCTTTTGCATAATTTAATTTATTGCAGTAAAAATTGCAAATTCCGTAAAGTAAAAAGTAAGTAACCATGGCATTTATTTGTTGCGTTGTTGAGTATTGAAGCTGTTTTGCATATATTTATAGAATTAACAATTTTGGCCTGGTTTATAATGGGATATAATTTTTACCAAACAAATTAAATTGCTAATGCGCATGTGGGAATCATCGCAGAGCCAACTAACCAAAACAAAGATGAAGAAAATTTCAGTCACAACTTAAATGTTATGACTATACAATGACTATTTCCCAGAACTACTTTGAGGTGTATTAAATTGAATAAAAAATGTCCTTGTTAGAAATATTATTTTAATTTAACATTTTACAATTTGTACAGTAGGTAATATTTACAAATTACAAAATATATACACTATATATAAGTGACAGTTTAGGCACTGATACTTTGCTAATGGAAGTTTAAAATCTGACTAGTAGTATTGTTAACGAAAAATGCAATATAAATATATAATACTATTCTAAAAAAAAATGAAAATACAGATTGTACTAGCATAGAACTAAAAGGTAAAACTATAAAATTAAAGTCTCCAATTAACTCTAGGTAAAAATATAAAGTTTAATGTTGTCCCAACGGAACGCCAAACTGAAACCATAGTTCACTTGCAGGTTAACAACTGTGATAGGCCGTCCGGAACTTGCGTTCTTACATTTAAATTAAACTGAATGAAATGACTGATAATACGTTACTAGCGTATTGCTTTACTACAAGTTATAATATTTACAATAAAAATTATCAACACTCCACAGCCAAATGGACTAACTTTTCATTTTCTATAATAATAAATGAAAACGAATTATTCAACAATAGTGTGATATACCGAAAAAAACTCTTACCCCTATCAATAACAGAAGCATCAAAATTTTGCACTTCGACAAATTTTTAGTTCTTTTTTTATTTGCCATAAAATATAAACTGATATGTTTTCTTTATGTTAAAAAGAACCTAAAATTTCATTTGTTCCACTAGCAGGAAAGACATTGCAATTTTTATGTTTTAGTTTTTTATATAACTTTTCTCCAATTTTACTAAAATAACAAAATAAGAAACTAGTGTGATATACCGAAAAAACTCTTATGTCTACCAATAACAGGAGAATCAAAATTTTGTATTTCAGTAGATTTTTAATTAATTTATTTTTTTTTTACTCCCAATGAAATATAAACGGGTATGTTTGATTTATGTTAAAAACCACAAATATAAAATTTCAACTGTTACACTAGCAGCATACACATTTAAATATTTTGTTTTAGATGTTTTTTTATTTACCAATTTTACTAAAATGCTGAAATAGGAAAACGATAAGACATTATATGCAACACAATATTGTGCATGAATTAAAAGTATTAAAACTTGTTGTTTTATGTAAATTTTGGGATATTTTTTTGTCACAAGTGAAACAGATGTGTGGGCCATTAAAAATTCAATGATTTTTTTAAAAGGATAACTAGAAGAAGTCACATGTTCTATCCCTTCATTAATAGCATCAAATGTGTAACCAAAAATAGTAAGTTTTCTACTCCCTTCTCTAAAATTCCACTTATACACGGATCTAGTTTTTGTTTACCACGCAGTCGAGCCACTTCAGATATTTCCGGGATATTACTGCACGGGTTTGGTTTGATGTTTTCGGAAATATTTCCCACGGCTTTAATTTTGTCATTTGTTTGTTTGTTTGTATCTGTGTTTTGCAAAAAGGTACTCAAAAACTAACGGTCGTAGAAAAAGTATAGTACGCAACACGTTCGGTAAATATTTTAAGTCACTCGTTTAACAGAAGTATAATAGTATATTACGCAAGTGTGGTAACTAACCAAATGTGTTGCATACTATACTTTTTACGACCGTTAGTTTTTGAGTACATTTTTGCAAGACAACACGAATACATTAACTGGTACGACCGTCAGAAATGACAAATGTCAAAATTCCCGCTGTGGGAAACATCCGATTGCCCCCAAACCCATGCGGAAATGTTCGAAGTGGCTCGGATCGGTGGGAAACAAAACTCACGTGGTAAAATTACACTTTCCGCAGGTTAGATCGGCGTATGATTGGGCATTTTAGAGAAGGGAGTAGAAAAACAAAATTACAGTATCACTCAACCTGCTAAAAAAAAATAATGCTGTATTTTTTTTTAAATCCGGTAATTGATTATTTTAGTTCCTTTGGTTTTTAAACGAATGCGATGGTATTAATAGTATTGCCAGTGTAAGACACCAGTCAAGTTTCTGTTTCATTTGGTTTACAGAAATATATTTTATAAAATAGACCAAAAATTGTTGGAAGCGATTGAGTTGTGGGTAAGTAAAATCTGTCGGTACTCAAACAAAAAATGCGTCCAGCTAATATTTTTTAACTACCATATGCTTACAACGTAAGAATTTTGAGCTAAACTAACGTAAACATTGCAAATTTACCGTTAGCTTGTCGACGCTGGATTCCATATTCTGTTTTGCAAACACTGGGGGGGAAGGGGTGCTTGTTGTTTACCGCCAACTACAACAAATTATCGTTAAAAGTTAAGGCTACAGAGGACTACAAGAAGGAGATTTTGCCATATTAGTTATATGACAAGATTTGACATAAACACAAACTCCTTAAGTGTTTAATAAAATTTAAATTAATTTAAAGGAAACGAGTGATAAAAAGGGGAATATCGGATTGAAATTTTGTTCAGAGATGTAAAATAGGTTATTCAACCCGTCAGTGAAAGTAACCTACCTAAGGTAAGTAAGCAAGAGTAAAACAGGTAAAGTAAGTAAAATAAAGTAAAAGTGGATTTATGCTCATAAGAAACGGAAAATTTTATGACTTCAACGGAATACATGTCCCGCCACTAGCGGCTATTTAAAAAAGCCCATTAGTAATTAGGATTTCATGCCCACTATTACCATTTATCTCCTTCTACTTTAGTCCACTGTAGCTTCGGCTAGAAAGTACCAAACACATTTGCAGCAATAATGTGTAAGTTAAATTTTTAATGAAAAATAAACTCATAATATAGTTATATAGTTCTCCCTTTTTACAATAAATTAATTAATTTGATGGGCTGCGGTTGTTTCCACATTAACGCAAATTAATCTAACTTCCAGTTAAAAGAGTGCAGAAAAGAGAGCGACAGGAAGTTTAATTTTCCATTTACAGATATTTATCAGTCACGTTTTTTTTACTTTGTGCCTTATAGTTATTTGTTTCCATTTATTCAAATAATTGAAGTTTGTATAACCTTTTTATCGCTATTGCTTCGTTGGTTTAAGGGATGTTATAATCTTTCTAACATTAATATTGCCTACTGCCACAAATCTCAAGCTGCATAACCTAAATTAAATTCTTTAATCGTTCCGTTTTTACTTCTTTATTTACTGAAATTTTAACAAGTTATTTGTAATTTTTTAAAGCAATATAGTAATAGTCCTAATCGTACAGCTACTAGCTATACACAGTCACTGCCTATGCTTATAACACAGGAACTTTTCAAGCCACCATGAAAAAAGTGTTGTCGGCAAATAAGACCTGTAGTTTCAAATCTCGCTTCCAATCTAGCGGTGTTTGACAACCAATATGGCCACTGTCATTTCGTCAATTCGCCAGTTTTCAGTTTGGATGTAGAATTTTTTGGGCAGAAAATGGCGTGAAGTCCAGATTAGTATCTGAGGTCCTATGTATCTTTAATTGCTTTCCTGCTTTAAATTTTAAACTAAATTAAATATTGTTGGTGAAATTCAAAAATGATGACAATTTGCAACTTTGGACATCATAACACAATATACTTTAATTACGATTTTTATATGTTCTTACACAAAGATAGATTGATGGTTATTTAGATACTTTGACTACGCTGTAATAATTTTTGTTGGAAACATCGCTTAAACCAATTGAGCATCAGAAGGCATTAGATAGCAAAGATAGTTGAATTAGGTAAAGAAAACTGAAGTTTAAAGTAATGGAAATCAACAATTAGGTGCAAATGACTAGATACTAACCTAAAAGACTAAAAAGACACTTAACCTTAATGTATTTCTTTTAATGCATAACATATGCATCTAAGATAACATACTACACAGTAAGGAGGACAATTATCAAAGAGAAGGCAAACAATATTTAGACAACATGAATACAGACTTTAGCTCTCTTAAACAGTTTGACTTGGTTAGAAAAAAAATGGCGGCTGTGGGATTATGTGTCAAATAGAATGCAATATATTTGGGTATTTGGGAAAAATTACTACAAAATTTAGGGACATCAAGGAATTCAATATATTCATTCTGTATGCCATCAAATCCCAAACAGCGCAAAAAAAAATTGATGATACTTCAGCTGTTTGAAAACAAATTCATGTTATGCATGAAAAGAACATACTACAATGAAATTTTATTTTGTTGTATTTTACTCGCTTACTTAAACATCCATAATTGCCCTAGATATGAAGTCCTTAATTATTAGCAATGAAACAATTACGGATGGCACTTGATATGTGCATACGTGCCATAGACCCTAATTGTTATTCCTAATATGATATTTTTGAGCTTAGCAGGTTTTAATAAAAGCAAAAATGATTTTTCCCGAATAGTCCAAAAGTTGGAAGAAATATTATTAACAACTATATTTGGTAATTATAAAAACAATCTAATTGACATTTGTTTACCAATACAATGTAAAGTTTTTAAAGTTTAGCAAGAACAGTATTCCAACTTAAGATGACAACGTTGTTTTTGGCGTTTTGTGATTGAAACTCTCAGTTTTTTCTGTTCCAAACTAAATAAAAAATAAACATTAGTTTTTATAACTTGGATGTTTTACCTATCATTATAATTAATTAAATATTACCCGAACTTCCTTACAGAAAAATTAATAGTTAACCAGTTAAGTGTTTTAGTTAAATGGTTATTAGACGTACATATATAGGATTAGGTAAGAAATAATGCACTGCAAAAATGAGACCCAATTTGGTTCAAATATGATTTTTTTTTCACATCAAATAAAAAAGTTCATTTGCTAATTACATATACTTGTATATGTTGTCGTTTTGAAAACTATCCCAACCAACATTTTTGTTTTTCAAAAATACCCTGATAGGTAATTTTCATAGTTGGAAGAAGTTTTAACTGTACAATAGTTCCAAGAATTTCTAGTTGGTATTCTTTACCAACTACAAATTATTCAGTTACTAAAGATGAGAGAGTTTCTTCAGACATGATAATGAAACTTATAGTATTTCTATAGTAGAATGTTTTAAAATGTTTTTAGGTTTAAACCACATTGTTGGAGGTTAGTAGAGAAATTATTACCTTAAAGGATTTTGCAATGGCAAAAACAATTTTTGTTGATAAAAAACAATTTTTGTTGATAAAAGTCTTCCTACAATCGATTATACCGTTTCAAAAATTTGATTATCACAAAAAATGCTATTAAAGAGACATTCCTGGCTTTAAAATTGTTAATAATATCCCATGTATTCCCCAAATGTTTTTAGCTCTCTAAAATTGTAAATCCCGTTTTTACAGATTGCTTTTAGAATCCATGGAAAACCATATTTAGAAAACTTTCCCAAGCTACTTAAAGTAATATAAAGTAAAGAATACAAGAAAATCAGATATTAAGAGATAAGCCATTAGTCTGCTCACTGAAGGTAAATCATGCATTCTCCGAAAGAAACATGCATCACTCCCGATGAACTTTAACAAGACGATTCTAAGAAAAACAGAAAAGAAAAGAAATATAAATACAACACACAAGAAGATTCTATGGTAATGGTATGTATCAGAATCAGAATAATGTTTACATAATGTATTATATTACACATTTATTAAATTTTGCATTCTGATTCATACCATTGCCTCCAAGCAATAACTAATATTTTTGAAAATGTTAAAAATAATCATATGCTGCTGCGTATTGTTAACACTACAATAATAAATAAATACTAGTAAAACATATATTTATAACACGTTTAATTAGTAACAAAGAAGCCTTGAGATACCAAAATGCTAATTTTGAATACTGACCTTGCTTGTTGGAATACAATTTTAATACATTCCTATAAGGCGGAGGTCTTGGAAATAGGTCAGGAGACATAAATTTATGCCTAAACCTTTTTTCCAGATCTATCACTTTCTGAGACATCTGCGTGTCTCTCATGGATGAATGGCGTGGTGGTGGAGGTGGTGGATTTGAAGTAATATTGTTGCCAGCAGGCACCTAGAATTTTTTTTTAATTTATGTATCTTTAAGATTTCATGATCAAACCTATCAAGTTTCTACCACAACATTTTTCTATAAAAAATATTGCATTCGTCATTTTTTTCGGATCCAATAGATTATTGATTCAACAACACATACAATAATTAAATATAATCTTTCAATAACATTGTGTAAAAAACAAAAATAAAAATGATAAGAATTATGACAAAAACGGTATATTTATTTTTGACAAAACTATAAAAATTAAGCAAAATCTAAAAACCATATTTAATCTTTTTATAAATCCTCTGTGTGTGTTTATTTATAGCATGCTTGCTTGCTGATTATTTGGAGTTTTCCAGAATAAATATTCCGAAAAGATCAACTACTTCTTCAGGCTGACTTGTACAAATTGTAAAATTTTGGTAAATACGTTTTTTAGGGATAGTACAAAATTTCATATTAGTTGGCTCTAAAACAGGATTGTTTCTCAGGCACGACATCATTTAAATTTAGAAAACTTACCATTTGTTTGTGCATGATCCTTTCAAGTACTTTAGATAAAAAAGACCCTAAAATATATGGTTCTAAATCTATTAACATTTTTTTTATTTGTAATTGAAACTGTTGCTGTGAACTAATATTTCTCAATGCTGTTAGGAGGGCATTAAACAATTTGGTGCTAATATTGATTTCTCGGTTAATGCAACTCTATGCACTACATAGTTCATATCTGTGGACAAATTTTAAATAGTTTCGTATAGTCAAAATATTTCTTGTCTTTTTCTAAAAATATAATGACATATTTAAAAACCTATTTTAAATTGGCAAAGTACAGGATTCTAAGTGACTTCTGGTTCATATATCTGGCAATACCATACCAAATGGAGTTGAGTTTTATTGTTAAATCGAATATGGTATGACCAATCAGGATGTTCATTGATATAAATGATAATAATAAATTAAGAAGGATTTCACACTGAACTGTCCACACAACATAAAAAAGTATTCGGGAAACTTACTGCAGGAGGTGGCCTCATCGGTTGCGTTTTATGGGGCGGGGGAGGTGGTGGCGGCGCGTGACTAGGCGGTTGCGGCAGATTGCTAGGAGGTGGGGGTGGTGCATGATTCGGAGGTTTGACTGGAATTTTTGGTGTAGGAGGGGCCGCAGCTGGAGCTGAAGGAGGCACAGAAGGGGGCGGTACTGACGGGCGTCCGTTTAAAAGAGGTCTCGGCCTTGGATTTTGTGGGCCCTGAAACATCAGGTCAGAAATTGAAAGTTGGGAATGCAAGAAAAAAAAGCAGTTAAACTTACAGAAGCATTTGCCAACGATTGTCCTATTACGGAAGTCATGTGACGAACGGTTCCAAATTTGGCGGGAACATCATTTGGACTTTGCGGGTCTGGTGATCGCGGCGACCTCATACTTTGTGCTCGACTGATTGGCTTGTTTATTTTGATGGATAACTTGTTGGGAGGTGTCGGCTTTCCTAAAATTATTACTTTATTATTCAATTGCATTTTTGCAAAAATTAACCTATAACAAAATCATCAGCAATTTGAAGAATGTAAATTCACATTTGTCAAACGCCTCTCTGTTGGGCACACTGATTAGAAATAACCAACTTCTTTCAGCTTTTTAGTCACGACTTATATGTCTAATTCAGGCAACAAATTCTTTGGCTTTAAACAAATAGTAAAAAAAAGGAATATATAAAATAGAACGGGATATTAACTCATTTTAAGTCAATTTAACAATTTTCACAAATTTCTCTGAGTTCCAAAATATTTTGAGATACTTATTTTGAATTCCGTAACATTTTCGGGTTTTCAGGTTCACCATAATATTAACAATTTTTAATCAGCATCTTAAAAGGAAGAATCAAATTCTTTCATCAATTCAGGGAACGATAATTGTCATTGTCAGAGTTTTATAGAGATTGTGTTTCGAGTTAAGAATAATGATTATGCCTAACTCAACCAAAATGATTTTCCAGTTTTAATCATAAGCAACCACATTTATAGCACATTTATTGACCAGCAATATTGATAGTTCCGCCTTCGAGTACGAAAGTGGTGGTTATGGCTATGTTAATTTTTTTGTTCCATTAAAAACGTGGAAACAGCAAATACAGTTTTTACTTAATTTATATGCATCGCATAAGCAATCTTTAGAGAAAGAATAAGACTGGAAAATCGGTACATATAAGGGATCATAATAATCCCTTAAAAGTACTAAATGAAATGTTTGTTAAGTGTCTTTGAGTTAACAACGAAGCTAGCAGACATTTAATAGCCAGCTTTTTCAAGAAAAATCAGGTATGTACACAAAATTATTAATCTCTATTTTGTGTGCGTGTCTCAAATTTTTATGACTATGCTGGGTAAAAGATCACAGTAGGTGAACACTTAAATATTGCTTTCTGCAATGAGTAGAACTATTGCAGAAGTAAGCAGAGCGTTCGAAGTGTTTTCGGAGCGCGAGCATTGAAGATGCCAAGTGAGATTTTGGCGAAACGTCTGCAGGATTCCAGTCGGAGTTCAACGAGCGAACGGATGATATCCCGGAATATAGTGTCATTATATATATATATATATATATATATATATATATATATATATATATATATATATATATATATATATATATATATATATATATATATATATATATATATATATATATATATATATATATATCGTTGTTCCAGTTGAAATAGGTTACAATCGAGGTGACTGCCCAACAAGCAAGTAGCAACACTATTTTATGGTTATTTTATAACCATTATCGGTATATAAAGGAAACGAAACACAATTTTATGTGTTCACGTTGCAATCGCACATTGGGGTAAGATCGCAACAAAGCAGAAACAGAATCAGTCTGATTGAAAGTTCTTTGTTACTATAAATTACCATTTTACTTTACATTACTACCATAGTTTAAATTTATTTAATCCTTCCAATTAATTTTTCTTCAAAACAAATGTGTTGGTAATTCTTAACCATCGCCTGTAGATCTAATAGCAGAACCTGCTATTTCTTAAAATTGTTGCCATTCGCTATTATCGTTGAATATAAAATAAAAACTTACCGTTTAACACTGGAGGTTTTGGCGCCAAATTTGGCTTTCCATGATTGATCACAGGCTTGTTTAGCTGAATGCCGTTATTTACACTATCTACACCGTCTAAAGTACTTAAGTTGGCGTTACTTTTTGATTTTCGATGTAAAGTGCTGTTGTTCATGTGAAGGCTCGATGGGTTCACTTTGAGTGACATTGTACTCGAACTCACACCATTTAAATTGCTTCTAGGTTCCTCCACACTAACCTAAACAACAAATGTCACAAAATAAACATATACAGTATGACTATAAAGCCAAAAAAAAGATCAGAAACATGTTGGAAATGACATAAGTCTGAATACAGGATAGTTGTGAGTGACATCCGAAAACTCCATATCACTGCAGAATGTGTTAAATAGAGATGATAACATAATCTTTTTTGAGCTAATAATTATTAGAGATTACAGATACAAAACTGAATTTAAAACTACAGCTGATATCAACTAAATATCTGAGCTAAACATGCCCTACTAGAGAGAAATTCTAGAAAAATAAATGCAAGCTGAAAAAAATCTAAAAACCTTATCAATCATGCAAATATCAATTCAAAGCTAGAAAATAATCAGATCAAAACTATAGCTAATGAAAAATGAAAATCATGATGGCAATGACGAGAAATTAAGGAGCAGTATGCATGACCATAGTCAAGATCATGCTAGAAAACAAGAAAATGTTTAAGATAGGCTTTCAAGTAGCATATAAATAAAAAAAATAGCTTTTAAAAACCTAAGAGATTATTTAAAATGAAACCTCAACATGCTATTGAAAGTTATATGCTGTAGAAATTAGAACCTTGTATTTGAATAATTGATCAAAATAATTAAAAGTACATCCAATAAGTGTAACAGATAAATGCAAGTCACATCTGTAGGTGCTTACTGAAAGAAATATTATTGTACAATCATCAATCTAGAAAGAAAAGAACACCCGAGGAAAAATAAAAATCAATCAATCGAAACTAGGGCGGAGGGAAGAAAAGTATAGATACATTAACATTGTCACTTCAATCCCATCAATATTATTAACAATAAAAACTCTACTGTTTACATTTATGCTAATTGCAACTCAATTTCTTTGGCAATTTTATTATAGTATTGTGGTCCCAAATAATACATAAATAAAGATTAGCTGTGGTTATAGTGCTCAGTTATATACTAAAACTTTAAGCGACAACTTCGATGATTTTGTATTGAAACGCGCAATAACTTTTACAATGGATCATATTATGTCTCAATGTATTAGGTAGTGTATACATACGTTTCTTATCGGAGCTGGAGGCGGAGGTCCCCTATTTTTATTATCACTAGCCAACTGTTTTTTCAGTTCATTTTGAATATTGCTGAAATTTTTGATTGATGCAACCGGTTTTGAACTTGGGGATCCCGGCTCATTGTTATTGTCCTTGGCCATAGGAATAACTGTAACATTTGACACAATTATTGCCAGGAAGAAGTAGAATAAGAAAATATTCATTCTTCAGTCAACAAAAAAATTGAAAAACAGCTCACCCAGTTTTCCCGTAGGCCTAAGCTTAGGCATGCCACCGGCAAAAAGTCCACCCAAAGGCAGGCCATTCGAGGTAGCTGGAGTAGAATTATTAGATGGAGCAGAACCACCAATTGAAGAATTACTGTTGTTACCTATGTTGCTGACTTTTCCTGCAATTTAAAAGATTTTTTCTGTAAACACGAAAATATTTGCTCTATTTGAATTAGATACAAGTTGTCAACACATTGTGGTAGTTGTCAGCCATAGACTATTTCCAAAATCGTATATGGTTCACGAACGAATTTGACCAGTTCAATGCACCACTCTGATGGACAAAGACTCGTCAAACAGCTGTTGAAAAAAAAAACAAAAAGGAAGAAATAACTTTAGAACATAGTAAGTTAGCAGCAGTTAGTTAGTCATTGACCATGAATGATTGGTGTTTTAGTACTAATACAAATTTTCATTGTCAAATGAATTATGAATACTTTTTCCTAGTACTACAATAGTATATTTTGCAACAAGCGCGGTAAACGGCATTTGACTGACATTGAGTTTATTTGACACCAGATGATCAAGTGTTTAATAAACGAGTGATTTAAAAAGTTTACCGAATGTGTTGCATACTATACTTTTTATACGACCGTTAGTTTTTGGGTACATTTTCGTAAAACAACACGAATACATTCACTGACATGTCCGAAAACATCCGATTGCTCGCAATGCGATGCTGTAAAATCCCGGAAATGTCCGAAGTGGCTCGGATCTGTGGGAAACGAAACTGACGTGGTAAAGTGACGCTTCCCGCACGCTAGATCGGTGTGTAATTAATTTAACCTTTTTACAGACGGGAGTAGAAAAACATAATTATACCAAATGCATCCAGACTTCAGGAAGCTGCAATATCTTAATTTTAGAGGAAAGACAAAATTTTTGTTATTCCAATAGTTGACAATGCAAATATTCTTGATAAATAGTTAAAACGAGGTACGGTATTAGGGAAAATTACTTAAGTAATTTTAAGTACTTAGAAGTACTTAAAAAGGGCATTTCCTAGATTTTCAGTCGTGCTATGAGTGACCCGATTGCGATTGCTTACATTGCCACGAGATGGAGGTTTCTGACAATCGCAAAACTGTACTAGCAAAAGAGTGTCTAAGTTATTTGCAGTTTCGACTCACAACCTCAAACTATCATAAACAGTTATTAACGAAAATTTTAATCTACACATTTTAAATACAATGAAGCACTAAAATGACACAGCCTTAACATTTTACACGCTGAAATATGTCGTCATAGAATCTTACCTGATATTAAGGGAGCGCTTTTATCAACTGTATGGGTTTTTTTGAGTTTTGTTCCTTGCCTGATTGACTTGAGTAGGGCGCTTCTGTCGTCCACTCCACCACCCTTTGCAGGAACAAATGTAGGGGGCGGAGGAGCAGCCGGAGCCATGGGCGGCGGAGGAGGTGGTGTTGGCATTTTGTTTTGTTGAAAAGAAGCTACAAATGAAAACAAATAAAAATAAATTCAATATGTTATATGCAATGTTGCATATTGTCGTTAGGAATAGCGTTATTTGTACAAAGAACCAACTTTTTTAGGGTATCTCACTTATGTAAGAAATAAAAGGACATCCTGTACCGTGTTTTTCAGGTAGGGTGTTTCTGTAAGGTAGTCGTTTTGATGCCTTATAGTTGCCGTTTAATATATTCTTTTTTGTTGGGTTCAGTGGCGCTCTTATTTATTTAAGTCACGTTGTCGACAAATCAACAGAACTTTCATCTTTTCGAGTAATCCATATGCGAGGTGTTAAAGAAACCCATGCCCGTTTAATCCGGCCGTTTCATAAACAACATTTTTTGGGAGTATGTACCCGTTAAGGAACTGCGGTGACGTTATTATTTCGCTCTTTGAATATTAAAAAGATAGCTTTATACTTTAATATTTGTCAGGCGATGGAAATCCAACCCATAATAAGCGTGTATTAGGTTGGTAGAAGTGCAATAAAAAAAGAAAAAACAACACTATTCCAAAAATGAAATCTTTCAAATACATGAGCATCACTCAAGTTGCCTGCAAATGCGTCTCTACATTTGCATTTGCATACACAAATCTATAAAATTGTAATTTTATGCAATTCCAGAGGCAATTGCGATTTCTGTTCTAACCCCGATTTTTTATAACATAATTGTTGAAAATCTAAGCGACAATTTAAAAAACTTTATATCCAAATCGAGTCAGCTGTTCGCGAGAAAATTACCTTTGAAATTGACCCATATTTTAAATCAGAATGTTTAGTTTGTTAAAACTCAAATTAAAAAAAAAAACGAAACAAAGTGCTTCGTGAAACGTGTAGGTACCTCTATTTCTAAAACGAAATAATGTGGTACATCCTCATTTAGTCAAGTGTTAAACATCCATGAACTTCTAGCTGTAATTTGTAAATGAATATTCAGAGCAGTATTAACTTTAGGCTCACTGTCGTATTCACTAATTACAATCACTTTAGCTCCTAATTAAATATGCCATGGGAAATACAAATTTAAACATAGTTTGACAACCTGCACTGGCCAGGATAACAGTGCAACATCACCAACATATTGTCGAGGCGGATGATGATAAATTTTATCCACGATTTTATCTTATCTAGTATATCTAGAGTACCGGGAACAACGCTGTCACCGCTGTTATCTACCTATAGTTTATAACAAATATCTAATGTTGTTTGGATGGCGTAACTGACTACTTAATTTTAAAAAATGCAATTAAATGTTTAAGTACTTATTGCCCTTCTAATTGAGTCTGAGGAAATTCCTTTGCATCAATATTCAACTAAAATCGATTTTAAATAAAGATATCAAAAAAAATATTTGAAATTATAGTAATACTTACTGATTCCCAAGATAAACATGTTTAGGTAATTATAATTAAGGACTTATACCAGAACGGCAGGTGAGTCAAATTCAACTTTGTGGTGTTGAATCTGACGGGACCCCATATGGTGTTTGAAGAAATAGAATGTAATATACATTTAGCTTAAACTACAGATAAATAGAATTATTTATAATTATTAAGAGATTAACAAAAAATAATATCAGCTTCATTACTCCAAAACCTACTAAAGACACTTGAAGAGCAACTGACTGTTAGTAGTTTTTAATAGTGTAAAAATTGCTATTGTGTAAAAGAGTCAGTCAATAATACAAACCAAGTATGTACTCAATTTTCTGAGAAATGTTAATAACTCAGTCTGAAATCCTCCTATTGCAAAGGTTTCAGTGGGTATATTTCCTTACAATTCTTTTGAAACAAACCTTTTTATTGTACAAATGAATCGTCGGTTTTCAATAAGTTCGACGAGAATGCACAACGACTTTATTTTTACTATTTTTACAAAGATCAAACTGGAAAAAATCAGGGTAGGCGGAATCGTATTAATCATCTTTGAATTTAAATAATTAAAATTCAATCAGTAAAGGGGAATCGTAAATTTCATAAATTTTTAGAAAATATTGTGGCAACTTTGCTCAAGCATTTCAATAGTGTCTTACTCCCTAGGAGGTTTCTAACTATAAATATTCAAAAAATAGGTAAATAAGAATACTGTTGACGTTTTCACGTACATACCAAAATAAATATGTTCGAACCTAGCTTAATTCTAAATTCTCCATTGCACTATGTACTTTTAGCATCCTCAACTGCACATTATATTTAAACTAAACTTATTTACAATTGACAAAAAACTGCACCACAAAAAATATGATATATCAACATAAATTCAACATGGCAGAGCCAAGAACCGTAATGAGTCTGCGCACTAAATAGCCTTCAATCCACTTCCACTGTAAACTTTCATTCCCCGAAAACGATAACTATTGCCAAAATCGCAGGCCAACTTGGACAGAAAAAAACGGTTATAGTCTATGTAACAGTCACTTACACTATCTCTGCTTGTTAACGCTCTCACCCGCATAGAATTATTATAAAATGTGTAGCTAGCAACGTGTTATGCTATTTAAGGCTAGTTAAATTATATCTGTGAAAGAAGAGAGATGACAGTTCCATTATTAATTAAAATTTTTCTAAAAATATGTACATATGTCCAATTTGATTTACTTTGATTTTGCGCTGTTGTTCAGTTTAAAACTAGCTGAGTATGCTTTAAATCTGCACTTTTGAAAAATGTTGCGTCCTTTATTCATGTCAGCAGGTACATCTATGTCCTACTTGTTTTACTTGTTTTTGTCGTTAACGAAAGCAATTAAAAATATATACAAAATGAATCATCAATGTATTAAAGATGTGATATGTCATGTTAACAAAAATATGCGATTAAGGAAGTGGGTTAGGTGTTATTAGGGCGAGGTACAAGCATTTTCAAAGTGTTGCGGAATGTGCGGTGGGTAAGAAGAAACAATTAAACCACATCGTATTTGTGGTTCCAACCGTGTTTTTGTTATAGACAATATAGTAAAATCGACTTTAAAATTTTAAGAATTATCTATCACAAGCAACTGTAACTATATTCCCCAATTTCATTGTTCTTCGTCTTTGCAATTCAATCGGACAAGTTTGCCAGGATCAGATAGTCAATTAACAAAAAACGAACAGCAGACAACAAGCGATCACTTCCTCACACAAACAACGATACATAACTTCAGAACATATATTGCAATAAACTGTTAACGTTGTACACATTTAAGTAAGCTTTGCGAAAACGGATAAGAGTAAGAATCGACAGACTACTACATTGTGGATTTTGTGTCTACGTTTTTTTTCTTTTTGCTTTTCATGATTCAATCCACAAGGATTGTACTATTGGAGTAGTTCCGTTTGTGAATTCAGCTCTTTTTGATAAATATTTTTGGAAAATTTCAGTTTGCTTTTTATAGAATTTAATTTAAATTGTGTCCGTATTTTAGGATTGCGTAAATTATAGAAATCAATTCAAATTTTGTCATTTGTGTGTGGCAAATCACCGTAACTCTTTTCGCTGAAACAAACATGTTACGGACTAACCCATACTATTGTAAATTACTAGGATTATTATTCTAATTTTGTGTAACTATGTTTTTGATTTCACATATCGACATACGTGAATCCTGGTAATAAAAATTTGTCTTATTCTTTGGTTATCTTGTTTTATTTAATCTTCAGTGATGTTCCCGAGGCGATGTTTCTTGAGTTTTCAAAATATTCGACGAAGTTTATGCACCGACAAACCATGGCAAGAAATATCAGTACCAGTACCGTGGGGTCAAATAAGTGGAAAGTGGTGGGGACCTACTAATGTTAGACCTATATTATGTATTCATGGTTGGCAGGTACCGTGTTGTATTTTATACATTGAATATTAAATTATATGTATATTTTAACTTGCACTAAGTTATCCCTTTTTAGGACAACTGTGGTACCTTCGATAGGCTGCTACCACTATTGCAGAAAAATGTTGCATTTTTGGCAATTGATCTTCCAGGTCATGGATGCTCATCTCATCTACCTCTTGGAATGTATTATCACTTTACTAACTATATCATAACCATAAAATCAATAATAAGACATTTTAATTGGCCTAAAATATCTCTTATGGGCCACTCCTTGGGAGGGATTACTTCATACACATACACCATGCTTTATCCCGATAATGTGGATTTTGTAGCCTGTATAGATGGGGCAAAGCCAATGACACGCAAAAGAACAATTCTGCATTTAGCAAATGAAATAACCAAATTTGTTAAAAATAATGATTATGCAATGACAAATGTAGAACCACCAAGCTATACCATAGAAGAGATAAAAAAGAAAATACATGCACCTAATAAAGGATCAGTGTATTTAGAATTTGCTCATTACATTATGGAGAGGAATATTGCCCCGTCGAAAGTAAACCCAGGAAAATATTATTTTACTCGAGATCCTAGATTAAAATCAGGAGAACTTCTAACTTTTTCGCAGAGTGATTTGGTGGAATTTGCACAAAACATTAAATGTCCAATTTTTGTTATTAAAGCAAGGGGTGGTTCATATTATGAAGCAAAGGAAAATTTTTATGAAGTGTTAGATGTTCTCAAAAGAAGCAGCGTTGACTGCGATTTCCACTACATTGAAGGCACACATCATGCTCATTTAAATAATCCCAATGATGAACTTGCCCAGTTATTTAGAAATTTTATTCAGAAACATTATTACTCAGAGGATAGAAGTATAGGCAGTTTAGATTGCATCCGTTTGTAGAAATCTCTTATTTCTTAGTTTTCTTGAGAATCTTATTAAGCTACTTACTTCTGTATATATTTTAAATTAAAATGTTGGTTGTGTTATACACATATATGTATATATATTTGTTATATCAATACACTTTGTTAATTAGATAATGTGATTTGAACAAATTACTGTAGTTACTGTGTGTCTGTGGTGTCTATTAGTTTTATATAAGTTTGTGGATCAACACTTTTATACTACTATGTGCGTGACTCACTCAATCAACTGAATTCAAGAGAAAAATGAACCCATACAGAAACGATTGACATCCTTTGATGATTCTGTCGTGAGCATTGCACATGGTGGTTTAACCCCTGTTAGCTCGCGACAGAATTCCTTGTAATCGTCTCCTAAAAACTTGAAATCGGTTTCCACTGTGTGGGTTTAGTGTTCTTAGTGTTTGGTGAATGTTTTAAAATGTGTAATCGCTGTCAGCTCCGCTGTTTTTGCCCGTCCACGCCGATTGGAGGCGGGGTTGGCCCGGATTGTCAGTGGGGGTGGCCGTTTTTTGTTATTGGTCAATGATTAAAGTCCTTAAGGTCCCTTAATTGTTGGTCCATGACCAAAAGAAAAAATTCCGCCATTGACGTCGGTAATGAACGAATGGCCATAGTAGTTTTGCCCAACTGTGAAAAATAAAAAGAAGAAGAATATCCTTTGATATCCAGTTTTCAGGACCTTGAGTTGACGTATCTACATTATTGAACTGAGAGAAATAATTTTGTTTAACAATTCGACACTAAGAAAACATTCTGAAAAGATAATGAAATTAAAGGTAGCATATCATGCCCACAAAATACAGTACGACTGACGCATCCCCACAATAATGAACCGAGACAAATTATTACACTTAAAATCTATACTTTGAAAATAAAATTGAAAATTAAGTTACAGGGTGTGAACAATTTGTCAGACAACTAAAATGGTCCATGAAAGTCTGAAATAAAAATAAATAATGAAACTGCGCAATGATTTCAGCATAGAATGCATTCATTCATGTATCACTATATACATAGGAAGCTGCAAAGTTGAGTTAAAATATTGTTAGATATAAGAGCATGTTATGCAATAAGTTTGACAAATGTCATTTTAGTCACAAGTTTGCTTTGGTTAGTTAAGACCAATCGAGACTAAACAATCATTAAATTAAATGAAATCGAGTCTTAAAAACATAGATAAATTAAAATGGTCTGCTATACCCTGACCGGGAAGTGCTTTTTCATCATATACTATTTTTATAAATGTGACAAAATTCTTAATTTTCTACGATATCTCTTATTTTTATTATTTTCTAAATTTCTATTATTGCACTTAACAGTATAAACTTCTTAGTCACGGTTTCCAGAAGTAGTATCAATGAGTTTGCTCAGTGATTTGCGGCGTGACTTCAAATTTCTGTTATCATTAATAATTCGGTGGTGAAGCATACTTTATACATACACTTATATCTGAAAACTAGCAACAACTAGAGAGTGTTTAGTTTAGTGCGTTCACAAGTGTCAATATCTGCCGTACTGTAACAGTCTAGTATTAACAAAAATATTAATTGACTTAGAAAATAGCTATATATTTGCGAAAGATCAATGGTCAATGGGTTCCATTAATTGCAGCATGAATCTACAAGTTCAAAGGTCATGTATTTGCCCAACAACCACCAAAAATACTGCTACAACTTCATAAGTTGATCAATCTATCACACGTACCGAATATTCCGAACCGCAGTTTATAAATTCATTTTTGAGTAACCACAGTGACATGGCGGAAGGCGCAATACTGTTACATTTTGTTTTAAAGTGAATTTCGTTGAAAGGTGCATTCTCCAGTGGGTACTTTTTCAGCACATTTGTCTGAAATTAATTCTTACTTACATTTTTTTCTGAGAAGACATAGGTATTTTTTCGGATTTATTTGAGTCGTGATGATAACAGACCCAGGAGGAATAAGATCTAGCATTTGCTGGAAGTATACTTATGATGGCCTCCAATCGGTTTTGATTGAGATGCGACTACCAATATGAGTAATTATTAATCTTTTTCCGAGGGTGCTTTTATTTCGGTGGACCATCATTCCATGAAAGCTTGCCTCGCACTTTTTAAATTTTTACCCTGCCATATTTTGGCAAGGGTATATCCTCGATTTACCCAATCTTCATCCAGGTACTAGATACGTCTATTTTCTATTCGAAACTATCAAACTGATCTGCGCTGATTTTCGGTTTAGAGGCTTTCCAGAATTTCTTCTTACCCATGTATGGAATGAAATCATTTTTTTTCATTTCAGACTTTATTTTGTTCAAGGTAGATAACCTTTGTTGTTAAAAGTAGTCAAGCCAGGGCCGTATTTAAGATGTGAGCCGACAAGAACTGTGCCTTGCGGACTGTTGTATTTTAAGAGTAGGGAAATTTTCTTTGATTAAAGTGTTATGTTAATTTAAATTAATGTGCTTTTTATAAATCTTTCCAAAACTGAAGCTGAAACTGATTTCCAATTTAAGGGTTTAACATAATGACACTAAAACATTTTCCAAGGGAAGCAATACAAAATCTTATGTAGATAATGGATTTATAATGGATGTTTTCCCAGCACTATCAGGATGCCTACGAGATAGAGTGTGGTCCAATCCGTACATGCGCAAGGATAGCAAAATTAGAATCTACAAGACTTGTATCAGACCCATCATGACGTACGGCACGGAAGTCCGCGAAGACACCAACAAGACGAAACAAATGCTAAGGGTAGCAGAGATAAAAACCCTGAGGACAATAGTGGGGAAAACAAGAAGAGACAGAGTAAGAAACACAGATGTCAGAGAGCAGTACGGGATACAAGATATTGTGAGATGGAGAAGACAACGTAAGAGGCAGTGGTACAACCATGTGAGACGGATGGACGATAACAGACTTCCGAGAATAGTCCTGGAAAACAACCCGCCCGGCCCAAGACCTCCAGGGAGACCCCCTAAAAGGTGGAAAGATAGTTGGCAATCCACCTCACAGGAAAAGATGCAGAGGCAGCTTCAGAATTAACAGACAGGTCTCCAAGAAGTACAAGAAGAAGAAGAAATTCCGGAATAGGTCGTAAAAACGGTATATCGTTTGGAGAACTCTACAACACTACGAATATGGAACACGGCTAAGACCACTAAGTTTTACAGTTCAATAATGATCTCTCCTGCATTAAGAAACAGTGTATAATTGGGCATTTTACAGTCAGGACAAAAACTCTTTTTCATAACATTAACGTGTCATATATTTGTACAAAAAACTCAACCATATTATAACAATATAACGTATTTACTAAAACTAAAACAATTCGTGCCATTTAAATCAAAACGAGATATAGGAAAATAAGTCGTCTTTAAGGGTTAACCCCAAGGCTGCAAATGGATAACCTTCTGCCCGTACCAAGGACCGGCTGAACCATCTGAACCTCCAGAATGATCGCCGGATGAAACAGCAGCTGCGACAGCTGCTGACGTAGCTGTCAATGAGCCTTGTTTTGCTGCCGCTGCCTGTCTAATGGCTGAACTGCCGGACGATTGGATAGATTGAATTTTCCGTGCAGCATCATCTAAAAATACAATTTTTTTTGTTAGTCATCGTTTTATGACGTCACTTTTCGGTCAAACATTCGCGTCTCTTTTAAAGAAGATTGTACAATCCGCCGATACTTTGATATTGTACAACTTTTTTTACTTTATAATAATACAGTTTAAAAAAACAAATCGCCTATACACGAAGAGATCTCGTTTTCCAAAACTAAAGATACCTGATGACGCTCGTCATTTTTGAAACATTAACTTGTCTTGTTGTGGGTGTATTTGAATCCTTACATTTATTAAGTTTATTAATAAGAAACCAAAGCCAAATAATGATTAAAATCGCAAACTAACAAAAGCTTTTATACCAGTGCAACATATCCTGGCGAAAATTTTAAGGGATTGATTTTTTGGTTATAATTATAATATTTCAATATTTAATTGTAAGCATTTAATATAATTAAATAGCAGTATTAATAGAGTTTTTTTATGTTTAGTAAATGGATCTCGGAACTGTAGCAGATATGAAAAGTGTAAAGAATAGCACTTTGTAAGCTCTACTTAAAACCATTTTAGTTTTTTAAGATTTGCGGGTTGTTAATAGATATATAGAAAAAAAATATTTTCGGCAATTTTTTAAAATGCTCGTAATTGTATAAATATGAATTGTAGCAGAAAATGATAAATACAAAAGTTTTGTCTTGTCGTTTGTAATATATGAGAAAAGTTCGTTTTTTTTAATGGAAACCTTATTAAATTTGATATTTATTAAATAGGGATAGGGATTTTATTTTTTTTTAAATTGAAGTTTTAGTTCAACGTTGTTCATCTAGTTGTATATGGAAAAAAAATTATGACATAAAACAAAACTATGCTAAACTATGCTAGTATGGTTACCATGGTGACAAAGAACTATATTGTATTATTTTAACAATCCAATTGTTGGATCGCCTTTAATAATAATAATAATAATAATTAATGGGCGATTTGTATTAACGGCGGAATTTTTATTTTATGCAATAATGTTTCTTCCATAGACAACTAGGTGAACAAAGTTAGAACCGCAATAAAAAGATTTTCATTAAAAAAATATATTTTTTTCATATGTCAAAAATGAAAAGTTTGAAAACAAATGTGTGCACTATTTCGTTAAGAGCAAAATTTCCTAAATAATTTTTGTATTTATCATTTTCATTTACAGAGCTTACAAAACTGCAATTCTTTGCCATAAAAAATGTTAATATCATATTTACAATTTAAAATAAATATATAAAACCAAAGTCTTATTTTATTCCCGAAGTAACGCATAGTTATTATATTGCAAAAAACTAAAAGAGCTTTGGCGGCTTAAATATTTTAGGGTATTTTAATTTATACTATGCGGAGTAGAATTGTTGATAACCTGAATTGAATGTCCTCACCTGTTTTTTGAATCTCATGTGCGGCAGCGGCTGCGCTCTTCTGAATAACGGCTGCAGCGTGAGCTTCCTTGGCTGCAGCTATTCGCTGAGCTTCGGACACTTCGGCCTTTGCTTGAGCTAACCGCTGTTGAGCTCTTACTAAAGCAGTGGCTGCCGATTTTGCTTCTTGCTGTTGCACTGCTGCAGCAGCTTCAGTTTTCTGGGAAACGCGAAGAAAACGAATAAATTAACATTGTTTGGAAATCACCATACTGCAAATGAGATTCTTTCAGATGAACGTTATACAGGTTTTCGTAGAATCTCAAGATTTAGAAAAAAATCGCCGGAATGGGGAAAAAAGTTATCAACAAGGACAAATTTTTTGTTTCGTTCTCTTATAGCCATTATACAGGATGTTCGAAAATTAATGCACCAAATTTTGATTTCATATTCCAAAATTGTTCTAGTTTCCTACATAAAGGTATTTACGGGATTCTAAGGAGGAAACTACTTTGTTACCCCCCCTTTTGTACCTGGTGATCATTATAATGTTCCCCCTCCGCCTTTATTTTTTTCACTTAATGTTTGGGAAAAAACGCAGGTAAAAAAGTTGTTCAAAAAATATTAAACCTGTATATGTATTGTGTTGCAGAAATCACCCACAGATAAATGTTATATATTTTCTAATAGAATTAATTGTATATTACACGCTAGTTATGTACAATGATTTCCACGTAATAAGGATAGGACACCGTGAGATCTACGATGTCAGTATTTGGCCACGATGCTACTATGAAGAGACCGTGAGATTGACCTTGTCAGCTTTTCAGATACGAACCTATAATGTCTTAGTTTTAAGTAATATGAAGGATTCTTGTTGTAACTGCTGCTGCAGAAACTCTTAATTTTCGATTGTATTTTGAAACTAAAGTTTTTTAAAAAGTCATCTCGTCTTCGCTTGAATATAATTGGCGCAGTCAGTAGGATATAATAACTCCATACACAGTGTCACGAAATTTACGCCTTTTGAAATAATCAAAGGTGATATAAATGAGACAAATCCTTTTGACATTAGTGGGCACGTGATAATTTGGGACTATGTTCAAAAACACAGAGTTCGAAAAAGGTTTACCAATTAATTTCGGAAAATAATCGAAAAACAAAAGAAAAAATAATTGATAAAAGAAACAAAGAAAGAACGAACCGGTCTACATTCATACTAAGTTACGTAATAAAACTTTACCTAAATTTAAGGAAACTACTCTAAAAAACAAAACAACCAATAAAATTAAAACCAATTCGGGAACATATCATAAAAAGTCTGCCAAACGACCAAAATCTAAACAAAAATTAAATTCGCAGGAAAATGAACCTCCCGAGGGTCCTAGTGGCATCGACGTTAGCAAACCTGGCCCTTCGATAGTGAAGATATCAAACTAATTCCCTTGAAAAATCCCCTTCTCTCTATAAATCTTGGTCCGGCTAAATTAATTTAGACTAAACACACCTTCCATTATTTTGTCGACTTAAAAGAAGTCCATTCCCCATTCATTAACGTGCAAAACCACTTTAATATAATTATGAAACAAATTTCTGAAGAAGCCTATTATTAAGAATAGATTACCTAATGAATTTAGTACAAAATAAATTAAAAAACCTTCAACCCCATTATAGATCAAAAAGAGGACTGATTAATGTAGTAGGAAAGTACAGAAATGGCTTTTCCGCACTCTTGATTCGGATGATGCAAAAAATTATGACGATGCTATCGATAACTTGCGGAAAAATCAGAAAAATGTATTGAAAACTTTAAACTCTCAAATATCTTTATCGAAACGGCTGATTGATAATTATAACTTAACGATTTCGACTCTACTCCTTAAACCAACCAGAGAAAGCAATGTAAATATTAAAAGGATCTGTTGATAACACGATCAATAATCTTCAGTTATATATAACCTTTTCAAAGTGTTTTATCCCAAATTATAATTGACTGTCAAAACCTGATAAATTTTCTGGATAATTTAGAGAACGCAATCGTGTTTGCACACACTAATGCTTTACACAATTCAATAGTTCCTGTTTTGGAAATTCAGAAAATGATTGATTATTTAAAATCAATTTATGATATAAACGAATTACCAAAATTTAATAACACGTTATCTTATTACCAATTTTTAGGGACTCAAGTAACATTTACAGATACTAAAATAATTTTTGCTATTCACGTCCCTATTTTAAGGCTTAAATATTTTTCTTTCCATCACCTGTTTCCTATTATCCAAAATAACACGATAATTATTCCAAAATACCCCTATGTCGCACGAGAAAAAGAAGATATACATTTCAGAGTCCTGCTGTCCCGAAATCGAGCATACTTTCTACTGCCATGAAAACTACAACTCGAAGGATGAATGCACGATTCAATTGCTTGAAATTCAGCCTATAAGCAACTGTCGAAAACACCATATCGAATTATTACAACCTCTTGCAGAGCAAGTAACGCAAGAAAAAGTGCTTGTTTTACCTCTTAAAAATACTTTGGTATTTGCTAAGTGTAAAATTGATCGATACCTTAAGATCGATATTCCCACACTTATAGAAATTCCAGCTGCTTGCCAAATTACCTTGGGCAAGAAAAATTATTACAACGATGCCAAAAATTATGAAAGGAAAGCCTTTGCTTTTACCTGAAGTTTATATAGAAGAATTGAAACCAATTACGTTACACAGATTAGCGAACATCAGTCAAATTAACCTGCAAGTCCTATATCAATTAAAACAGATAACAAATGAACTGCAACCGATTAAAGAAATTGGCCAGCCTATGTCTACAAGTTCAATAACTAATATTATTGTTATTATATTTTTTCTAGGGGTCATTGCAGCCCTAATGATCGTTTTTAGAAAGAAACTTGTACCGAAATGTCAAAATAATCAATCCGAACCCGATAAACCAAATCAGTCGGAGCAAAGTCATTCCATTATGTTTGCTTCTTGAGGAGGGAGGAGTTATGTACAATGATTTCCACGTAATAAGGATAGGACACTGTGAGATCTACAATGGCAGCATTTGGCCCCAATGGTACTATGAAGAGACCATGAGATTCACATTGTCAGCTTTTCAGATACGAACCTATAAAGTCTTAGTTTTAAGTAATATGAAGGATTCTTGTGGTAACTGCTTCTGCAGAAACTTTTAATTTTCGATTGTATTTTGAAAATAAATTTTTTTAAAAAGTCATCTCGTCTTCGCTCGAACATAATTCGCTTAATAAAATCTCCTAAAAATTCTGCACATTTGTTGTATAATATGTTCTGTACCCAAATCGAATAGTCTTTTAAGATATAACTTCCGTGGCTGTGAAGTAGGTCGTCGCAAAAAACAAATTGATTGTTTATAAATGACAGTGACAGTTTCCAATAACAGATTTAGCAAAAATTTACGTTCTTTTTATTATAAAATGCCTTATTCTGAGAGAGAAAAACAATTAAAGCAAATAAAAGGCTAAATTGCCTTAAAGGAACTAGGAGTAATTAATGCACGTTCCAGATAAAAAAACTTTGATCGAATCTATGAAAAATTTCAGCAAAGGCCAGTCTAGCCTATTTTCTAAAAAAAATTTGTATTTGACAATTTTTTATATAAAAGAGTCAAAGGGACGGGGACATAAATGTTCACCCGGTAAACTGTTTTCAAGCAGAAAAAGACATTTAATGGGAATTCTTTTCTTAAAAATTATTTAATTCAAATCTGGTAGGGATGTCACTAAGTCATTTTTTTAAAAACTATTTTGCCTCAGAAATAGGTTCTTGCTGGTCGAAAACGGTGTACAAAATGTCAATGAAATATCTAGAGTAGTTTCAAAATTATGATAAAAATAGTCTTTTTTTAGAATTTCTCAAGGGAAATGAAACTTTTCAGGACATGTTTTTATCCATAAATCTAGGGGTTATTGTCGACGTAAAATAAACCATAAAAATTTTGTGCATTAATTTCGGAACACCCGGTATAGGAAGCTGTATCGGATATGTGTGTTATTATTTTAGGGATAACCATTATATTGTTTTTCAAAAACTAAATAGTAGACTCAGACCTATGTTTCTAGTGACCTTGTATATAAATTTGGGGAAACGTGATAAGCGACTAGTATCTTAGACTTAATAAAAAGTATGAGGTCCTTAAAAAAAAATTCTTCGTCTGACGCCGATCGTATACTTGTAAATCGCGCGGTTACAAAACCGTTCGATCGGAAAAAGTAATTTAACTTTCAGTTACAGCAGCTCCCCATTGCAACCCGCCTTTATTCCTTTTGCATTAGCCGAACCCGAATGACATCTACATTTTTAGTGAATGGATACGAATTGTAAAAGGCGTCGCGTGGTTTGGTTTCGCTTGACGAATGATGGTATTTTTTAAGCGGACCACTCACGATACTGCGGTGTCCTCCCAACAGAACTGTATAGTATGACCCATTTCGATGGTTTTACGACGTACCTGATTTATCAATAGAGCTAGCGCGTTGCGGCTTTTGTGATCGTGTTTTTATGAAATGAGAGGCGACAATGAGAAATGTCATAGCTATCTTGGATGGATACGGGGTATTTCTAAAAATATAGCGTTTTTAGACAATCTAGGTAGTTAGGTTATGTGCAAGCCATATAGCTATTATCGATATAGTGGCCCTACATGGTATGGTGACAATATTGGAACTTATGAAACATCTATGAAAAATGAATGGAAAAGGTCCATTCAACATGTGCATGTGTGAGATTTGAAATCTCGTTTTTAACCAATGACGTTGCCGCATTCAACAACCGACATGGCCGCTGACATTTTGTCAATAAGTTTGTATGCGGCATTTTTACGGCAGTATTATCTGAAAATACATATTTCTTTAAATGTTCTAGGCGAACAAGCTAAGTATGTGGAAATCGGTGTTTAGTAAAGAAAACGGCTCAAAGTGCTATCTACAAACTGAAACTATCTATAAACCGAAACTTTTCTAATTTTCGTATAATTTTCTTCTTTGCTCCACTTCTGTTTGCCAAGGTTGTGAACCCCTATCTAAATTAATTTTTTTTTTAAATGTTTCTCTGATTTGTTATCCAGCAATTTTATTTTTAATTAGTTATCCATGAAAAAAGAGTATGTCAAGTTTATTTTGATAGGTAACTCTGTAATAAGTTATTTAATTTATCTAAAAAAAACTGGATTTTCTATGCCATACCCATAAAAAAATGAAAAATTAGAAATATCTGCTTTGTATTTAAAAGAGTACTTAGCACGAGCTACAAAAGGTGGCCAAAAATGCAAAATTTCCAAAATAACCGTGTATCTAAGATAGCTATAACATTTCTGTTTGCGCCAACTTTAATTTAATGAAAAAATAGTCTAGGGTCAATAGATCTACAACACTTTAGAATTATTAATAAGGAAGATACGCTATGCAATCTGAGAAACGGCAAGATTTACAAAAAAATTTGTTACAAGAGTTTCTTGTATTGACTTCTTATGCATACAGTGTTAGTAAAAAGTATCCGAACGCTTAAATATCACTAAAACCACCAGATCTACTACTGTTAATAAAAAAATTCTTACCATATTATCGCAAAATTTTACATTGCATTTCCATAGATAAATGGTTATTAATATATTAAATAGGTTAGTTTCAAAAGTCAAAAATAGAATTAGGTAGACTTCAGCAGTTACTAAAAAGGATTTATGATGTTTTGCTTCATATTTAAGATTTATGCAATTATGTCCAATTTCTTTGAATCCCACGAAATCATGCTGCAGTTTTCGATCGTGTATGGCGACCTTTAGGACGCTCGCCGATACGAACGTCGCATTTCGGTTTAACGGTAGGATGCAGCTTCCAGTACAATTGTTTTGATTAGCTTTCACAAGCTGCAGATTTTCGAAACTTGCCATCGAGTGCCGACGCTAAGGTGTAATTCGAAGAAATATTTACTCTTTCAATTTTAAAAAAGTGACTTCCACCTTTATTTCTTTGATAACTAGAATTTTTTTTTACTTTTATGGACCTCTTTAAAAAATATGGATTCTTGCTCGCAAATGTATAACTGGAATTTTACTAGATAGCGATGAAATTGTCTGCTGTCAAGAAGTATAAAGCAATCTCCATAAGAGCAGAAGAAAATCTTTTATATTGATGAGACGTGGATTAATGATAGTTTTGTAGTACCAAAAATATGGCAAGACAAAATTATAACCAATGCGCGCTGAGTTTTAATGGAACGTCTGTCAAAGGGTAGAGACTATTAACGGTCCATATTGTAAGGGAAGAAGGATTTTCTAAAGAAGGTTTGCTAGACTGTTTTGGTGAAATGACAAAATATGTTCCTGCTGATTCGGTACTAGTGGCAGATAACGCATAGAGATGACTCATGTCATCGACGGATTAGTTTCTCACTGAAAGTGTTCGACATTGAATAATGAGGTTTAATTACTCATTTCTCAAACAGACCTTAGGTTGCATTTTTTTATCACAGTAAAATATAGAAAATATAATTTTCATGTTCGTTTACTCTCAATTTGAATATCTGTCCAGAGAGGCAAAGCTACAAGCTCGTTTAATATTTTTTTCTACTCCCGTCTGTAAAATACCCAATTACACACCGATCTAGCGCGCGGAAAACGTCACTTTACCACGCCAGTTTCATTTCCCACGGATCCGAGCCACATCGGACATTTCCGGGATTTTACCGCACGGGTTTGGGAGCAATCGGATGTTTTCGCAGATTTTACCGCACGGTTTTTATTTTGACGTTTGTCGAGGGTCATATCAGTTAATGTATTCGTGTTGTTTTGCAAAAATGTGCTCAAAAACTAATACACAGGAAAATGTTGTGCAATATATCAGACAATTTAAAGACAACCTGCTATAAGCTACAATTAAGATTGAGTGGACTAGTCGGTAACTAAGGTGACATTTATAATTTAAGTTTCCCACAGAAATTTTTCATACCGTTCACATGAACTTTAGTGGTTTTCATAGTTTTTATATTAATATCTTGCCAAGACCAATTGTATGATTTTCAAATATTCATGTCTCGCTACGCTCATGCTAAATAAACTCGCGAGTCAAATGCCGTTTACCGCACTTGTTGCATAATATACTATTATTTCTATATTCTATGCTTATGCTTACCTGAAGAGCGAGCGCTGCGTCGGCCTGTTTTTGGCTGGCCACGTGCTGTTGGTGTAAGACGTCTTCTTTCGCATCCTGGACCCTTCGTTGAGCGGACATGACGGCGGACGAGGCTTCCTTGGCGGCTTGGATCGCCGATGCAATTTCAGCTGGAGAAACTGGCTGGTGATAAGGTTTCTGAAAAAACGTGATAAGCAGGGTAGTCTTACGCTTCAAAAAGCAAGTCTGAATTAAAACGCTGAAAGTAATTACATGTCATGTTACCGCTAAGTTGCCGAAACTGCTATTTGCCCTCTACTTAAAATAGATTGTAATTATTGCATTCTCCCTTCCTAAAAATTTTGAATCGAATAAAGGAAACAAAAATTAATACGAAACATTGTCATTGTAATTAAAGCAGATCCAAACAGCATTTACTTTTAAAGCCCGGTCGACACGACGCAATTTCTACATGTATTTTTTCATGTAAATATTTCAACGCATCTACTACCAAATCGACCAATGGACAATTTGTTTAAAACACTCTAGGCAATGCCACAGTAATTCAACCAGTAAAACTATTATCAAACAAGCCAATAAACAATTTGTTTAAAAAACTGTTCTTCAATATGTAACATAATTTAGCCCTAAATATAAGAGCGCAGCAATTAATTTTAGACAATACATAAATTACTTTAAAAACTTTAAACAAAAATCCTAATTTCTCTCGTTTTTAGTAGTGGCGATAACAAACACCAAAAGATATCGTTTATTTTATCAAAATTAAAAAAAACAAACAATTTTTAAAAACAAAATTCCACCAAAATAATCACACCCATTTTGCTCAAAAAAATTGGATTGCATTTTTAACAGCTAATTTTTGTGTTAAAAGTTTATATACTATACCTGTTACTGTACTTGTTGAATTTCAGCTCGGAACGCATTTTATCTTCTTCATTTTGCTTTAACGTTCATTTTAACAATGAAATTATGAAAACTAATCATCAAATTTTCTTTCGTTATAAACCAACCAAAACTATTGTGCACAATTTTTGGAATTTTCTAACCCTAAACTAAATGCTGTGCTCATTCAACTTATAACTGCAGAAAAACGGTATTTCCAGGACTGTCTTCTCTATTCGCAGTTCCATTTCTTCAACTATTCATTTTAAAGCGATTTTGCCGAAGGTACAAATACTAAGCGTTAGAATGGAAGAGAATATAATTCAATAATATAATTTCCTGCAACTTACAATCAGTCTATCTAAATATAAAACAATTATATATAACAAAGGGCCGTAAAGGTCGTACTAAAATAAGTAGGCAGTTAAATTCAAAAAAAAATCGAAGGCCTTTTTGTACATCTAACGTAATTTGTTTTAGTTTTAGACATCGTATTATTTTTCTTTGACATATTATTGTAACTGCGTTCGTGGTTTCTCTAGCAAGGAACTTTCAATTCTAGATTTGACATGAATAGCGCAATGAATTTCGTTTTCTAGAGACAGGTCTTTTACTTTCCACTTTTACTTTTATTGGGTAATATTGGTGCTTTGCGTTGATTTGCTGCTGCATTTACCCCACTGTAATTTTCAGGAATAAATTAATGGAACCAGCATACACCGAAAATAAGGGCTCCAAATAAGCGTAACAATATTTCACCCGACAAACAAAAACAAGTACTAAATATAGCTTTCTAAATTTTTGCTTGTTCTGTGGTCCGTTAAATTCATTTGACTTCGTACAACGACTTTAACTGTAGCAACCTTTTTCCACTTTTAAAATTACTTTAATATTTGGATTTAATTAAATTGAAAACTTAGACAACTTTTACATCGGAATACTTACAAAACTTACGCTGGGCGACGAAAAGCCAGAACTCGACGGTCCATAACTGTCGAACGAGTTGTATCCGTAACCGCTGTCAAAGACGCCCCTCTTTGCAATATTGGATGCCAGAGAGGCGGCGACCAGGAACAGAATTGCACCAGCCTGAAAATATCCGTGAGCAATCATATCCAGGATACCACAGGTTTTTATAATTCCCACTGTAAAAAAACCCACGTATTTTTTCATTTCTACTGTTTATGTTTTTGTGTATCTATCAACTGCTGGCAATTACCTTAGTTATGTTTAAATTGTCGAATAAATTTCAATAAATAAAACATTTTAATAAAAAAATTGTGTAAAAATAATAATTATATTAATAAGACCCTTTATTTGTTAAAAAACAATACAATTTCATATCAGAACATAATTTTCAATAATTTGTAAAAGAAGAGCCTTTGCGAGAAGACACTAGAGAATCTAGAAACAAGATATATAAAATACAAAATTAAATGGAAATAAGAAAAAATGATTATTTTAAGGAGCTACAATTTGTTATTATATTTAACATAACTGAATGAGAGTTTGCCAATATCGGGAAACAACCGGAGAAAAAGAGACAATAGCCTTAATCCACACTGAAATTATTTTGGAGGTTTAAACATATTACACAATAGAAATACCCTTAAAATTGAATGTAATTATCCTGAACGCAAATTTTGTTGTTTGTGTGGTATTAATTTAGTGTAGCTCGATATCCATCATTTTTTTATTGGATTCGTAAGGCTATTCCAAATCTTTATTGTCACATAAGTTAATGATTTTTGAAAAAAATGAGAATTTGTCAGAATACTTCCTACCAAAATGTGGTCTCATATTTTAAAGTTGACAAAGTCGCTAAATATGTACAATGTAAATAGAAAATAATGTACTCCTATTTATTGTGCTAATGAAAAATGCAAAAGTAACGGTGGCAAATTTAGACTCATTAGATTTTACGTATGCAAAGATTTTGAGACTTAATTTTACAGGCTATTGTAAAACTATTTCCAAATCTTCTCGATTCCTCCTGCGTCGGCTTTTGATGAATCGAACTTGCTTCGCGAATCATCCTGTTGGCTTCTCAGTGCCAAAGAAGGATAATTTTCAATACATCAGCAAGTATGATGCATCAAAGACCGACGCGCTAGATTTGGAATTAGTGTTCCAGACTTAGTGAATCAATTTACTCAACCCGCAGATAGATCTCGACAAAAAAATTTGTTGTAATCTTCTAAATATAGCAGAAAACGGTGAACAACTGTCACCAATAGCATAATAAATAAATAAAACTAAGAAGTAATTTTTGACATTTCAGTGTGTTGTTCTTTTGAAAATGTTTCCATAAAACTGTTTAAAAATTTCTGTGTTATTTCAAATATTTTCTATAAAACTGTACAAAGCAAAAGGAAAATTACCCACAATGTCTAATTCAGTAACATTTATTTAACGTGATCGATACATAATTAATAACTTGAAACATAACTTAAAAAATGTCTGACAAAGGCAGTGGATTTGGGGTCAGTGTATTTATTTCTGTCAAAAACGGTTAGAAATTGACAAATGCACCTTAGTTTAGGTAGAAATTACCGTCCAAATAGGCCAAACTAAAGTATTTAAGAAAATGTGGTTTCGAAAATTTGAAAATTCGGCCGTGTATCACGGAAACAAAGGTATATAAATATAAATTGTGCAATTAAAAATGCTCTAAAAAAGTAAAATTATCAATTGAAGCCAATTTTAATTTTTCATATAATTTTTACATAGAAATTTCAGATTCTACCTTTGTTAGACCACACGACTTTGATGTCTGTTTATTATTATATTAGAAATGTTTAAAAATGAAACTTACTCCACAGAAGATCATCTTGCGCTTAGTGGTGAGGATGTTGACTACACTGACAAAAACTCAGAAGGGAACCCTTTTATATGTGCCTCGCTCTTCTAAAAAATACGAATAATCTAAATTAAATCAATACAGTTATTATGACAGTGGTAATAATTCTCCTTCTTCCGTATTTAGAGTAATTCTAAATTAAAAGGACTCTCCTCGATATCACGAACCTCATTACTTTCTTTGCGCGTTATTTTTTACCGTACAAGGCGGACCAGAATTTTCTTCACTGCGGATTTGAAAGCAATATGTTCTGGTGAATTTTGATATGAACACGGGGTGTTCCTTTATCATTTCATTCATTGTTATTACATTATCACTTTGAGTATATATAGAAACGAAAGTTTTATCTAAAATTAAAAATATATATTGCAATCATTTTATGCACAACTGAGTAGCGTTGGGCCTCTTCACTTTGCCAAAGATTCAAAACTTGTTGCTCAGTAATATGCAGATGATATAAAATTATTACAATTATTGGAAATATGACATCACAGATTGCTTCGCAGAGAACATTCGCATTTCCTGTAAATTTTTTTAGACCCTGGTAACTCAGAAATAGCTGCTAAAATTAGCGTACCTTTCGTAGGTAAAATATATCGCAAATTAATAACTTTTAGGTAAAATTAAATTGCGGTGTATCTCAAAAGTCAAAAAAACAAAAAAATTATTAATGAACAACTAAAACCAAATTGTCCACATGCTTTTCAAAAACTAATAATCATAGAAACAGTGTAGAATACAACACATTGATAAACTCGTACCTGAAATGGCGTTTATTATTGCATATTGGCTATTGTCTCGATATGTGTTTCTGATGTCAACTGATTTTTGTCTACTCTGTATAATAACTGAAATAGATTAATTATGTAATTATTTATATATGATTGATCTTATGTTTTAGTAACAAAATTCTTATAAAATTTGAGGTTTCCATTTCAATATTTTTGGCAGTTTTAGATACCAAAGTACGTGCTTACTTACTATCATTAGACTAAAGTATAAGTTTACGTAAGTTTATAATTTTCTTTATAATAGAAATATGGAATATAATAAGAAATCAACCCTAGGTGCTTATTAAATATACCATATAATTGAAAACATAAAGAAAATTTTTCTTCTAATTCTTATATATTTATTGTATATTTATTATATATTTTTTTTATTATACATTATTTTATTATTATTTATTTATTATATTAATACTTTTATATATTTCTTAAAAATGCTTCTCGTTTTAATTTCGCCTAAAATTTATTTCTTTTTGTTTCAATCGTATATTTCAAACCTGTGGAGATGTTGTGTTGCGTCGCGCACCCGGTATAAAAAACTATAGGAGAATAAACGATCTAGTCTGAAAAATATGCCGCAGATAAGTATACTCGTACGTTGTACCTAAGTTCATAAATTCATTTGCACATTCTATTTTCAGGAATCCCTTTACCGGTTTTTACTTTACTTTCTTAGCATATTTCTTAAATTTTATACTCGCATATTCATCGAAACTTTACGGTCAATTAAAATGAACAGAATATTTGCAATATGTTCTTCGCACCCGAGGGATAGGTATCAGTAGAAAGGCTTAGCGCTAATTAGATTTGCCTTCGCCTTGTCTTCATTTAGGCTCGATCGATCTAACCGACACAACTGTGTAGTACAATTCCTCAAGATAATAAGACATTTTTTTAACGTAGTTTACGTTTACTTTTTTATTTTGTTTATCTTTTTATTTTCAGATCATTTGAGGGGCATAGCTATTTTCCAACTTTTCGTCCGATTTTAAAAGCTGTCCAGGGTGGTGCTGCACAAAATTTATTAGCAAATGAATTTTTTTTTGCAGAGTCAACAAGAGTTATATTTTTAATGATTATTACAAGTGACCGTTGTAGTTCAAAAAATCTGAAATATTAAAGGAAATGTCATATATTAATGACATTAATGACATGTGTGTATCACAGAACAGAATGCCGCTTATAAAAATATTGTATGGCAATTATTTTCAGGCTATTCGATGGTATAACAAAAACAATAAAATGTGATATTCCCTTTTAAAGCATGTAGAAGTTTTGCATTGTCTAGCTAAAAAAAATGAGTTTCTGCGTTGCGAAACATTATTAAGAATTTTATCAACAGTCAACATGAATCACGCTGTATATGTTATGTACCGCTTGTCAAAATTTGTTTACATTTTTTTTCGTAAAACTAAAGATGTAATTCTTTGAATGGTATTAAAAAAACAGTTGATCTTCACTAACAGATTTCGAAAAGCTAAATGAATTGCTTCTCAAAATTCTGCTATCTTGTCATATCGTATGTAGAAATGCCCTTAAGACTCTAGAGTTGTGATTTGGGGCCCCATCTTGGTGCAGGCAAACGGCATTATATTCCTTCTGAATCCAATAAACTGTTCCAAAGTGTGCAATTTCAAATGTTAAATGATGATTTTCCGATTGTTGCTCCATATATCCTAGAACATCTATCTCTTTTCGTTCCCTGTCCTCTGCGTTGTATGTTTTAGAACGCGGGAGAACAAATGATCTATGCTTATCTAAATTTAAAAAAATAAATAAGAACTATAAGTTCAGATTTTCACGAGATTACATATTTTTACATGACAATTATTTCGACAACACCGTGTCTTTATCAAATGTTATATTTACAAACTATCTGCTACTATGTATAACGAGAAATGACCATTATACCTTCATTAATGTTGTTGTGAGAATTTAAGTTCAATAAAGGAGAGGCATTTAAATATAATTGATCGTTAAGTAATGCATTTGAATGTCTCATTTTGTTAATCTCTTTTAGTGGCTGTACGTAAACTATCAAAATATCAAAAACGGCTACAATCCGTCCATTATAGATAAAATTATAAATAAAATACAAATTCAGACAACAGTAAACTCTATTTATTCGAAAGTTAATACAGAACACGAACAATTTAAAATAATTACATACATAGGAGAACCTAGTGAGAGTTTCAAAACATTTGTCAAAATGTGGTTTAAAAATAGCTTTCAGAACTGACAACACAATAGAAAAATTTTTAAAAAACAATAAAACGAAATGTCCAAAATCTCAAAAATCTGGTGTCTACAGGTGGAAATGCGGATCTTGTCCTAAAATTTATATTGGACAAACAGGTAGATCCTTCAAGAAACGCATTAAAGAACATAAAAGAGCTTTTAAAAACAATAGTTCAGATTCCAATTATGATACACACTTAAACACAGAAAAACACACTTTTGAGGACAATTTTGATATTTTACATAAAACCACTAAAAGTAGAACATTAAATTTATTGGAAACAAAATGAGAAATTCAAATGTGTTGCTTAACGATCAATTAGATTTAAATACCTCTCCTTTATTGAACTTAAATTCTCACAACTTTAATTACGGTATTATGGTCATTTTTCGGTATATATAGTAACAGGTAGGACACGGTATTGTCGAAACAATTGTCATTTAAAAATATATAATTTCGTGAAAATCTGAACTTTTAGTTCTTATTTATTTTGATAAATGGATTTTCATCAAGTAAAAGCCACCTCAGTTCAATTATCTAAATTTACTTTTAACTTAACAAATATCTCATAAACGATTAATCTCTTTCTGAATAGCCGACAAGCACAAAACTATATTCATAATAGACATTTTCATAGTCCTAGTAGGTTGAAAATTTCACAACGTTTTCAGAATTTTCATTGCTCATAAAACATACTACCATATCATATTTTTAATAATTTCTATACGCCGTCATATTTCTAAGAAATTGATAAATATCAATAAATTAAAATTACCAAAAGGACGAAAACAAATTGTTTTATAAACCAAAAATCGGAGTTTGATACACTATATTGTTTAGTTTCGATGTTAAGATTTATTGGGCTGAATGATAGTTCTCAAAGCCTGCTGAAATAATTCTCGTCTGATTGAATTCAGCAACTCCTTATTAATGAAGTAGCGTTCAAATAGCATCGACATCAAACCCAGAGTACCTGATGGTAGTATCCTCAGATCCCTACTACACACTATTCAACTTATCAGACTACACCAATTTGTATACGTCTTTTGATTAAAGTACAAATCAACAAATGAATGAATATATTAATTCCTATAAAACTAGTATAAACAGGTTGAAAAGGTAAGAAAATAATTTTTAATCACTTGCCATTACAATTTTCCTATTCGCGAAAAAGTCTAGGCCTGCATCTAGACTAAAAACATAGACTTGGAGAGCATGTTACGTATAAAGCTTAGGAGCACTTATAGTTTTATCTCAGTTAAATAATTGATGCACAGTCTTGGGCCCTTGCCTTGACCCAGTGGACTCAATGCCTAAGGTTAATTTATTGGATACATAATAGTCACGATATTTGAATTTTCTTACCGAATGTACTTGTGTTTTTCCTTTAATGTCATTTATGGAATAAACATATTATTATTATCATTATTATTATTATTGTTGTTATTATCTCCCAAACTTATAACAAGATAATTTGTCAAGAAAGCTAACCTCAGCCCTCCATGTTCTGAGAAATCATAGCTTCCTTCCTTCACATTGCTCCTATGCTATACTTGTGGAATCGTAGTGCACAGCAAGTTGAGTGTTTGCACTACAGAAGAGGACTGCTAACTTTACCATATGTTTATATCTTAGCAAGTTTTATCTGGAACACCATCATCATCATACACGATACAAAATTATCATCACATACTACCTGATTTTATAAGGAATCTTGAAATAAAAACATTTATAAAAACTTATGTGCTAAAAAAGGCTATGCTATGGAAGAGTTTTTGAATGTTTGGATAATACGCTGAAGTTACCAACGTAACGTAATGTAATTCTTCTCATATACATATAGATTTTAAGAAAGTTTATTTTAAGAAGTAAAGCAAAGTAAAAGGCAATGAAAATTTTGTTAATGACATCTTTAGTTTCATGAAAAAGTGGTAGACTGTCTCGAAAATCTCAACTTTCTATTTATAAAAATAACGGAGATACCCCCAAAAGTACCCAAAATCAGACATCCATAATATATTATTTTTCCTTGTTTTTGTAATTTCTAATTGGATCTAGGCTAATTTTGTAATCCGATCCCAACAACGTATTATTACCAAAACATATTGGTCAATAAATTTATTCAGATTATTTCTAAAGCAATTTAAATCAAATAACAAACTTCCTCGAGATAGAATGGAATGCCAAATGAAGCATGCAAACTATAGTCAATTACTTTAATAAGATTTTCAGCGTAAAAAGTCTTCACTCTTGGGAAGAGTTTATTAAACTTTTTAACAATTTTCTCTCATACCGCAAAAAGTACGTTTGCGTTTAGCCACGTAAATTATCCACGGTATTTTTTGCTTTTCGGTAGTATATAAAAGAATTTGAATGTCAATGTTCTCGTTCAGTAGAAATTTCTTCATCTGAATGGTTCCAGCATGAGTTTGTTTGTAAGTACTTTGGAACGGTGTAAAAAGTGGTAGTTATTTCATTTGTTGCGAGTGTGTTGGTGTAGTTTGAATAGGTGACGCTTCTATTTACTTTTAGCTTTAAGAAGCGATATTCTTATATTGATCAGTATAATCACGGGTTCGTGTGAAAATTTTGTGATTCAGTTCAGTTCAATTCAATATATGTTGAATATTTAGAATTTCAGAACAAAGTATAAGATAAAATTCAATTTAATTAAAATTAGTTACAATCGAATTGTTAATTTTATATTATACTGGTGTGTAGAAAATGGTCAATATTCAACTAAAAAACTTTATATACAGGATGTTTTTTAATTGAATCTTAATATACTACAGTGTTGCCGCAGCATATGGCAACATTTATTAATGAGTTTTAGCAAATTTTGATCCGGGGGATTGTTTGGGCATCAAAAATATTTAAAAACTAAAAAAAACATATGCCGATTTAAAAAAAAGTGATGCAAAGCTAATATGGATTTATTATTTTAAACCCAAATAAAATTTAGTTGATATTATTACAATTAAAACAGGTAACTGACTTAAAACGAAGCGATTTTTGAAGAGCTTTGAAGGCTATAAGAGCAAGTTTCAAAGTATTCATATATTTCAAATCAACATTCATTTATAATTTTTAAAAAAAATCGATAACGTACTATCAATGTTGGCTAAAATATACATTTCAAATTCCCTAGGGACACAACCGGTTCTAATAAAAAGGAATGTGGTGCATCAAAAAATGCGTTGATGGGAACCTCTAAAGCAACATGCATTGAAATATTATCAGATATTATTAATTTTAAAAACTTTACCACCCTGTATGTTCAAGGTTAAAACTGGCGAAGTAGTGTTCTTAAAAATATCCTTCAACATTGACCTTAAATATAATTTAATTAATACTCTAAATTATAGTACACTTCGTATCTTATGCTATTCACTTAAACTTCTCAGCCACGACTTTTTCCTACTTCTAAGGCCTCCTTTCTCTTTAATCTTTACTTGTATTATCAGTAAGCAGCTTGTTCTTCTTTTTACTGTGAGAGTTCGTTTTCTGTTATGAGCTCACTATTCTCCTAAATGGCGTGATCGTATAAGCATACGTTAAAGGTTCCATGGACGGAGAGAATACGCAATATCGAAATACTGTCACGATTAAACAAGAAAATTGAGATTCTTGACACAATTAAGAAAAGAAAATTGGAGAATTACGACCATGTGATGAGAGGTGGGAAGTACGGTCTACTACAAAATATTATCCAAGGACATGGTACTTTAGAAAAAGATGCTGAATTTAATAAATTTACAAATTCGGAGGGTACAACTTCCGAACCATCTTTTGTGAATCACTTATTAACATTTTCACCTGAGTAAAATATTAGCGTGCTACATATCTATGAGCTACAAGTTGTGACAAGAGGAGAAATATAATTTGCTGTAAAATATGGAAATCAGGAAAGCACTAAACGGCCCTGGGGTTAGATGCATTACAAATCTGTTCTAATTTAAAAAGCATTTTATTTTTAAAAATATCAATAATCTTTAACGCCATCTATATCACTACTCATCCTAATTAAAGTCCACCACTTCCTGACCTTGGGAGGCTTCTCTTTCTTGTTTTTGTTTGTTTCTTTTACTAGTATTTAATTGTTGCGATCCAAATGTGTTGGTGTTGCTTGTATTGTCTTATAATTAAGGTAAACTGCTCTTTTATTATGTGAGTGAGAATTTTTTGGACTTGTAAGTCTGATGCACAACAATTTCAGTATTCAACAACTTTAATTAATTTTGGAACTTATTTTTTATTGAATTACATATGGCAAATAAATTTTTATTTTTGTTATTAGATTTCACATTCATAATTCTAATTTCTTCCTTTTATAATATTTTGTGGTTCACACAAAATTGCAATGTATAGGCATAGTTCATAGTTTATTTATGTAAATTAATTATAATTATCATTAGTATGATAACTGTCGTACTGAATAGCATTTAAACAATTGCTTTATTAATATTAATAATAATAAAACCTCTTTATTCTAATTCGGTTTTACAAAAATAAAAGTATAAACGAAATAACGTCAGACAATAAATATTTATTTATATAACGTATTCGTCAAATTGAATATAGCTTTCTTTAAATTTCTGGTTATATTGATAAATTTCACAGAATCTGATCGATGGTTATACATCGGTATAATCGGTAACATGATATTATGGGTTCGGGTGTTATAATGATTATATTTCTGATGAACCAATTTCTATTGTTGAATATAAATATTCGACATATGTAACCTACCAGAGTCACTGCATGATTTTCAATGATCCTACGATCGTTTTTCAATAATAATAAAAATTCTTTTTATGTCAGAAGCATGGCACAACACCAGAATATGTCATATCGTGCAATAGATTGAGGATTTTTGGGGGTGTCAGCATAGATATTCATTTACATGAATCCCCAAAAACATTTTTTTCGTAAAATGAGTAGTTGTGTTACTGAACTCAATAGAAGCAGATTTTTTTTTCGTTTATCTCGTCAACAAAGTTTTTAATCAAGAAATTATCTATACTACAGTTCGTTCAAATAAGAATGAAAAAAATTGGTCCTAGTATGATTAATGATCTTCCTCTAATTACTTTTAGCATATTTGTTTGGCAGTTCTGTTGGTTCAAGCTGCGTCAACGCTTACGTACAATAGTACCAAAAACGCTCGACCGAAAGCTAAAAGGACCTTGTCGGACCAAATATATAACCATGGGGAGACAAAGCCGGTCGTTTTCTTTATGGACAATACAAATCCTTCGTTGCCGCAGCACCAGGGAGAACTGCAGGCATCCGCGTCGTCCGGATTGAAAACATTTTATACCGGCCCGACCAAACCTTTGGCCCTTGTAAGCGTGCAGCAACCGATTCAGGTAAAGATTATTCAAAGTGGTGGAAATCATAAGATATGAAATTTCACTGATTTACTATAAATTGTGGAGTAAATGGGATAAAAAGTGCATTTTTTATTGCTACTAATTACTTAATGCATATTGTATTAGATTGCTATGTAGTGAAATTGTTATTTCCTGAGGGAAACATAAGCTCGTTTCTGAAAAACCTGAATTTATGAAAATATTTAAAATTTGAGCGATTTGAGGATTTAGTTTTTCTTCTCCGCTTGAAATATATCTTCAACTTTTATTCAGCACCAAAATGGGCTTAATTTACGAGAAAATTTAATTTGGTATGCAATCATAGTTTTTATTCCTATTCTGTCTGTGGTGCGTCCCTGTGCCATTGGCATGGATGCTTCATGCGGAAGTTACCACGGAAGGTTCATTGAGTTCTGGACTAAATAATTTAGGCAATCAACAGCAGACGTCGACTAACCATACAATATCCGTGATTTTCTCATCCGTATGCGTCTGGTTACTCCCTTGCCACATCCGAAACTGTAAGTGCTTGTGGAAAATATTGGCATCGAAACAACACTTGTTGTGGAACAAATATTAGGATCAAATTTATTCCCTTATTGTACCTTCCCTCCTTCTAACGATATTTCCGATATAAGATTGTGAAGTTTTAAGGTGTGAAGAAAATTTAAATAACATTAATTTTTTTTAATATTTTTTAATATTTCAGTCGAAGAAATTGATAGATATGTTTGGACCTGCAAACCGCAAGACTGTTTCAAATAAGAAACTTCTTACTTGTCTACGACAATACAAATATCCTGCATATAAGAGATGGGTACTTGTGAGATTTTATACCAAAATATTTATCAGAAGTTTAAAATGATATTGTAAAAAAATTACATTCTTTGTTTTAAATACTCTACATTTTCAACTTTTTCCTTCCGATATTTTAATTGTTCTATTATGATTCTTTTAAGCACACATTAATATCGTTAAAATTTCTGTTGAAGATATACTGGGATAGATCCCCAGGGGCACAGATGGCTGGAGAAGAGCTGCTATATACACCAGCTCCTGTCCCAAGTTTGTTTTGCACCCCTCCATGTAGCAGACTATTATTGTGCCCATCAGGGGAAAATATTATTTTCTTCCGTATAGAGCCAATCGTCCTTTGTAGAGATCTGTAAAGATCTGTAGCCTCTTCATGCTTTACACAATTATCAAAATTTCAAAATAATGTACCTTTTCTAGATTAAACTATTTGACGCTATTCAGACTGAACATCTAGTTGGGAATTGGGAATAGAAGTAAACCAAAACTTTTACTATTATATCTTTTTTTGGCTATTTTATTCTATTCGACAGAATGGAAAATAGTTAATTTTGAAATATCAATGAAATAACCCTTCAAACTAAAAAAAAAAAGCTGAAAATTTTCAAAGGACATTGGAAAAAGTATAATATTTATAATTTAATTTAATTTAAATTAATTTAATTTTACGTTGTTATTTTAAACATGCTTATTGAAATTCATTCCCTATATGAGTTCTGTTATATACCATTTTATTTCCAGGATTTCTAGATGTGGCACAAGATTTTTAGAATAGATTAGTAAATAAATGTCAAAAAGAGACAAACACTCTATGGTCATAGAAATATACATGTAGGGCCAGGTTTTTGGCGATCACTTCTTAACAGTTAGTAGGAACCCATTTTTATGAAAAAACATTGTCTTCCAAATTAATTCATTTTTTGGATATTTAATTTTAATATCATACCATATTTTTTATTTCATTTTGTGGTTCAAAGGTATTTTTATTGCAATATAGCATATCTTATTTTCGGTTTTGCACTTAAACGATAAGTTAAATTGAATACAAAAAAAATATTAATTATTAAAAACCTCTCGATCTCCCTTTCTTTCATCTCTCCCAAATTAGTACTTTCCTCCACAAAAAAATTGTCAATTTTATCCTCAAAAGCCTGTTCCATCCCGTAACAGTTATCCTATGGGCTGTCAAGATGAAATTTAAACTCGTCATTACATCGGGGGCAAAAGAGAACTAAAACTTGATTTTATAACGCTTTTTTTTTTGCTTTTTATTTCCGTTATCGTGATTGTAAATCTTGAAATATGTTTTTGTGAGGGGAAATTATTTTTTTCTTGATATTTATTTTTTGTAATAGCTTTATATTCAGTGAAACTTAATAATACAACAAAAGCACCTTTTATCATCTTGAGGTTGATCAAAATGGACGAGTAAAATTTGCATTGTAACCACTCCTAATCAAATTTTATTGAGGAAGAAATAGATTTATATTTATTTTTAATAATACACAGGGAGTCTCACAATCTCACACATGAATCGCTAGAGATCGGTATAAGGAAATATTATACAAAAATGGTCAGAAAGTGACAGCGGAACGGAAAATGTTGCTACTTTTTTTTAAGTGACCAAATTTTCAGAAAATTTCTAAATGCCGTTTTCCGATATATATCGGATGCTCCGCTCCTATCATATCCATTGAATTAAAATTGTAATATTTTTGAGTTAAACTGGTTTTAACTTCGTTTCAGCTGAGAAATCTTGAAATGTATTATACAATAATGGATATTTTTCATAACAATACAATTCGATACAGGTTTTGTTTTGGCTGTTTCAAATGATATTTTTCAATTTGTAGGTTTTCGAACAAGATAGCCCAAAGCAAGTTGCTGCGCAGCAAGTCTTGTACGAGTTCCAACAAACTCTAACCAACGCTGTTTCCAACGTTCACGTTAAGCAATTATTTGCAATGCCGTTTTCCGATATATATCGGATGCTCCGCTCTTATCATATCCATTGAATATAAATTGTAATATTTTTGAGTTAAACTGGTTTTAACTTCGTTTCAGCTGAGAAATCTTGAAATGTATTATACAATAATGGATATTTTTCATAACAATACAATTCGATATAGGTTTTGTTTTGGCTGATGCAAATGATATTTTTCAATTTGTAGGTTTTCGAACAAGATAGCCCAAAGCAAGTTGCTGCGCAGCAAGTCTTGTACGAGTTCCAACAAACTCCAACCAACGCTGTTTCCAACGTTCACGTTCAGCAATTATTTGCAATGCCGTTTTCCGATATATATCGGATGCTCCGCTCCTATCATATCCATTGAATACAAATTGTAACATTTTTGAGTTAAACTGGTTTTAACTTCGTTTCAGCTGAGAAATCTTGAAATGTATTACACAATAATGGATATTTTTCATAACAATACAATTCGATACAGGTTTTGTTTTGGCTGTTGCAAATGATATTTTTCAATTTGTAGGTTTTCGAACAAGATAGCCCAAAGCAAGTTGCTGCGCAGCAAGTCTTGTACGAGTTCCAACAAACTCCAACCAACGCTGTTTCCAACGTTCACGTTAAGCAATTATTTGAACCCACGGAAATTACCACGGAAGGTTCATTGAGTTCTGGACTAAATAATTTAGGCCATCAACAGCAGACGTCGACTAACCAATATCCGTCATTTTCTCATCCGTATGCGTCTGGTTACTCTCCTGCCACATCCGAAACTGTAAGTGCTTGTGGAAAATATTGGCATCGAAACAAAACTTGTTGGGGAACTTGTCAAATATTAGGATCAAATTCATTCCCTTATTGTACCTTTTCGATTCATAACAATATAGAAACATTCAATAAGAAAGTTCTTACTTGTCTACCATAATACAAATATCCTGCATATAAGAGATGGGTACTTACTGGTGAGATTTTATACCAAAGTAATTATTAGAAGTTTAAAATTATATTGTTAAAAAATTAAATAGTTTGTTTTAAATCGTCTACATTTTCAACTTTTTCTTTCCGATATTTTAGTTTGTTCTAATTTAAATACTGATTAAGGAATGTGATTGATAGATTGTTGCAATGACTATTATACAAAGTTTTCTCCCATGTGAAACCACTTCGAGAGATTTTCACTCAAAATTAAGAAAATTCCAGTTTTAAATTGTTTTTTTTAGATAGCCATAAAAAACTAATTACAACATTAGTTTAGATTCTTATAAAGAATCTAAATTGCACAAACATTGACAAGACAAAACAATGAAATTCCCGTTCATATTGAATGCAAATACGAAATCAAAGAATTTAGTTTTCCTAAAATATTTATTAGTACACCTTTGTTAATTAAGTTTTGTTAGCTTCAGCTTAACTTTTATATCATTTAACCGACCGTATAAAAATTCCATTTTTTAAAGTTTTGTTTCAAAATTACAAAAAAAACTTTCGCCCGCTTTGCTTTGCTATAAGATATATTCTTTTTGTCCAGATTGTCTCGCCAGTACAGCATAACCAATTTACCAATCACGGTCAGAATACAGGCACGTTCAGCTATTATAACCCACTACAGAACCAATATCAACAAAGCCAATATGTACCGAACAGCCAAAAGTACACCCCCGGGAAATATCTCTATTTTAACGGGAAAATAGTTTATCAACCCAACCAAGTCGGCCAGCCCCAGGCGCAGAAACAACAAGGACCGAATTTGGCGTTTCTTCACAACCAACAGAAAGTGCCGATGATTAATTTCGCTAATCGACAGCCTGCTCAGAATTATTCAGCCACTCACGCTGCCGTAAATTCAGTACCGAACGTTGGCGTTCGACCTAAGATGCTTCCCCCACCTAATTTACCACCGATTACTTATAACAGGTAAGTGCAATTTTTTTGTTATATTTTATTTTTGTTATACTTCTGAAAGATGTAGAGTAATAAAACCGCATTAGGAATGCTACATACTTTCTAATTTTTATTTACCGATTGGCTTTGGGAAAATTTATGGCAATTGTTACACAGAAGACCTTATACAGAAATTGATTATTAAAAATTGTCATTTGCCCTTGAAGTGATTGTTAAGGAGTTGACGCTTCCATCGATCAAGAAGTCAAGATCCCATGTTTTTCTCTCTTCTTTAATGACAGACAGATCTCTGGTGTTATTTCCTCAATGGCTTGATCAATTAGTAGCTTAAGGTCTTTTTTGAATTTTAATTTTCAGTGACGTGTCTTGCTACAAATCCTTTTAATTGCTCCCGTATAAGTTCTATACAATGTAGTTCACAATGATGTGGCGGTGTTCTCAGCATAGAATCCTTCTGCTATATCTTCCTCTGCTTATTTCATAAATCGATGTTTGTTTGTGTAAATTTGTAATATGTAGTAGTTCCTCCCTTATTAAACTATCCTCAAACTCAATATTTTTCGTAGTTAGTTTCAGTTTTTTTCCAAGATGAAGCTGGAATCTTTTCTATGCCTCATTAATGATAGCTTGCATTATCCATAACTACTCCGAATCAGCCGGAAGATACTTTTTTACCAAATAGTCTACGAAAACACCTGCCCTGATAGAATAACTTTTTTCAATTCACATCTCAACGATTTAAATGATTTCTTTCCTTTATAAGTCTCCATTAGTTTCGTTTATTTACTATTATGCTTTTCCCAAGCAAAATCCTGGCTAAGTTCCATTAAAACTTAATTTAAGGTAAGCGTTAATTCTTTAAAATAAAAGTAATGACCTTTTCTTCGAATTACACTTTTGGGGGGTTAAAAAATAATTTTGTTGCACAAAGTTTACCTATGCTTTTGGCCTACGCCGAAATTGAGCGAAATTTGACGGAATTCGGCATTTTATTGCTCTAAATTTTTCTGAAATAACCTATATCATCAAACTGGATTTGGCATTCATAACACTTTATGATTTTTCTTCATTACAGAGAAAGGAAAAAATTCATTGAGCAATTTATATTTCAAATTTGACTACACCACTGATTATAGTATATTTTTAATCAATCATACCCATAACATAAAAATGCTCAGGAGCAACAGAAAGTATCCAATTTTGCAAATTTTTTATATTCTTTAGCAAACTGCAGCAAGTTTTTGCTTTAGCAGCTTTAATTTCAATATCCAATAATTTGTGAAATGGCGTTCAGTTATTATACAGTGTTAATCGGAAATTCGCTAAGGAATTACTTTGCTTTTTTTAAACACTAAAGTTTGTTGAGAATCATTGTTTCACTAGATTTTTATTTTTCGGTTTTTTCGTAAAGTAAAATCTTCGGCCCATTTCGCTCTTAGCTGTGAAGCGATCAATTTAGAGGTGTGAATTAAAAAAGCAAGGGAAAGAATAACAAAAAATAACAAAACTAAACCTCTCCATTACTCTGTTGCACTTAATAAAATGCAGGATATGTAATTTAAAGTTATTTTTAAATCTTCTAATCACCAGCTGTATAAATTGGATTAAAAAAAGTAAAAAAAAAGAGGTTGGACTGTTTTCCTTGTGAATTCATACTGCTTGTTGATTTATTTCTAAAGCAGAAGATAATTTTAAATTGAAAATAGCAATAATGAACACAAGGTATCAATGTGGATGTTAATTTTGTAATTGAAATAGCGAATTTTTTTTTTGCTTAACCTGCAATTTCCAGAGATTTAAAAAAATTTCGGAAAATAATATGTGAAATTTATGTACATGCTCTAGAGTCAAAAATAATTTATATTTAATATAGTAGCTATATGCGACACCCTAATACCATTCGATAAGACTATTAATAATTACATTTTCTAATAAGTTATATATAAGTATTTTCCATGATCAAATAAAAGGTTTCCAGTTAAAATAATCGAAAATATTTAAAAATTAAACAATTAGATTCCAGGCACCATCTGAACAGCAGCACCAACAAATAAATAAGCCATCAGCGGCTCCCCCACAGCGCCAAGAAGAACACGAGGAAGAACCGGAAAACAATGAAGAAGAAAGCTCGGAGAACGAATACGACGAAAATGACGAAGAAAGATCGGGTAAAAACTTGAGATTTATTTACCATTACTATTACCATTAGCAGGTTTTATTATTTTAAATACCAAATAAAGTAATATTTTTTCAGCGGCAAACCCCGTATTGGAAAAATTAAATCGATTCAATTAATTTTGTGTCGATGCCCGACTTGTATCGCATGTTTATGCTTTATGAAGAAAAAATTTTTACGACACTGATATTTTGACAAGAGAATATTTTCTTTGGATAGGCTGGTCATTTTGGCCTGAAAGTTACCTCTTATGTATTTCTTGTCAGTTGCACCGTTCTTGACACAAACAAGTAAGGTAAAGGTACTATACTGACTAATAATTTCTTACCTTTAATTAGCCTGGAATGACTTTTTTAACGTTATTGTTTGGTTGCCAAAGCTATCGCATATTGATTTAATTTTTAATGGTGCGTTAAACTAACTAAAACTTACCAAAAATTTGAATACTTTTAATTAAGATCAGTGGAGAGGACAATACGATTTAAAATCGATTTGAAACGGGGAACAATTCTTTACAAACAATGTTTGTGTAACGGGCTGAATCAGACATACAACGGGATATTCAGTTGTAACATCAAATTCTTATGTTTCTTCTATATGGGTCATTTGAGGTTGGATATTACAATGGCAAAACGTCCTGTCCTCGTTGTTGTTCCTAGAATCCTAATTATTTGCAGTGCGGGATAGCTCACGTTCCTCATTATTCGTAGAACCGTCTCATTTGAGATATGTGCCGTTCATAATATTTTTAGGAATTTACATCTCAGAAGCTCAGAGTTTTTGATAATGTTTTTAGTGTCCATGTTTCAGCTTCACATATGAGGGTGAACCATATGTAATATCTTGAAAGGTTTAATGCTAGATCTAAGTTGATTCAAGGGTTGCAAAGTAGTTTCCTTATGTAAGCCTTAAGAAACAATTCCTTGCTTTTTCTATTCTTGATGTTATTTCTTTGTTAGCCTAGAGATACTCCAACATTCTAAATATTTGAACCTGTTCGCCAATATTTTTGCACTTATTTGATTGAGTTTTGGTGCCTTATTTGTGCATTGAATGGATACTACCTTGGTTTTCTAAATATTTTTTTCTTCATTCTGAAGTCACCGGCAGCCATATTAATACGGTTGGCGAGTCGCTGCCTATCATATCGGCGTATCTGTATGTCTAAGGATGTGTTGCCATCGACAGTTGCAGATAATTTAGCAAAAACATCTTAACAATCTAAATTTTAGTTAAAGCTTGTCAATTCTCTGCTAATGTACAATTATCGCATAAATCATGTTTACAAAGTTATCTATATTTTGTAAAACAAGAAAACATAAGCCAAATTTTCTATAAAATGGTTTTTATCTCGAAAATACTTAATACAATCTTGATATACGCCACACAACAAGTTAATACTTTATAGATAGATATCATATCATCCTATGGTCAAAAACCAAATTTTTAAATGCGTGTCTTTTTCTATTCTCCAGGTATTTCTATATGCACGTCAGGTATTTACCTCGAACTCAACTGTTTTTGCAGTTTACAGGGTTTATCTCAATTAGGCTAATTATACTAATAATTAGCTACTACTTATACTATACTTATACTAAATTTGCTACAAATTTGCTTGCTAAAATTCACTGATAAAATTTTTCATAACAATTTCTTTTTTACAGACGACAGCGAAGAAGATAAAGAAAAATATGAAGAGGACGACGATGGCGATGACGACCACCACCGATTCAAGTACTACAACTTTGAAAACGACGACGACGATCATGAAGATCGTTATTACAGACCGAAAACGCGAAAACACCGCTATCATTACAGAGATGATGACGACGAAGAAGACAAAGACAATCAACGGGGATCTAGTAAATATAGTAGCAAATCGTATCCCAGATCTCACAAGAACGTCAATGGAGGTAAAATGGCGGGCACTAGTGAAAAATTCGGATGGAGGGAAAACTACAGCACCAGTTCCGAATATAAAAGCCCGAAAGAATTTAAGAAAAGCAATAAAGCGAAACCGAAAGGCGAATATAGGGAAACGAAATATACGAAAAAGAGCGGGAAACCCAGAGGTGAGGCGATCGAAGGCAGACATTCCGAGCACATTCCGGTAACGCATAAACAAAAAGTTTACAAGGAAAGGTGGTACGTGACGAAAGACGTCGGAGGCAAAATGGAAAAGAGAGTTGAAAACAAATAGAGGGATATAGTTTTCGATGCGGCGACTGATACAAATTCGATTGTTGACTATACCTAGTGTAAAGCCATAAAAATATTCGCCAGTTAAGTTTTTTTGCGATTTTATTAGTATATTTTATAGTTTTGTAATAAATTTAATTTTACAATAGCTTCGATTTTGATTTTCCTGTGAAGTTGGCATTAGCAGTAACGTTTATCTATTTGTGCGACCTCGAGCTCACTCACTCAGAGTGAGTGAGTAGTAGTTGAAGAATATACCTTCACTCAATAATAATAAAAATACGCAATTATGCAATTATACAGTTTAAAATGTGCACTTCATTATATTATTGTCAAGATCACACACAACAAAGACCAGGAGAATGATGCGCAAAGTGGAAATGAAAAGAGTAAGATGGGTGTTAGGAAAATCATTATAAGAATGAGAACACATGAGAACAAAGCAGAATTCAAGACGTGACAAAATGGTTTAGAATAAGAAGAAAATAGATTGAAAATTTAGTCGCTTACTTACATGCGCCATTCGTCGAATTCGTAGTGAGCGAAAATTTTTATGATTGTTTACGAAGGTCTCATGCAATAGTTTTTTTTTATAGAGAAGATCCCTTTATGATATACAGATGGTACTCAAAATGTGACCTAGGACCAGTTTAGAAAAATTCACAGCATCTGTTTTTGGTACTCCGTTGCTGCCATGAATCATAATGGAGACTTTCACAGTCAGAAAAGCTTATCTTTGGATATATAATTCCCAAGCTCCTTCAGAATATTTATTACTCCACATAAAACATACAGCATATTATATTGTTCATTCTTTATTACCATTACCAAAAGACCAAATATAATATGCTTTATAAACCAAAAGTCGATCACTAAACCTACTCCCAAGAAGTGGTTTAAATTTCATTTCTTCAGTCATTCGAAATTTGTTACTCGATTTTTGATTTTCAGTCGATGGTGTAGTCATTCTTGAATATATGCGTCAGTATTGTCAGATTTTTTCATAAACAGGGTGTACTAAATAATAACAATAACTTGCAAAGAAAGTGATCACATTATACTTAAACTAAAAACTATATAAAGGAACTAAAAAAGTTTATGAAATTTGAAAACAAAAATGACTTTATTTAAAATTTTCAAGTTTTGTTGTTTCTTTTGTTGCTGTTTATATAAATTTTGAGTTTGAATTTTCCAGTCAAAACAATTCAGTAAAAATGACTAGGAAATACATATGTCCACTTTCTTTACAAGCTAATTACTTGTAGCAGTTTAGACGAGTTTATTTGTCACGAGTGGAGTGCAGCGAAGCGAGTGTTTACTAAACGAGTGACTTAAAAAGTTTGCCGAACGTGTACATTCACTGATGATCGAGAAAATTGACAAAAAACTCAAGTAGTAGTAAAGTTACGTTTCCCGCGCGCTAGATCGGTGTATAATTATAGAATTTTCCATTTCTAAGTTCTACGCTAAGAAAATGAAATTTATCGCTGCCGTACATGCACGCCCTGTATAACGAGAGCGGCCCTCTGACGAATAGACCGCACTATTGGGTGAAAATCCAATATAGGCAAATAAATTTCCAAGGTAGCCATAATTAGGCAATTTCTTGGGTTTCCCTTTTCATCTGCCGTTCCGTTGCCACAAACAATGAAATTATGCGTGCATATTAGATATACATATAATTTCGGTAAGTCAAAAACAGATACATTTTATCAAAATAAATAATAATAATAATAATAATATTAATAATAATATTAATAATAATAAATACATTTGTATGTCTCATTTTGTTAATCTCCATGGCTTCCAATAAATTTAATTTTCTACTTTTTGTGGCTGTATGTAAAATATCAAAATTGTCGTGAAAAATGTGTTTTTCTGTGTTTAAGTTTAATTAAAATCGCTTTTAAATGATCTTTTATGTTCGTTAATGCGTTTCTTGAAGTATCTACCTGTTTTTCCAATATAAATTTTAGGACAAGATCCGTATTTCAACCTGTAGACACCTGATTTTTGAGATTTTGGACATTTCGTTTTAATGTTTTTTAAAAATTTTCCTATTGTGTTGTTAGTTCTGAAAGCTATTTTTAAACCACATTTTGACAAATGTTTTGAAACTTTTTCACTAGGTTCTCCTATGTATTTAATTGTTTTAAATTGTTCGTGTTCTGTATTAGGTTTCGGATAAATAGAGTTTACTGTTGTCTGGATTTGTTTTTTTATTTATAATTTTATCTACAATGGACGGATTGTGCCGCAAATGTATTGCTTAACGATCAATTAGACTTAAATACTTCTCCTTTATTGAATTTAAATTCTCACAACAACTTTAATTTTAGTTTTTATGGTCATTTTTCGGTATATATAGTAGCATGTAGTTTGTAAATATTACATTTGATAGACACGGTGTTGTCGAAACAATTGTCATGTAAAAATATATAATTGCGTGAAAATCTGAACTTTTAGTTCCTATTTATTTTGGTAAATGGATTTTCATCAAGCAAAATCTACCTCAGTTAAATAGATAAATTTTATGGTCCATAACTCCCCGAATAAAAATATAACTTTGGTTTGTAATTTAAAAATAGTAAATATGTAACAAAAATTATTTACAGCATCGTATTCTAAGGAAAAATGTTATTTTACCTTTAATATCACACTGTCGCAAAGACCGTCAAGTTTTTATTTATAAAATAACGGATAAGTACCGCAAAAGTATCCAAAATGGGACACCCCGTACGTTTTGAAAAACGCAAAGACATCCTGCAAAATCGATATCATCTGAAGCTGTAAGCTTCCAGGACAACGGGCGCGGTCGGTGGCTGTAGACTCGCTCCTATTTTAATCTCATATCAGTCCGAAAAAGCTGATCTCGAATGCCTCGCCTTTGCCGTATTTAGTACGTAACCCACGCGATTGTTCAAAAATGTGGTGGCGGTTGGTTTTAATGTTTGTGGTGATGGAAACATCGGGCGGTCAAAGGGAGAGAGACTGGAATTCACCAAATCCTACTACTTTCAATATCGGAGGCGTTTTGAGCAGCAACGATAGCAAATTGCTGTTCAAAGAGACTATAGACGTGAGTTTATTTTTTTTAATTAATAAAAACGATTCTTCCTGTTAATGTTACTATTGTTTACTGCATACAATGTAAATATCAATTTTATAGGAGAATGAATGTGGAAAATATTACAGTAACATATAACAGAAAAAATTGGCCGGTAAGTGCAAAAAAAAGAAGAAACAACATAAAAGCACACATCTCAATCGGCTTACATTCACAATGATATAAAATTGGTTTAAAGAAAGAAAACGTAATAAATATGCGGAAGTGATAAACAAAACCAAATTTATCGTAAAGTAGGAACGAAGAAACATTATTATGTTATATTAATGTTTACTTGAATATTGTTATAGGCTGAAAAGTGTATAGTAATAAAATAGGAAATTGTAAATGTAATTCTAGTAAATAAACAAAAATATAACCAGTCCTCGCCAAGCTTTAATGAACATGTGCTAACCTTCCAGTCCGTACCATACTGAACAGTGACACGAGAGCCTGAATTCTGATGTTTTTAATGACTATTTTGGTGAACTGGTAATGAACCTTTATGTTGATTCAGTAGTAGTTATGGATAAGGCCGACTATCGCACCACCAAAAAAAATAAGTTTGAAGTTAATTTTATAAAGATGGAACTACATATAGCAAATTTACACAAAATCGTTTTAGAAAAATCAGCATATTTTAACTTCTCAAGTGAAACACCTTGTGTCCTGTTTACTATATTTTATTGATTGATTGATCTACATTGTTTATTTATTGTTTTTAACTAGGTTGGTTTAATCAGCACAACGACAAAATATTATAAAATAATGCATGACAAGAACAGCCCGCAAAATTGGCTAACTAGTGATATTTGCAAAAGGAAATATATGAACACATATGACTTAGGTTTCATAAATTTTCGTGACTTTTGAGTCTATAATTAAACCGTGTGTCTTTTTTTTACTGTGCGAGTTGTAATTACTAAGTTCTCATTTTTTTAAATATTACACCCCGTATATTATTAGTAGAACGCGCATTGGGAATTTGGGATTTTTTTTTTAAATAATGTAACACACTGAGTACTCCAACCCCGAAAAAAAAATGTTTATTTAATATAACAAACTATATCTCCATTGTAAACTTATACAAATACCGTTACGAATATGAAGAAAATCAACAAATCGTGTAATTTAAAATATTTCCTAAACCATGCGGAAATCAAATAGGCCGGTCTGTTGAAAGTTAATTTGTTTTTAACGTTAAATCCAAAAACCAATAAATAATAGTAATTATAAAGTTGATGTCGATAGTCAAATGGGGTACCCTGTTTAATCCAAAAATTCTGTTAAATACAAAAAAAAATTCTATTTAAAATTTCTTGCTAACTATTACAGATTTCGAGAAAAGTATATGGGTCACTTTATGTGAAACACTAATTATTATTATCTTAAACGTTTTTGGCATGCAATTTTCAGGATTGGTGATTGGATAAGAATAGGTAACACCCATAAATTGCTCCAGTCATTCTTTCGACATTCTCTTGAATGGTCAAATTTGGATAATTTTGTCTAAGGCAGTCATAGATAGGGTCCCATCCGGAAATTCGTCGATCTATCATGGAAAAACTATAAATAGTAAAAATTTGATCTAAAGTAATTTCAATATTGCTTTTTTGGATTCCTCGAAAAATTGCAGACAATATTTCTGATACATTTCATATCAAAAATGATGTGTTTTCTCATACGAAATCCTTTGAAATTTCACTCTATTTACTTACCGTGTTGAACAAATTTAGTTAGTAATTTCGACTATTAGCAATACAGAATGTTGGAAAAAATAACAGTGGAATTAAAATTGAAAAAATCTTGTAATAGGATGTGTGTTCCGAATATTCAAATTGCCGTTTGTTATTTTTACTTGTCTGCTCTTAACTTTCTGAGTGACGCGGCATAGGAAAATAAAAAACTGTCAAATATACTTCTATGTTGTTGTCAGTTGCTATCGCTATATAGGCTTGAATAATTGTTCGCACAAAAATTATTTCAATTTGGTTGTTATTTATACACACAAAGATTTCATTATCCGCCAAAACAGAAACCATCACCAAAATATCTTGACTTTCAAGAACTTTATTTTGAGCATTTACTGAAAACTTCGTTTTTTTTTTGCTAGTTTTAAAATTTCATTGTTATTTCTATAATTAGTATTTTTAATTTGCAGAGTTTTAAATTTTCTTCGCTTTCGCTTTAAGTAGATCTAAAGTTTGTGAGATTTTTTATAATTTTATTAACTCCATATAGTGATCACAATATTATGTTCTGACTAAAATTTACAAATATTTTTGACACTTTTTTGTGTTAATTTTTAATTCTAAATAAGATGGGATTATGAAAATAGGTAGTTTTCATCGAAAAAAAAAATTCGCCAGTTTCTTTCAATTACATTTTAACTGCTATTATTTTTAACATCCTGTACTATTAATCATCGAAATTACTAAATAAATTTTTTCAGACAAACCATTTTCTACAAGCTAAGTTAAGTAATATTTGAAGGGATTTCGTAGGGGAAAAATATACAGAAATTGTTCGGTCTGTAAATGTCATATAATAATATATGTTGTGTTTCATTTAAAATAAGAAACTCGACACCAACTTCCGTTAAATCATCTTGAAAATATTTCAGTTGGATGGCCCCCACGAATATTAGTTTTATTCTTACTGTTCACACTGTGGATTAATACCACATACTAAAATTCAAATACCTCATTAGGATTTACCTATGTTCATTATCTACCTGAATTGTTACTCAATTGATATGTTTATATAGGTTGATTTTCTACCTGCGCCTATAGAAAACTATTAAATTTTTTAATATTTAATGTATTAATTTATTATTTAATATATAATTCTTGTTAAAATTTAAATAAAAAGCACTAATAGATTTAGTTTTGTTTCTTATTTCCTCAAAATTTTGCATAAATAACACAACAAAACCATGCTTGGTTTAGTACTAACAACAAGATATAAATTGCAATTGAAATTTATTATTTTAGCACCTTAACTTCGATTCAACGTTTGTCCCGAAAGGAGTGACGTACTACAACACGGCAATTTTGATGGATCCAAATCCCATTAGGACTGCTTTGAACGTCTGCAAATATCTGATAGCTAGGCAGGTTCGTAAACATCGTTATTCGCACATGCCATTCCATCGCTCGACGATTTATTCATTGGGCACTTGTTTGTCGCTTATTCAACTTTTTCTTACTGTACAGTGTGTCTCATGTTTTACGGTTTTACGGCGGCGTATCCCCTCATTAATATTAAAGCTATCGTGTTGCTGCTTTCGTAACCCAGGCTATTTTTTTATGAAATGGAAAGAAGCACAAATAGAAATGTCATGGTTCTCTTGGATTTTGAGATACAGCCGGATATTGTGCATTTTTAGACATCTTTTATAGCTCGGTTATGTACAAACTTATCGAAATCGGATTGTATTTTACCTAGGATGCACTGGCGTGGTCAGTTTTCTTGTGAAGCTCACAAGTATTAATGTATAAACTAACCTTGTTTTTTATAATGGAACACACTGGTTGATGTGGTTGATATATGGGTGATGTTACACAAAAGGAAAAGATTAGAATAATTATCTTACATCTTATCTGTAGTTATATATCTTCACAAAATAAAAAAGTAATTAAAAAAAAATGTTGACCCTAAATCTAAACACCTCCAAGCTCTTAGTTGATTCCGCACACTCTACAGTCACTTAATTAATTGCTAAATTTCGACTGAATTAAATCATAGTACGTTTCTCCTCCGGGCAAATACACAGTACTGCCATCTTAGCTGCATTTAATCTTAAACCGTGATTACCCGATTATTCGATAACTTTAGCAAGGTCAGAATTTACTAAGGTAATAGCGTGTAAAATGAATGGAAATGAAAACTACATTTGAAAATCGTCGGCGTACAAATAGAATAACCAACATTTCAAAATATTCTGGGCATATTTATTACTGAATAAATATATAGGAAAGAATCGACCCCAAGATAGTGTAGAACTAACGAACTTTTTTCTTTAAAGGAAAAAAAAACATCACTGATGGAAGTGTTCTGGAGTATATGTTTCAATTAATTGCCCATTCACTTTCGTGAATATTAGTCACATCGGTAGGTTTTAGTTTTGCTAATAGTAGATCAAAATGCACTAGATTAAAAGCGTTGCTTGGGTCAGACTTTTAATACAGCATTGCTTTAAAAATGACATTACCAAGGCTGTGTGGGCACGCGAGCCTGACTGTGTAATAGGTAAAATATTTTTGGTTTATTGTTGATGATACATAAAATGCCAGAAATAGATCAGTTTTCACCTTTTTCATAAGAACGCATAAGCGTGTCTATAAAGTTCTAAAAATCCAAAATACTCAGGACATTTCCGGTTGTGCGACCAACGGTAAAAATTGGCACAATTAAATTAGAACAATGTTCAGATTTTCACAGTTATTTAATGATTTATGACAGCTGTTTCGGCAACAGCGTGCCTTTACCAAATGATCTAAACATTTTTTGTTCTAATTTAATTGTGTTAAATGGATTTTCATCAATTAAAAGCCACTTCAGTCCAATTGGTAAACATTGGTGCGCCTCAGGCGGCATTGATATATTCTAACCTACACCTTGCGCTCTTTTCTTTCTACACGGCAATTTCCACACTTAACGAGATCTAGGTAGAATTTAAGAAGATACTGCCTTAAACACGAAGCATTCAAACCTATTGACGATCTGTCAGCGGCCATTTTGGGTGGTTAAATTCCACATCGTTGCTTCATAAGTTCCTGTATTATCAGCATAGGCAGGGCCTCTATATCTCCAGCAGCTATATTGTTTTATTTACACAGCTAGTAGATAATATAGTGGCTTTACTATGGTAAAAATTGATGCGGGTCCATTATATTTTCGTCATCTTCCGCACATGTCTCTACTTTTCAGGGCCCCTTATTCACGATCTCTCAGCAAACATGTTGATTGTTGTATGCCGCAAGATCATTGGTTAAAAAAACGAGACATTTAGTATTGCGCGTACGCATGTTGGACGGCCCTTCTAAAAATATGTTTCATAGTTGCTTCATAAGATCCTTTATTATCAGCATTGGTCAGGATTTTTATATCTCTAAATTCTACATGGTTTTCGTACATTTATTATTACATTATTATACAGATCCCTGTTCTGGGAAAACAAGTTTAGTACTCAGAAATAGTTGTTTAGAAAGAATTTTTTATGGTCTACGGAATTTTTTATTGTCTAATTGTTTCATGGTATAATATAATGATGCATAGTTTTTTTACCTATAAACGGTTTCAATTCAAAATAACCCTGAATAACTAATAACGGTATGCATTATCTTAATTTGGAGTAGACAAATTTAATTTCGAATACTTCAGAAGAGAGCATACATATGTTTCTGTAGAAAAATAAAAATATTTTGCAATTTTTGTATTTTAACTTGTTCGACATAATTAAAGTAAATGGGATATGAAATGAAAACCAGGTACCCCGTATACTTATCAGCTAATTTCTATTGTTTAGCAATAAAACGCAAAATCAATTTGAGTTCAAGCTCATCGAGCAGGCCTAACTTGAAGCGGCTTTTCTCCTAATTGCAATATCAATCGAATTACGGTTCCGCCCATTTCTTAATTTAAAAACGCCACAAAAGGATGCGGCGAATTTTGTCAAGCTCGTTGATTTTTAGGTGTACGCGGTTGTGGTTTCACATCCATTAAGCGGAGACCTTTCACCAGCTGCGGTCTCTTATACCAGCGGTTTCTATCACATTCCCGTAATTGGAATTTCGTCTAGAGATTCCGCTTTCTCGGATAAGGTAAGAACATCAACATCGGCACCTAAAAACTGCTATACTTAAATTCAATTTTTTCAAAATTAATTATGACATCATCAGGCATAAGTAGTGTTGGAAGTGGACAATTGACAACTTCTTAATTGATCGGTCAATTTACCACTTCTTTGACTAATCAAAAAATGTTTTAGATAATATCTTGCAATTTTAGAGTCTTATTCAATAATAATATGTATTTTTTAATAAATTATTATGCGCGTGTGATGTCCAATTTACCTATAACACACTTCAAGGAATATCCGAATACGATACTTAGCGATTCGGGGAATCTCAATAATAATATCGACTTCATTTGATTCTCAGAACGATGCGATGGCGACGTAACACACAATATAAATAAATAAATATAAATTTCATGGTATTTCTAAAATTATTCGGTGAGTTGGCCGGTCAATTCACTGGTCAATTGACCGGTCACACTCTAGTCTCTTCCTAGTCTAAAATTTTTCAACAAATGGGCGAAGGTAGGCAGTAACTTCTTGGTGGGGAGAAAAAATGGAACCGGATTATCTAGAGACGCAGAAAATTACATCAATCTGTATTCGTCTATCTACGATCCTGATATTACAAAAAAAAAGATTCTCTTTAGTTATATTATCTATTTTAAATTAAATGATAATAAGAGTTTATTTCGTCTAAGGTTTTGGTTAGTCAGTAACAATAGCTATATGCAAGGCTAGTTTAGCCCTCAAACTAAGCTCTATTAATTTTGACCATGCTAAAATACACAAAAGTTTTATCACTATATAAAGGATGGAAAAAAGAAAAGGATTTTCTGGAACGATATCAATTTAAACAGTTTATAATAATATTTTAAAAAACTAATACAATATTATATTCATAGAAATTAAAGAAAAAAAAAACTGTGCTCTTGTTTGAAGGAGATATGTATTAAGAGTGTGCACATTTGCACGATATTTAATTTTATTTGTTATTTGTTGTTTATAGTAGATCGACCGAAACAACGCTGCTGACTGAAGTTGTGCGCATCTCCATATTCATTACCTTGTCAAACGAAAAAACAATTTCTTTTCTGGCAAAACTAAACCATATTCAGCATTTCTAACATTCAAGAAAAATCAATACCTTCACACCACCTACCCACAAACCAATCAATATCTTTAATTGTTAGGTTATGTTTTATTTTTTGTATTATAATTTAATTACTTGTTCTAACAACTTATTGGTTTTTTATAGTCACCTAATAAGAATTGAATCTTCATTTAACAATTTTTCACACGGGCTGTGTAACAGCTTTATAAATTTATCTTTTCTTTGTAAATAATGAATGCTTTGATTTTTTGTTTCTAAAGGCAGCTGCTCCCTGTATCATAGAAACAAGACAACCTCGACCCATAGTCTATATAGTGGATTTCGTTCCAATAGGCCGGATTATTTGATGCATTATGTCTGAAACATTTTGTGTATAAAATGTGAACTTTTCCATTTACGTAAATGAGCAAAACAAAGACAATTATCCTTATAACCCCTGTCATTTTCTTTTGAAAAATTGCCTCACTTTTCTATCACGCTGTTTATGAGTTCGCTGAAATTATCTAACAGACTATAAATTGTAGCGATTTTTGATATAGGTATGCGGAAACATTAGACCTAATAATTATATGGAGAACCGCAACGGAGGCTAATTACGATTTATATTGCAGAATATCCACGTCTCCTTTCTAAGAACGGTACCTCCGTACTCTCACCAAGCGGACGTCTGGGTCGAGATGTTGAAACATTTCAATTACAAAAAAGTGATTTTTATTCACAGCTCCGACACAGATGGTCGTGCCCTTCTTGGTCGATTTCAGACGACCTCGCAAAGTTTGGAGGATGATATCGAAATCAAAGTTCAGGTAGGTGATCAAATAATGCGAAAGTTACGGGACAGCGGCGTTACCACAGCTAGTTTATTAGAATAATAAATATACATGATTATAATTACAGAAATGGACAGAAAATTGAGATTCTAATTATTCCAATTTTTTCTAGCATGTTATCAGCTTCCCACATTCTTCTTTTCCATTTTTCCAAATCCACTGTGTTCATTCTCCCTTACAAAAAAGTTTCAGCGTCCCTTATTTTAAAAGTGGTTTTTCTATTCTTTCTTTATTTAAACTGATTTTTTTGCTTTCCATTCCTTCAAAATTTACAACAAATTCTTCTTATCCACGGATAGGATGAAACCTTTAGGTGGTCTTCCATTAAATTAAATTTAAAATTAATTAAAATTAACAAAGTTCCAGTCACAAATTATAGATTCAATATTTAAATAGGGTGTTTCATAAGACGATGATCCTTAAGGGTGTGATTGCTTAGATGATAAAAAAATATATCAACGTAGATATCTTTGGTATGCAGATTCATTAAATGAAATTATATTTAAAAAGCGGTTTTCCTCATTTTCAGGGATACCGCTTTAGAAATTTTGTGGATTCCTTGGTGGAGGCCTAGAATAATAAATTACGATTATTTAACTTTCAATTTAATTATAATATTAAAAAAGATTTTTATTGAGATCATTTCTAGTACGAAATGCACCTCGATTTGAAAAAACAAAACAGTGGCGTACGATTTTTTTCGATAAAAATATTCAGTGTCATGCTTATTAAGGGTTAATTCAAGCACTTAGTTTGTCGTTTATAAGGCCTGGCAAAAAGCATTTTGTTTCCTTAAAAAAGTAATGAAAATCGCATGGAAAATTAAAGAAATTATATTTATCCAAAATTATAGATTGGAGCATTAATTTTTTTTGGAAGAATACCCAGTTAATAACAATTTCTCGCGACCGTTCGGACAATAATTGAACGTTTTAGGTGGAATCAGTTTACGAGTTCGAAACGGGACTAGACAGTTTTAGGGACACGTTGATTGAAATTAAAAATGCCCAGGCAAGGGTATACCTGATGTACGCGAGGTATTGATCCCGTTACGTATGGCGAGTTGTATCGAGAAACAGTGTTTTTGTAGCAAAAACGATGCTAAAGTGATATTTCGAGACGCTGCAGCATTGAATATGACTGACGCTGGTTACGCTTGGATCGTCACTGAACAAGCATTGGAAGCTGAGAACGTCCCAGAAGGGATTTTGGGACTGAAACTTGTTAATGCGACCAACGAAAGAGCACATATTAGGGACAGTATGTAAGTCAGTTTAGATTTTAGCCGATTAAATAGTTAATGTTAAGTTTTTTAATGGGACACCTATCGGGGGACTGATTTAAGTTAAAATTTGAATTTTATGATGCCCATTCAACACTCGACAAGCTCATTTTAGTTAATCACTTACAGAGTTATTTTTGAAAAACGCCTGAATCTCGATCTATTATTTCAAAAACTGTTAATTTTTGAAACATGGAATCTGAGGTTTCGTCAAGCTCCCCAAATTATTTTTTTGACACGAAGATGGAACATATTCCTTTTAGTACAGATTTGATTTTTTAAACATTTAGTGCGTCAGCCTGGTATTGGTCTCTTACTGGATGCTAATTTGCACTTTACCGAACACATAAAAGTTCTTACCTAAAGAGCGTTTTTTGAGTCAAAAAATGAAGGTTGAAACCCAATTAAAAAGTACATAATTAAATTTCAATGGTAATAAACATTTTATATCGAACTACTTTTGCGATATTTTCTATATCACTCACCAAAACTTCCTTTTCTTACTATAGAAAAATAAATTTAAGCTAAAGTCTGATATCCGTAATTGACAAGAAATAGAAATTAAAAATTAAAATTTTTAATATCTAAGCACAGAAAGCTAGGTAGAAAAAATGTAACTATAAGAGCATTCAGCTTTACAATTCGAAATCACAATTTCGAAAAAGTCCCCCCAGTCCTAAGGCAGGCAGTAAGTACCATTTTAAAAAGTTTACGTATTCCTTGACGCAATTAGTTATAATTTAACTACATTTATTTATTTTGAAGGGTTAAGATTGAATTAAAGCATCATGGTATAGTTGGTGCTGCATATAGCTTTTTTGTACATTTATTTCTTGTTTGTTATAAATAATGTCGATTATTATTATTATATGAGATGCACTGCACAATATTTTTTAAATGGTTAAATAATATAATAATAATAATAATAATATATTTATTGTTCCACCAAAATACTTAATTTTATTCGATACAATAAAATATATGTAAGACCCTATATGTTTTTGCATTAGCCTAGTATTCAACATCCAACATTAAAAAAAAATACAGGTAAGTGAACAATTTAACACAATTGTTAAAATCCCTACAAAAATTATTCGATATAAAACGATATTAAACATATAAAATATTTTCTTAAAATATGAAATGTTGTAGTGCTTCTAATATGTTCTTCGCACATTTTGAATGTGACTCTATAGAAGAAGATCCAAAGGTTTGAGATCAGGTGACCTAGGTGGCCAGTTCCGTGGGCCTCGACGATTAACCCGAACATATTTTATTCGTCACAACGCGATTGGTGCAATGAATTCTGTTTACACGAAACTCGTACTCATATGCCAAATTTAATGGTAAATTATCTAAAAACTCCGCCACTACAGTTTGCAAGATTTTCATACAAATTTTATTTTTATAAATGTGATACACATTGGTTATCAATAATCGGTTGATCAATAGTGTTTATTCCGCCTAATAAAAAGGACCGTCTCTGGTAAATTTGTATTCGTCTTCTTGCAATCACCCTAGGAATATTTCACATAATTCTACTCTTTGTTGAAAATCAGTAGGCTTGGCGGGTTCTCATTTTGAAATGATTCTTTGTATGGATGAATAGTTTACTCCTACATATTGGGTTGTTCGGAAAGTCATTTCGTTTTTTTTGGGGAACATGAAAGACAGTTTTCGTATAATGAATAAATATTTTATTAAATTATATATTGGCCATTCTGGTCCAACACCTTTTGCCATCTTTCTGGCAGTAGCATAATTCCCCTCTCATAAAAGTTTTGGTCCTTACTGGCAAAAAACTGGTTCAGGTGGTTCTTGACATCTTCATTTGAGGTAAAGGTTTTGCCATCCAAAAAATTTTGCAGGGGCCGGAACAAATAGTAGTCGGAAGGCGCCAGATCTGGAGAATATGGTGGATGTTGCAGTACGTCCCATTCAAGCTGTAAAAGTTTTTGGCGAGTGACCAAACTTGTGTGAGGTCTCGCATTATCCTGGTGGAACACTACACCCTTCCTGTTGATTAATTCGGGCCTCTTCTCTTTAAGTGAATCATTCAGTTTGTCCAGTTGATGACAATAGACTTCTGAACTAATCGTTGTATTGGCCGGCAAAAGCTCAAAAAAAATGATTCCTTTGACATCCCACCAAACGGAGAGCATCACCTTTTTTTGGTGAATGTTGACTTTTGACACGCTTTGAGCCGGTTCATCTTTTCTGCTCCATGACTTCTTGCGTTTAACATTGTTGTATACAACCCATTTTTCGTCCCCAGTAATAATCCGCTTCAAAAATGGATCATTTTCTTGACGTTTGAGGAGCGAATCACACACGTCAACGCGACGACACAAATTTCGCTCCGTAAGGACATGGAGCACCCACACATCGAGTTTCGAGGTTAAGCCCATGCCTTTCAAATGGCCATAAACAGTCGAATTCGACAAATTTAATCTCTCACCGATCTCTCGTGTGGTTATTCGCCGATTTGCATCAACTAATGCCTTTATCGCATCTTTGTCAGCTTCGACCGGCCTTCCAGACCGTGGTGCATCTTCGACATCAAAATTGCCGGATCGAAATTTTGCAAACCAGTTCTGGCACTGGCGTACTGTTAACACGCCTTCTCCATACACATCCGTTAATTTTTTTCTCGCTTGGACAGCATTTTTACCTTTTCTGAAGTAAAAAAGTAAAATATGACGAAAATGCTGCTTATTGCTCTCCATATTTAAAAGGGCACCAACCAAAAACTACTGCGTAGAATTAATAGAACTTTTTCACACACAAGCCTTGCAATATCAGCTCTCAAGACATATAATGGTTATGCGGCTTAAGTGTGAAGTTGGTTTCGAAAAAACGTAATTAAGTCCTCTGACGGGAAAAAACGAAATGACTTTCCGAACAACCTTATAATTCTTTGAACTGTTTATTTAATTTCGATAATTTTTGTATCTTCAACTCCAGTGACAGGTTTAACACGCGTTTGAAGTCAAAGTAAGACGTACACAACCAATGTCTATTAAACATTTTGATTGGCTGGGAAAAGGAGTTGTGCAATTCCTTCTTCATGCGCCACATATAAATCTTAAACAAACCTTTTGAAAACGATATCGATCTGAAGAGTCGGATATCAGTAACACTGCCTTGGTGGTATAAATCTTGTGACTTTATCATGCGTTACCTAAGTTACCACCCAAAGGATTGTACATTTAGTATTTTCATTCCACAGATACGTGTTAGCTTCCGCTTTGAGAGACATGAACCAAACGAAGGAAATAACGGAAGCCCCAAAAGACTGCGACAATTCGGGATCGATTTGGGAAACCGGACGAGACCTTTTTAATTTTATTAGAAAACAGGTGCTGATAAATGGCGAAACTGGAAAAGTGGCATTCGACGACCAGGGGGATAGAATAAATGCCGAATACAATATCGTTAACATACAAAGGAAAAAGAAAAAAAATGTCGTTGGAAAATATTTCTTTCACAAGGTGAGATTTTGTGATAGATATAATTTATCACTCAACGAAAACAAAATTTCTGCCACGCTTTCGATTCGTGTTATTTAAAATACATAGTGTAGCTTGATTTAAAGCAAAAACCTTTTCTCCATCGAGCATCGTTGAGGATGAAATTTGATCAAATATTAGTAACAATTAATAGTCTTTACGAATTGAAAACATCTATCGATATATTTCTAAAAGCCATATAATTCCTAATTTAAAAATTGAATTAGAAGAAACATTTAATTATAAAAAATATTTATTAACAATTCATATGACAATGAGGGAGTAATAAGTACAAATGAAATTTAAAAGTGTCAGCAATAAATACAAAGTACGGAACTTGTACGGTCTGTCGCATTTTTGATATCTTTCGGACATACATCGCTTAATAATAAAACTAAAAAGGTGAAAAGGGGCCTCAATGGGCTAATGCTAAAGCTGATAAATTTTGATTTACAAACTAAAGTTGTTTTTTTAAATGGATCACCCAACGTTTGTTTGAATAATTTTTTTAGGCTTTTCAAAAATATGTATTATATATACTAGCTATTAAAAATAACAATACGCAATATACACTATAATATACAATAACGCAATTTATTACAAATAGTTACTTACTTACAAAATAAACTTGTGTGTTTGTGCCATATTAAAGGCGCATATTTTGGAAGCAGGAGGCAGAAATTTAAATAATAATTATGGAATTTCTTGACCGTTTGATAGCCTTTTCCATAGCTCACCCATAAAAAGAATTTAATCAAAGATAATAAATGAAATAAATATTTTGAAAAGCTCATAACCAGCTTAATGACATTATTATCAATATACACACTAACAAAAAAGCAAAAATTTAGTTTGTATAACAAAATTTGTGAGTTTTAGAAGAAAACCGACTACGCCACCTGGATCCTGGGTAAAAAATTCTATCTAGAACAGATTTGACTTTTTCGATAAGATAACGAATCACCGAAAAGCTCAAGATTACAGCCTTGTCTGACGAAAGGCGCTAGCCTGAATAATAACGGAGATACTAGTGAATCCATTCAAAACGAGACACACTGTACAGTTGTGTGTGACACAAAGCTAATCAATGGAGTGATGTTTATTTAATCAGAGCGAAAAGACAAATTTCTACAAATATGACCGCCTTCGTGCGTTCTCTAGCTTTACTCTTTAGTTTGATAATAGTATATGGCAACAAAAATATTAAAAAAAAATAGTTTTTAGCTAATTTATTCAATATGCTATATATTTGATTTTACTTGTTCCAAATTACGTTTTACGTTAACGTTATCGCAACTTTAGGAATAAATGATTCTCATATTTCGGTAGGATTGTTGAGCGATTTGTAAAATTCTTTAGAAACGAATAACACTTGCGTTTTAGGAAAGCAATAAAATGCATCTTACCGTCGACGAAAAGAGCATAATTTGGCCGGGACGACAGCTAGTCAAACCCGAAGGTTTTATGATTCCAACCCATCTAAAAGTTCTCACCATAGAAGAAAAACCGTTCGTTTACGTTAGAAAAATTGAAGGACCTGGAACGTGCACAGAAGATGAAATACCGTGTCCCCATTTTAATGAAACTCACGACAGTAAGACATTATTTAGTAAATACAATAGCAATATAGCAATTGACTGAAAAATGGCTTTCCTCTAAAATTTATAGATTTTTTCTTTTTGACTTTTTTCATTATTTTTTTGACTGTTTACTAAATTAGGTTACTTTGGTGAGGTATAGTGACCTACATTTGTTAATAGGACACAAGTACAAGTACCCGGTGGCCAATAAAGAAAGGTACACGGCCCTATCTCGAAAAGTAATTGTCGTAAAGACTTGGGGTGAGAAAACTTATAACTTTATCGTAAAATAGTTTTTGCTTGACCTCTTTTTTACCAATTCACTTTTATTGCAACAAAAGCAAATGAAGTTAGACGTGCGCGCCGAATTTCAAACAAATACAATGCCACAATGCCTCATATAACTGAAACCCACAAGATTGACATTTTAATGATGGGGCTCTACCATCAGACAAATTTACAGGTATAAAAAATTGAGATAGCTTATACAGAAGCAAGGCCAAGTTAATAAGGAATTGCTTTATTTGGCAAACACAGACAAAAACAAATAACACGTTCAATCTTCAAGGCATGTGAAACAATTAACACACTTAAAAAAACTGTCATTGGACTTTCTTACCGTACATTCGGTTAATAAAGCACACAAAAAAATTGGGGCTAAAGGCTAAAAGAGTTAGTTATTTTTTATATAAACAGTTATAAATCCTAAAATGCAAAGTTTGCATAAAACATATTTTATCGAACTAAATAAATCAACTAAATAAAAGCATTTTTATAACAATAACGCAAATTGAACTCTTTGAAAGAAAACAAACTCAATCTAATCAAAACGTAGGCAGATATAGTCGTCGTGCTTGTCGTCTTTTGTGAAATAAATACATACTTCGTGGCACCAAGTGCCACAAGACACACAGCTTTGCATATCTAATAGTTCTGATTTGTTACACACAAAGCAATACCAAGACTCGTTTTCTTGGACATCATTTTTCGTGCGCTTTCTTAACGACACCCTCGATGATGATGACGCTATTAATTGTTTTTCATTTTTTTTGGATATTGTAGGTCTGGATTTAGAATTTGAAAAAAAGGGTCTTTGGTTACCAGCTGTGCCTTGTAATTTTGGGATTTTCTTTCTAAACTCTTATTTTCTTTCAATTTGTATAGTTGCGGTGTAGGAAGTTCTTTAAAAAAATTATTAAGATCTTCACTTTCTTCTTGTGTCTGTGTCTTATCAGTCTTGACAGGTGTTTCATCGTTTTGGATTTTATTGGAGACTTTTTCTTTGATATTTTTTAACATACCAAGTGGAATGTCATATTAATATCAATAATATTATCGTTACATTTTTGGACTCAGTATCGTTGTTAACATTATTAGCATTGACCTTGTTTCCATCATATTCCTCAACATAAGGACGTTCAGTTGCTATTGATGTAGCAAAAGCTGATTGAGGAATTACGGTAGGATCAAGTGGATACAAGCCTGTCTCTCGAAAACCGCTTAACATGTTCTCTGGGGTCGTGCATCTGGCCCAAACTTTAGACAGAATTTTTTCAAAACGAGATTTGTTCATACGATGATCTGGAGATGCCTCCCAAAACTTGGAAACTTCTTGCTCCCAATGATGTTCAAAGGACCTTTAAACCGCTGTCTAAAGGCTGCAGTTCATGCGTGGTATTAGATAAACAAGCAGAACAGCCTTATATTCAACTCGTTTGCAACCTCGGTTATGGAAATATCCAGGTGACTAGCACCTCTATCAAAAACTAGCAAGACAGTGTCTGGACCCTTGTAACGTTATATATTTCGGCCATTTTAATTAGAGCACCTGGTAGTAGGTTTTCTTCAGATTCAGGCTTTAATGGCTTTCCCTTAAATATGACCAAAGGTGGAATACTATTTCCCAAGGCATTAGAGCATTCAGCAATGGTCACATTATCTTCGTGCTCAGATACAACTAAGTGAACACGTCTAGCACCTTTTTGCCCAATAACAGGCTGTTGATGGTGATTCGGCACCCTTTTTTGTCCATATTGAAAACGTTTTGTGGATTTTGGTGCAAATTCATTTCATTAAAAACGTTAGCTAATTTATTAAAGTGATCACCCACAATAAATTTATTTAATTTTTGAGCACTGGCCGGGTTCATTTGTTGCGCCTTGGGCCTAGACAAATTAGGATTACTTTTCAAAAACCCCTAGAGCCAATCCTTACCAGCGACTCCGTAAGAAGCACCAAATAGGTGCCTGTTATTATTTTCAATGCAGAATTGATATGCAGAGCGACATACTAAAAATGGTGTTACCGGCATACCGATTTCACAGAGACGAATTTTTCTTTCAGAAAATTGATTTTCTTGATCGGCAGTTAATACACGTCCTATTTTTTTATTTAGAACGTCAGATCATAGGTGGTTTCTAAGAGTTCTCTTGGGTATTCCATATCTTTGAGCAGCTTATCTTTTGGGACAATTCATTATCTATAACCGCGCTAATGGCAGCTTGAAGATGTTCTGTAGTCCAATTCACTCGAAGAAAGAATATTTTACAGTGTCGTCTAATAAGGCCCACTAATCACTAATCTAGCAATCTAAAAATCACTGGGCCTTATTAACCGAAACTCTTCTTAACCATAAAATAACTCAGGGTACTATTTAGGGAAATATATTATTTTTCTAAAAAAGAAAATATTCACGTTCAAATCGAGGAGAATTTTAATAACATGTTAATACCGGGCGTCGTTCGGACTATCACTGACTTTTTTACAGCGTTATTTCTTTGGGATGTGAAATTCAGATAAGTTAGTAGAAACAACATAATGTTGTCGGATTTTAGATTTAGGTTTCGAGTTTTGACTGGTGGGCCTTATTAGCCGCCAGACCTTGTTTGCCGCAGGTAGTTTATTTATTATTAAAATATATTTTATTATTATTGAATATATAGTTTTAAAATATTATTTAAAATAATCTATTTACAATACAATATTAATTGCAAATTTGGATCATCATATTTAGAGTAGTCAGATGGAGTCCAGAGAAATAATAAGGGGGGCTCTGTAGTGTGTTCTAGCATTTTGACAGTTTCTTACATTCTTTTTTTCTATCAATCACATGTTGGACTCCCCACTGTTTCACGGTAGCTTCTTTCTTAGTATATATTTCTGACTGCTTCTTATTTAAAGTGAATCAATAAATAAAGTTTTTTTTTTCCTAGAAGACGTAAGATTTTTTTCGTAATTGTCTTGAGACCCAGGAGCATATAGCTATTAGGTAATATAATAGCCCTACTACGGTAAAAGCTGATGCGGCATTGATATTTTCATAGAGAAGGATGATTTTCCGCGCATGCCTATACTGCACTTTGCGCCAGCAATTTTCACACACTTAGCTCGTTTTTTCGCAAGGTCTTTTAATGAAAAACGTTTAAATCTCGCTCATGCGCATGTTGAACGGACCTTCTCAAATTCTTTTTTCATAGTTGGTTATCGGCATACGCGGGATCTCCATATCTCTGGTAAAAATATGCCGAGAAGGAATAAGATCTAACATTTGGTAGAGGTCTTCAAAGACATTATTTTTTATTGAAATGCTAGTAAGCTACCATCGACAAATCAATTGTTGCTAGTAATTATTTACCCTTTACATTTTCAGAGGCTTCATGAAAGCTTGCGTGGCGACTTTTAAATTTTTCTATCCTGTCATGTTTTACCATATCCCAAGTTTTGTTTGTCGAGATAATAGATTTTCCCTTCGAAACTGTCTGTCTGCTCTCAAATATAGTTGTTGCCAGCAGCAAAACAATCTCTTCTTACCGATGGGTGAAATGAAATCATTCTTTCTCATTTCAAACAATTATTTTGTCCATGGGAGGTCTTTTTGTAAGTAAAACGGGTGTGTTATTCTTCTGATTGCACTCTTTTCTTCGTCATTTATTTCATTTGCCCCGTTTATCCTCATCCATAACCCGGTGTATTGTTGACTGTCCAACTCCAGTCATATTCGAAACTATTTTTGCTACTCCGATGTTGGGTTTTAGTGGCGCAGAGAGAGTTTTGAATACATTGAGAATAATAATTTTCTCAGTTTCGGAAAGCGCAATTTTGATAATTCGTTTCTCATCAACAAATTCAGAAAATAAGTTATTTCTAAGAACGAACTTTACTAACAACTGTCGGAAAGTAACTATAATTCTAACTTTAAACACCAGGGCCAGAACATGTTCTTCTACTCGTTCTTCTTCTCTTCACCCTGTAGGTAGAGTTCTCCAAACGATATACCGTTGTTACAATATTTCTAAATGTGTTTCTGTTTCTGAAATCAACATCTAGGGAAAGTAGAGCCATACAATAAATATTTGAGATGACTACAGTACGTGACATAGTTGTGAACGGTGTCCAAAAAAGAAAAACTCGAAAAGATTGTGGGGTCTCAAAAAGTATGCTTGACATGCACCATGCAGGAATAGTGAGACGGTTGATATTTGATGCGTATCAGAAGAATATTGTTTTAACAATTAAAACATTATATGAAGAGTTGCGTAGTGTTTTGAACATTGACTGTTGCCAAGAGACGTTGCGTGCGTTCGCACGAAGAATTAGTTTTTGTTACAAACCATCAATAAGAGACAAGTTTTGATATCCAAGAAATTCGTGCTAAAAAAGTCGCCATCATATATTTAATGAGACATGGTTTGATGTTCACGATAAAGTCAAGAAAGGATGGACTGATGGTAACAGCAAGAATAGTACATGCGGACTGTCAAGCTGGTTGGTTAGATAACGCTTTGCAAAAGATGTCAAAGAAGCAAAGGTTGACTACCACGAAAACATGACAGCAGAAATCTTTGAAAAATGGCATTCTGAAAAATTGCTTCCCAATACCAAAAAACAGTGTTGTCGTGATGCACAGCGCCAGCTACCATTCCGCATAAGCGGAAAAAATACCGAATTTATCATCGACTAAAGAAGTCATTAAAAATTGTTTGCTTGAAACGTTTGACAAGAAATATGTGAACAAGTTGGCGATGGAGCGAGGATTCAAAGTTGTCCGTCTTCCACCATATCACTGCAACTTTAATCCGATGGAACTGATATGGGGACAGCTGAAACCCAGTTTAACAAGAAACAACACCTCGCCGAAATTTAGTTCTGGGGCAATAGAATTAATTAGAAGTGAAGTGGAAAAAACATCTGCTTCTAGCTGAAAAAAATGTGTAGAACATGCCATTGAAGAAGAAAATGTTTACAGAAGTCGACTAGAATTAATTATTAATGTGGGGGACGAGTTTTGATATTGTATAGCTTTAAAAAAAAATTCTAGCACTGTCTTATAGCTAAGTTTACTCCTTCATTTATATTTATAATAAACATTTTAACGTAAGAATGGATTTTTCACTGCATGGACTAATAATAATCGAGGAATCTCTCCGATGAAACTCTACACAAATCCGTCAGCTTTCAGAATTTGCATGCACGAAGTACCAAAGTAGGGTTCTGGAAAGTCATTGTGGAATTGCGAATCTATTTATTGAGGGTTACAAAGAGAAACCCAAGCGACGTAGGCCTGCGGTTAGACCTTCATAAAAATTTAAAAACTAATCATCAAAAAACTATAATCATTTTAAGAAACAGAACATAAAAAGAAATGTTACAAATAAACACATCCTGTTTTCTGATGAGGAAGAATTATATAATGTTTGTGTGATCTTTGACTTGCCGAGTGTAATAAAATTTAAAGACACTCTCACCTTATGTATAACTTGCAAAGTCAAAATCGATCAGAAAGCTTTTTTTAAGAAGGTAGAGTTATCGGTGGAAAGTCACATACATTTTTGGAACTAAAAAATCATAAGCCGTTCAATTTATAGTTTTATATTTTTTTACTATTGTCTGACATAGACTGACTGATGTTATAAAGGGACTTAGTTAATGTTGAGTTTTTTAGTTACCGCAAAATACTGCTGCAAGGGTTACTGTATGGACTTGCTTAAGGAACTGTCAAAAAAAATTAACTTCACCTACAGTTTAGCGTTATCGCCCGACGGACAGTTTGGTAATTACATCATCAAAAATACATCCGGAAGCGGCAAAAAAGAATGGACAGGTCTCATTGGCGAGTTGGTAGGGGAACGGGCGGATATGATTGTCGCGCCCTTGACCATAAATCCCGAAAGGGCCGAGTTCATAGAGTTCAGTAAACCTTTCAAATACCAGGGGATCACCATCTTGGAGAAGAAGGTAGGTTACGGACCAAGGGAGGAAGAGCCACAGGCGTCTAGTACTATAAGAAAAACTTTAAATAAACATATAGGTACAGCGCATGTTTATATTGAGTGGAAGCATTTGATGTTGGGAATAGTCTGAAATAATAAAAAAGACTTTACAATTAATATATTTTTTGGATAATAGCAAATATTTAAAAAAAAAACATTAAGAAAATTTACGTTTTCATTAGTATTAGATATACATTTCATTTGAATAGAAGAATGAAGGAGCTATTTTTTTCAGCAATTGAGAACGAATATAATACTTTAAAGTACGAAGATGGTGGTGACAATCCAAAAGTTGCAAATGGCCGTGATGATTAATTTCTTCATTTTTTCACAATATTTCACACAGAACATGTAGCACCGAATAGCTGCAATAACTTAAACAGTTATATCCCAGCTTCAGCAATATTCTGCTAGAAATCATAATTCTGCATCAAAAGGCAAACAGTTCATTCATCCTTCTCAATATTGGTAGTCATGTACTCTTCGGAAAATGGCAAATATTTAATAAAGCATCTTTTTAAATGAGTGAAATAGTAGCAATTAAGTTTTGGAACACAAAAAACTAATTAGGAAGGATTTTACTTTTTGGTTTATTCGAACGAATTTAAAAATAATTTTAGAAAAATTCTGTTGAGAGCCCTAATTATTTGCTGTGAAAGATCTTTTGTTTCTATTTATTTTCATTAAAGTACTATTTATATATTTACATATTAATACTCTATTTACGTAATTTTAGTAAAGGATATTGGGATAAAGTTTTGAGTTTTTATTGTTAGTAAATATTTGTTTTACTTGAAGCTCAAGAACTAGAGGTATACAAATCACTGTTTTTGAAATAAAATATCTGTCTGTAGATTGTAATAACCCTACAATAAATCAGATATGGCGTTCAGAAAACAGCTTTCGTATCGTAGACCCAATGTAAATTTTGTTTCACGATGATGAATCATGGCCAAATTATTTAGATAGTTTTCTGTATTGCCAATTTTACAATTCAATAGGCTTCTCTAAGAAAAATTGTTAATTTATTTCGGAAGTCAAACTTGTAATGTTAAGTTGTTGTTTGTTTGGTATAGCGCGAGTTTTTAACATTGGAATCAAATCCAAAAACAATACAAATTGCACTGTTGATGGATGTCTCTCAAGAAACATTATATATAAATTATCCTAATAATAATAAATTTAAACCTACCTAACACGCTTTATGAGAATTTGATAGAGAGCGCTTTTAATTTTGCTCTTTTGAAGGTGCAATACAAAATATTGTTCGAGTTATCTACCTCTGAAGTAGTCCCAAATAAAATTAGATGTTTTGCATTTAATAATTTTTCGACTTCTGCAAAACATTCACTATTCGCATTTAAAGATAATATAATATAATGGATTTCATCAAAGGTTGGAAGATAACAGATAAACATTATGAAATACTTGCGGACACGTTTGTTTACTGTCGGCAGCGCCACCATTGGATAATGAATTCGGAAAATCAGTTTGGCAAGCTACTGATCCATAAATAACCTTGATCTAAGAGAAAAGGATATTATCGCAGACTAATGTATGGCGCCCGTGGCATTTTCTTATATGAGTGAATTTTTATAAGCATAAGTTGCCTAAAAGTCGACAAATTACTTAAAAACTAATGAATTCCCATTTCAGCCATCCCGATCGTCAACGTTGGTGTCATTCTTGCAACCCTTTAGCAACACGCTCTGGATTTTAGTAATGGTTTCCGTCCATGTAGTAGCATTAGTTTTGTATCTGTTGGACAGATTTTCTCCGTTTGGTAGGTTTAAGCTTGCCAATACTGATGGAACAGAAGAAGACGCCCTAAACTTGTCCAGCGCAATATGGTTTGCATGGGGTGTGCTTCTTAACAGCGGAATTGGTGAAGGTGTTTCAATTTACTATACTAAACCAGCGAACATAAACAGGAGAAAAAAGGTCACCTAAGTTCTATCCAATATTGTCTTTCTTTACGACCAGCTTTTTAAAATATCAATCATTTTGAAAGATAATCAAATATCAGAAACAATATTGAATATGTGACAATAATTATGTTTAATTTTTATCGAAAATAATTGCTTTATTTCAGATTTGGGTCCATGCATAAATTCCCATTCAATGCAGTGCATGCTTGCATTGTCAATCTCTCTAATTCAGATAAATATATACTGTGCTGTGGATACAATACATTATTCAAAAAAAGTACACATGTGCGGTGCTGTGAGTAATAAAAAATAAAAAGCAGATTCTAGACATATTAATATTAGCCGGTATACTTGCTCTAATAAGTCAGATAATACCAGATAATGAAGTATCCGGTCGATTCCACTGAAAATTTGTCCAATGAAACAAATAATTTGCTGGACGCCTCTTTTTGAAACTTCCGATATAAAAATAACGTTAATAAAATAATGATGTTTGCCTAAACATGGGACATATAATAATATCGAATAATTTCCGGATATATTAGTCGAATTTATCAAGCTATCCTATCCAATCAAATATTTCAATAATAAAAAGAGATTAAGACAAATGTATTTACCTCAGGTCCGTATAAAGTCAGTTAAAGGTCTAAACTTAAATAATTGCAAAAATCGGGGTTTGAATAACCAGTTTATAACCAATAACGTGAAATAAAAGTGAAATTTCAAAAGAGGTTCACAAGGTCAAGGTTGATAAACACCTAGCTTTTTTTCAATTCAATTTTAGTAGATCAGCAAAGCCGGTTCCAGAGCAGAAATACACCATGTGTCAACAACGTATAATTTTGTGAAGTATCCTAATACTTCTAAAATATAAGATCCAAATAAAAATTTAAAAGTTGGCCCTTAATTGCGATTGAATCTTCGTGACGCAAACTATTTCGAAAATATAAATTGTCTCCTGTTGTAGCCACTCAATTTGGCAAACTTCTGTTTATGTTCGTAGACTAAACTTGAAACAAGTGTGACCGTCTTTTAGGTACACCTCGCAGTTTTTCAGCAAGAGTGTTGGGTATGGTATGGGCCGGTTTCGCAATGATCATCGTAGCATCATACACTGCCAATCTGGCCGCTTTCCTTGTATTGGAGAGACCAAAAACCAAACTTACGGGCATTAATGACGCAAGAGTAAGCATCAAAACAAAAAGCAGTCGATAGACTGAATTATCAAATGAAATTAGCGCCCTTGCATTAGAAGGTAGTCAAATCACTCCACTATATGCAAGAATAGAACGCGAAAAAAACCATAACCAAAGCATTCTGTCAACCGTTTAATTATTAGTTAATCATAGCGAATTAAAGAAAAATTATTCATTATACTAACATATTTTAGCTGCGGAATACCATGGAGAACTTAACTTGCGCAACTGTGAAAGGCTCTGCCGTGGATATGTATTTTAGACGGCAAGTTGAACTGTCAAACATGTACCGAACCATGGAGGCCAATAATTACGATACGGCTGAAAAAGCGATTGCAGATGTTAAAGCAGGGTAGGTAGGTAGTGTGGTGACTAAAAATTAAGTTTCGTTGTAAGTTGGACCTCGAACTAGCGTTCCATCAAAGAATACACCTCACCACAACCATTCAATAGCAATGAGGCCGAAAGTAATCCTACACTTGCCACTGTGGTCCCTCCTTACATTCAAAACATCACTGACCACATATCAAAAGTTCTAAAGAAGTATAACGTCAAAACCAGATTTACCACTTGTCCAAAAATTTCTCAACATCTTTGGTCCCTCAAAGACAAAATTCCATTTGAGATGCCAGGAGTTTACAGCATTCCATGCATATGCGGCAAAGAATACATTGGAGAGACCGGACGCAAAATATAAACTAGACTCAAAGAACACGAAAGAGCCTTACGACTAAGACAGTTTCAGTCAAGCTCTGAAGAAGCCAACAGGATGATTGGCGAAACGTCAGCAAGTTCGACTCAGCAAAAACAGACGCAGGATTAATCCAGATGTTTTATAAAAAGTATTGCAGTAGCCTGTGGAAGTTTCTTTGAAAAATTAACTCTAATGATTTCATCCAAGGGTGTTCTACTCGTCATCGCTATCTCTTTGAAATACTTAGGACATAGGACCACGTTTTCAGAAAAATCTTTTAGCTACGATGCCAAAGTGTTTAAAATTAAAAATAAAATCGGTTGAATAATTCCTCAGTGTGGATGAGTTGTTTCTTTATATTGTTCGTTTCTATTTTTTCACTTACTTCCAATGCTTTTTCTACTCTCCTGGTTGCGCTTATGAATTATATTGTATCTCTTGTCGAAGTACAGTTGTGCAATTTATGTATTTACATTACATTAAGTTCTCCTTCTGATCATCGTGATTTGATGGTGCACAGAGAACAAATTTACTAAAATTAATGCTTAGTCATGAGTACTAGAAAAAAATATGTTATTATCAAAAATGTTGCTCGAGATGTCAATTGTAGACTAACCCGGCGGAAGCATTTATTTCAAATTTCATTTACTAACCAAAGTTTGATATAAATGAAATCTAGAGTTGAATTTGAATACGTTTTTATACCACTGTTGATTGTTTTTCATTTGAAAGTCACTATTTACTCTATGTCCACTGCATGTTTCAGCAAGACAGTACTTCTTTTTGACATGAGTTTATTAGTCTCACGCTTCCTATGAATAGTATTCTATGTTGATGTATGTGCAATGGGCAAAATTAATTCGTACGTAGAGTTTTTGTATTGATCTTAAATCCACTGACTGTGTTAATTCGCAAAAACAACTATGAAAATAATAATTAAATAATTTAAAAAAATATAAAATTTATACTCGCTACAAGATGTAACTCATTTTAATGCCATTTTTTTAAAGTAATGGAACTCATTTACATAATTTAGCCGCTTGAATGCATTTTAGAATTTTAATGGCATTTATATGGGATAGTTCTCGATTGGAGTTTGAAGCGGCACAAGATTGTGAACTGGTCACTGCTGGCGAACTCTTCGGTCGTTCGGGATATGGAATAGGTTTACAAAAAACTTCGCCTTGGTCAGATGACGTAACGCTAGCAATATTGGATTTCCATGAGAGTAAGTGCGACTTTCGATATATTTTAAATCGATTGGTTAAGAAAAAATATGGTATGCAACACGTTTATAAACTTCTCCAGTTATTCCGTTCGTGACTAAAGTGAAGTTTGTAAAACTTGTTTGATATACTATATCTATATACTATATACTAAACCTTTTATTTAAAACCTTAATCTACAAGAATATACATATTCAAACAAAATCATTAAAATTTTGATAAATTTTTAGTTCTTGCGATCTGTTGACTTGATATGGACATATTTTAATTGCAGCTTAAATTTTCAGAAAGAATGTTATAGAAACATTTACATTTAAAATTAGGTACAAAGTGTTTAGAGAGTTTCTTATTTAATGTTGGTCCCATTCCGCCGCAATTTCCGTCACACACTATCAAACTGGCCATAAACCAAGGGGACAATTGGCAACATTTAGCAACAGTATTTTGGAAAACTCTTAGCTAAACACCATATTTATGAAGGCCATAACTTTAGCTTTGTTCAGGCGACCACGTTGTTAACCAAAGCGGTTTTCCCAAAACTGTGTATCATAGAAAATAATAAACCGAATTTTTATTTAAATAAAGACACAGGTGACACTATATAAGAATAGAGGCTGACGCAATAGTGTGGGAAAGTACTATACTGTTATCATTAAATTTGTTAGTTGATGCCTGTATTTAATGGAAGAGTGTTTCAAAAAGATTATCAACATGTTGCGTACTATATACTATACTCTGCTTATACATTTTTGAAAACAGTACCAACACATTCACTTAATGAAGAACTATTATAACTAAAAAAACGTGAAAGAACCGGTGTTTTAAAGCTACCGAAAATTCTCAAATTTGTGGGCGAAAGTGTTTAATGAAACCGACATTTTAAAGTGGCCCTTTTAACACGCTTAATGAGAGCATAGCTCAGTATTTTTTGGAGTATTTTTAATTTCCTAGAAAATGTCATGGTTATCTGTTTCATGTATATTCCGTTTTACTTCTTCAAATGATAAAAAAAAAAACACATTGAGCCCCAAATTATCAGATAGTGGGGATACTTTTCAATGTGAATTCCATATGCACTTTTTTATTACCTGCCTTAGCTGATTTCAGGACGCGCCCTTAAGGGTTGCAATTTATACGGATGTTTATTGTTGACTGTTATTGAATTGTTCTCGCGTACAATTTCAATCTTTATTTCGTTGCATTTTGGTAGGTTCTTGTTTAGTTTTGATTAGTTTAAATTATAATGTCCATAAATTTGTTTGCTATACCAACGCAGGTATGGTTTTGTAGTTATATTTCATGGTTAATTTTTAGTGTTTAAACTTGTTTAATCTGATTTAAAAAAATATTTTAATTTATTAAATTAATGTGATTTAACCAAAATTGTTCGGGGTTTTCCCTGAAAATGGTCTAGATCTACGCTTAGTTTATTTGACTAGTTAACTGAACATATATCTTTACCACAATTACAGATAGTTACTACTATCGATCGTTTTAGGCGGTTTTATGGAAAGTTTGGACAATAAGTGGATACTGCAGGGAAATACGCAGCAATGCGAACAGTTTGAGAAAACCCCCAACACGCTGGGACTAAAAAATATGGCGGGGGTATTTATTCTCGTCGGAGCTGGTATTGTCGGAGGAATAGGACTAATAGTGATAGAAATGGCTTACAAAAAGCATCAAATCAAAAAGCAGAAGAAAATGGAGATCGCCAGACACGCGGCCGATAAATGGAGAGGAGCAGTCGAGGTAACATTTTTAGTGATCAGTACCGCGTGTTCCTAAAATGTCATGCTGCTATATTAAATCGCTTATTTCAGGCTGAAAACGCGTATAAACATGTGTCCTGCTTAGTTTGCGAGATGCAGTTTTAGTAATTTTTAGTTTATATCGCTGGCATTTATTAAGATAACAAAAATCAAATTTGGTATGTATGATAGGTAGCTAACAGTATCTATAAAATGGTGCTGCTTGGGATTAACTTATGCACTTTGGAAGTGAAGGAAAGAAATTGAACTGAAATCGGCCTCAGCTTCCTGTGACAACCGAAGTTTGAGCTAATAATCACACTAACATTATGTCCAAAATAAACCATCAAGTCACTAAAACCCCACACACAAAGCGACGATGAATACCAACTAGATCTGGCATATCAGATCACCCGACTTGGTCTTTAATTTGTAACCGAACTAATCGTGCAACCTGTTAATTAATCAACGTAAATTGATGGTTTCCATACTAACCACCTCGTATTTAGACTATTCACTAATTATCTGTTCTTTTTTGTGGAAAACGGCTGATTCCACCAAAATAACTGTGTATTTAGCTAGCGGAGTAACCAAAATTAACAGTAACATATTATAAACCATAAATATAAGAGAGCATGTAGATACGAACATACACCTAAACCGCAGCTGATCAAACAATCAGCTTATTCATATAACTAATACTTAGATAATTGTGGCTAACTATAACTACTTGGACCATATGGGATAGCTAAATCTCGCTGAACGTTGATTAACTTTTGATGAACCTCGTGACTAAAATAAACTTTTATCAAACTTGTTGAATAATATACTATCAATAGCATTTTCGAAGGTAATAATAATAATAATTCAAAACCGGTATTAGTTTTTACATTTGAAGCAATTTAATGAGTTTGTGGCGAAGTTCACCAGCAATAATCCTCCTCTAGATAGAGCATAAAAGTTGTTTTTTAGTTTAGTTTTTAGTTGTTTAGATAGTTTAGGGAAGTTTAAAAAAAACTATATTTCTTCAAAACACCACGTATCCGTTCACTCTGTGACGTGTGATGTTTAATGAAGCTGACGTTTAAGGTGACCCGTTCTTTTAGATTATATTTTCTCGAAGGGGACTTACACATTTGAGCTACGATTTGATTGGACTTTTGGGTTATAACTTGGATGTAATGTTATTGAAGCAAAGTTTTCTAGACGTGGGCCTAAATCAATAATTGGAATTTCAAACGGATCACCAACATATTTTAATATAGATTACCTTAATAAATCACAAAAATGTATTTTAGACATATATACAGATAAGTACTGTACTATAAACATTAAGAATTAAGCAAGTTCACCATTTTATAGATATTGTATTGTTTTTTTTTTAATGGAACTTTCACAACCTGTCGCCATTTATGTGACCCCCCTTGCCCCCGTAACCAGTACTTAGTGGTTGGTTTGTGTTTTATTGACTACAATGTTTGCAAAGTTATGGTAAAAATTTCAAACTTAAAAACTTTTTCACCACAGAAAAGAATAGACCTATTCACTTAGAAAACCAGTCAGTTTGTTTAAGTTCTTTTGTGCCAACTGGTGTTAGTCACATTAGTTTTACTCTAACAATAGAACATTTATTATCAGTTCAGAGGTGGCAAAACATTCATTATGCCACCTATCGTTATACGTATACGTTTTTTCGAGCTTTATTTTTCTGCAAATTAGATTTCCCATTTTTGTTTGCTAAAAAAAAATTGCTTTACATGGTGCTCATTGACAATGAGCTTAAAACATCCTAAAAACCTCTCTCCAAAATTTGATTTAATGAATATATTTTGGCAAAAATGCAAAAATTACATATTCCCCTAGCTTTCACACGGGGTTTAAACTAATTACTTACACTTTCTTAAATTAATTACATTCCACCTGAGAAACAGAATTAAGGCATACAGTAGTCACCACATGTTAAGTATAACTTGCACGTTTAAATTTTCGACGTATGTCATCGTTTTTTTTTTTTGCAATTTCATTTTGGTATTTATTTCAATTATTCTGCAATTAGTTTTATGTAGACACTAGAAACAAATGGTAACAATCTTGAAGACAATTTAAAACAATTTAATTAATGGTATAGTGAAATATATATATATATATATATATATATATATATATATATATATATATATATATATATATATATATATATATATATATATATATATATATATATATATATATATATATATATATATATATATATATATATATATATATATATATATATATATATATATATATATATATATATATATATATATATATATTATCTCTTTTAATTGGATGCAGGGGGTTTGACTTAATTTATGAGGAGCAACATATAAGGTGAAATGGCAAGTGGTCACAAATGATAACACAATATATTTTTTAATATTGGATTTACAATAGGGAACCAAAATAAATTTGTTGAGCAGATAATGATTAAAAATATGGGTTACTTAACTAATTTTTAGTATTTACCATATGATACTGTGTGTCCAATTAAGTCGGCAGCATATGGGAACCTTTTTTACTTTAGAATTTACCAAAAAAGTTATTTCATAAAAAAAATATAAAGCAGAATATAAGATTTACCTTTTTAACGTAATATTTTAATTACAAAGAGTTCAATTGGGCAGTTCATGATAATAATACTATATAGTGACATCGAAACAGAAAATGGAACAACGTATAGGGTGTCCTATTTTGAAATTCAAAAATGTTCCTATTTTTTATGCAAGCAGCAACAGTGCGACGCTGAGAGTATTTTAAATCGACAGAACAGACGCGATGTCCCAGGTGATCATTCCGCAACTTCACATGTCTACCGTGAGACACCCTGCATATTTTATTAACTTTGTTGATGTACCTACTAGCTCCTATTTGTCGTGTTTGCAGTTTTTTTATTTTTTGCCAATCTAGTTACAAAAATATTAAATTAATGTTGTGCTGTAGTCGTTTGAAATAATGAACGGCCACCTTTTTTAACAAAAAAAAAAGAAAATTAAAATTAAATTATAAATTTTTGGCGTGGTGTTTTTTAATAGAACGTTATTAATGAGGGGGCAATTCTGCGATTCATTTTAAGAAAAAACTTCATACTGATATTCTTGCGTTTTGCTTGTCAGGTGAACCGTTCTTAAAATTCACTAATCAAGTAAAAATAATAAATTACTAATTACTAACTTTATTAAATTTTAGATCGATAGATAAATGTATATGGGTTACGAGCACTACAAAAAAATGTCAATGGAGGACGCAGTTTTTAATAGTTTTCAATAGAAGTTTTTAATAGTTTTCAATAAAAGTTTTTAATAGTGAGATGCTTTAATGCCTCTGGAAGAGAGCCGTGCAGACATAAACCAGCAAAAATTTGGTGATTGTTTAAAATGTTTATGATTATCTTGTTGAACATATAATTTTTTTCTATTTCTTGTGATATGCTTATGAAAAGCTCCCTCAACTTAAAAACTTTGCTTTTTTTTATGGACATGTTATAATATTAAGCAAGTCGATAGATGTTGCTTATAAGGTAGCTTAAAAAGGAATCGTAGGATCTTACGTCCAATTGAACTTAACTTGGCATAAGTGAGTTTCATTTCAGTTTTAAAGAACCAGAGTCAATATGAACAGAAAGCTTTCATGCCTGGAATTTGGTAGTCGTCTAGGTTCCTAACAGTTCAAAACCAAAGGAGCAATTGAGTGTTTGGCCTACCGTTAAATTTTCGAAACAAAGTTGTTACTATTCAAAAACATCAAAATATAATGTGTATTCCATGTTTAGCTGTCTCTTTGAAGTATCTAAAATTATGTTTTAAATAATATGAAAGCTTTACGACCCTCAAATATGAAAGCGTTTAGCAGCTTAGGATACGAAGTTTTTTTCTTAAAATGAACAGTATTGTCACCAAGTATTCGCGCACACATAAAGGAACGTTCTGTATAGTAAAATAATAATAATAATTCGCTTATAAGATACATTTTACAGTGGTACTTCTAAATCAAATGGGCCACCCAGTTTATTACGAATCCCGTTGTATTTTAGAAACGCAAAACCTTACGAGCCTCAGCTGTACCACAAAGGAGGATTAAATCAAACGGAGTAAATGAAACGGTGACCATTTCGCACGTCGTTGACAAGTTCCAAAGGGTGGGCCAATTAAGCGGCCCAGAAAGGGCGTGGCCTGGCGACACAGATATAAGACAAAGACGACCGGAAGAAGGAGGAGCCCAACCAATTCCCAGATATTTACCCGGATATACGTGGGACGTGTCCCATTTAATTGTTTAAACGTTTAAAATGTTATCGCAAATGTTATGTTTGATGTTGCAAACTATATTTGTGGTTAGGAGTCCATATATTCATCTGTTGCTTTTCTAGTGCACCGTAACAAATAGATAACAATAAACACACCAATTTAATAATTAGTATCTAATTTATTTGTTATTAACATTAATAAATAATAAAAAAATAAAAATCAAAAACGACGTAGTACGTGTGTGTTATTTCATTTTGTAAGCAAATCGGGCCAAAGTGCTGATGAGTCCAAGTGATAATCAAATAACCAAAATGGATATCATGTTGTACAACTATTAATTAATTAATCAGTTGGAGTCGGCGCAGTTTGTACCTAAAAGGGTGAACCATGTGTCACTACATGCCCATGATTTGCTCAATCTAACAGCCGGGTATTAAGATTAAAATTATCGATGCGACATCGCATAAGTACAAGGAAAGTTGAAATTAGAATTTAGTTTCGGTAGTCATCAAGAGACGGTAGATGATGCCCATCATATGTCATTCCGTGTTTCTTTATTTGTTTCAACGTGGCACGATATTTAATAGTTTGTTCAAATATTATTAATTCTGCATTCCTAATCTACGTTCAATTGAATTTAACATCCTACATTCCAGAGTTTCCCGTATAAATAATTGTTGACACCTTGTATATGTGGTACTATATTGGCAATTTTAAAATTCCATTATATTTCTGGGGTAAAAAAATTTAATCTTCCTTACAAGTGAAATGACTCCTATCCCTGTTATATGATGTGACAGATATTGCATAATTTTTTTTTATTATTATTCAGGATTTAGTGCTTTTATGGATTCATCTTCTTCGTCTCCAACATCGAAGGGAAAGTTTACCTGTTAAATTTTATTATTTACGGCAGGCTTTAAACCATCCTAGCAAGGAAGAAAGATGCATTATACTTCGACCAGAATTATAGTGCTTTTACAACCGACCCCGTCATTAACGTTGCCTACTATTTATTACTTCAAAACCGCAGCCCCTTACCAACCCCTTACCAGTAACCTTGCCAGGACCGTCCTAGGGATTTATCTACCTATACAAACAAGCAAATGCAAAATGTAAGTATGTTTTCAATCTTTTTCGCCGAGCAATTCCTGAAACATATATATAAAAAAAATAGTACAAAGTAACAATTTATTACGTTCTATGCCACCTATTTCCCCTTCTGAATTTCTTATAAAATTGTAATCATTCAAAACATTTTGTTTAGCATCCGAAGACAAATGGATCCGTTTTTATATTTGCTGAGGTAGTTCGTCTTCTAACTTATCATTAGGTTCGACTACCAGCTCCACTTCGTCTTCAAATTCTGCTTTGTTTTCCATGTCTTCTTCTAACTGGGTACCATGTGGATCATTCCACGGTCTCCACATCTTAAGGTGTGAAAACAGGAACCTTCAAAACATGTTTAATTGTAAGATTCTAATAAATATTTATCTGTATTCTTAGGACGTACCCTTATCTACAGCGAATATAATCTATAGTCTTAAAAAAGACTGTCGTTGTTTTCAAATCCAACAACTATGTAGAAGACACAAAAATACAAGAAGAAGAATATTGTTACTAGACAGGCACACAAAACAAAAATGATTATTTCCTAACTTACCCATAAGATATAGTACAGGTACCTTTAACCTTTGTGAAAACAGAGTCGCAGGGTCGAAGGTGGAGAATCAGGTACATAAATACGTACTTGCTGGGAGACTCACATTCAAATACCTCCGTAATATATACGAAAATATTGCAATTTAGATTAAACTCTTAAGAATGATACATATCACGGATCAATGCTTAATCAAATTTAAAACGATCCCTGTACGTTTCAAATAAAAATTCCAATTTTCTACAAATAGTTGTTGTTCAAATCAATATTTAATTGAACCTTCATTTCAGTGGATGCTTATAATTTTGTTTATTTGAACGCAGAATGTTTCTTTTTGTCTTTGCTATAGACCGGATAGAAATTACAGGCCATTCATTGAATAGGTATTAGGTATACACAAAACATCGGCTTTCCAAATTCCAATTTAAATATGATATTATTTTATTCTGTCGTATCATTTTCCGTAAGGCAGACATCAGGAAAACTGTTAGTGGAACCACGAATAATACTTAACCTGTCGCTTATGCACGGAGGAATAAGGGTTGCTTCGAAGGTAACAGCTAAACAATAAAAAATACTTATTTTACACCATGTTTGTTAAGCGTTACTGGTGCCATCGGAGAATAAATTCGTAAATACGATGTGTACCGTAAAATTTTAATAGTGATACCTGTTGGATTCCCACGTTGGTTAAAAGATGCACTTTCAGATTTAATAACTTTATTAAATAACTTGCAAGAATGAAAACATACACTTGAAAAATAATATGGAATTAAACTCACAGCAACTTGCGTGTCTTTATATCTCTTGTTGTATTGGTTGCTTTTGGTTATAACTTGGAATTCTTATACTAATTTTGATACAGATAAGAAGAAAAATAAGTTAATAAATTCTAATAAAAATTACTAAAAATATTAAAACTTATCAAATCTCTGCGGAACTAAAAAGACGGCATTTTAATTCATTATTAATTTTCAGCTGATAGGAATATCTTAATTGGTTTATTATTATTAAGTTTTTCAACTGCGCTCTTTTAGAGGCCGACTGATAAATGTTAATTGAATCACGCAAGAAGAGTAATTCCCTAATAATCCTAATTTAATATACAGAGCCTAACATACTCCGTGGATATTGTTGCAGTTCTCCTAAAATGTGTCAGGTAGGATCAAAGACCAATTTTTTCACATCAAAAGCTCTTAACGTTTCATCAATGATACCCCATCAAACAGAGTAATTTATTCTGTATTTGGATTTGAAACCAATAAAGGAATCATTTTTATATCAATATCAAAATAAAAGATATAACGAAAATATAAAACTTATATGAAAACAATGTCACCTTTTATCTCTGAACATTTTTTCCGCAAGAATAATAAGAACGTGAATCGTCAAAGAATTTAATTAACGGATTATAGATTGTGAATTCCTTACAGAGTTTGATGTATGCCAATATTGTTACCTCATTCAATGTATTTGTTGTACATTTAATAAGGAAGTCAAAATTAAAAAACCCAAAATTGAGACTTAACGTTTTATTAAATATAAAAATACAAATAGGATATTTGTTCATATTAATCAAAAATAAAATTTGATAACAATTAAACCGCAAAATAGAAAACCGACAAACGGATCGCTTTCTATTAAAACATTTTTTTATTCGTCATTTTTAAATGATCTCACTAACGTTATCTGATTGCTCTTTTAAAATAGTATCTAGAGTTTTATATACATTGTCGGGCAAGTGATCCAGCAACATCTTAGGCATTACTTTTAGCTCCATAAAATCCTCAGCTTTTGCCCATCTCATTTCGAAATCCGGACCACCGGTTCCCGCTTTTCTAAAATTACAAGTAAATATATCATTATTACATAAAATAAATAAATAATACTAAAATGAAATAATAATGAAAAAAAAAACTCAATTAGTTTAAAAAGAAAGAGTGAGAAATGTGTTATACCTTTCAGCTTTGGTTTTCTTCCTACTAATAATGTGCAAGATTCGACCGGCAGTATACAAACGTATTTTGGAAAATCTTCTGACACTTAAGTCTCTGGATAAGAGAGCTGCTTCCTAAAATTAAAAAAATAAATCCCCACTAAACTTATGCTATGAAGCGAAGGAAGACAATACTGGTTATAAAGGATACAGAAAAGTATGATTTTCAGTCACTCGGTAGTTAAGCACTCGTGCCAAATCACAGCTTTGACTAACATGGCGTTTATCAAACTTATTCCATAATATACTACTTCAGATAAATTTACTAATTAAAAAAAAATCACAGTATCTGCATTAATCGCACCTATATTGGAGAAAATCTTTCGTTTTATAGTTAAAATATACTACTTTATAGATGGACAGCCGGTATTTTCAAAAATAACAATTTATAAGCCATAATTTAATAAGAATTTTTTGTCTTCATTTTAGCCTCAGAGATAGTTAAAATATGAAAGTTTCACTTTGGGACACTTTGCATAGTGGCATGACGATTTCGAATCGCTACCTCAAACCGTTTGGAAGTTTTTTCCTGTTTCAAAATTCTTCTGTAATGCGGTAAACCCTCTCAATTATCTGGTAATAAAATTCGCGACCGTGAGTAAGGAAGCTTGCTTGAAGAAATATTTATTGTCTTTTAATTGCCAATCAATATCTTTTTGAGGGAGATATATTTTTTAAGAAACATTATAATATACAATGATCTCCAAAACTAAGTCGACAAAGATTAGGATTCCTAAACATTTATTTTTCTATTTATTAGTTAGTTTAATTTTTAGAGGTTTCGACACTGCATACTCCATCCAAGTGCGTCATATTTGAATTTTTATTAAGCCTTTAGCCTAGCTAATATATTTTTAGATAACTGTTCTAATTAAATATAAATTTAAATAAGTTGAAATGAAAAGAAAGACAGCAAAAAGAATAACTAAATGAAGTTTTCATTATTAATTTAATTAACCAAATCTTATTATTTGCGCACTTGGAGGAAATATCCGATTATGATAAAACATTATGGTAAAACAGAAAGCAGCTCGACAACTAAATAAACATATTGTATATAAAATTTAAAAGTCCACAGAATGCTTCAAATTTTTATGTCAAAAATTCCTTCTTCATATTGTTAACTTTATTTTACATAAATCGAAACATAAAATTACTACTCACCGTAGACGCAGCTACAGTCGGGATTATACTAGACTCTAATAATGGCGATCGTCCAGGTTCCGGCAAGGTTTCGTCGCGCCACGTCGACTCCAAATCACCAGGAGGAACTCCGAATAAGGCATATCCGAATCCATTCAAAAGGATTCGATACTAAAAGCATCACATTTCCAATTATCATATTAAATCCGCTTCACTCAAATGCAGTCTTATTCAAAATTCCACAACAAAATAGAATTTGAGGCAAATCATCATAAATCTTTCTTTTATGACCTGGTGAACTTTATCTGATACTTATTTTTCTTGAAAAAAATTATTTCTATTCAAATTGGGGATTCCAATTTTAACCAGAGCCTTTCAAATATGAAGTCACGAAAAATGCTTTGTGACGTCACGATGCATTAAATGTCAGCCGATGGGAATTGTTAAACTAACCTAAACTCTCATTTTTAATGAATTCCATAGTCCAGTCGGATGATCTTCCAGTTGTGTAAAGTAAAAATCAACATTGCTTCGTTTTTATTTTTAGACAATTATTTAATAAAACAGAGTATCTAAAAATATATAGGGAGCTCAAAGATCTAGGAACTACAATTTCGGAAGAAAGGACAACAAAGAGTGACGTTTATAACAGAGTACAGCAAAGCAAAAAGGCGATACGCACACTAAATTCAATATTATAGTCCAATAAGATCAAATTAGCAACAAAAACAACTATCTAAAATGCCATTGTAGAACCAATTCTGACATAAGTGAGTGCTGGCATTTCGACAAAGAAGATAAAAAGAAAATAAAAATAGTTAAAATGGTTTTTGTGCATGCAGATGAACAGCAAGAGTATTCGCTAGTGCAGATACAGTGAAAACAAAACATCTGTTGTGGTATGATACTAAACACAAAACAAGAAGAGCAAAAAAAACAAGAAAATGAATATACTGGATTCGGGAAACCATGATAGATAGATTGATAACAGAGATATTTAAGGTTAATGAATACTTTACTGTACGTTATACGTTACTTTAAACAAGTTAAAGGTTAGGTGTTCTAACCTTAAAACGGACGCACATTGTGACGTCACAAGGATTTTTTCAGACCACTTCGATTGAAACGTCAAATGCGTGTAAAATTATTACAAAACAGGGTAATATTTGATAGGTGTGCTCTAAATCTACTAATGCACATTTTTAGCAAATAGCCTATTGTTTTGTTATGTACCTTTGGCAATCTACTGGCATGAAGTGTTTGGATTATTCCCGTTCGAAGATTTTCGATGCTGTCGACTCCGAGCCGCATCACGAAATCATCGCCTACGCCAACGGTGAAAATAAAACTTTCCGTTATCCTGGCAGCTTCGCGGCTTATTAAACCGGCTGGAAAAGAAATTTTCGAATAATGCATAAATCAAAACATACGCAACAGTGCAATAGTTGTACAGGGCGTCCCAGATGTAATGAATAAAGATTTACAGAAACAAGGCTGAAAAATAAGCTTACTGTAATATTAGTTTTTCGAAAACAGACGGTCTATATATATATATATATATATATATATATATATATATATATATATATATATATATATATATATATATATACAGGGTTTTTCACTTAAAACTCCGCACGCCATTAAGTCCAAAACGAAAAGAAATATTTAATTTATGTAAAAAGTAGTCAAAGTGTGGGGTCAAGTAGATATTTCCTAAAGTTTAAAAAATTCGACGCCTGCAAAGAGCTGGGCGTCGCGACGAGTCGAAAAATTATTCGATTGCAGAGACTTTGGAAATACGCCCATACAAAAGTACATATTATTTAAAAACTTTTTTGTTATTTACTCAAACTTATTTACTTTACCCGTTTCTAAGTTACACCGATTTAAAGTAAACATTTCTTGATTAATAAAAAATGTGATTAACGCTTATTTTTACCCATGAATGTTAGTTACTATGGCAACCATTGTCATCGCAGTTGCTTTAAGTGCAATTACAAACGTAAGTTGTTATTGCTGTATCAAAAAATTGTTACATTTTGTCACAAGAAATATCCCAATTAGTTCGGTTTAAAAAAAACTAAGAATTATTATGTGAAAATGGTGCAATTTAGCAATGAGGAAAAAGTAGACATGTTACTGGTGTTTGGAGAATGCAGATGCAATTGTAGAGAAGCAAAAAGAGTTTACGCACGGCGTTATCCGCATAGAAGAGTCCCCGATGCAAAAACCTTTTCAAGTTTATGTAAAAACTTAAGAGAATATGGCAGCTTCATAAAACCTAAAAGAGATAGGAACAGGACGGCACAGGACGGCCCCAAGATATCCCTATCAGAGATAAAAGAAAATACCGGTGTTACCATAAGTTCTTTGTGGAGAATTCTACATACAAACTCTTTTCACCCGTACAAAAATAAACTAGTTCATAAACTAGAACCAGGCGATTATGCTAGAAGAATGTATTTCTTAGCGACATTGTCCGATTTGTATAGCCAAGATGCAAATTTTCTCTAGAAAATTTTATGGAGCGACGAAGGTCGATTTCAAAATAATAATGGAATCGTTAATAGACACAACTGTCGTTTTTGGTCTGAAAACCATCCTCGTTCGATTACAGAAATAGGTAACCAACGAATTTTTAGTATCAATGTTTGGTGCGGCATATTAAACTACACTTCCGGAACTATTAGAAGAAGTGAATCTTGACACCAGAATGAATATGTGGCTACAGCAGGATGGAGCGCCTGCACATAATGCCCAAATAGTAACGAGGTATTTGAACCGAGAATATCCCAATAGATGGTTTGGTAATAATGGACCGGTAAGGTGGCCGGCGAGGTCCCCGGACATTACACCACCAGATTATTTTCTTTGGGGCTACCTAAAAAACGTTATCTATGAAGAACCTATCGAAGATATGGGTGATCTCATTAACAAAATTAGTGCAGCGTGTGCCGCTATCACAAGAAGGACTCTCCTACAAGTGACCCAAGCTCATCTGTTAAAAGTTTTTGATAGTTATGTTTGAGCAGATGGACATAATTTTGAACAAAATTTTTGAAATGTCTTATTATGTAGTTAATTGCAATAATAATTTTGGTTATTAACTTGTAGGCATTTTACTGTTTTTTCATTTATTTATCATGTTATCAGAACTAAATCGATAAAAAATAATAAATAAAATCATACTAAAATAGTTGAAATCTATTGTTTGTAATTGCACTTAAAACAACTGCGATAACAATGGTTGCCATAGTAACTAACATTCATGGCATACTTGTAAAAATAAGCGTTAATCACATTTTTTATTAATCAAGAAATGTTTACTTTAAATCGGTATAACTTAGAAACGGGTAAAGTAAATAAGTTTGAGTAAATAACAAAAAAGTTTTTAAATAATATGTACTTTTGTATGCGCGTATTTCCAAAGTCTCCGCAATCGAATAATTTTTCGACGCGTCGCGACGCCCAGCTCTTTGCAGGCGTCGAATTTTTTAAACTTTAGGAAATATCTACTTGACCCCACACTTTGACTACTTTTTACATAAATTAAATATTTCTTTTCGTTTTGAAGTTATTGGCGTGCGGAGTTTTAAGTGAAAAACCCTGTATATATATATATATATATATATATATATATATATATATATATATATATATATATATATATACAGTGTGTCCAAGATAAGGATGCACAGCATGGGGATCTCGGAAACAGTGTCGGTTAAATTAGACAAAAATTGCGCATTTTGATACCGAACAAGATCCCGTTTTACAAATTTGAAAATTCCAAGCCGTTCCGGAAATATCCGAGAAAAACCGAAATATTGCGATTTCGTTTTTATTATTTTTTAAAGCTATTTGAAAAGATATGAAAAAACGGAAAACACTTTTCCATTGGCACTTTTTAATCTCTCCAAATTGACGTTAACAAATTTTCATTACAGCGTTTCGATTCCATGGAACCACCATCAACTTTGATTTTTCTTACGGGACGGAAAAAAAGTACACACAGTATTAGGTTGTGCTTTTCATTGCGAATTCAACGATGTACGATACAATACGGTTACTTATGTTTTTATCCAGAAAAATGGCTTTTTAATACATTTCTAGTATTTTATTGTAGTAGGCCATGAGATCCGAACGATGAAAGGCAAAAGAAAATGGTTGACAAGTTCGAGTTAATGTGTTTATTTATTTACTAACTCTAACTGTTCATTTAACATAACAACTAAATCCAACAAGTTAATGAAAAACAAATTCTATAACAAATGTTCGAATAAATGACGTCCATTTTCTAGGCATAAGCACGCCCGTCTCACGGTAGACTCCAAAACACGACTTAACATTTCAGGAGTAATTTTATTAAACGCTGCTCGTACTGATTGACGTAATTGTTCCTCGTTGTCAAAACATTCTTTGAATACCTCATTTTTTATGTAGCCCCATAAGAAAAAGTCCAAGGGAGTTAAGTCCGGGGACCTTGGAGGCCAAGGTGTTTCACTGTAAGTCCCAATGTATTTTCCATCAAACCGTTCAGTTAAATATTGGCGAACTTCTCTGGAGTTATGGGCTGGGGCACCATCTTGTTGGAACCAGCAGCCTTGCACAGCGCCTAGCGGTAAATCATCTAAGGCATCTTCTAAATCGTGCCTCAAGATGTCAAGGTACCGCTCGGAAGTTAAGGAATTATTATAGAAAATAGGGTCTATAATCTTGCTACCAAAAATCCCACACCAAATATTAAACCCAAAGCGAACTTGATGTCTGGATAGTCTATTAACACGTGGATTTTGTTGCGACCAATAGTGTGTATTGCGCCTGTTATAAATACCGTTATTGGTCACCATACTTTCATCAGACAAAATGACTTTATATGGAAAATTAAAACTCTCATCACACATCCTGGTATACCACTCACAAAAATGTCTACGTCGTTCGTCGTCACCCGGTTTTAATCCTTGACATATTCTGAATTTGTAAGGCTTAAATTCATTTTTCCTTAAAATAAACTGAGCTGTAGATTTAGCTACCCCATTCTGGTCTTCAATTTCTCTGGTAGAAGTTTGTGGATTTTCGATAACAGATTGTAGAACAATGTATTGGTTTTCTTCATTGGAAGGTTTTTGTCGGGATAATGCAGGCTTCTTAAATGATCCATATTCTTTCAGATTAAATAACAAACGCCGAAAAATACTCTTGTCAGGTTGTCTCCGCTCTGGGTATTTGTTAGAATACATACGCTCGGCTTCCACACAATTTCTTTGGCATCAGATGTAGCAAGACAGCATATCACATTTTTCTTCGTTTGTAAAATTACCTCCCTCCATTGTAGAACAAAATAAATTAGAAAAAGACAACAACAATAAAAATACAAAAACAATAACTAAAGGAATAAACTTATGATCGACTGATAACAAAGACAAATAACATTAATGTGTCATTGAAATTGACTGGATGTCATTTTGTCATGGCCTACTCCATTTAAATGCTGAAATGTATTAAAAATCCATTTTTCTGGATAAAAACATAAGTAACCGTATTGTATCGTACATCGTTGAATTCGCAATGAAAAGCACAACCTAATACTGTGTGTACTTTTTTTCCGTCCCATAAGAAAAATCAAAGTTGATGGTGGTTCCATGGAATCGAAACGCTGTAATGAAAATTTGTTAACGTCAAATTGGAGAGATTAAAAAGTGCCAATGGAAAAGTGTTTTCCGTTTTTTCATATCTTTTCAAATAGCTTTAAAAAATAATAAAAACGAAATCGCAATATTTCGGTTTTTCTCGGATATTTCCGGAACGGCTTGGAATTTTCAAATTTGTAAAACGGGATCTTGTTCGGTATCAAAATGCGCAACTTTTGTCTAATTTAACCGACACTGTATCTCTTATAGTTTCCGAGATCCCCATGCTGTGCATCCTTATCTTGGACACACTGTATATATATATATATATATATATATATATATATATATATATATATATATATATATATATATATATATATATATATATATTCTCACGTATTGATTCACGGATGGAAAAATGTGATGACACTATATTCCGGGATATCATCCGTTCGCTCGTTGAACTCCGACTGGAATCCTGCATCCGACTGGAATCCTGCAAATCCTGCATCCGATTGGAATCCTGCAGACGTTTCGCCAAAATCTCACTTGGCATCTTCAATGCTCGCGCTCCGAAAACACTTCGAGTGTTCGAAGTTCAACGAGCGAACGGATGATATCCCGGAATATAGTGTCATCATATATATATATATATATATATATATATATATATATATATATATATATATATATATATATATATATATATATATATATATATATATATATATATATATATATATATATATATATATATATATATATATATATATATATATATATATATATATATATATATATATATATATATATATATATATATATATATATATATATATACACATAAACTGACTTGCGAAAAAAATAGATTCAAGCAATAAAAAAAGAACATTTGTTTGTACCAGCAGAAACACTAAAGCGAATGAATGTACAAGATGTGATACCAAGTTAAAAATTGTCTAATTTTATTCATTTAAAGGCAAGCTTATGAAATTGAACTGCAGCGTTGAATCAACGGAAGAAGTACTAACGAGCCAAGTGAAAAGCACCCTCGTTTGATCAAAAAGATTTTTTTTATTTATTTAATAAAAGCTGCCTTGTAATATTATGCTAAAGAATAATATCAAACAACATAAAAAAATAAAAATTAATCTTCATATCAAAAATAGGTACAAGAATATGCTCTTTAATAAAATCACCACCTTTGCGTGAATGTCTAAACTATTGGGTACTATATTATAATATTAAAATAGTATAAAGCAATTAAAACGTTCTTTTTAGAGTCTTCTATCTTGATATTATGAACGTCGTACAACCGGATATATCTATTCCTTAATGTGATGACTCATACTTTAACATCTGATATTCAAAATGCGCAGGCGCGCGTCATTTCAAACCTAGCTTTCAGGCAATAAGACCTTGGCGTTCAACATGATCGCCGGCAATTTGTAATTTTGAGAGTTTTCGGTTGTGGTATTTCATCGGCGTCATTTTATCAAAAACAAGGTGAAGATGTTAAGATTGCTGTTTAACAAATGGCACAAAGTACAGGCTAGAGTTTGAAATTTATGTACATGAGCCGAAGATCAATGAAAATCTCCTAGCCTCCTGAGATATGAAAAAAGCCACAAACCTTATTTCACGAAATATTTCTCATACAATCATTAGTATGATGAGTACAGGGCGTGTCTTGAGGTTAGCACAAATTACTGATAATCTATGTAGCTCAATAATAATCCATTATGAAAATAAAAGGAAATTTTATTGCGTATCATAGAAATTGGGCAGTAAATAAACATATTTTTTTACACCAAAATATGACCTTGAAAGTTAGCAACTTTCAACTTTTACGAATTCCGATTAACACAACCTGTAAATTGGTTGAAATATATAAACAAATCGAATTATTGCATGTCAGAAAATTTTGAATAGTTTCGCATTTTAACTGGTTTCGCGTTTCGCTTTTTGAGACATTAAGTTCAACTGGCTCTAATTATAATTAAAAGATGAGTCAATTTAGCATGGCTGAATTTGAAAATTTCATAGATTTAATTGAAAAATACCCATTTTTGTGGGGCAAAAGAGACCTAAAATTTACAGACAAAACTATGTTAAGTAAAATTAGCTATAAATCAAAAAATAAATTCAAAACGTATATTTCATAATTAATTGAATCTGGAGGCCGGTATATCAATATGTTCATTTTTATCTAATTTTAAAACTGACCCTTCAGGCTTCAACATTTTTATCTATTTACCGTGCAAATGATATATATAACAAAAGAAAACATTGCGAAACTAACAAACCTGAGAAGAGAAAAATCTCTACTAGCGATAGTTCAAGCTTGGAGCGACATGAAGACATACTTTGACCAAATTAACCTAGACTGCGTGGAGAGGAATCATAAACAATGACAAGGGATAATTCACATGTTTAAACGCTTAATGGTAACTATTATTCAATAGCAACAGTGTATTCTATTATCTATTTATCTATTTTCTGAATAGATCTTGCGATTTAAAGGTTAAATTTTCTCAAAAAGCAAACACAAAAAAATGAGATTAAGGTGAATTCAACAATTGTCAAATGTCAATTGTTAACAACTAACGAATTGGATAAGCTTGTTTTAAAATTGTGAATAAGTTCACGAGTTAACAATAGCTAATTCTCGCCATAATTGTTCAATGCAACTGCCATCTACTGGTGCAACTTAAAATTATAGAATATACAGCACGGTCAAAACTAATCTGCTTTAACAGCCGCAACATATTTCCTGCCTACACAACAAAATTAATTTAAATTTCATAGCTTTTTATTTGGTTTCTTCATGTTTTAAAATCAATGAAAATAAATTCAAATAAAAATATAACTAACCCTAACCCACCAATTTATTTTAGCATACACGGCACAATAGTAACGGCCGTAATAGGAAATTGAAAATAATTTTCAGTAATTTCTAATGACCCTCGCCCGCAAGCCATATGAGGCATTCTTCGTGGGACACACGGTACTAAATTAAATTGAATCGAAAACAAGCCAATTAATATCTAGGACACCCTGTATTTCTGAAAATAACTGAAATATGGAAGTAATACCCGGAGTTCCAAAGGCAAAAACTTTAAGATCGGGGTATTTCGGCCTAATCTTTAAACCCAGCAAGCAAGCAACTCCCGCCCCTAAACTGTGGCCCGTCAACACAAGGCCATATTCTGGGTACAGGCAAAATGCTTTCTCCAAAATTCCAGTCTAAAACGGCGAAACATATATTTCGTTTTATTCGATCCTCTTGGATCAACTTACCTCTTTCAACTTTTTGGCAATGTAAATAGCTCCGGCTGTCATGCCCCTATGGGCCATCGTATCCGGAGGAAGACCTTCAGCTTCAAATTTCTCTGATGTGGCCGTAAGATCTGTGAAGATATCTCTAAGAGATATCGAGCCTCTAACTGCGATCACGATATTGGATGTTTTGTGATCCGCTATCACGCAGAATGGTAGCTGAAATGCGATATACCTATTGTTAACGATCTAATTGTAATTCAAAAACAGCAATATGTTAACAAAATAAAAAACTCGCTGTCTACCTCCTTTTAAAAATATTAGTAATTAATCTCATATCTATTTTGCGGGCTTTTCTTAAAAGTTACCTTTTGTTTTTACCACTAAATTCAAAAACGCAATAAAATATAGGGTGTTCCATTTAGATTTGTGGCACACTGTATAATCCAAAAATGAATAATAGGAAAATTCAATTAAATACAAAGAACTTATATAACATTTTTTGATAACTATTACAGGTATATGTGAGACATCTGGTACATTGTGTTGTACATTCAAAACCTAGCATTTATGGTCGTACGTTTATACGAGCTTTTTTGTTAAAGCGATAATAATCTACAGAATGTACACATACTACACATACACACACATATATATATATATATATATATATATATATATATATATATATATATATATATATATATATATATATATATATATATATATATATATATATTTTTTTTCACATATTTTGTTACAACATGGTATTTATAATGTAATGTACATTTTTAAACAACCAAACAATCTCAAACCGGGACCTCACCAATATGGGAATCAGTCATCCGAGACACTGTCAGCAAATTCCATTTACCAACCACCAATCCAGGAGGAAACCAGAAGATTTTTTAAATAGCAATTTCAATTTCTAGAGTTATTAAAATACGTAATTTTTTACAATTTACAAAAATGTGTTTTTTTGCTGATAATTTTTAAACTTTTGATATACTAATTAATATACAGAAACTTTTCTACAAAAGAGACAAAATTATACAAAGTAAGAGGTTTATTAAATGAAATACGTGTTAGACCATACACGTACATCGAGAAAATTTGAGAGCGTAATAAATTGCAAGAAAACAAACCAAACAATATGTGATAAATATAAATAAAAATAATAAAAAGTTTTTTTTTTAAATAACATTCAACGTCTATATTTTAAAGATCGGTGGCGAAAATTTATAAGGGCATAACTCCCAATATTTTCACATCTTTTGGCGAAAAGTGCCAACTCCCGTCTCACGAATTTTATATAGTTGGATTTATGTTTCGGCTGATAACTGACTGCGAGTTTTTAGTTAGTTAGCACCTACACAACAACACAAATTGTGGGAAATATTAACAGGATGAAATTAAAAAATGGCGTACCTCAAACACGTAATTTCTGAACGACGCAAAAAGAATGTCTTGCTCGTTTACTTTCGATATGTACTTCACTCCGGCCAAATGACAGAGACAGCAATTGTCATCGATAACCGGGGTGTTATCCGGCGGCTTAAAACACGAACAGCAAGAGACGTTGCTGATTAGACGAAAGAGGGCGGTACTGCAGTGCAGGTAAAACACGAAGGGCCAGCCGTAAGCGGCCATCGAGAGCCGCAGAAAATGTCGGGCATCTTCCAGGTTCATCCAGCGAGGTGCCAAAGAAAATATTCGGTTGATGTCTGAAACGAAAATATTAAGTGAAATTTTGCAATGGATAGATAGAGGAATGCGGTTTTCGCAATATTGTGCTCGATTTTCGTGGAAGCAAAAATTTATGCAGCTTTTAAAACAATCCTAGCTTGATTTGCTTTTGCGTTAAGTGGAAAATTTAACCTTTTTATAAATAAGCATATATATTTTAACATTATTGTATTCCCTGTTAATATTATTATTATTTATTACAAAAAATATGAATACAACACACCAAATAGTAAACTAAAAATACTGTTTCTGCTTTGGGCATTTACGAGGATAATTAGTCTAGAACGTAGGATCCAGAATTTAGTGGTGCATAAGTGTTATGAGATACACAAAAGTTATACAAAAGTTGCAAGGTTCAAAGTGAGTTTCATCGGAATTTACTGGTTTTGAACACAGGGGGCCCCAATTCTGAACTACTTCTATCAACACTGAAATTTTAGATTACTTATAAAAAACCGAGCCAATTTTATAGTAGTACTTCGCGTTTATTGATGTGATACGCGATTTACTGGAAGGTAACTATCCAATACAAACCACACAAAATTAAATATTACCATAAAATAAGCAGCGTATGTGTAAACGAAAGTTTCTTAAACAAACACAAAATTCGTTTTACCATTTACAATTAATTAATAATTAACGATATACAATTAAAAATAAAAAGACTTGAAGGGATCAACATTCTCATGTCACGAAAACATTTTTCTGAGGATTCCATTTTGCAATTGAAATATTTCGCCAGCCATGACATGAGTAAATGCATGCATACAAAATAACATACAAGTAAAAGATCTATGGCAACTAATTTTCTTAATCTCTAACATCACGTAGCGATATTTAGGGGGCGTTTTAAAAATATTATCTATCGGATTGATCCAGATTAGGTGAGAATCAAAAGAAACACCTAAAAATTTAAAATTTAATAGTTTTATGAAATTAGCCCAATTTTTTATAAATAATCTATAAATGTCCAAAAATACATCCCGAATACAAAATATCGAAAAATTGTAAATCAATGGCTACCAAGAAAGGAATCAAAGAACTAGGTTTTTATAAAATATTTATTAATCCACCTCTAATAATTTAATTTGGTATTCTATTTAACCGACCCTAGATATTCAATGGTTTAAGGGTTACCCTTTTTTTTAAGATTTTAGGAAATCTGAAATTTATGATCTTACATATTGATGGAATGTATACGAATAGTCATACATACACGCGTGCACACACATACACACAAACCTGATGAATATTTTGGATCTTCGTCCGACAGCATGTAGATTCGTCGCATCTCTCTCGTTTCCCTTTTCTGCTTCACACGAAGTAGAACACATCCCGCTAGTATATCAGACGGTACCAAATCGGTACTGCGAAACAGTGCGCTGAGCAAGGCGGCTACCTATAAAACAACTCATAATGTTCTTCCGATACAAACTAATTAGCTTGAACAAATTATTTCCGTTCGCAGTGAAAGAAAGACAAAATCCAACTTATGACGTAAAAAGCATAGCAAAACCTAAGTTAGCACCACATCGTCAATTTTTAAATAAATGGGAATGAAAGTCATGTGACACCTCATAACCCCACTAGAATGTTGTGGTCAAATAGATACTGTATTGCCCTAACCTGTTAAACTGCATTCTTGAAAAATTTAGGTTATAAAAACAGGGCAAGAACATACAAATTTATTTTTTTTTGTCTTTTGTATTTATTCACGACATTATTAGTACTAATACGCTAGCGTTTGAATCTTTTCTATTGTATACGAAATGATCAGATCTGTTTTTTCGGCGGTAACTTTTTATTTATTTTTTTAGACTTGATAGTAAGTACTAAATATCTTGCAACAGTTACGATAATGAATTGTAATACTGCAACTACTCATAATAGATATGTTATGGTTGTTGGGATAAAATTATCAGAGGAAATGCTGTTGATAAATTTAACGCCACTTTTAACGCATCTTTCTCCCAGTTTTATTTATATGGCCTCATTCCCAGAATAAGGGTATGTGGTTTCCAGAGAAAATTTTAAATTTTAGGAATAGCGTTTCCGGTACATTAATCACGGGTTGGATGCGATGTTTAATAAACAAGTTTCTAAAGAAGTTTATGAACGTGTTGTATACGATACTTTTTCTACGACAATCACGAAGAAAAAATTTCCAAGTGGCGGAAGTAATCCACTATCATTTTTAAAATAAACAACGGTCCTAAACTACTGAAAGCATTTTAACAAACATGATCTTGCTGGAAAAATCATTTATTGCTGCATCATACCCATCCCAAAATATTTACCTTATTAACCGAATAGCCTATCTCGTATATCTTGTTTCCAATCAAACTGTGTAAAACGAAAATTAGTTATAAAATTCTAAAAGACACCATTACAGCGGTATTTCTTTTTCTTTTCCAAGACTCAATGATGAAATTTCATGATTTTATCATAAAAGTATTTTTGATTTAGAAATAAAAACAAATCGTGTAGGAGCATAATAACCAAAATGCAAATGCAAGGATAGACACGGAAGACAAATGTCTTAAATCAACTTCTCAGCATATATTATATACACAGGCAATGGATTTTGAGGTTATATTTTTACAAATGTTGAGGCTGTTCGATATATTTGTCTTCAAAATGCGACACTAGCTTAAATCCACAAATGGCAATTTCCGACATCAAATGCAAATTAAAGATTTTGGGATTTTGCTTAATTGTCGGATAATTTTATCGAATCATTTGAATGGTAATTCTGTCTACTCGATTTTGTATTAAGCCTGCCCCTGTGTCGGGATAGTATTCGAATGTGCAAGCCAGGTTTGATCTACTTTTGATAAAACTCATGTAGATAAGCTAGAAAATGTTCCCAAAAATGTTGCGCGTTATGGCATACAGATTAAAAGTACCCCTGATCTATTTTTCGTTTTCAAGTTATTGACGGATGATATCGACTGTACTATGGACTATGGTAAAAAGTCTTTAGTAGCAATGGTGGTTTTAAAAAATAGCATAAAGCATGCCCAACCTAGTTAGTTAAGTTATTGTAAGTATCAATAACTATTTTCCAATCGAATTCCTGTCTAAAACGGTGCAACATTACTGAAGAAATAAAAACAAATACATATAAATAGTTCATTAAACGGAATGAATTTTTATTTCGCGAACAACGGTTTTTATTTAAAATGATAACAATATTTCGCACATAAACCGAAATCTGCGACGACTCACTTGTTGGAAAGCTTCGTGTCCGTGTTCGTCAGACCTGACCCAACAGAAGGCCCATCGAAAACGTCTTTTCCAAATACTGGTGCCTTTTCGGTGGCGTAGCGATTCTCCTGCACTCGGTGTCTCGTGAATTTCGTAGTACCGTCGTGAACCCAACGGATCAAAAATCATCGCCAGTCCGAAAATTGCCAGGCCGAACAGGGCCCAATTGAACACGACCAACGCTGTAATGAATAATAATTATAGTAATAAAACCAAAAAATAAATAAAAAACGAAGTTGAGGCACAAATTTCCTAGTTTAACGTAAGTGTCTTCTGAATGTTGTTAATAATAAAGTATTTATTTAATTAGTGTTATTTAGTATTAGTATTTTATTCACTACTTCTTTTGCTAGAAAAATGTTATATAGGTGTGATTTTTTTTGTATTAAGATAACACTAACGACAAAAAATGACTATCAATTTTACAACGGAAAACGATTTATACAAAAGCTTAAATGCTAAATACGATATTCCTCTTCTAGTGCATATCGTCTACGGATATTGGTTATCATATTAGTCCAGATACTTTGCTTTCTGCTGATCTAAAGAGGATATTATAGATTATTCAAGACCACTGTCTTAGGTTCTTAGCCATGAAGTTTTTCAACGTCCAGAGCACTCTCTTCCCTATGAAATTAGTTGGAGGAGATCGTGTTTTCCATTTCTCATCGCATGTCCAAAGTATCCCAATTTTCAAGTTTTAATGGTGCTCAAAACCATATTTTTTACATGCGCCCCAGCATCGCCTCATTTGCTACGTGATTTATTTATGATATTCTGAGCATGCATCGATTGAACCAAATCTCGAAGGCTTCTAAAGTTCGCATGTAACTTCCGTATAAGCTATGCACCATAAAAGAATACCGAGAATATGTATATATAACACCGGATGACTTGAATTCGAGTTTGAATACTGATTTGCATATTGCACTTTGTACTTCTGGTCTTCTCTATCCTACCTGCGGGTGAACCCATTGATTGAGATTGCAGCCGAGGTACGAGACTTGCTTGCTCTAAAAGTTTAGTATTAACATAAAACAGTATGAATTATATCGTTCTTGGTTACATTAAGAACGTGAGTCATTTTTAAGGTTACTCTCATATCATTTCATTCACGGATTTCGATGACACGATGTATTAGTATTTGAAAGCTTTCAGCTGTTGCGGCCAACAACACCGTGTCATGTGCATATCTAAGATTTGTTAATTATATGACGGTTTATGAAAATTACATCGCTAGAGATCTGCAACACCTTTTTGAATAGTCTCTCAGAGTATATGTTGAAGAGTAATTGTGACAGAATTCATCCCTGGCGTACTCATCTTATTACAGAAAATTCTGAGGGAATAATCTATGACACCTGCGAATATATTACAGTGCACATCTGAACCAGAAACTGAACGCTAAAAAGCGATTCTCCTGTGTCAAAAGGATTTCTGAAACCACCACGTGCATGAGAAGATAAAATTAAATAAAAATTTTTTTATTAAAATTTTTAATGCATAATTTTTTGATTAGTCTGTATTTGGCTTTCAGTCGGATAAATCGCTAAATTAGCTACATTTTTGGCCACCGTCCATAAGATGGATTTTTTTTTATGGGGATATAAAAGATAGTGGCATTCTGCTGGAAATTTCGTGGACATAATTGAAATAGTTTTAATTTATTTGAAAAATTAAAATTAGATTACATTTTTACAGTTTAAAAATCTTAAGATGTAGTCATTAAAAACCTTATTGAAAGACATATTTATTTTGATCGTAGAATCCAAAAATGCTATAATAATAATTTTAAAAAGAAACCATAATAAGGCTTCATACATCTCAAGAGTAAAAGTTTTTGAAGACACCATCATATTGCGTGACGTATAGAGTCAATAACACTGCATATTAGGAGAAACATCAGAGAATAATGAAGCTGAGGACTCATCAAGTCATAGCGACAGTGACGTCAAAAATTAGAAGCTCTAATAACATTTTTCCACTCCCGTCTGTAAAATGCCTAATTACACACCGATTTTGCGTGCGAGAACGGTCAATTTACCACTTCAGTTTCGTTTCCCATGGATTTGAGACACTTAGGACATTTCCGGGATTTTACCGCGCGGATTGAACGGTCATGTCAGTGAATCTATCAGTGTTGCTTTACAAAAATGTACGCAAATCTAACGGTCGTAACACTCGTTGCATAATATACTATTAAATTTCTGGAACGGCCGCCAGATTGTGTAATCGCATTCTCGAATTTTAAATAATGTTTTTTTAAATATTATTATACTATAGATTTCATTCAATTCTTTCTCCTTAAATAGTCTTTGCTCTATCTCTTAAGGGAGGGTGGTGGGAGTGTTGGAACAGTTTGAAAAATAAATGTCAATAACTTCGGAATGACTGTAATCGCTCCTTTTGTCTTAGAATCGTTGAAAAGGGCTATTGTTATGTATCATTTTTCTCACCTATAATATCAGCAAAAGAAAAAAATCTCGCCATCTTTAGAAATATTTTGTGAGTACTACTATTATTAAATATTATTATTAAATATTCGCTCTTTTAGCAAAATATAAATAAATTTACTGTTATAACGCCAACATGTTTAAAATGACCATAATAATTAATACTCTTTCCCATATTGTTGAAACATTTCAAGACTGGAAAATAATAACAACATCGCACAGATTCTAACAAAAGCAGTTGCGTCATTTAATGTTTTGAAAATAAACACGAAATATTCTTCTACAGGAAAAATAAATTAGGAATTATATGATAGGTTTCCGCTAGCGGGTTAGACTCTTTCTTTGGAGAAAATAAAATTTATGAGGGATGTAGCCAAGTGCTCTCTTACGTCGATACAACCAATATAACAACGACAACCTAAAAAGAGCAATTCTGAAGTTATTGACATTTACTTTCGAAAATATTCATACACTAGCCGCTATTTTCTCTTAAGAGATAAAGCAAAAACCAATGAACAAAAAAGAATAGAATCTATTTCAGCTTTACAACTGTAATCATTTTAGCTAACTAGATTATTTTTCAAAAAACGGGATTTAAAAGTGATTATAAGTTTTTTCACCCCAGTTGTTACGACAATTATTTTCGAGATAGGAACGAGTACCCTTAATTGGACAACCGGTACATATTATACTACCAAGATATCAAGCTAAATTTTATGAATTCTTCATAATTGAAAAGTTGTAAGGACATTGTGATTTAAAAATATTTATGACGCGCTAAATTAGGAAAACAAACCACTGGGCGGCAACCAGTGTCTATGGAAATCCGCCAGAAAATTAGCGAAACACTCATTACTTTTTAGGACAACGGATTTGATGAAGAATGCTGATGAAATCGGCGGAATGAATGGGAAATCGTAAAACAAACTGCGCACAAGATTCTTAGTAGGTCACGGAAAACCAATGGTTAATTTGCAGATTAATAATACTCATGCTTGCCCGAATTTACTTCTGCCGAACACGAAAATTAACAGCAGTTTAATAATGAAGCGCGATTAGTTCCGCGTCCATTTAAGAATTTTAGAAATTCACACTGACATTATTGCAAATTCTTAGGCGCAAATCACTCGAAACATATGCGGTGCGCTTATCGCTAAACAAATCAAACCCGTTAAGTTTTTCGACCTTAAAGGCGGTGACTAATACGAGAATATATTGACTATTTTTGGAAATTCATTCTAGACAACATACCGGGTGACACAAGAAAGTGCGAACACGGTTTTGACGCAACGAATCGAATTTGGGGCGACTTAATATGAGTCAAAAGTGCAATTTTTTTGTGCACTATAAAATCAATCGACGCACTTCCGGTTTGAGCGGAAACGACATAGCTCTATAATCAAGGTATATGGAGTTGCATACATTTTAACGTGATGCAAATCTTCACATCGTAGCTCCTATATGTGAGAGTGTACGTCATTTTAGTATGCATAACATTTATAACGAAAAAGGAGACCGTACTCAGCTAAAATGAAATTTTCGAGTCGGCACTTTGACATTCGGGTTTTGACTTGTCTTGATATCTCTCCAAAGTCGCATATATCCCCATTGTTGTCATTTAAAATATTTTGTCAGTTTGTCGGTTGTGTATAAATAATTTGATTAAGCGACGATGTCGAGCTGTTTTGGAGAGGATTCTTCCGAGAGTCAAACCGTATTTGTGAAGATAATTAAACAATATCCTGTTTTGTTAGAGACATCTAACATCTCGGAAGTAAAAAATAAACGACGTAAAGCGGTAGAAGAAATAAAATAAAAGTTAGAAGCTAAATTAGCTGTAATGATGGGAAGATTTGCAAGAAGATTCAAAACATAAAAACCAGACTAAAAGCAAAGACAGACAGAAATCAAACAGGATATAAACCAATAAAACTGAAAGGAAAATCAAATCCTACTATTGCTCGATTGCAAGGTTAGTTGCAAGTGGAAACCGAGGAAACTAGAGAATTGTTGTTAACAGAACTTAACGTCTCGTTTTACTTGAACAACTGCAAGTGTTTCGGCTAGCTAAGGAACTCTTACTTCAAAAGAAAAATGCGAATCTTGGCCAAAGTATATTGGATTTGGATAAAAATAAGGAAACTGAAAATCCAATTCTCATTAGCATATCTCCGGGAAAGAATTGAAATAATTACCCAATTTGATTATTAACAGGATTTCGCAAATGTTACTTTAATTAATATAACTTTTAAGTTACTACTATCCTGTCACGTTGCCATTGTGAAATTGTTTCTCATTTGGTTATTAGTTATTAAACAAAGGATTTTAAGTCCATCTAGACTCGAAAGCCGTGGATAACCTATTAACTTGATCTCTCTGACGTATCACGGTGTCTGTATGCTCGGCTGGGTGGGTGAGTGAGTGAGTGAGTCAGTGTGCGTGTGTGTATGTGTGTGTGTTTTTGTTATTATTACTATTGTTATTATTATTATTACTACTACTATTTATTATTATTATTAATTATTATTACTATTATTATTACTTTTATTATTTTTCTTTTTATTACACTTAAGTTACCAATATGATCTCTAATAATACTAGTCACTAAAAATGAGTCCGAAACGTTTTCGTTGGCTCACCGTGTAGCAAAACGAAATACTTACCTTCAATAACAGTCCTTGAAAAATGACCTTCATATGGACATACGACCAAATCACTACAGAAAGCCCACATGGTACCAAATACGTTGAGTATTACTTCCGGAATTACCAGGAAAAGTTTTAGTAACAAAATCGGTGGCACCAGCTTCCTGGCGTCGACGTCGGTAATGGACCCTTTCGCGCTTTGATTAACCAATGCCGCTAGGACAAAAATGACGGCACACAAAAGCGCCATCATACCTGCAATATTTATATATACAAAATAAAATAGTAAGGACCTTCAATTTCAAAGTAAATCAGAAATTGGAACCAAATTTTTAACACATATAACATACGCAAAAATTTTTTCGAACTATAATTTTTATTATTTTGTTCATTTTCGTCAATATTACAAGTTAACTTTTAACCATGATCTCCATTTAACTCAATACATCGGATCCCAACAATAAACTCAGCCGCCCTGAAAGAACTTTTTAAATATCTATCCTCTTGAAGCAGTTAATCAACATATATATTTCAGAGTTACTTTTTCTTCTTCGTTTTTTAAGGAAATAGGCGAATCTTCTGTAACCAGAGCAACACAGTACACAGGTCCTCCTCTTAGCATGTTCTATAAATCTAAACTTATCTCCTGGAGAGTATTGTCGGTCGGTTTTCTAGTAACGTTGCTGTTTGGCGTTTACGTTATTTCGATATTAGTGAAAAAGCCCAATCTAACTTTTTCAAACGGTTCTTAATGTTGCCGAAATCTACTTCTTCTGATATCTTGCGACTGGAGTGTGGTATAACTCATTTGAAAGTCATATATACTTAAAATGTGCTTAAACTTTGATAATTGAGTTGCGCAGATGAGACGTTTGACTTGGAAACTCGGATTTTCCTAGCGGTGGCAAAATCTTAGTCGAAGCACTCTAAAACGCACTTTGTCTAACATCCTTGGTAAATACAAAGAAATTTGCTTTCAGACTGATCTTGACTTCGCTCGAAATTCTCACTACAGAAGATTTTACAACTATTAGTGATACCCCTTAGCTCTAATATATAATCACTTCCCAAAATGCATGTATAAAGGTTTGTAATATAAACTCAACTATAATGAACTTTGCAGTTTGTAATCTCCACGAAACTATTCCAGGCATTGTTTAGATGCCCTGTTTATAACGAGGTTTTTATGGAAAAACTGGATAACTAACACCTAGAACCGAACCTAAAATTTAGGCCGTTTCTTACCTATCAATTATATATATATATATATATATATATATATATATATATATATATATATATATATATATATATATATATATATATATATATATATATATATTTTTATTATTATTAACACTTGCTTTATTTTTTTTTATTATATCAAATTTTCAGTTTTTCAGTGTTGGTGTTCTGTTCGAATCCACCGTAGCATTAAGTAAGCATTATCCTATAGATATCCTTGTTATAGGAATACTTGCATTTTCTTATAAACAATAAATTGATTGATTGATTGATTGATTGGTTAAGGGTTTCTTCAAATCTGGGGAGCATCGTAAATCGTTGTGTGTGGTCTTGCATTATCCTGTATCAGCAGACGCTTACGCAACTTTGCAAGTCGTTTTTGATAAGTGCCTACCGCAACGGCTTGGATGGTAAATTCGAATAATATTCTGTGTTAATTGCAGAACTTTTTTCCAGATAATAAATAAAAAAAATCCAGAATACAGCAAGTTACCTTTCCAACAGACAGAAATACATGTGCCTTAAATGTGCCTTCTTCAGATTGCTTGTCTTCAGATTGAAATAGGGTTTCGTTGGTCGTTATTATTCAGTGCCTAAATTCATCGCCATAACGGATCAGCAGGCTTTCTTTGAAGTTGACAAGTATCAGACGTATTGAATTTCTGTTATGGTCTCAACAGCCTTGCCATCCAGTGCGCCGAAATCTTAATAACGCCCAAACAATCAAGCAAGTTCAGACTCCCACTGCATGAACCGTCTCCTAGTGATATTGCACTATTTAAGAGGCAGCACTGCCTTATGTCAGGAAATAGAAGACATGGAAGAAAAAGTTAAATACAAAAATTGCTTGTGTTAATTAGGATTTTTCATTTTCATTAGGGTGACCGGTTTCGCAGCGGTCACTACCAACTTTCGTATTTCAAATGGAAAATCCTGTATATTAATCCTGATGTAGATAGACCTTTGAAAGACGAGTTCAACGATATATGGGGTTTAAACGAAAAGTTTCGGTATTATTAACGTCCATTTTCATTATTGACCCAATATTTAAACTGATTTATATAAGGTACTTCAATTTTGTTTCAAATTCTCTTTGCGCTTAATAAAAAGATGCTCTTTATTTTGCAAAACCTGCATTTTTTCAAATACAGACCCCAGTATATTATGCTATTTCCAGATATAAAACAGAAAATCGAAACGAGGAGAAAAAACAGTTTTACAAAATCCACCGTCAAAACAGTGTTTATCCTTAGCCTCTAACCTAACCCAGACCTAACTCCACTAGACTTTTTTTTATGAGATACTTTTAAAGGCCTATATTTCCCAAAATTAAGGTCAACTTAAATAATTGTTGTTAATTTGTTTTAGGTTAGTAAACGTCGTTTTATTAGATTTGTTATAATATTGTTCGATAATCTATAGTAGATGTTTTTACCGTTTTCACTATATATACAGGGGTTTCCTGAAAATGAATATTGTAAATTAAAAATAATTGAGAAATGGTGATTTGTATACCAGTCCGATTATATATCGATATTAGATGGTCTATTTAGGCATTAAGCTTATTTAGACATAGCATAATATACGGGAGTTTGCATTTGAAAAAAAAAATGTTGCGCAAAGTATGACAATATTGTAAGATTTTTTTATTTAATAATGCCATGTTAATAATTCCGAAACGTTGCGTTTAAACCCCATCGTTAATCTCTTCTTTCACGGCGAAACGAGTAACCTGGTATAGATGAAAATATAACAAATTAAAAATCCAAATTAAACCAAGCAACTTTTGTATTTAATCAATCTCTCATCGTTCAATCTCCTATTTGCTCAAATAAGGTTGTGATGTCTGCCTGTACATGCCAAACAATACTTTTATATTCTATAGACTCACCAAATATTCCTCACAGACGGTGAATAATTTCTAATGTTTCCAAAACTCTTTCCGAAAAAAGATTACCGCTCTTTGAGATTTTGCTGTGTCTTCTATGGTATGGTCTGTTCATATATATAAGAAAGTGACCAATTGCTTTTGAATGGGATTATCCAAGGGTGGTCATTAACATACAATGCAACAAGATTATTACCTAAAGTTTCGAAATTTAAACTCAGGTAAAATTGTGGTCCGTAATAGAAAATAATTTTATACCTAGGTGTGTTTAATATTCTTTGGTTTGGTATACTACTTAGTGTAAGTTTATTAGTAATCATTCTTATCGTGTGCCAATTATGCAAAATATATGCGAGTCTAGTGTATCTCAGGAGATGCTCCCGCCCAAATGTAGAAAACACTATTCTATTGAGACCAAGGAAGTTATAAACAATGTTTATTTGACTCTCATTGAACGTGGTGCCAACAAGCAAGTATCTTTAGAAGAAACGACCACATTGACGAAAATTCCAACATCAACTGTATGAAAAATTGTGAATAATCCCATTTCAGCGAGGAAAAAAAGAAGCGATGCTGACATTTTCTAGAGTGTAGATGAAAGTGATCAAGATATAATACGGCGTAAAATTTACCAGTTATACGAGAAACAAAGCGTAGATATCTCAATTAGGAGGCTTGAAAAAGATGAAACCGGTGTTAAATGTGACAGAACTACCTTATGGAAGTGTATTCAACAAATGGGTTTTAGATTTAAAAAAATTGACAAAAGGCAAGTTTTAATGGAGTCTTTTAGAATTCGGAAATGGCGACTGGAATATCTAGAAAAAATTAGGATTTACAGAGAACAGAAAAGACCAATTATTTACTTGGATGAAACCTGGTTCTACACTTATGATACCCCGGAAAATGGTTGGGTTGACTCAACTGATAAGTGTAAAACAAACGCGCCCTCAAAAAGAGGTAATTTTTTGCATCCTAGATGGTTGGATTCCAAAAATATTAAAGATTCTTCTTTGGATTACCATGAATACACCACCGCTGATTTATTTGAAAGTTGGTTTAAAAACAAACTAGTTCCAAACATTGCTCCCAATAGCGTAATTGTAATGGACAATGCAAGTTATCACAGTAGACAGTTGACTAAAAGCCCTTCTTCATGTGACACAAAAGCAACAATCCAAAACTACATGTATAATAACGACATTTATTTTCACGAAGATTATACCAAAAAGCAATTAACTGAGGTTCTACCAAGCTTGAACCTACAAAAGGAATACGTCTGTGATAATTATGCAAAAAATCTAAGGCATACAGCTTCCACCTTACCACTGTATAATTAATCCCATTGAACATGTTTGGCACCAACTGAAATCTGCCATTCGTCGTAACAATGTTTTTCCCCGTGTTAACTCCAATGTCCTCAAACTTATAGAAACCGAAGTTTTTAACATCCCTCCACAAAGTTTGGCAAATTCTGTTAAACATATAGAAAAAGCAGAACAATCGTATATCTACATTGCAAATAATAATTAGAACAGGCGATGATAGCGATAGTGATACTGATATATTATGTGAATTATTTTAAGTAATTTAAGTAGGTAATAAAAATAATTTGTAATTTTATTTTAGATTTAAACATAAATACATACATAAATAAATAAATATTGTTTAGTATCTTTCCTAACAAAACCTCAAATAATTAAATTTTAAGCAAAGTACGGACCTGTTCGGCCATATTTCATTCTTACAGCTTGCCCGGGTCTTTCCTTAATTCGTATCAGTTAGTCACTTTCTTATATCTATGAACAGACTTTAACAAAAACAGTGCTATAAAAACCCGTTTCGCAGTGGTCACCACCAACTTTCTTATTTAAAACGGAACATCCTGTATATTAATCCTGAATTAGATAGACTTTTCAAAGACATGTTCACCTAAATCAAACTGAACAATATTTCACTAGATAGTTGCATAGATGTCAAGACTTGTGCGAGACCATTAACTTTGGCTAATTTATTTATAGTGCAATTCCCAAAACTTTTGAAACCGCCTTCGTAAATTTTATATTTTAGGAAGGAAGGAAGATTTGGAGACCATACGAAAAAAGAGTTTTTCAATCATTTA